GGGCCCGGACTGGCTTTTGCAGTTTAGTTCCTGGGAACTCTGTAGTCGTGCCAATTGCTCAGTCCTGGGTGCATAGCCGCATGGCTGAGCGATCTTGTCTGCCATATCTAACCATGGCTGATCCTGACGCGCCCGCCCACAAGAGGCTCCGTTTGGACTCAGTCAATCCTGTCCCCAACGGTCACACCTTCCCACCGCCACCTCTACCACCTCATTCTCGACCTCACTCACATCCCGTCCCCGTCCAGGCCCCATCTCCAGTGTCTCGCCAATACCCCACCCACAGTCTGCCACCACCATCTCAGCCGTATCCGTCTCCAGGCCAGCCATCCTATCCCGGACATCAACCTTCACCGTCGCTTCCGCCGTCTGACATCCGCGCGTTTGCGGATCCTAGGAACATCCCGTCGCCTGGTCAGCGTCCTCATGGCGTCCCCGGCCCTTCTCCCGTGACATCTGGTGTCCCGCAAGACAGCATTTCCACTTATCGTCCGCCTCCCCACTCCTCAGTCTGCCACAGCACCGGAACCCGTCGACGTCAAGCCTCAGCTCAACATGGAGCATGGCAGTCATCCGACGCCTTGGTCGGTGAACCAGGACCACCGTTCCAATGGCAGCGTCTCCAGCGGATACAATCCGACCATCAGCCCTCCTCATCCAAACGATGTAGCTTACCATGCGCCACCCCCGCCTGGCCAGCCTTACGGCCAGCCTGCCCCCTATGGAGCCCCAAGTCCTTACCTAGGCCAGTATTCAGCACAGCAGGCCCAAGTACGGAGAAAACAGGTCCGAGCCACCCAGGCATGCAACCACTGTCGTGCGCGCAAGCAGAAGTGCGACGAAGCACGACCTTGTCAATTTTGCAGAGAGAACAACTTTGATTGCCAGTACAAAGATGTTCCCCCACCAAAGTACGTTACCTGAACTAAACGAACAATGTTAGTACTGAACCAGGCTTCAGACAGGATAGAAGTATGATGCAACTTCAAGACAGTGTAAATAGCATGACCGACGTCTTGACCAACTTCATTGGAGAGTTTGGTGCGTGGCGACAGGATGTTGAGAGCAGACTTCCACCCCGCCGAGCCTTCGAGAACACCTCGAACATGGCTTCGCCCGACAACACAGTTCCTGCTCCACCAAGGGATCAGAGCACGTCGAGAATGCCAACTCCAGCGCAAGGCAGAAATCAGTCACTTCGAGTTAACGGCATGAAGATGGAGTCACCTATGGTTCCTTACATGTCGCCGGGACATGCGCAAGCTTCAACTCCAATCAAGCAAGAAGCCCTTCTCCTTGGATCTCAACAGCCGGCAACGCCAGCTGACAGTGTGAGGACGGATATGAGCCGTACCACGGATGCCGGATTACAAGACAAAGCTGGCCTTCAGAGTGACCACACAACGCCTGCGCATAAGCTACTCGAGGATTGGTCTGCCATGCAAGACTGGTACAAGTTGTCAGACTACCTAGTAAAACTGAAAGACTCTGGACGAAACGTCTCAGATTACCCAATGCAACTGGAACAAGAGAGAGGGCTTCTACGTCCGTGGGGTTACGGAGAAGGACGAGACCTTAACGATGGAGCCCAGGGTCCGGGTAGTCCAGAAAGTAGCAACGAATCCGATGCGTCATCGCCAGCAACAGGGAAGGAAGGTCTATGGGGCCACCCCCCTCCAGACAAAGCCAGCCCTCGTACCATGAATGGCAACTCGTATGGGGAAGAGCATCCCGGAGGACTGGGACCGGATGGGCGCCCTGAATTTCCGTGTGGCCACCATGGACAAGCTACTCGAGTCCTATGAAAGAAACATGCACAATCTGCACCCGTTTTTCAATCGCAGCAAACTCCAAAAAATGTTCAGAGAGTTCAAAGAACAGTACAGTCCTGACTTCAAGGGTCCAAACATTGCGTCTCCAGCCACGCATCAAGTCAGCCTTGGCATGAAGAGAAAGAGATCTAGCAGCGCCATCCACGAGCAATACCCTAAAGCGGCAATCGAGCGCTCGTTGCGCAACGCAATAGTTCTTCTGGTACTTGCACTTGGAAAAGTGTGTTCGTACAAGACCAAAGACAAACCTCTACCGAGCCCTGAGAGCGACAAGACTCATACGAAGAATGCATGGGGGGATGGTAGCTTTCACAGCGATACCGACGACCCACGCCCTAGAAATATTGATCTGATGCCGGGTATGGCTTATTATTCATACGCCACGGACATTCTTGGAAACCACCACGGCGGACTAACTATTGCGCACGCGCAAGCCTTCATTCTGGCAGCTTTGTACATCAGCCAATTCGCGAGAGTGTTGGAAAGCTGGAGCTGGATAAACAGCGCCTGCAGGATCACGATTGTCTTGCTTAAAGCGTAAGCCGTCATACATTCTGGAATCTTGACTTGCAACTTACCACTTCACTAGTGACCTTAACAAGCTCCGTCGCGAATGGTACCTTAGTGGAGAAGCCAACAAGGTATTGACGCCCAAGGAACGTTACAAGCTCGACCTGGTGCTATTCGTGTACTGGACTTGCCTACAACTTGAATCGTGGGTCTTCCTATTCCTTCCAATCCGCCAACTTTAGCTGACAGACACAAGCGACATCGTTGCCGAAATGAGTACACTGCCAACAAGCAGCGTTACAACTTACCAGAGCTTCATAATGTACCCAGCGGGGGTGTGCGAAAGCTTCCCCATTGACGGCATGTCTATGGTCGTGCCGGAACCCCAGGCACGACCTAACGAAGATATTGAATTAATGATATATTCCAGTCAGATCTATCTACGTGTCATCATGAACGAAGCACACAACCAGCTCTACGGAAGTAAGAATTTTGAACACCGTCACATTGGGCGTTGCTGACCGAGTATAGGCAAGAGCAGGAGCTTTGACGAGAACGATCCCAAGGCTGTTGCTGTTCATGTGAATTATCACATGGAAGTGCTTCGCAGCTGGAAATCGATGCTGCTCGGCCAACTGCAATGGAACGACACCGACCCTCCTTCAACCGATCGAAACCATGCTCGACTGCGCGCCAAATATTACGGAGGTCTTTATATGATGCTACGCCCCTACTTGCGCCTTGCAGTCTTGACCGAGTGGCCTCCCTCACATCAGCGTCAACCTCACACCTGGACTCATCAAAGCTCGCCAGCTGTCAATGGAGGTATGGACAGGGCCGCGCCAATCGTCGATTTAACTCCGGATCAAAAAGAAATGATTAAGCTTGCATGCATCTGTATCGAGGCCGCGATTCGAAGTACCATAGCCTTCGACCGCATCGGTGCGCCAGAAGGCAGTCGCTATGAAGACTACAAGAGTACACGTACAGAACGCCTGGTCCTAACTAATATTTTTGGTACCATGCATGCCCAATTCGGAAACATGCTTGTTCTTGCAGCTGTCTACAGATCAAGCATTTATCAGCATCTGCCCGCCAACACCCCGTTGACACCTCGCGCTCTCGATGCGCTGTTTGCACGTACCATCGAAGCACTCAGCGAAACTGCGCCAAATTCTCCGATCCTCAAGGTCGACCTCGATGTTCTCATAAACTTACGCGAGAAGCTCGAGTTACCGAAATTTTAAGCTACCAATACCGCTTTATCCGCAACATCGACTTTACGCCTATGCGCGCATCTGTGTATACCCTTTTCTTACCGCATACTTATCCGGCGCATGGGCACTTTCATCGACTTCGTTTCTTTTTTTGTCTGCAATCTGGGCATGGGCATTTGCATCAATATTCATACACAATTATCATCACTGGGCGGCAAGCGCTGAAACATTTTTATCACGTACGAATCACATTTGATTTGCCATGGCGGTCAGATCATTCGCGTATGTGCAAGCAAGCATGGGTGGGACCTTTGTCACAGTTTTGCGATCTTACGAGTTGCTCAATATTCTATACCCGATGATTACCGCTCCATGTCTGCGGCAGTGTGGCGCGGACTCGCTTTCTCATTTTTAGTTTCTTTTTCGTCCGCTATGCTGGACTACCACCGTATTCGGTTACGGTTTGGGTCATTTTTCTTTTCTTGTCTGAGGCAAAAACACACTTACGCTAGTGAGCAAAGTCCTTTTTGCCATGGCTGAGTTAGCAGTGGACAATCAACATGTCTTGCATGAAGGAAAGAAGTACATGGTTGGCTACGAGTGAGCGCTCGAGCGTCTCGGTGTTTATCGTAACGACAAGGTTGCTGAATCAAAGTTTTGACCTGGACAAGCGTACACAGCTGACATACCGTGATGTCAGGATGCCATTGGAGCGGTGTACCGGCACTACCGAATTCAAGGCTTGTGCCGCGACCGCACCGCTCCGAACCAGACTGTGGCATCGCGCAACTTGCCCCGGAATATCCCTAGTGGCCACGGATCACGGCGGTCAACGAGCGAGCTTCATGGGATTATTTAGCATGACAGAAGCTGCAAACCTTACACATACCGCCTCCAATCTTGCGCCGAGAGCGTTGAACGCCTTAACGCCGCAAGGCGCGACGGCCGGGACGCTGAACACCCCTTCTTCATCAATGTCAACCGCGGATTCATGCATATGCAACAATGCCTCACTTGTTCATTACCTTACTCCAACTTGCAGCCCAATCTAAATCTAAGCGGTCGATCATGTTCTCCAAGGGCTTGTTTCAGTGGTTGGAGAATAGACGATCCGGGCCACACGCGCGTGTTCAGGTTGGCGCGCTAACTCGGCTACGCGACGCGAAGCTGGGGTTCGGATCGGCGAGCAACGCATCTTGAGTGAGCAGGTGTACCTGAAACGAAACCGCTACGCACGTAGGCCAACTCTATCGTTACCTTCAGGCATGGCAAACTATAACGAGGCTTTCGACGGCAGATGATTAGGCTTGTCTGAGGAAAATGAGGCTGAAGGGCCAGCCGCTTTTGCTTCACCTCGTCCATAGCATAGATTCGCCCCATCAGATTGCAGTGCTCGAACACGGACCTAAGCACGGAGTTCTGCACGTCTGATGAGACACTTCAAATCTAGGCAGTATGTCCGTTCTGCCGAGATGTAACTGTGCCGTCGATCATGTTGCCTGCGCATGGGCAAATCCGACTCCAAAATGGCAGGGTATCATTTCTCTACTCCAACAACATACACAGACGATCAGATAGCAAGGAAGCAGCTTCTCCGGATCAAGCGAGCATGATGTGCATCCTTCTGCCTATCAGATCATGTTGCGCATTTACTTCTCCAAATGGAATCCGCGCACTCGTGCGTCGGAGCTTCGCGGTCAAACAGAGTTTCGCTCGGAGGCGTCGGCGCTATGTTCGGTCATCGGATTCGCTCCTTTGACAATCTGGAACAGCTCGCGAATCAATGGGCATCGGTAGCAACTCCGACATAGTCCCTTGATGCCCAATCAATAATGCGATCGATATACTGAGGTCGCAATTCCCATTTCGCTTCAAGGTGCCATTTTCATCCAGCACGGGCAACTTCGAGACCATGCCGCTACAACTACTCAGGGGTCAATGTGGTTCGATGCCATGCATTTCTCAACGCTCTTCCATCCGAGATACCAGCACCTCTTCGTCGGGATGCCGAATGTATCAAATGTCGTTTAGTCTGGTACAGGATCCTCTGCTCGTCATATCACATGGGCAACAGGGGCACGCGCTCAGGGCCGATTCTCCACGTGGTTCGTCAAGTAGCTCCGAATCTTGGTTTCTTATCGCTTCATGGCGCCAAAACTTATCAGATGCATTAATTGCATGGTAAGGAGCGTTCCGTCAACCATGCGAGGACCACTGAATTCTTCACCGGACAGAACGCGGTGTTGAATCCTTCATGATTGCGAACGTGTAGTGTCAACAACGCTAGCTTACGCTTTCCCCATCTGAAGACAGCTATACCCAGCACCGTCTCTTCCAAACATTCTTCGAGGAAATCCCAAGGCTGCGAAAGAGGAAGGGCGGTCAATTCTGTAATCCCTCATGCAGAGAGCTGCCTTCGCGGCTTGCGCGCGCGCCGTTATACTTTCGATACCGCCGCCACGTCGCTTCACTGCAGACGTCGTCTCACCCAGAAGCACCGCTCACTTGTACAGGGAGAGCGGCCACCTAAGACGAGAAGTCATGTCCTGGGCCTAGCCGTGTCACACATCAACGACCGTAGCCCCGCGATTCTCACCGAATAGCATCCAACATCGAGGCCACAGCGTTGACAGCAAACGTACCACAGATCTGTGGGGTGCCACACCTCCGCTCGATCTACCAATCTCGCGCCTCGTCCCTCACCGATCAAACAGGTGTCGCGTCGGCTAGAGGCGCCACCCGTAGAGCGACATGCAGCCAAGGCAAGTACGCCCACCCAGCGACTAGGACGCGAGACGTCGCATTCACATCGGGCCTGCCGCATGCCAACGTGCCGTCGGCTGCATGCTGCACCGTGCAAAGCATCTCATTGCATTCCATGGCCAACAACGTGCGGCCTGGAGATATTCTCCGGCGCGTTCGATTGTGCGCAAAGCCTTTGGACGTGCAGCAACGATGAGTTGGTGGCGTAAGAGAGCCCTGGACCCCGAACTCGAAACTGTGCAGCCAAGAATAGGATCGCGGTGCCTGGACGTGATGCAAAGCTGCGATATTGGTGACCCACAGTGAGCACTGGCCGTTTCCATGCACCGGGAATCGATGACCCGCGTTGCGGCCGCGTTGTCGTCTCGATCCTCGAACAACTCCAACGTCTTTTTAATCGTATGCCGTATACGCAACAATAGGACCGAGTTGGTCTTATATGTTGGAGCCGGGAGGTCCCCACCATCGCCGGCAATTCCGCGCAGTATTACATGTTTCGGAAAAAGTTCGTAACGCAGACTTGAGCTGAGATCTCGCATCGAAGCGCTATGTCAGGCATTTGCTTGTCATCGAGTTTGGGTTCATAATCACGTCTAGCTTGATCCTACAGGGCTCGTCGATCGCCTCTTTCCATACAAGATTTACATTGATCAAATAATTCCACGCACTCAAAGCACTCTCCATCACAAGTGCTGACAGGGATTGCTTAGCTGGCGTTCCGAGTCACGGGATGTCGACATTGGGAAAACTTTCTTCACATGGGGAGCGAAGGCATTTCCGAAAAGCAATTCTCCTTGTCCACGTGCAGAGTTCCGAGCATAGCTCCGTCATCTCTTAATGCCATGAGTTGCTGAGCCGGTACTATTAAGGAATGTCCCGATGTTTGATGCTGAATCCGTAAGCATGGGCTGTGTTGCATGACAGATGCAACAAGCGAGGTGTAGAGCATGGGTTCAAACTTCGTACGAACTGCAGAGCATTTTGCGGGAAGACCTGTTCCTGATCCCCGATGAAACCCTGGGTCTGATCACACTGTCGATGTGGTCTAGAATGCTTCAGCATTGTTCACCCTCAATATTCCGTGCTCCACAGCGACACACTTCCTTGGGAGCAAAGCAGAAGCATATCGATCCTCAACAAGCCGATGGCTCAGCCGTGAGCAGGGCTATGACTCGATGCTCCGGCGTTCACCGGTACATAGCGAAGCGCCCGAGGTGGCTCTTGCAGGCATCACGGGAAAAGCCCGGCTTTGCCTCGACGGAATATGAAAGCATGTTTAATTGGGCGTCTGTATAGCCGGTCGCTGCCTGGGAGAAGGCGCGTTGCGTTGCAGCAAAAGTTTCGTGCTCCGCGTTTTCGGCTTCAAGCATGCGATGGGGGAGACGATTATGTGCGGATGTACGAATGTACGCTGGTGGTGTACGAAGAAGGCCAGACTTTTGCACTTCATATCTTGAAGTGAGTAGAAGTAAGGTAGGTTATGCATATCTCTAAGGTTATCACTGCTCAGTCATGATTTTCTACTACAAATCTCTTCAACCAAGTCTGCCCCAATTTCCGCGTAGTCTTTTTCTAATTTCTCTAGACATGCTCAAGCTTGTGAATTGGCATGCTTCAAGTAGCTTCTGGATGCATTATCGCGATTCCATTTTTTCTAAAATGATCATGAGTTCATATTGATGGTATTGAGATCTCTGGTGGGTTTCGTCCTTGTACATGAAGCGGGAGGCACAGCTACCACTCACTGCACCTTCCTCATAGGAGCAACATCATCCCTTCCTCAAGTCTCTCAGTCTACATCCAATTCCAACTCCACGTTTCCATTGTTCTTGCCAGAAGTAGTTACCGCTTCAAATCAGAGTAGAAGGCGCGTCTACATGGCGCCCTTACCAAGGTAACGCAGACACCACACCGTACCACGATGACTCCACGAGAAATGACCGCCTATAGAATTCACGAGTGTACCACGCCATGTGATACGGCACTATCTACCGCACAAGAAGTGAAGCCATTACCCTCCGTCTTCCATTCTGCTTCAACTTCACTTCTCATCAATTCTCCAGTCCTCGATCCTTGAACCTCTGCACTACATCGCATCCACAGTCACTCCTTTGAAAAGACACGCGAGAAACACTGCTACATCAGCAACAGACCAGTGATTTGGTTCGCCGAGTTGCCTGGTACAACGTCATGTCCCATCACCCAACCTGTCCATTCTACCCTGTCGCACGCCCTTGTGCTTTCTCGTGCCATCTCCTCCCATTCCCGTATGCTCCATCCCCGAAGATTCCAACGTACACCGTCGCAGACGCCATCCAATCCACGCGCCTGATCCGCCGAGACGTCGAGCACCCCACCAGCTGCATCGACCAACTCAGCGCCGCACGCGAGCGAGCCAGCCGAAATGTGCACTTCGAGCCCGGGCACGCAAAGAGCAGTGACGGCGTGTGTGAATCCCGTCCGCGGCGACGACAACAAAGTTCCTCTTCCAAGGCCCAGATAATCCCCCGCTCCATCCTGCAGAATGATACTCTGCCCCCGTCTCTCCCGACGGTATACATTGTCACGTTCGCCGCTGATTCCATCCCGAATCGCACGGCCAATGTCCTGCGCCTGCTGCATACTCAACTGCCCCCTCGCGACCCGCCCATCCCGCACTTGTACACCATCGACGCCCGCTCCTTCGCGCCGCCTGTCCCCGCGCTGTGCCGCGAGTTCTCGGGCATATCGCCGGTGATCCAAGACGTCGTCATGCAAGACGGGCGCGCGCGGAAGGCGGTTGCGGACAGCGTTGCGGACTTGCTGAGATGTGGGGAGAGGGGCGTCAGGGAGGTGAGTATGAGTGTGTGTTGCCATGCGGGGACGCACCGGAGTGTGGCGATTGGGGAGCGGATCGCGCAGGGGGTGAAGAGGGAGGTGGGGAGGTTGGGGTGCGTGGAAGGCGTCAAGGTGGTGGTGAGGCATGTTAGTCGGGTTAAGGGGAGGGGGGATCCCTTCTAAGGGATGACGGTGAGTTTGGAATTGGATAAATGATACTGATACCCGAGAGAAAGACGGAGATGGAAATTGAAATGCCCTTGATATTGTTCTACACATAAACGTCTTTTTGCTGCCAACATTGCGCTCTGAATCAGATCCGTGACTCCAACACGACTCGTTTTCCCTCCCAAAAATGGTTACCATTCTCGCCAAAACGTACTATACATCATCTACGCCTTCTTGCTCTTTCCAATGCTCGTGTCGATGCTGCCCAATACCCAGATGGCCGAGAACAGTGCAAACATGCCGAGCGTAATGACGACCGGCTTCCTGTAGCCCGCAGTCCAGGGGTAGTCGTACGTCACAACGAGATCGCGATCCCTAAAGTCATCGACCAGATTGATTGCAGTCAGCTCGAGCGTGGTGCGGCCGAGCGTGTCCATGAAGGTCCTGTGGAGGCTTGTCGAATTACTAACAATGGGCACGGTGGTCTGGAACTTGACGTTGGTAGCGCCCTCTGGGAGGATGACGCGGAGGTTGACGCGAGCGTACGAGACGCCTTCATTGGCGCGAGGGCCCTCGAGGAAGGGGACCCTGAGCGCATAGGTATCGCCAGCAGAGAGCTTGCGCAGGTATGTGGCCAGCTCGGCGTTCCAGCCCACGCGGAAGCTGTACTTCCACTGGCCGAAGACGGGGTATCTGGGCTTCAACTCAAGCAGCGCCTCCTTGTTGCCGGAGCGGAACTTGGAGGTGGAGACGTTGCCAATGTCGTCGGTGAAGTACGGATCCACGGCACCGGGGCGCAGGAAGAAGCTGAGGCCCTTGAGCGCGAAGGTGGGCGGATTCATGTAGGACTGCTTCTGCCACTCGACACGCGAGAAGTGGTTCTTGAGGCCAGCGCCCTGGTTGACCAGCCAGTAGCGCTCCTCGGAGGCCAGGTTGCCGCCCCAGTGCGAAACCTCGAGGTCGCGCTCCAGCAGGGTGGCGTGGGTGAGGGGCTTGGTGAACTCGTAGCGCACGCTTACGGGCTGCTGTGCGCCGGCTGGCACGTTGGTGTACTGGCCGTATGTGAAGGACGAGCCCTGCTTCTGCGGGTCGGCCTTTTGCTCCTCGTTGAGCTCGGCGGGGAGGGAGGTGTAGTCGGGCACATCGCTGGTGGGGAACTTGAGCTTGGTGCGCTGCTTCTCGGTGAGGTAGGCGGAGGGCGTGTACGCGCTGAAGGTGTATTGCAGGTACTGCTTGTCCGTCTGCGCGATCTGCGCGGGCACGGGCTGGAGGGAGGAGAGGACGGCGTAGGTGATGCTGATGGTCTGCTGCGCCTGGGGTGCCAGGGGCTCGGGGAGGTGGATCTTGTAGAACTCGGTGGAGCTGATGGTGTGTTAGTATCACATGACATGTCGGCCCATTGGGCAGAGAGAGCTGGGAGCTACCTGTCCGCATCGTATCCCACAACCTCGACATCGAAGATGCCCTTGCTGGCGTCCTTCTTGTCTCTTACTTCAAACCCCCCAATGTTCGCCAGCAAGCTCGACTCGAATGGCAGGTAGTACTCGGATTGGGGTTTCGCGTCCACATTCTCGATTACAATGTTGATGGTTTCGCGCGGGTACGACTTGTCGAGGTTGATGTTCCGGACCAGGTTGTTGTTCTTGAACACCTGGGGAGGGGTGAAGGTGCCCGGGAGCACCTGCTTGGAGAGCAATGGCTTGGAGTGGTTGAGCTCGGCGCATGCGAAGCTCGAGACGGCGGCCAGGCAGCTGGCGACGAAGCTTGTCGACCTCATTTTTGGGTAGCAGTCAAGTTACCCAGTCATGTGTGAGGCGAGGAAAGCAGGAGAAGGCGAGTGGTGATGTTGTTGGTCTGATGCGCATGCGCCGCGTATTGCGTCGTGTCTTCTTTCGTCGGAGTTCCTGGGGCACCTCCGTGCTTGGCATCGAATTGCGGCTCAAGCTTCACCCCTCCACAACTCCCCGCCTACGACGCACACGCTATCATGAGACTACTAGCTAAGGCCATTGGGAGACCGCGGGTGTCTTTGAGGCGACTCAGCCCAGTTCCAACGTACGGGAGGCGCCACCTGACCAACAATGGCTTCTTCCGCGTCTCAGAGGAGGTGCGCGAGGCTCTGCACTCTAAGAAGCCCGTCGTCGCGCTCGAGACGACGATATACACGCATGGTACTTTCCCTATAACTCCCGTCGTGTGACTTGGAAGCTAATTGGCATGGCAGGCTTCCCGTACCCTGAGAACGTGGCACTCGCATCCCTCCTCGAGAGCGTCGTTCGCACCAATGGCGGCGTACCAGCGACTATTGGTATCATAGACGGCGTAGCACGCGTAGGCCTGAGCCCAGAAGAATTGATCCGGTTGGCTTCGTCTGCTGGGCAGGCGACCACATTGAAGCTCTCGCGACGAGACTTGAGCTACGTTGGTGGCCTGCGATTGACTGGCAAACTGTTCAACGGAGGTACCACAATCGCCAGTACCATGCTCCTAGCACAACTAGCTGGTATCAAGATCTTTGGTACGGGTGGACTTGGTGGCGTTCATCGAGGTGCTGAGTCCAGCATGGATATCTCTGCAGACCTTACCGAGTTGGGCAGAACACCAGTGACAGTCGTCTCCAGCGGCTGCAAGAGCTTCCTCGATATTCATAGAACACTTGAATATCTCGAGACTGAAGGTGTAGGTGTAGGGACTTTTGCTGATGGCCGCGAAGGCAAGGTGGACTTTCCAGCTTTCTGGTCGAGAGACAGTGGCGTGAAAAGTCCCACGACAATCGCAGATGAGATTGAGGCCGCCGCCATTATACGTACGTACTGATTGTGTCGATTGCATCCAGACTGCTGACTCCGTCTAGATGCGCAACATATGCTGCAGATCCAATCCGGTCTGCTCTTTGCCAACCCTGTGCCCACTGAACATGCGATTCCCAAAGAAGAGATGGATGTTGTCATTGCGGAAGCATTGCGACAAGCAGATGCCTCGAATGCGTCCGGCAAAGACAACACCCCGTTCGTGCTGAATAAGATTAAAGAGCTTACCAAGGGCAAGAGCATTCCGGCAAACCGAGCTTTGATCGAGTCGAACGTCAAGCGGGCGGCCATCATAGCTCGTGAGCTAGCCATCCTGGAGTCTAAGCAAGAAGAAGCCCAAGGGTGAGCCAGCACCTTTGATGCTTATGTAGAACTGGTGCTGATGTAAGTATACAGTGCAAGCTCTTACTTCACTCCTACGTTCTCAAATCCTGTTGCTGCTGTGGAGAAGGATACGAGTGATGCATCATCGATTGTCTCTGAACCTCCCTCTACGCCAGCTACTTCTGTCTCCTCTGCGACAGAGCCTCCAATTGTGGCCGACATAATTGTTGCTGGCGCGCTTGCAGTGGATTTCTCATGTGACTACGCCCCGTTTACTACGAGCACGTCTCAGATTGAACCCTTACCTCATACTTCAAACCCAGCAGCTATCAACCAAAGCCTCGGAGGAGTAGCTCACAACATCGCAAAAGCTGCTCACCTGGTCGGCGGTTCTGTTCACCTGCACAGCGCAGTGGGCGAAGATCTAAGTGGACGGGCTGCTCTCAGTCAGTTGGAAGAAGAAGGCATGTCTACAGCCGGTATCAAAACCCTCCCAAAGCCTGCAAGGACTGCACAGTATGTCGCGGTCAACAATGCGAACAAGGACCTTTCTCTCGCTATGGCCGACATGTCCATACTCGAGACCATCCCGCAACCAACTATCAGCAACCTTGCCACATCGCTTTTCCACAAGTCATCACACCGACCCAGCATCTTCGTCGCAGACGCAAACTGGTCCTCACCAGCCCTCCATACCTGGCTCCAGGCCGCCCGCCACCCCTCCACCACAACAATCTTCGAGCCCGTCTCTACCGCAAAAGCAATCCGCATCTTTCCCCCCTCGCCCTCCACCTCCAACTCCACCACTACAACCCCCTCCCCCCTCGCAGACATCATAACCCCAAACACCTACGAACTCGCCGCCCTCCACGACTTCGCCGCACAATCCTCCCTCTTCTCCCACCCCTCCTGGTTCACCATCATCGACGCCATCGGCATCCCCTCCTCCGGCCTGCGCGTGCCCCTCGCACTCACCACCACCCCCGACATCGTCGACCAGGGCGTCCCCCAACAAGCCATTAAACTCCTGCCCTTTTTCCCGACCATACTCACGAAACTCGGGCCCCAGGGCGTCCTCATGGTCAAGCTACTAGCCGCCAACGCGCCGGAGTTGCACGACGCGAGTGAGCGGGCGTACGTGCTTGCGCGCAACATGTCCGCGGGTGGAGAGGTCGGGGGCTTGTACGTGCGGCTCTTCCCACCCGAGCGTGTTCTTGCGCCCGAAGAAGTCGTCAGTGTAAATGGCATCGGGGATACATTTTGCGGGGCGTTGGCCGTGGGGTTGGCGCGTGGGGGGCGAGTGCAGGACATCGTGGGGTTTGCGCAACGAGCGGCTGGGTTAAGTTTGGGGAGTAGGGAGAGTGTGAGTGCGGAGCTGGTGGGGTTGAGGGGGGGAGGTGGAGAAGCTGGGGATGTGAACATGTTGGGGTTTGAAGGAAGCTTTCTGGCTCTCTTTGTTCGGAATCGTAATCACGATGCAATGTCTATATGAGCAAGTTGGCCCTATGGGCGGTTAGAGCTCACTGCTTCGTCATTCCTCTCGTCGTCAATCATGCGCAAATATCTTCCAGTTCAATACACTCTCACAGTCATCACGATCAGGAAGCCCATGTAGTGTGGCAATATAGTTTGTATTCAAAGCCAAAGTCTGTACATTGCAAGACGCGAAAAGCATCGCGTGGGGTATCAAGTTTCCATCCAAACTCTGACGCCAAAACAATGCAATCTAAGCCAAGGTGAAGAGGGAAAATCCACCTAAAAGCAGTTTCCCCAATCCGACCAAAATGTATATCGAAAAACATATATACCAAGAAGCCAAAAAAAGGCTCTAGTCAGAAGTCTTCTGATTCTTGGACTTCACTACTCTGCCGTCGCTTGTCCTCGACCTCTTGAGCTTGGAGCGCGACGACAGACTTCCACTTGTACTAGCCCGCTGCTTCCTCGCACTGTCCTCGCGACGCAAGCCCGCTGCGGGCGTGTTGAACCCACTGCCTCCACCAGCCGTGGCCGCCGAGCTGCCCGCGACGATTTCCTCAGCGAGGCGATCAGCGACCGCGGCGTCGTATTCGCGCTCCTGGTTCAGGATGGTGTTGGGGTCGAGTTGGCGCGCGGTGGCGAGAAAGTCCACGCTGCCATCGTCGTCGGTGTCTTCGGAGTACTGTGATGCTTCGGAGCCGGAATCGCCGCTGTCGTGGTGGCTGGTGGACATGTTCATCATTTGCATGGCGGTGGCGGGACCTTCGCCCGATTCCGAGTCGGCTTCGGATGATTCATCTGCATCAGAGCCAGAATCGGAGTCAGAGTCAACGTCGCCAGAGGATGTTGAATCGAAGGGCAGGTACGACGCAGGCGGAAGTTCTGAATTAGGCAGCGTCTTTCGCGACGCGGAGATGATGTCGCTTTTAATGACACGCTGCGGGCTGGTGGGCGAAGTAGACGATGTGTCCGCAGACGATTCTTTGCCCAAGGCACGAAGTATTCTCTTTGAGTACACGTTCGAGCGGCGACGGCCGGTCAAAGCAATTGGTACCGTTTGGGTCTGCGACCGTCGCACGCGGATGGCAAAGTTGTCCTCCGGTCGCACGCCACCTAGCCCGGAAGCTTCAAAGTCCATCAACTCGGCGGGGCTGCCACTGCCGCTGGTATCATTCCTCAGGAATGCGGGTGAAAAGCCGAAATATTCCTCGCTGGAAACCGTCGCGTTGGAGTCCAGCTCCATAGGCGAGACGTCCATTGGCCCTCGGGGCTCGGTGAGACCAGATCGATGTTGAACGCCGACGGCATCTTGCGATGTTACTCCAAGAGGCTGGCTTGTCACGGGCTGGTAGGATCCAGGCATAAGAGAAGTACCTAAGCGGTCGCCGCTGAGATCGGTACAGAACTTGGCCTTAGTATAGAATATGAGGGGTCCATCTTCCCGCCGATTTTTGGTTGATGAATGACTCTGCATGGCGGAGCTACCAAATCCTGAAGAATCCCCTGCATGATGTGGTCGCTGCATCGAAGCACCAGACGACTCAATGTCGTACCCATAACTGTCGTCATCGTCCTCGGACTCAACCCTTTTGAAGAACATGGGTTTGTAAGCGAATTTCTCCAGCTCACGCTCCCGAGTTGCTCGAGCTATTTTCCTTGCTCTCGACCCAGCGTCTTCATCATTTTCTCTGCTGTCGTCGGTCCGTTGGCGCTTGATGGGCGACCCGCCTTCCGCAGGGGAGCCGCCGCTCAGATTTTCCGATGAGCTGTCGCTGATACCCTTGGTCATATCGAGACCTCCTTTCCATCGTATCTTTCGTCCGTCACTGCTGAGCTCGAGGTGACCGCTGTAATCATTCAAAGCGTCCTTGACGAATTCGGGGGTAACGTTGAGGGTATGCAGTTGAGCCATGTTGATAAGCAAGTTGAGGTACAGCCAACCATGTCCTTCTTCGGGTTTATCTCCTGTCTCCATGTCTGGTGGGGTAAAACCAAGGTGACGAATATACTCCATATTTTCACCGGGGACTTGTGCTCGGAGAAGATCCAGATCCAATGGCCTTGTTGGTCGTTGATCAGGCGAACCTGAACCCACACAATCTTGTTCGCCGATATTCACATTCGATTGTAATCCCTCCAAGGTCTCACGTGAGTCTGGTGTGGAAGTGTCTCGACCTCCTGATAAGATGCGAGCCACACGAAGGCCTTCAGGCTTAAAGGTTCGACCAGTAGCCTCTCTCTCTTCGCGATCGGCAGTAGCTGCTGACTGGGCAACCTCCTCCTGTTGCATCGGCTGCGGGTGACTCCCTGGTACTGATACCTTGCCGGCAAATATCTGTTCGAGGCGACGCACCACCATTTTCTTCTTCGATTTATCAGTCATGGGAACATTGTTCTGAGGTAGCAAGCTCCCGTGAACATCGTGCAGGTAGGACTGAATACTTTGCTGCTGCTGCTTGTACGCCGAACGACTCATCTTATGGCTGTCGTTGGCTTGATTGGAAGCTTGATTCGAAACAGCTGAGGAATTCTGGCCAGATGCTGACATTGAGGCATAGCCAGACTCATTGAAGTGTGAAGTCGACGACTGGGTCTTCTGCTGATCGAATGTGGGGGGATATTGTGTGATGGGTGGGTAGTCGGACATAGCATCGTCAAGTCCAGCTGCGAACTTGCGAAGAGTCTCCTCCAGCTCCTTCTTCTTGTGATCAGGAAGACCGTGGAACCGCACTTCGAAAAGCTTATCTTCTTCGAGACGGGCATCATGTGACTGCTCGTACTTCTTCAGCTTCTGTTTCAGCTTCTTGTTCGCAATGGTCAGGTCGTCGATGACACTCCGGAAGTCCTCGGTGCTGCTACCATCGTTGCCGATTTGCGCCGTGGGTCGATATGGCATATTCGGGTGGACCCGAGGATAGTGGGCAGAGTTGGCCGAAAGGCCTTCCGGAGGAGTCTCGGAGGAAGACGAGTTGCGAAGGAAGAACGGCGGATCGTCTGTAGTGTATAAGTTAGCTACAGGCGCAAAGAAACTACATTGAAGGCACTAACTGTCAACAGCAGATGCGCCGCTTTGGCGGGCGTTGTTGTTGGTAATCTCGAACCATCGGCCGGCGTCACTGCTCTCTCCAGAGCTGTATTTGTTCGACTGGAGGTGAGGCGAGACACTGGGCGGATTGGCCTTGTCGCTGGCAGCATTCGGCGAACTGAGAGCTGTCGCCTGGCGTTCGACCGCGACTTTGTTATCCACGCGCGAGGCAGGAGGACTATGTCGAAGCGAAACCGACCTGTGGGCTGGGATGCGGCGAGGGTGGAGGCGGGCAGCTTCCGGCGGGATGGTTCCTGGAGGGTCATGCATGGTCGGTAGGTTCGTATGTTATGAATATACGGCGTGTTCCATGGGCGTCAGAGACGCTCGCTCGAGGGCGGTTACTGGTCCATGAACGTGCGCGACTACGAGTTCGGAAAGGGAAGAGATTTGTGTTTTCTCGTGGGATGGCGTTACGATGCAGCAGTACAGTCTTTTCAGTGACACTCCACTCAGATATTGATCGGAGGTAATGTCCGTAGAGACCAAGTTGGAAGCACTGCGGAATGGCTGGATGCGGTGTCGAGCTTGTTGAGCTGGTGGGTATGGATAGAATGTGCTGGTGGAGGGAGGGCGTGGTGGCCGGGCCGCCAGAAAGGTGGGCATTTGGATAATCCGGCCATAGCACCCATGGTGTCGAGCATCGTGATGCATTCACGATTCTGAGATCCCAATGCCAGCTCCGAGGAGCTCTTGGCATCGGAGGGCTCTAAGAGGAACGATCGTGTGGCGTGGCCGTTCGAGACCGAGCCACTACCGAAGCACCGTCAGCGTCGGCGATCGTCGATGAGCCTCGTCTCCTACACCAGCCATCGCCCAAGCGGCACCCCATCGAAAAAGGACCCTGACACGGCTGCTCAGGGTCTTCACGATTGCACACCTGGCTGATGATCTCTACAAACGCGAAACAGTGCTCTGCAGCAACCGCCCGCCCGCCGCCCACTTTCGGTCTCCCTGACCATCCGGTATTTGACATAGAGACGCGACCAAGTGCCTCGCCCGACCCTTCGCCGTACCATGCGACTGTACAAAACGGTCGCTACAGGGCGGTGCCAACCGTTGACTTTGCATACACTACACACGCCATCGAGATCTGAGTTTGGTGATACGCACCGGTCCCAGTGAAGTTCCTCACAGGGTCCATTTTACTTGAAGGGAGTGTTGGGCCGTTGAAAAAGTGCTTGTCTGCCGAGCTAATCACCGGCTGTTACGTGGGAGCTGGTCTGCATCGAGCGTGGAGTGTGAATCGAGTCTTCCTTTCCAGCAAGGAGACCCTTATGATGTAGGCCGGAGCCCAGTCCCTCCAATAAGAGCCTCGACGCAGACCATCGGTGATGACCTGCAGGCAATAAGAACACATTTCACGGTCATTTCTGTGTCATGCGGCCGCTTCGTATCAGTCCTTGAAAGCTCGCCGCGGTGACTGTATTACCATGATCGATCTCTGAAGTAGCGTGAGAAAACTGCCGGGTAGCCGACATCGCGTTTCATCGCCACGAGTGGACGCTGTACAGTTGGTTGCATTTTGCAGACTTAACTGTGCAGTATTGCGCCTGGAGAATTCAGGTACCCGAGACACCTTTGAGCCTCTTGCAAGCGATCGTCAGGAACTTGTAACCGAATGACACCATGAAACTGTTTTTGGTCGAACTGAAGCAGAAAAATGCAGCGCGCATCGCAAAGACGCTGCTGTTGGTATCCACAAGCGCGTATTTCCTAGCGCCCGATGAAGTGTCAAACTCAAACTGGTGCAAATATGGAAACAAGGCGTAGCAGATCGGTCGTATCTTGAAATCTCTCTAGGTAGCTTTGGTTGCATTCTTCGCGATAACGTCGGTTTTCGCAATCAGGGACCTACTTGCGTACACGCATGCAGATACGATCAAAAACATTGATCATGGAGGCGAAGAGCGTGGAGATTGATTGTAATTGCTGATGTTCTTTTCAACTCGAACATCCCAGCAAGATTCTTGCATTATATTCTCACTCCTTTACTCCTCAGCACGTTGACCGTCGAATGTCCCGTGTAGTTGACCCATTCTCCCAGAGCTCCCATAAAGCCACCGACCTTCATGAGATCTGCCAGCCTGTTATCCAGAAATTGCTCAGTCTCAGTGAAGTTTGGCGACTTGTCTTGCGTCATGTACACCTCGGTAGCAGAGTAAATCGTTGACAAGCTCGCGCGCTTGGTGTACCAGCTGCTGTCGACGCTCTGGTCACCGGCGAGGAACCATATCTCGTCGGCTAGTTTTGCGAGTTCAGATATCGAGGCGGGGACGTATGATGGTTGAGCCATGATCGCGAGTGCCTAAACGATATTAGTACCAGCATAAGTTGTCATATAGACGAACTTGCCTCTTGCCAGCGATGTATCACCGGCTCGTTCGCTCGTAACCTTGCAAGAGTGAGCGTCCGAACTTTTGATCCCACGCCCAACTTCTTCTCGCCATTGTCTGGGACCTGCACATTGTCCTTCAATGCCAATCGCTGGGTCACGAGATGATAGTTGATCAGGTCAAAAACTCCTCGGGGGAACAAGTTGGTAGACACATCGAGGTAACCGGCATCGCGAGCTCCCAGTTTCAGAGAGTCTATCGTGAACCCGTAGCCCGGTACATGTGCGTATGCCGAGGACAGAATCGCAGACTCGGCTTTGGAGAAGGGCGGCACTTCAGCGTAATCGTACGAGTGGTATGAGCATCTCTGTCTGCAAACAGCTGCTAATGGACGATGTGAGGCAGCTCGGAACGTTCCGAACAGCGAATTAGATAATCTAGCGGGCGCCATGGCTGTGGTTGCAGTGTTCAGATCAACTTCGATGTCGATGTGGACATCCGTCTAGTCGCCGCCAAGATCGATCGGACTCCCGTCGCCACCGCATGCAAGATCTTGACGTCTCGTCGATGCGATCTAGGCTGCACGAGACTAGCAGCCTGCAGCACCTAGCATGTCGTCTCGCAATTCACGGCGAAAGTCTGGATCATAGACATTTGCCATGTCCATAAAGTCCAGAACTATCCAGGGCTGAAATTGGTGCACCAACAGCACGTGACAAACGCGTCCGACGCGTTTGCGCTAGTGGCGACGTGCAGGAGAGGCCTCCGAATCTCGAACTCTTGAACTTGCGAGTGCCTGCCGAATCCGTGTTACACTTGGATTGCCGTCAACGCGTGCCATTTCGATTGTGAGGTACACCATTGCCACTCTCCTATCACCTTCACATCGCGAGAATCACCAAATTGGCTCTGCAGCACGATCTTCACATTTGCACGTACTCCGCGCATCGCACGCTCGAGAACCCAGCCCTGCTTCACGCGACCGTTCTAGACCATCCTTTTGAACTTTTGCGTAGTCCCACAAACGGCAAAGAAGAACAATACGCAATGGCGCGTGGCAAGAACGTGGAGCTCAGCGAGTATGAGCGCAAGCGGCAGGAGAATATCGCGAAGACGCAGGCGTTGCTGCGAAATTTGGAGATGGAGGCTGCCGAAGCTGGTCTAGGTCCGACTGGAAAATCAAGAGCGGCTGCATCGTCGAAGCCAAGAGTCAAGAAGCCCGCGCCCAAGAAGATCAAACAGGAGGACATCGCGCCTAGGCGAACTTCGTCGCGTTTGAAAGGCATTGAGGCAGACAGTGAGAAGGCGAAGCGCAAGGCTGAGGACGAATATGTTGCGATCAAGGAGGCTGATCGCGCAAAACGGCAACGCGTCAGCGACGCTTTCAACTTCAGTGATATTGTCGTTGCTGGCAAGGACTGGAATCGAAGCGGAAACTTCTTGTCTATTGGGCCCGCGAACCCGTACGAGCGAACATTCGATTTCGACGATGTAAAAGAGACCACGGACAAAGAGCTAAGAGCGCTCAGGGAGAAGATGAGCGGCTTACAGCTGTGGGAGGACTTTGAGCCCAACGAAATCAAAATCACACCGGAGCGCATATATGCGATGGGCATGCATCCGACAACAGAGAAACCACTTGTCTTCGCAGGTGACAAATTAGGGAACCTAGGCATATGCGATGCGTCGCAGAAAGTTGCGGAAGTAAAGCAAGAAGACGACGAAGACGCCGATAACGAAGGTCCCACCATCACCACCCTGAAACCTCACACACGCACAATACATACATTCCAGTTTAGTCCGCATGACTCAAATGCACTCTACTCTGCGTCTTATGACTCCTCAGTCCGGAAACTAGACCTAGCCAAAGGCGTGGCTGTCGAAGTCTACGGGCCATCGGATCCGAATGAAGACCAGCCGTTGTCCGGTTTAGAAATATCCAAAGACGACGCAAATACGCTTTATTTCTCCACGCTCGACGGCAGATTCGGAATCTATGACATGCGCACACCTTCGGACCAAGCAGAGCTCTTTCAACTGTCCGAGAAGAAGATTGGAGGCTTCAGCCTGCATCCTCAGCAACCACATCTCGTAGCCACCGCCTCTCTAGACCGCACTCTGAAGATTTGGGACTTGCGAAAGATTAGTGGGAAGGGTGATTCGCGGCTCCCAGCACTTGTGGGCGAGCACGAGAGCAGACTGTCAGTTTCGCATGCTGCGTGGAACTCTGCGGGCCAGGTAGCCACCGCATCATACGATGATACCATCAAGATCCACGATTTCAGCAAATCGGCAGAATGGGCTACAGGTACTGCTTTGACTGATGCTGATATGAAGCCATCAGTCGTTGTGCCACATAACAATCAGACGGGCCGTTGGGTTACCATGTAAGGCTGTCATCCTAACACGAATGGTACACATGCTAATGATGATGTGCGCAGATTACGAGCGCAGTGGCAGCAATTCCCTCAAGACGGCGTGCAGCGGTTCTGCATCGGCAACATGAACCGATTTGTTGATATTTATACCGCAAAGGGCCAGCAATTGGCGCAACTGGGTGGGGATGGCATCACTGCGGTGCCAGCAGTTGCAAAGTTCCATCCTACGCTGGATTGGGTTGCTGCTGGCACTGCCAGTGGAAAGCTGTGCTTATGGATGTAGGCTTTGTTCTTATTGATACCCGCGCTAGCATATCCCAGACCCTTGCAATGTGCGAAATGGATATTCGCTCACCGCTGTTGCGGCATTGATATTGAAATCTATTGTACAGCGCACGCTGCACGTTTAGATCGTGAACTATCGAATCTGAACCGAGGAACAGGTCACTTCGAAGCCAAGAGCGAATATAGACATATACCCATATTGAACGACTGGGGTCTCCCGTTCAACCCATGTCATCGGCTACCATCGTCCCGTAGTCTGTTTCAACAACGTTTATCGTTACTTCCTTCGAGATAATTCCTGGGTTCTATATGGGTCGCTTGGAGCACATATTGGTTGGATCGCTGATGCCATCACGACGCGGTGCCTTCACTCCACAGTGCAGATGGTTGCGACGTAACATCTCATGACTTTTGTACATCACAATTCCGTGTGAATGCTCTCGTCATCACGCAAGGTGCTCCATGCTGCGGTGCTCCATGCTGCGGTGCATCATCGGGGCGGCTGCTCCGGCTGGCACCCATCAAGCCTGTTGCAACTCTGACGTCCCTATCGTACACCGTAGAACGTTCCACCGTCGTACCAGCAACCTCGGTGAAGCCATCCGCAAACGCTTTGTTCTCGCAATAGCCGTGCCCGCACTAAGCGGAGCGTTAAGCTCATAACCAAGGAACACGAGATAACAAGCGGGGGCACGATCGACGTCACACGAGTCACAACTTCCTCATCCGACGCCCCGAGAAGAGTGCCTGCACAGCACGAATACGAGAAAATGACAGCATTTCACAATAGCTCGGGCAAAGTCTATCGTAGATCTGGAGGTTAGTTGAATATCGCTGACGACCAAAAATAACCATTTGCCCTTCTTCTGCGGTAGCTTCGCTAAAACGCTGGCCGAAAGCTACCACCACCGTCTGGTGAGCGTGACCTGCTCTGCCTACCCATGCGTAAAACGCTGATCTGCTCGTGTTTGGGCACTTTGCGATGCAACCTTGTCCAGCCGAACCCTGCCACGCCTTGCTTTTACCAGCCCATGCCAGCCCCTTTGGGTAGCGACATGCTGTACGAAGTTCGGTTGTGGCGGGATTAGTACTGGGCGGTGGGGTAAATTGCATGGCAAGGGTACACCAAGGCTGGAGCGGCGAACTTCGTTCATCTCACGCCTTCTACGACGGAAGGTGTATATAAGGTTAAGGCAGGAGCTGGTTTCCAAGGCATCATCAGCTCAAGCATCTTCAGCATCCTTCTCTGCTTAATTGTCCCTCTCGCAACTCAAACAGTCGCTTCAATCCAAGACTCATCAAGATGAAGTACACCACCGTCATCGCCGCGCTTACCAGCACCGCCCTCGCTCAGAGCTCTTGCTCTTCAGCACCACCCGCGTCCACACCTACTCCTCCTGCTGGCCCCAACTACTTCACCGTCATCTCTGCTCGCAGCGCCTCTCCCGTCCACTTCCAGACGCTCACTGCACGCGGTCTTAAGTTTTACCTCGGCGGAGGCCCTCCCTCATCATTCTGCCCGACCGAACTTCCCGCCGGCTCGTGCCCGCCAGGTAACACCACCGTGTTGGCTGGTGGCTATGGTACACTCGGCATGGGTACCGTTGTCCCCGGTGGCCAGGAGGTCTACGTTGCTCCCGATGGTGCTTTGAGCTACACACAGGCACACTCGGCCGCTGTTCCCGCCGGCAGCTACAGGGCCATGTTCAGCCGCGAGCCATCCGGCGATAACTCGTTCGGCTACCTCAACTTCGAGACTGGCTTCGTTGCGTGCCCGGCCAAGGCACCCGAGACTGGATACCAGGTCTTTGGCCAGGTTGATGGCGCCACTTTCGGACCCGAGTGTCTGGGATTCAGCGCCTTGACTTGTAAGTCTATATTCCGCCTATCCACTAATTGAACGTCAGCTAACCATTGAAACAGCTGAGACCGACCAGCCCGGCGCGTGGCAGTACTAGATTCCCATCGCGATTGCGACTCGAATTGTTTTCCCTTTTGAAGCAAAGAGCGATATGCCTAATGATAATGTAATGAATCCAGCACGGAAGAGTGACCAAGGAAAACATTGCTGGTGAAGGAGAAAAGGTCTCTCCACAACATACCTGTATATAGATGCAGCATCCCTATGACCCACGACACTCCCTAATACCATAATGCATTTGTCCATCCTCAAAGTCCATCTCCCCGGCTGTCTACTTTCTTCCCAGGCATGACGGCTCTCTCCAACATGCTCATCAACCACGCGACCTTGTTCTCGGGGGTTTCATTCACGAAAAGTTTCACCTCAGCAACCTTTTCGCGGCTCGTGAGGCCTTTGACAATCGACACATGACTTTTCGGCACGCTCAACGTCTTCGCAAGAAGGACTTGGACAGACTTGTTCGCAGAACCCTCGAAAGCGTAATTGGCCACGTTCATGAAAACATGTGAATCAGAAACGGCAGCGATGCCTTCGCGCATCCTGCTCACGCCGGGCTTGACGAAGAGGGTAATGAGGAATTGTGAATTGGCCTTGGAGCTGGCTTTGGCGTAGCGGACAAAAGTGCGCGCTGGTGATGGTGCAGACATTGGTATTGCGTGTGTCCTGTTTGGTCGTGTTGGGGAATAGAGATCATGTGTGAGTGGAAAGCTTTGAAGTTGGAGAGGCGGCGCTTTGACAATGTTGGGGATAGGCCAATCATAAATCCCTGGGCCCGCTTTACTTTCACCTTCAACCACGTCTGACTCCTGGGACATGCAAGAGCACTGGCTGGCTTGAACTCTGCAGAATATCTCTTGTCTGGGTCGTCAAGCTCTTTCTAGTCAAAAACCGTTTCCTGAAGTCATTGTCTGCGAACTCAACAGAACTACTTCTCTATCCAAGACTTCTTCCATATAGTATGTATGTTTTCACTCGTTCACTGTGTTCGAAGCCTTATCTATCATCTTGTACTTGGGTAGATGTAATCGCATTTGTAAGCGTTTCGCACACTCGTGCTATGCGTGGCTATTAGTGGATACTAGAGGCGAAGGCAATGTCCATATTCGTAAGATGTCCATCGTTGCAACTCTGTGGAAAGGGTCATGCGACGACGGATATAGTAAGCGACCGGTGTGTAGGCTGACTGGTGTTGAAAGGAGTAGGCACTGCTAAAGCCGATCCAACCCGGCCAATGACGTACCACCGCAACCCCGCGGCGAGCCAATCACGAATTTACCCAGCTGGTGATCGCCTGCATCCTTCCACGAAGAACACCAGATGTAAACCTTCGTACTCACAAGTATTCGCCCACCTGGCGTCATACACGAAGACCTTCTCAGAGACAAACGGACACATGGCACATGCCAAAAGCCCGCCGATACGCTCCTGCCAAATGTGAGCTCGCGCCGGCCGATAGTGGGGGGTGCCAGATTATGCACGTCCTTTTGTTCCCCTAAGTTCAAGTCTACACGAGAGCCTCAACTTCCGTTCCCTTAAGTACAGGTATACACGATGGAGGAAAACTCGGTGCACGCTTAATTACCTAAGAGGAGCGCGCTGCGCAGAGATAAAAGGCCGCCGTTTCGCACGTATTTAGACTTTGAATTTTACTTTTTTCTTCTCAGCCTTGACGTCGTCTTTTACATACGAGTAATATTACGCCAGCAGCTGAGTGACCTGACTATCAGCATTCATACGGCAATCTCTGTCGCACAGGTAAGTTACAAAATCCGAGGCAAGAAGTAATTACTTTGGTTCTGAATCCTCAACGCTTTGTCTTGCCGACAACTTCCGCATTTGTCGCAAGCCCACACGCTCAACGACTATCGCAAACTGACATCTGCCACAGCCATCAGCCAAAATGACAGCCCCTCCTCCACACCAAGCAAAGTTCCTCCCTGACCGCCATGACTTGGGCGTCGTCGCAGTCGGCTTCAGTGGCGGCCAAGTAAGGCTATCCACCACACCTCCCAAACATCCCTAACAACTCCCCCCACAGCCCAAACCCGGCGTCGACGCCGCCCCAATGGCCCTCATCGAAGCCGGCCTAATCCAGCAACTCGAGCACGACCTCGAAATGAACGTCAGCTACGATGGCACCGTGCACAACTACTCCGAACTCCTCCCCTCCGACGACCCAGACTACCGCGGCATGAAGCGCCCGAAATTCGCCAGCGCGGTAACCCAATCTGTCAGCGCGCAAGTCTACGCGCACGCCGTGTCCGGGAAAATGGTGCTCACGCTCGGCGGCGACCACAGCATAGCTATTGGCACGATCAGCGGGACGGCGAAGGCGGTGCGCGAGCGGCTGGGGCGCGAAATCGCCGTCATCTGGGTCGATGCGCATGCTGATATCAACACACCTGAGACGTCAGATAGTGGGAATATTCACGGCATGCCTGTGTCGTTTTTGACGGGGCTGGCGAAGGAGGGCCGCGAGGATGTGTTTGGGTGGATCAAGGAGGAGCACTTGCTGAGCACGAAGAAACTTGTGTATATTGGGCTGAGGGATATTGATAAGGGGGAGAAGAAGATTCTGAGGGAGCACGGGATCAAGGCGTTTTCGATGCATGATGTTGATAGGTATGTTGAGACCGAATTTTGCGGAATATGGGGATTTACTAATGCGGGACAGACATGGTATTGGCAAGATCATGGATATGGCGTTGGCTTGGATCGGCATGGATACGCCTATTCACCTGTCGTTCGATATCGATGCGCTGGATCCTATGTATGCGCCTAGCACGGGTACGGCTGTACGAGGCGGTCTCACTCTGCGCGAGGGCGACTTCATCTGCGAGTGTGTCGCGGAGACTGGATCGCTCATCGCTCTGGATCTTGTCGAAGTCAACCCAAGCCTTGACGAGCAGGGCGCAAGCGACACTGTACGCGCTGGTTTGTCGATCGTTAGGTGTGCGCTCGGAGACACACTTTTGTAAGATATCGTGTATGGGACTAGGATAGGCACGGCGCACTCGGCTAGAGGTAGAGCTTACGACACAAGTAATGATCACTGAATGGATGCACATATTTCCGGACATTGAGTCGATGGAATTATGCTTCTTCGTTAATCACCCCGTCTAATATGATCACCAAGGCAGGAGCTGTTGACACAACCTTTCCATCGCAAAGGCTCACATCATACAAATCTGTACAAATCACTTTGAGCAGCCTACTTCGCTGCACCCCCCGCTCTCTGACGAATCCTCTCCTCCCTCTCCCACTTGCCCTCAAACACCGCAAAGAACAAGCCCAACCACTCCTTCTCCCGCTCACTCATCAGCCTCGCAGGATTCTTCCAACAGCTCGACAAAATCTCCTTGACGCGGCGTCTCAGCACCTTCAGCGCCACCGCCGCTCTCCAGTCCCTGACTGCGAAGCGCAACACACTGCCCGGAAAGCTAATGACGCCGGCGTGCATTTTGAAATCCATGTCTGCTGCTACCATGAGTACCATGGGGAGCGGGTACACGATCGAGGTCGAGTGTGCGTTGTAGAACTTGTTGCTGGATTGCATGATGTGGTAGTAGGATAGGAACTGTGCGACTTTGGTGCCTTTGTTGACGGACGTAGGAGCTAAGCTGACGGTCTGGTTGTTGGAGATGTTGCGCCATCCTTTGCCCTCACGTGTGAGTATCTTGGGATAGAAAGCCGTGGCGATGACGGAGTTGACGAAGATGTCGTTGTCTGTGTGGATGTCGTATTGTGGGGGAACTTGCACAAAGGCGCGGTGACGAGTGGTGCTGCGGTAGCGTTTGAGATTGTTACGCTCATCAGGTGAGAGTTGAATGAAACCCGCTTCTACCAGTGAGGAGAGCAATTGAGCTTTCAGATCTTCAATGTTACCCAGATTCTGTGGACTGAGAAAGTTCTTGTGGCAGAACTGTATTTCGGAGCGACCTGGCGTGGTGCAAACCGCACGCCAGGCTCTGTAGGCGTTATATGTGGTCAGAAGATCAGAGTCACCCTTCTTGAACGCCAGACGTGCTATGTCAGCGCGCTGCTTTGCTCCAAATGGCGTCAGGAACGGGGACTTGGAGGACAATATGGCAGCGATGGTGATGGCGACGTCTACACAGGCGAAGATGGTGGCCAGTAGCACCAGCTTTCCTAAATGTGCATCGAGCGGAAGCTTTGCAATCTGCCGGCCAAGGGCTGTCAACTCTTCGCTCGGCGTGAGCGCGTCCACCTCGATGAGCGCATCGATTGCGCGACGGATGTTTCGTGAAGAGGGCGGATCCAAAGCTTGTGAAAGTGTCTCCTCAATATCGCCAAGTTTGCAGATCTTAGTACGCATGACAAGGTCTTGCAAAGATAGTCGGAGCATCTCTGGTGTTTGCTGATCAGTCATGAGCGTATCGTGACGGTACTTGGTGAACAAATGAAAACACAGTCCTTCTTGCACACGGCCAGCACGACCGCGACGCTGCTTAGCGTTCGCCCTCGAGATGAATGATTGTGTTAAGCGGGACAGCTGTCTGCGCTCATCGAATCGCATTTCCTTGTGTTTGCCCGTGTCAATCACGCAAGTAATGTCTGGGATAGTGACACCAGTCTCGGCAATATTTGTGGCAAGGACAATCTTTCGCACACCTCGTGGTGGAATGAGAAAAGCGGCCTGTTGGTCCTCACTTGATATGGTGGAGTGAAGTGGGTAGATGAGCCAGTCCTTATTGTTGAACGAAGGGTGCCCGCCGAGAAGGTCGTTGACCTGACGAATCTCAGCAATACCAGGAAGGAAGACCAACACTGCATTGCTGTATCGACTGAGTTGTGGGTCGTAAGCAACTGCTTCAATCAAGCGTGCGATAAGGCCATAGTCGATAGCGTATTCATCGTAGGTAGAGAGTACGTTGCGAGTAGCAGGGCTGTAACCGGGAAGTTTGCTCGGGATGCCAGACTTGTCGGAAGTGATTTCTCCGTCGTCGTCATCGCTACTCCGGCCATCTAGCTGGGTTTTCTCAGAAGATCCATCGTAATGTGTTAATTCAATCGCATCCTCCAAATACTGGGTCTGGACTGGAAACGTTCTACCAGGTACGGTCAAGATCGGTGCATCGTTGAGATATCTCGAGAACCTGTTCGCATCTACCGTAGCACTCATGAGGATGACCTTGAGCTCTGGTCGCCTCTCTAACAAGGAGCGGAGGATGATCAGCAAGAAATCGGTATCGATGCTAGTTGAAGTCAGTGTGGTTTCGAGACAGTTCTGGTGCTCACTTGCCTTCGCTCATGCACCTCATCGATCACAAGATGCGTGACTTCTGGAAGACCTCCTGCAGACTCCAACATGCGCAGAACAACACCAACGGTCGCGTAGACAAGCCGCGTCTGGGAAGACGTCTTCGATTCTAGGCGAATTGCATAACCAACCAGGGAGCGCATTGTACCCAGTTCCTTTGGCCCCTCACCGAGCTCTTCGCTCACACGCTGTGCAAGTGAGATAGCCGAGATACGCCTGGGCTCGGTGCAGAAGACCTTGCAAGCTTTGCCTTGTGAGAGCTCATGCTCAAGGATGAAGGAGGGGATTTGTGTACTCTTTCCACAACCAGTCTCTCCACAAATGATCGTGATTTGGTTCTTGTCGATGGTAGTCATTATTTCATCTCGGAACCCGGAGACTGGTAAATTCTGTCGGCCAACAAGCATATGTTGGAACGAGGGCGTAGATGACTTCTGAGCCCAAAGGTCACGAAGACTTTCTAGCTCACGGACAGGTGTATTAAAGCCGGAATTTGAAGCACTTGAGCTCACCGCAGCTTGGTTCCGCATCCTAAAGCGGCTCGTGAGTACGACACCATCAGACTCATCGTTTTCTATCTGATCCAAAACAATTGAGCGATAGTGCTTAACCGCATCTCGGTCCGCGGTGTCGATTCTGGTCTTGCGATGGTCCATGAACTCTCGGTACAGTTCTCTCCAGTTTGAAGGTAGTCGCAAATAAACCTTCTCCTCCTTGGGTATGGCCACGGAGATTGAAAATAGTGCCGCGGTGGAAATATAGCTCTCGCTTTGCTCTACTGAAACGGTAGCCACACTTGTTGCTTCGTACTTTGCCTGTAACTGCCGCAACGAGGTGGTCACTCCTGGTACGTCCTCATCATACTCCATGTCCTGATATTTTGACCAGGATATAGTTAGTGAATGTCGGCAGGTATAGGTAGTTGGCGAAACCATCTTGTATGCCAAGCGTGCGTTAGGATCCCTGTCTGGAGTAAGCTCGTGTTATGTGGCGTTATTGACAATCGACTCACCTGGAGCGAACAGCCTCTTCCAGCAGTCTTCGTGGAGTCAGGCCACTCGACTTGCCAAAATCCCGTAACGTGACATTTTCGGACACAGTACTCTTATCCTCAGCTTTGCTTGTGTCCAAAACGTCAGGCACCGCAGAGAACATGCTACCTAGTAGATCCCCTTCGTCCTCAGCCTCGCCAGGGTCGGCAACTGTAGTTGAAGATGCAGTTTGGGACACAATCGGCCGGTCGATCGCTATTGTGGCTTCTGATTCATCCTCAGTTTGGCTTGGATTTCTATTCGTTTGTTCTTGTCTTCTCGTAGCCTTCTCTTGAGCGATCTGGTTGCGTTTCGCTGGCCACTGTAACTCTGCCTCATATTCGTCAAAGAGCGTGTCTGAGGTTATCTTCTGTAGCTGTGAAAGGAGCTTTCGCACCGTAGGACTCTGCTGAATCTGGTTTGCGGGTGTATTTTTGCCCTTTCCGGCTTTGGTCTGCTTTCGTGTTGTGGCTTCAACCAGACTAGGGTCGATTTCATAAAGCTTGCCTTTGAGTTTTAGATAAGTGGGTATCAGATCATCCAGCTCGATGTCACTATCCAGATCACTGACGTCAATATCGATGTGTTCTGACATCTTATCTCCGGCATTCGATGCATTGGCGCTTGTTTGGTCAGGTCTCCTAGCACCATTCGAGACTGCTCCGTCTTTCTGAGCTTCGTTGTCTGCATCATCTGAGAACGGACTTGCTAGAAAAGATCAGTATGTCGCCGATGTAAAATATGTAGCCTAGAGAGATGGACGGGACATTCGGGAAAGTAATGGTCCGGACTGGTATATTTTGTAGAACATGGGACTTACTAGGCCGAGATCGCTCAGCAATTTCTGTAGCTGAACGCTTGGGCGCTGGTTCTTCATATGAGAAAGAATGACCATCGCAATGATCTAGCGCCAGCCATTCTAGTGCCTCTTGTAAACCCCAAATGCTTGCGGAAGAGTCAACAGCGGCAGCATTAGCGCATATCCATTTCAAAACTGGTAGAACATGATCGCTTGAGAAACCGAGCTCGCGTAGAGTGAGATCAAGCGTCCAGAGTTTGGACATGGCATCCTCTTCAGTCAAGATTTTGAGCAGAGACTGAGGGCCTTGCCTCCGATTTGAGTCGTTGGACTCGGCTTGGGCTAACGCAATAACGCTGTCCAAAACTTCATTTGGTAGCCAATCGTGCACAGTCATTGAGTGAGACTGTCCGCGAAGCACTCTACGATCGGTCTGAAACTTCAAGACATTACGATGCGAATCGCGGCGAACCTTTGGCGCATGCTTTTCCACCAGCAGCTGCAGCTCATCTCGCTCGAGCTGCGCTTCTAGTTCTTCTGGAGTTTGCACGACCTCTGCCTTTGCCACGTTGGGCGCTGTAACGATCTGAGGGGCAGATACAATGGCTGGTGCACTCTCCTTGGAAACTGATGGTACAGCTTCTGTCGCGGTGGCGTCACCCGTCATCTTTTCCGGCTTGGGCTTGCTGGCCACCGAAGTTGTTGCGAACCCTCGCGCGGGATTGCCCGCGGGCTTCTTCTTCTTGGCCATTTCCTTGAGAATTGCAAGTCGGTGGTGGTGGTACTGACACTTCCCGAAAGGGCAAGAACTCAGGCGCCCAGCGGTATGGAGTAGATGGGGGCTTGATCTTTGGCTAGATCAAGATTCGAGAGGCCCAAAAAAGTGTCTGGACTCATGTAGGGCGCAGTGGTGCTCTTGGCGCGCAAGTGTTTGCAGGTGCGGAAGGGCGGTGGTGGACGAAGATTGTTTGTCGTAGGGCGGCGTTATGTCATTGGAGAAAGCTGTAAGACTCACTTCGGCTAGTCTTGCCCGTCTCCCGTCGCCATTTCGACAATTTACGTCTCCAAAACACACCCCGCCAACACCCCACCTTCCCTACACCCCCTCGCCCATGTGCATGATACGACATGGCGGAGAATGGGGACGCTGAATTGAAGGCCACACGGCGCGAAGAGCTGCGCCATGGGCTGATTACGAGCTCCACCAAGCGCAGAATCGCGGAGCTCTCGGGCCTGCAGCAGCGCAGTGCAGATAATGGTGAGTGCTGCTTGTGTGCGAATTGATGGCGTGTGGCGCCGGAGCTGACTGAGATGGCTATCTAGCTCTCCCCACCACCGACATCCAGTCCCTCCTAGAACTACTTTTCGAGACATACCCACTATACGAAGACCGCGAGTCGAGACGGGCCGTCGAAGCAGTCCTCAGGGCGCTCGTCGCTGGCCAGCATGGCGACGCCGTCCTACCCGCCATTGTGAAGTTCCTCAAACAGGAATGCCTCAAAAAGGGAATCGCACACGTGAATGCATTCGTGCTGGTGGACTGGTGTTCAGTGCTGCTCCTCGAATTCGCAAACTCACCCGAACGATGGGCCAAATTCGGCATCGACGTGGCGCTTGCGACTGCGCGGGTGCTGGAGACATGCGTAGGAGCAGGAAGCACACGGCGAGCTGGGCGCATCTCAGACTCGGCTCTGGTTTCGACACGGCGGGCTGTACGCGCGATACTACGCTCTGAAGCGACCGGGCCGGACGCTCTTTCCAAGCTCGTCACGACCCTCACCGCGAAGGGCTCGGCGCCCACGGCTGGAAACGCCGTCTTCCTTGGAGTCATTGCTGGATCGGCATCGCGACTGTCTGCCGTCAAACCCGAATTCGAGAAGCTCAAGTCGGAATACTACGCTTTCTACGTGCGCGAAATCGTTGGATCAAGGAGCCAGCTACCCGATCACATATCGAATGCCCTCTTTGATTTCTTCACAAGCTTCGCCACACCGGAAGAGGTGCAGAAAGAGGTCATACCGCCCATTGAGAAGGCCTTGCTGAGAGCTCCAGAAGTGGTGCTCAACGACGTTGTTTCTCCGATGATACTGGCCCTCCCCGAGTCGATGGACCTGTCCGAAGTCCTACTTGGAAACCTGCTTAAGCCGCTGCTTTCCAACGTCAAATCCACTAATCCCACCATTCGTGCTGGCGCACTGCGCACATTCGCAGCCTTAGCTTCGCGATCCAAAAGCGACGAAACTATTAACAAGGTCACTGACGAGATCCTGAACCCTCTCAAACAGGGCAAAGTCTCAGGAGCCGACCAGAAAGTCCTTCATGCACAACTACTATCCGCACTGCCGCGTTCAACTGCCTTGTCACAGAAGATACCCACCAGCATCGCATCTGTGGCACTTAAAGAGCCTAGTGAAGCGGCCGTGGTTGCTGAGGTGTCGACCATGGCCGACCATCTCACTTTTGGCCTGGCTAACGGAGTTGCTCTTGACAAAGCTGTGTCTGATTCGTTCATCAAGGGCATGGCAGATAAGCGTATTCCCGTGCGGAGGCTGTGGGCTATTCGCGCTGCGGATATATGGTGGAATCTGTCCGACGAACAGCGTACTCAAGCCGACATACTCGCTTTCTGTCAGGCGACACTGCCAAAATTGGTAGATATTTGGCAAGAAGTAATCGCAAATCCTATTCCGGCAACACAGAGCGGTCTCATCACTGTGGGCCACTATGTCTCAGCTCTTCTTTTGGACAAAGTACAACACATAAAGGACGAAAAAATCGCCGCCATCTACAAGAAATCGGATGTGCTTTCACAGTCGCTCGCAGTACAACCAAAACCTTCCTTTCTACTTAACCCAAAGGTGTACTCCAAGTTGTCCACAGAAGATGACGTGACCATTGCGCTGCGTGCCTTGACAGCAGTCGCACCCTTCTTAGTACAAGAAGCTAGTTCGACAGAGGCACAGAATTCATGGGCACATGCATTCATATTCCTCATTGTAGGGCAAAGTGTTTCGGCCAAGGCTAAGTCTGCTGCCAAACAAGCTCTGACTCGGACCTATCTTCAAGTCTCTCCTTCCAGCATCAGCAACATTATGACCGAAGGCATCTGGTCCTGGTACCGGTCCAGCGAGCGAGAGGACAAAGACAGCGCTGCAGTGGCATCCAAGTCAGGCTCTACTGAGCTCGGTGTTGTGATCAGTTGTCTCTGTGTACCATCCGATGTGGTCCGGAAGCAGGGAGCGAGCATCGATCAGAAAGATTTGAGTTCACAAGCCCTGAATTTGATCGTAATAGCCAGGAAGGAGATGATTCCTCGAGTATCCTGGATTGACTTGTGTCTTCGCATGGGTATCGACCCTGGTGATCTAGTACAAACCAATCTGAAGGAATGTATACGCACCATCAATGACGCCACAGAGGTGAGATCCATCGGTTCAGATTGCCCAACACAGTCACTAACGCTCACCAGAACTTTGACAATGCAGAAATCCCGGCTATCAGCCTTGCAGCATACAGTGCTTATACTGATATGGCCTTCGTAGCGCCAGCGGCAGCATTACCAGCTGTAGTCGAACAGTTTAGTCAGGACCTCAATCCCAAGCAACTGGAGTCGATAGGTCCCACCGAAGCGGCCATTTTCCGAACGCCAGCAGGTACAGCTTATGTTGACGTTCTCTCGAAGAAAGGTCCGGTGACAATTGACAAGAACACGAAAGACTACGATACTCTCAAATGGGAAGAGGAGCTACGAGCCCAGCTCGCACAAAAGAAGGGCGAGACCAAGAAGCTCTCTGCCGATGAACGCGCCAAAGTTAACGCACAGCTTGCTAAAGAAGCAGCCATTCGAGACGAAGTCACAGCAACAGAGCGCAAGATGAGGCGAGGTGTCGGAATCATTAAGAGCCTTGCGACTGGACCCCCTACCGAGGCAGAGCAGTGGATGGGCGCGGCTGTTGATCTTCTGATCCAGTCTATTCGATCTGGCGCCGGCCTTTTGCTGGGTGATTTGCCCGCAACTGCTTACATTGCTTGCTCGGAGCGAATATCGAACAGACTAGGTCATCTACGACCTTTTGTAGGAGTCGCTACTTTGAGGACCATTGGATCCATTCAGTTGTCCAGCGAATATGAAGGGGAAGACCTGGGTGACTTGGTAACCCGTGTGCTTTACCGACTCCGCTTTTTAGGTGAACAAAGGCCACTGGATCCGGTTACACTCGCATATTGCTTTCCCCTTGTGTTTTTAGTGCTCGAGAAAGGCGGGATCGGGCGCCCGTCTGCTGAAGAAGCGGACGAACAGCTAATTCTAGCCATCGAGATCATCGCTTTCCACACCAACGCCTGTACAGATGTGCGACTCCCACGCAAAGACTTACTCGAAATACTGGTCTGGTCGATGCAGCGCTACCAGCAACACTACAAGTTAATCAAGGACTGCCTCACTAATCTTGCTAGCGGCCTTGCTCCCAACATCAACAATGACGAGCTGGGTGCACTCCTGCTTGGGGCCATTGTACCGGAGACCTCGGTCCGGACCGCTGTACTGCAGGCTGTCGACGCCGAGCTGGACACGAACGACATGACATTCAGTGAGGAAATCTTCCTCGCTTGTCATGACGACGTGCCAGAAAACGCCGAGTTAGCTCACACGATCTGGGAAGAAAACGACTTGAAACTAGAAGAGGCAGCAGGCTCACAAATGCTGCCATATTTGGATTCGTTAGACAAGCAACTGAGAAGAGCCGCTGCTCGCTCTCTTGGTGAGGTCGTTGCGAAATACCCAACAACCTTCCATGGTCTCCTGGCGAAACTGCAAGAATCCTACCGGGAGAAGGCAAAACCACGGATGCCTGAGCGCGACGAATATGGTATGCCCCGTAAAGTCGATTTACGTGATCCTTGGGAAAGCCGAGATGGTATCGCTCTTGCCTTTAAAGAATTGACTCAGGCTTTCCAGCCAAGCGATTTGTCGGACTTCCTCAATTTTATGGTCTACGAGGGCCCGCTTGGAGATCGAAGTGCGGCTGTACGAGAAGCAATGATTGATGCAGCTACGTCCATCATCAACACCAAAGCCCAATCAGAAGTGGAGCCTCTCATGAAGCTCCTCGAGGATGCGCTTGAAGGGCCAGATCGGAAGTCAGAGATGTATGACCAGGTCAATGAAGCGGTCATCATTCTCTACGGTGCCCTCGGCCGTCATTTGGAGGCCGGTGATGAGCGTGTAGCCAAGGTCGTTCAAAGATTACTTGCCACCCTCAGTACCCCTTCCGAAACTGTACAGTATGCTGTGGCACAATGCCTGCCACCACTTGTTCGCACATCACAACAAGAGGTCTCATCTTATATCAGCCAGATTATGGATCAGCTACTTACATCAAAGAAATACGCATCTCGACGAGGCGCTGCATATGGCCTCGCAGGTATTGTTCGTGGCAAGGGTCTGGGTGTACTCAAGGAACACCGCATTATGTCAACACTCAAGGGCGCTTCCGAAAACAAAAAAGACGTCAACCAAAGACAAGGCGTTTACCTAGCATACGAGCTGTTGTCACTGATTTTGGGACGCTTATTTGAGCCATATGTTATCCAGCTCGTACCACAATTGCTCGCTGGCTTTGGCGACTCAAGCGCGGACGTCCGAGAAGCCTGCCTTGACGCAGCGAAGACCAGCTTCTCAACACTGAGCTCATTTGGTGTGAAGCAAGTGTTACCAATCTTGCTGGAAGGACTTGACGACCAGCAGTGGCGAAGCAAGAAGGGCGCCTGTGACTCCTTGGGTGCCATGGCATACCTAGATCCGAACCAGCTTGCCATGAGCTTGCCAGATATCATTCCGCCACTGACAACAGTTCTGACAGACAGTCACAAAGAAGTGCGATCATCGGCCAATCGCAGTCTGCAGCGTTTCGGAGAAGTTATCAGCAACCCTGAGATCAAGAGCGTTGTAAACATCATCCTGAAAGCACTCAGTGATCCAACAAAGTACACCGACGATGCTCTTGATGCGCTCATCAAGATCCAGTTTGCTCATTTCCTTGACGCTCCTTCTCTCGCCCTGGTGGTCCGCATTCTCGAGCGAGGATTGGGCGACCGATCAGGCACAAAGCGCAAATCTGCACAAATTATTGGCAGCTTAGCATATCTTACAGAACGGAAAGACGTTGTTGCGCACCTGCCAATTCTCGTTGCTGGCCTACGCGTAGCCATCGTGGACCCTGTCCCCACCACTCGTGCAACAGCCTCGAAGGCACTCGGTTCCCTGGTCGAGAAACTTGGAGAAGATGCTCTACCAGATCTCATCCCGAGTCTCATGTCTACACTCAAGTCGGACACCGGTGCTGGCGATCGGTTGGGCTCCGCTCAAGCTCTGTCAGAAGTACTCGCTGGTCTGGGTACGAGTCGCCTGGAGGAGACATTGCCCAGCATTCTACAGAATGTCGCGAGCAGTCGAGCTTCAGTACGAGAAGGATTCATGTCTCTCTTCATCTTCTTGCCGGCCTGCTTCGGAAACAGCTTCGCCAATTACCTCAGCAAGATCATTCCACCCATCCTTGGTGGTCTTGCGGACGATGTCGAATCGATTCGCGACACTGCTCTGCGCGCTGGTCGGTTGCTTGTCAAGAACTTTGCTACCAAGGCCATCGATCTCCTTCTACCAGAGCTCGAGAGAGGTCTTGCGGACGACAGCTACCGTATTCGACTCAGCTCTGTGGAGCTTGTGGGAGATCTTCTGTTCAACCTCACAGGTATCAGTGGCAAGGTCGAGGAAGAAGAAGTCGAAGAAGGCGCCAAGGAGGCTGGTGCATCTCTGCTCGAGGTACTTGGAGAGGAGAAGCGCAACAAGGTCCTGTCGGCTCTGTATATTTGCAGGTGCGACACGTCTGGTCTTGTTCGCACAGCGTCTATCAATGTTTGGAAGGCATTGGTGGCTACCCCACGAACCCTCCGCGAGCTTGTGCCTACTCTTACACAGCTCATCATCCGCCGTCTTGCAAGCTCTAACATGGAGCAAAAGGTCATTGCTGGCAACGCTCTTGGAGAACTTATCCGCAAAGCTGGTGACGGCGTGTTGGCTACTTTGCTACCTACGCTAGAAGAAGGCTTGCACACGACAGACACTGATGCCAAGCAGGGCATCTGTATCGCGCTTCGTGAACTCATTTCATCCGCATCACCCGAGCAACTGGAAGACTATGAGAAGACCCTCATCCAAGTTGTCAGGACGGCGCTTGTGGATCCTGATGCTGACGTTCGTGAAGCAGCGGCCGAGGCCTTCGATGCTCTCCAACAAATCCTGGGCAAGAAGTCTGTTGAACAGGTCTTACCTTACCTCCTCAACCTGTTGCGTAGCGACGACGATGCCCAGAACGCGCTCTCAGCCCTTCTCACGCTACTCACAGACCATGCTCGTTCTAACGTCATCCTTCCCAACCTTCTTCCTACTCTTCTCACCTCCCCCATGTCTGCCTTCAACGCACGAGCGATCGCATCCTTGGCCGAGGTCGCAAGCTCTGCCATGACCAGACGCCTGCCAAACATTCTCAACACCATCATGGACAATGTGATCAACTGCAAGGACGAAGAACTCAGAACTGAGTTGGAGAGCTCATTCGATAAGGTGTTATTGTCTGTAGACGAGTTTGATGGTCTTAACACAGCCATGAGCGTGATGCTTGCTCTGGCTAAGCACGACGACGAACGGCGACGTATGCGAGCTGACATGCATCTCGCCAAGTTCTTCGCCGAATACGAGGAGGACTTCTCCAGATACTATCCTGATCTCATCCGCGCCCTGCTCATCTCGTTCGATGACGGCGACAAGGAGGTGGTCAAGGCAGCATGGACTGCTCTCAGTACACTTACCACCAAGCGCTTACGAAAGGAGGAGATGGAGTCGCTCGTTATCTCTACTCGCCAGACACTCAACCAAGTCGGTGTTGCTGGCGCAGACCTCCCTGGTTTCTCACTACCCAAGGGTATCAACGCCATCCTACCTATCTTCCTTCAAGGTCTCATGAACGGCTCGGTCGACCAGCGAACACAAGCCGCTTTGGCTATCTCAGATGTTATTGACCGCACAAGCGCCAAAGCACTGCAGCCATTCGTCACGCAGATCACTGGACCTCTTATTCGTGTTGTTACTGAGCGATCTACGGACGTCAAGGCAGCTATTCTTCTCACGCTTAACAACTTGCTCGAGAAGATCCCGACGTTCCTGAAGCCTTTCCTGCCACAATTGCAGCGCACATTCGCCAAGTCATTGGCTGACACATCGTCTGACGTTTTGCGAGCGCGAGCTGCCAAGGCATTGGGTACACTGATCAAGCTGACGCCGAGGGTTGATCCTCTCATCGCTGAACTGGTAACGGGTTCCAAGACCAGTGATGAAGCCGTCAAGACTGCCATGTTGAAGGCCCTGTTCGAGGTAGTGAGCAAGGCTGGCAAGAACATGAACGAGGCAAGCAGGAACGCCATTTTGAGTCTCATCGATACCGAGACTGATGATTCTAACGGTAGGCATTGCCTTTACGTCTCACAAAAACACAGGCTAACGAAGACTAGATGCAATGGCTATCACGAATGCTCGTCTACTCGGTGCTCTCATCAGCTGTCTGCCTGAAGACATTGCCACAGGTCTGCTGAAAACAAGAGTCCTCACAACGCACTTTAGCAAAGCTTCGGTGTTGGCACTCAACGCCATTCTACTCGATGCACCAGAAGCCCTTGCAGGCTCTTTCGCGGACGATACTATCCATGTCATCTGTCAAGGTGTCGCCCACGCTCAGCCCGTTATATCAGATAATGCTGTTCTGGCAGCCGGAAAGTACCTTCTCAGTGAAAAGACGAACAAGACCTTCGAACACACCAAACCCATTTTTGAAGCTCTTGCACCGATTGTTGAGCCTGGCCATCCAGTGGACACGCGTCGTCTAGCTCTGGTTGTGCTCCGCACCGTAGCCCGCGAGCACAACGACCTTATCCGCCCACATATCCCACTCTTGACTCCGCCCATCTTCGCGTCCGTACGCGACCCTGTCATTCCCGTCAAGCTCGGTGCCGAAGCCGCTTTCCTGACGCTTTTCAGCGTTGTTGATGAAGAGACGGCCGTCTTCGACAAGTACATGTCCGGCCCAGGAAAGACTCTATCCGCAGGCCAGCAGAGGAGTATGGGAGACTACTTCAAGAGAGTTGCCATGAGACTGGCTGGACAGGCGCGAGAGAGGAGGGAAGCTGAAGGAGGTAGTGGCGGATTGGGATTGAGTAGTGATGAGGTGGAAGATGAAAGGGAAATCTGGAGTGTCGGTATGGTTGAGCTGGGTGACGTATTTGGGGAGAACTAAGACGAGGAGCACAATTGCGACATGTATCTAAAACTTCTTTTCGTGCAAAAGTGCTTGCGTGCATGGGTGAGCAGGGCATGGTTTGTCATGGCGTTACAGGGCATCTGGCAAATATGTGTGAAAAGAAGGCATCACATGCAACGGGGTCTCCCTGTTTTTCAACCTTGCTCAAATATTCCCAGCATCGAGTACTCAGTGAGACAACAGGCTGTGAGTGCACTATGGAGAAGCCGTGTGTTTAGTACAGTTGTATGTAGACGACTCCAGATCGGTGGTTCCCCACAAACCGCCGACGTCTCCCCAACCTCACCAGCAACACTCCGACGACGTTCCATCAACTGACGCCACCTGCGCAGCCCTTCACGCCTCAAAAACATCGCCGAACATTACCGACGGCCGCTGCGATCCACCTGGCACACGTCCATATCCGCACCGAAGCCTGTGCCAGTGACGCGACGCTCCTCCGAGCTCCGCAAGCTCTCCCCACACGCGCATCGGTCCGCACCTCGACACGCGACGACTCGACCATCCGCGATATTGAGCGCTTGAAGGCGCATCCTCACCGCCACAATGGCGGGCACAATTGCGCCCGGCGCCATGAACGGATTGAACATGTCCCCCGCCCTCTCCAACAACGCTCTGCCCGGCCTCAATATCCAAACCGACCTGGGCAAGAAACCCAGCGCACCACGGACGCCGCGCGTAGATGTCGAGCCGCTGTACACGGCTGTGAAGAGCGCCATCAGCGACGCAGACTGGACCACGTATAAGAAAGCGCTGTCTTTCTTCTTGCTAGGCAACTTGAACCAAGAAGAACTCTCGCACTCCTTATCTCGCATCCTCACCACCCCGGCCCTCGAACACGCACACAATGCGCTTTTTACAGCGATATATGCAAATGCCTGGCGAGATCCGCCCGAAGCTGGCATTGCGAGCTGGGTCAGCAGTAGTGACAAGCCGAGCAGCGGGACCGTCAAGGGGACGCACGACGAGAGCGAGAAGAGGCTGAAACACGAGGTCATGCAATTAAGCCGCCGCGAGCGGAAGCGATTGAAAACCATACCAACAGCAGACGGAGATGCGGGCGCCGTGGTGCAGGAATACATCGAGGCGCGGAAGGTGAAGCAGCCCGAGAGCGGTCCCGTAGGGGGTAACCAAGGAGGAGGATTCGGCAAGACGAGTAAGCCCATCACCATCCTCTCCATCTACCAGCCTTTAACTAACCTACCAAACTTCAGACTGGGACCTCGAAATCCGCAAACGCTACACTTCCTCCCTCTTTGCCGAAACACACGAATTCCCCACCCCCACCACAATAACCCACCGCCTCCTCCCGACATGCTACGAATTCGGCCTCCCCCAAGGCCACGCCCCCGACTGCGCAGAGTTCCTCAACATCGCAACAGAGACGTACATCAAAGAGGCCCTCATGTCGCTGCTCGGCAAAGTCTGCACAAACGGGCCGGGATTCGTGAAGACGGCTGAGTTCAAAAAACGCCTCGAGCGCGACGGCGACGCCGTCGAGATCGAGGAGCGGCGCAAGCGCAAAATGCTGTGCATGGAGGATTTGCAACTGGCACTGCGCCTGGGCGATGGGTATTTGGGCCAGACGCCCATTATCGCCGGGCAGGTGCTGCATTCGCGATGTTTGGATACGCAGGGTGTCGAGGACTTGTATGCGTGGCAGGAGGAGAGGGAGATGAATGGCAAGGGGGGCGAGGTGTGGAGTGTGGATTTGAGTATGGGGGATGCGGGGGAGCCGATGCAGATTGATGGCGAGGAGAGTTGGCAGGGGGCGGATGCGGAGGGGTTGGATGGCGTGTTGGATGATGTGTTGAATTTTGCGGATTTATAAGAGGGGAAGGAGGGAAGGCGTGTTGTGTTGATGTGGGCATTTTCATGGCGTTATGGGACGGGACGGGATGGGATGGGATGATACCCTGTTTTTCTATTTACTTGATGGAGTCATGGCATGACGGCAGGCTTGTTGCATTTGCATGTGTACTGTATTTACTCTAGATGTCGTCGAGAAGGGATCGCCTTTTCAAATTACAATTCGCACATTGACGTGGAAAGAAAATCTGACTCCAATGTAACACGTGTAGCTGCAGATATGCACCATGCCCTTCTCCCAATCGATCCTACCAAACCCTTCCCAACGCCCTCGTTTACACACTCAACCCTCCGCCTCGCTCGCCGCAATCTTCAACACCTCCTCGACCCCGACCCTCGCATTCTTCGGATCTTTATTAACCTTCTGCCACACCTCTCCATGCTTCGGCTCCGCCATGGCACATTTACTCAGCACCTCGGCCTTCTTCTCCTCGGTGCCATGCTGCTCCAAGAACTTGTAGTACCAGACCCATCCATCACCATAATCCGGATCCAGCACGACAGCCTTGGTAAACCACGTCGCAGCCTTGTCGAGCCGGCGCTCAGCCCAGAAGATGCGCCCGACAACGACGAAGAGCTGTGGATCCTTTTCGACCTTCTTAATGGCTTCGAGCGCGCGGGGTTTTCGCTGCGTGCGGGATTCGAGATGCATGATTTTCTCTGCCCAGAGGAGGCCTGAGTTGGGGCATTCCTGGAGGGCCGTGGCCATGACTTTTTGCGCAGCGGGGATATTGTTTTGGCGGCGTTCGAGGCGGACGGCTTCGCAGAGGAGGTCCGGGTTCTTGGGGTTTGCTTGTCTGCCGCGGTCGAGTGTGGAGCGGGCTTTGACGACGGCACCTTGCTTTTCTTGAATGCGGGATAGGAGGATGTAGAGGATCGGAGACTTCGGTGCTGCACGGGTGCCGATGTTAAAGGCCTCTTGTGCCTCTTTAAGCTTTGAGAGCTGTTCGTAGATCTGGCCCTTGACGGCGTGCAATTTCCAGCTACCAGGCCAGTTCTGCAGGCCCTGATTACAGATGTCGATTGCATCTTCGTAGTTGCCCAACTGGCGCTCTAGCACGGCAGACTTCATAAAGATGCGGTCGGTAGCAGCCGACTCTCGGGCGGCTTGCAAGAAACTGCGAGCTTGCTCGTAGTTGCCGGCGTCTACTTCCAAGTCGACTGCTCGAGTGTATAGGTTCTCGTTGCCCGGCAACTGACCAAAAGAGCGTCCCAGTACTTGGCGAGCACCTTCTGGATCACCCGATGCCCACATCTCCCTGGCGTAGAGCAGCCATAGAGACTCCGAGTTCGGACAGGCGTTTACCGCACGGTCGAGAACACTAAGAAGTGATTCTGTGCTGCCATGATGCTTCTCTAGCTCGGCTGATGCGTGCCAGACAGTGGTCGAGTATGGGAATATTGAGACTGCGTGACCCAAAATTGCACGTGCAGTTTCGTACCGACCTCTGCTGGATACACCCTTCGCATCCTCTAGCCACACGTCACGCCGGTCATCGTCCTCGTCAAGACCCCATCCGATTGTAGTCTTGACGATCGACGCTGCGGTGGCCTTGTCCCCTTCCTCTTCGCATATCTCGGCTTGCGTCAACCATTCTTCGCGCTTGATCATGGCGTTTTCCTTGATCAAGGCTTTTACGGCACGCTCCATGATACGATCGCACATCTCGACTTTGCCCAGCTCTTCTTGCAACCTGCAAGCATGGACCCAGATTGCCCAGCTCGTAGGTATCGCTTTACGCGCCTTGTTGAGGACCTGCTGAGCTGCGTCCGCATCACTGACTCGCGCATAGGAGATCCAAAGTTCCTCTGAAAGTGGTACAGTTTCCGTGGCCTTTGCAAAAAGAAGCTTGACGTTCTCAATGTCCTCGGTGTCGTTGATGAGCGTTTTCCATAGCTCGACTGATTGCGGGTTGTGATCGAGTGCTTGTCGGGTGACCTTCTTGCGTGCCGCTGGTGTCTGCTCAAGATCGATTGCCGCTTGCCAAAGCTTGATAGCCTTGGGATTCAGTTTAATGCCGTTCGCTGCTATGATCTTCGCGTTGTGCACATTCTCCTTGTTCAGCCGGATGGCCTCTTCCCACACAACAATTGACTTCGGACACATATCGCAACCTTTCTGGATGACCTTCTTCGCAGTGTGAATCTTGCCAGCCACCTCTTCTAAGCGAGCAAGCGCAACATAACCAGGTCCGTTATGGACGTTAGTTTTGACCGCTGATTCAAGCAGCACTCGCGCACGGTTGATGTCCTCGACTGGCACTTCATCGCCCATAGCTTGCTTCCTGTCCAGGGATGTAAGATAACCTTTCGGATCCACCGATGTTGCTGTGCCTGATGTAGTCGTCTGCGTGCCTCCAGTGTTCGCTGCAGAATCTAGGCGCACCTGGAGTGCAGACAGTTGTGCGGCTCCGATCGACGCGAAGTTTGTCATGGTACCTGAATCGGCGTCGTTTGATGAAATAGATGTTTCGAGTTCACCAGACTTCGAAGCTGCCTGAAGCACACTGTCCGGTACAGCATACGATCGCGCGTTCGCCATTCGAGCTTCTCGTGCACGTTTTGCCTTTCCCGTCATATCTCCGACCTCAGGCAGGGCTGCCCATTCTTCTTCGGTCACGCTACCGAGCGCTCGTTTTAGGTCGGCAAATTGTAGCTGAATCTTCGGGTTGTTCTTTTCGTATTCGTCTCGTTCTTGTTGCTCGCGAGCTTCCCTAGGTCGGACATCGGTATCTGTTCGAGGAAAAAACCACGATGAATACTTTGAAAACAAACATGAAGGAATGGGGTATGGGAAAAGAAAGCGGGGGTACTAACCTCCTTGCTCTCCGCCGCTTGTCCATCTTATCGTCGATATCTTGGTATATCCGATCTGCCTCGTCGTCCTCCTTGTCGTAGTTCATGCCGCTGGAGAATAGCCCAACTTCGTTGTCCGGGTCTTGAAACCGATCTTCTTCCTCATCTTTCTCTTCCTCCTTCTTCTCTACTACGCCATAGGCGGATGGTGCTGCTTGACCGAGTGAGGCCGCGCGTTTCGCCAACATCTCCTTCATCTGCTCCTCGGAAGGACCCTCGCGCGCAGGTCCCAGATCACTTCGCGTGGTGAAGCCAGTCGCTCCACGCCCGAGACCAGCGACATAGTTCTCGGGCGCAGGCATAGACAGGAAATCGCGTCGGCCGCTCATCTTGAGGTTATTGGCTTGACGCCACGAATAGCTTCGGCGCGCTTCGTGGGCTTCGAGCCTGATATGCTCCGCAGAGCTTCTGACACAATTGCGCTACACGATGCTTGGGTTGGAGAAAGCGGTGGCACGGACAAAGCTGATCGCGGGTCTAGACACGGGCGAAGGAATGTCGTGGGTGAGTTATAGTACTCTGGTGAAGCTTCGGTGGTCCGCAACCAAAAAGTTAGGCTAGGCTCCGCATCACGTGCTGATAGCTCCAGCCACGCTAACCATAAAAGTGAGTTTGCGACAGGAGGGTATGCATCGAGTCCGTGAACTCGAGAAATGAAAGATATTTGCTGATCATTCCGAGTGCTGTTGTATAAACTATGACAATATGACTAGGACCATTCATCAGTCTATGTAACATGTTTTGATCTCTCATTCATCAAGCTGTACCAAGAAGGCACAACACTATCGGCCTTTATTAGCATAATTTTACAGTACATGATGTAATATCAATCTCTCCCCCATGTGCCTTCCCTTTTCAACCCCTCGATATCTTTGCAGGCAGGGGCACCCTCCCATTAGCTGGTTTTGGCGCAAACATCGCAGCTTTTGGCGACATGGGTGGCAGTGGAGGAGGCGGGTCTTTTGGAACATCCGCTCTCAAATCCCTCCCACTACGTCAAGTCAGTATATCATCAACATTCACAGTACTCAAACTCACCTCTTCGACTTCTTCAGTCTCCCACCTATCCACTTTTTGAAACTTCGACTCGTCGACGGCCGCTCCTGCGTCTGTCCGCTGACATCACTGGCTCTGCCAACGCTACTCCGCTCGCTAGATGGGCTGAATGGAGAGTTTGTGGCTTCTGTTTCGGTGTCTTCGCCTTCGGATTCGAGTGGTGGTGCCCATCTCTCCACGTCTCCGTTGACAACAACGTACCACCCTAGCTTTTCCCCGGGCGCCACCTTGTCTCGCAAGTCTGCGATGGCTGCCCATTGATCTTCTCCCAATCCTCCTCCTCGCAGTTCGTCAAAGTCGACACCAGTCTTGATCTCGTGCACCTGATCGCACACATACGCGTAAGGCTGATCTTTCACGGTAAGATCCTCGGGATCATATTGCTCAATGAATCGCAATTCAGGTAATTTTTTCATCTCTTCTGGCCATTGTTGCTTGAAATTTGCGGTCATGCACGCAACAGTCGCGGGTGCCATGAGCCACTCTGGCGCTGCATCGTCGAGGTTCTGCAGAATAATGTGAATCCGGATTTGCGCACGTGGCCAACGGAATCCGTGAACGATCCAAGTAGGCATCTCGTGAGTGGAGTGGGGATGCTAGTCTGGCTAGTTGAAGGTAATCCAGAGACCAGAGCGAGACCGTCCGTAGCGGTAGTTTGATTTAAGGAATCCTTGATTTGCTTCTCTCGTATTTGTGTTTTGTTTGCAAGATCCGGTACGACTACAACGGAAATGTTGGTGTTATTGCTTTTTCAGCCGATTTGTGCGCTCGAGTGGTGCATCGTCACACTTTCCGGCAAGGCTTTCAGTCGCGATCGAAGTGTAATTAAAGTGTTGTGTTGCGCAACCTGAAGAGGCCGGGGTCTAGCGTCAGCAGTAGGTGTATATTAATTTAGTTATTACTACGTCTCAAATGGTGCCGTACGAAAGAATTAGGTGCATCAGCAGATGTAAGAAGGAGTGGAAATTGGAAGGTGAAGTAAGGATGACATTGCGGGGAGAGTGATGTTCTCCGTATCATGATCGACGGTGGTTTGTGCACGGCAGCTGCAGCCCGGGACGGCGCTAATGCATGTCACCGTTCCGAGCTCCAACGTCCATCCAGTCCGCTGGTTGCAGAAGCGCTTTTCGACGCATACGCCTATTGCTATCTGATACGGATGGACGAGAGAGCGTACATTGAATAGTCGAGCTTTGGCAGTTTCACTGTCATCATGCCTCTGTATGTCTCGCTACCATGTGCTGCGCCGGCGCATACAACTCGCAGGAGCTGATGAGAAGACAGTCATTTGCTGGGCCACAAGGTACGTAGTCATAATCAGTTCGTCAATTTATGGCTCTGATACCAGTTAGTCATGGCACGTCTACAACAGCGCGAACATCGCCCGTGTGAAGGCGGACGAGGAGGCCGCCGCCGCTCGTGAAGCCGCCGATGAGCAGCGCATGCAAGAGCTCGATGCCGCACGCCGTGCTGCTATACTACGAGGGCAAACACCACCTCCGCTACCCGATGAAGCCGAAAAGAAGGACCACCCGGAGCGCAAGAGGGAGCGTGACGACCGTGGACATACTAGGAAAAGGCGGAAGTTGGCTGGCGAAGATGATACAGATATGGATATACGCCTGGCAGCATCTATCACAGCTCCAAAAGAGGATGATGATGAGAAGAACGCCAAAGTGCTGAAACTACGGAACACCAAGCTCGATGCACCACTGACCGACCATGCTGGTCACATCGACCTATTCCCCATAGACACGAAGGAAGCAAATAAGCGCGAGAAGAACGCCGAAGTAGAAAAGGAGAAGCGGCGGAAAGAGCGCGCCTTCGAGGACCAATACACAATGCGCTTCTCCAACGCAGCAGGCAGAGAAGGCTTGGACAAGCCATGGTACGCCGCGCAGCAGAAGCATGATGCAGAAGACAGCACGGCTCTGGATTATCCTCACTTGGAGAACAAGAATGTATGGGGAAACGAAGACCCGCGACGTAAGGAGAGAGAACACGCTCGCATCACCTCCAACGACCCCTTCGCATTCATGCAGCAGGCTCAGAGCCAGCTCAAGAAGGCAAAGCAGGACAAGAAGAAGTGGGCGGCGGAACGCGAGCGGGAGCTCAGAGAGCTAAGAGCTGCACAGGAGCGCGAGGATAGGCGGGAAAGGCACCACAAGCGCAAGCGGAGAGACGAGGATCATGTTGAGGTCTTGCGTTCGGACAAAGCTGGTCGTGATGTTGACAGAGATAGGTCGGCAAAGCATCGGCGGCATCGCAGTCGAAGTCGCAGTCGAGATGGGTCTAGTCACAGATCATCCAAGCGGAGACGGAGTCGCAGTAGAGATCGCGAGCGCCACAGACATACGTCTTCCCGGCAAGCTCGGCACGAAGATGACCAGAGAACACACTGAAGTGTCTCATGTCAGCTTCGAGACGATTGATCCATATCCTCTTATGCAGAAACGGGTGTTCACGCCTGGCCGCCCTTAATGAGGAAGAGGTCTATAACATCATTGATACTCATATACCCCAGGAAGCTTTAACAACAAAACCCCTCAATGCACTGCTACAACCGTTCACATTCCACGACACTTTACTTTCATTGCGCCCATGACTTCTAGCATAAAGGCTCTAAAAACGCGACATGAATGCACCCATTATATATACATCCACCTGCCAAAAAACCTCACTGGAAATGAAAAAGTGGAGCGGTCGTAAATGTTAGCAGCCAAACCCACCCATCTCGGCGCCTTTTTTCTTTTTTGGTCATCCGGTAAAGTAGTATATGGAAACAGTACTCGTACACGTGTCTGCTGTGTTTGGATCTCGACTGAGCTCATTTCCTCCTCTTCATGACTTTCGTGCACATGTCGACGAGGCCGGTTTTCGCCTCGCTGTCTGGGAAGCTGGAGATGGCTTCGATGGCTTTGTCGACGTATTCTTGGGCGAGGGCGCGGGTTTGTTGCAGGCCGGTGCTGGCTGAGACGATTTCACGTGCCTGTCATGTGTTAGCACTTCAATCATCAACACATTTTTGAACAACTCAGACTCACTCTTTGGACATCACCCTCTTGTGAGAACTTCCGTCCGACCAACTTGCCCAAGCTCTTATTATCCTTCCACGCAAACAATAACGGTGCTGTCGCGAGACCGAGCTCGAGATCCGCACCTGCGGGTTTGCCTAGCTCCTCGCCCGACACTGTGTAGTCTAGCATGTCGTCTACGAGCTGGAATGCCAGACCTAGATTCTTTCCATACAAATATGCCGCCTCGACAACTTCGGGAGTCGATCCACCTAGAATCGCGGCTGCGCGACATGATTTTGAGATGAGCGATGCGGATTTGAGGTATGTTTTTTGGAGGTAGTAGGATACGGTGTCTTCGGTCCATGCGGGGTTCTTCTCGTCCCGAGCTGTGTTTTTCAATTGCATGAATTCGCCCTCGACGAGGTTCGCAATGACGGTAGCTAGGAGTTCGGTGACTTCTGGGTCTCGTAATCTTGCTAGCGCAACGGATGCGCGTCCCAGTAGGAAATCACCTGCCAGTACGGCCATCTTGTTTCCAAACTCGATGTTGGCACTGGGTGCAGACCGTCGGGATATCGAATGGTCGATGACATCGTCGTGGAGCAGCGACGCGGTGTGAATGAGCTCGGTGATTTCTGCAAGTCGTCTTTGGGAGGGTAGGATATCGGAGTCTGCAGGTGTGTATGCCGAATCGAAGCTTCGACTGCTTATCGGCGTGTCTGGGTTCTCGTCCGCCAATACCATGGGCTCCGTTATTGGCGTGTCCACTCCTCCCCGTGCAATCCCCGAGTCTCTTCTCGACGCGGGTGTCCGTGGTGTGAGTGCCGTCGCACGACTCATGAGCAATACCAGCATCGGCCGCACATATTTCCCCTCACTTTGTGTGTAGTATTTCGCCACAGTGTCCAGCGTCGGATGTCCAGACCCCAGTAGTGATCTTATGTTGCCTGTCAAGAACTTCATCTCCCGTGCAACTGTTTGAAATGGGTCCATCTTTATCGGTGCGTCTGGTGGCGGGGAGCTCATGACATTCTGCGCAACGTTGACTGCCGCCGCCCACGAAGACTGGTTCCGCCGCCGTGGAGCATGCCATATCGCCGTAGCTGTGGGGTTCTCATTTCGCAGCAACGCACTGTAAGAAGTGCATCTTGGGAGGCGGTACGTATTTCGTTGGCGCGCAATGCCCGTCGCGAGCCGGGCAGATGGGCTCGTCATGTATAATTTTTCTTCAAAATGCAGCCCGCAGTCGGGAAGAGCGAGTGCAATTGAGAGTTATTCCAGGTGTTTTGGAACGGGACAGGGCGGGGATTGTCTGTGAAGTCAAGCTGTCTTACCAGCCATAGGAAGATTTAGGAAGACAGGACGAATAATCATGACGCGCGCTAGCTCCACAATCCCTGTCGACCTTAGTCGGCCAGACTTTGGCGCGTCATCCGGCGACTACGCGACCTGAGGCTCCGACATTTGTACATTGAAACACCACGACGCCATGGTGTTGCTTACTATGACGCCCGGCATCGTCCGGGCGCTCGCCAGAGCTGAAGAAGCGTCGCCGGATGACTTTGCGAAGCTCCAAAGACCCGAAGACCCCACACTCGCCGACTCGAAGCCCGGAAACCCCATCTCTCACAGCCAATTGATCGACCTCTCGAAGCTGTTGAAGAAGCTCCCCTCCGACGAGCTCCCCTCACAAGATGAAGACACACAAAAGAACAAGTCAAATGACGACTCCATCACCGCGAACGACCCTTCAAACACATCCACCGACACCATGTCAACCCCAATAACCCTCTCCTCCCTCCTCGCCCACACCAAAATCTACACCCCACCCCCTGCTCCCGCCCCCGAGAAATCCCCCCAATACACCGCTCTAATGGCCCGCCTCCGCGCCGCCGAAGAAGCCCGCACCTACGAGAAAATGCTGCACCCCCCACCCACGCGCGAATCCTTCACCCAGCGCTTCCCCAGCGCGCCCATATTCGCCTCGCACTCCACCCCTGCCGAGAGCGAAGAAGACGAGCTCACCTACGACGAAGTCCACCGCCAAATCATCCTGATCATAAACATCCTCATCTCCATTGTGTGCGTGGCGTGTTTTGTCTGGGTCGCTGCGCGGCACTGGAGTGTGGGGAAGAGATTGGGCCTCTCGCTGGCGAGCAGTTTGGGGGTGGCGGTCGCCGAGGTCGCTGTGTATGGGGGTTACGTGAGGAAAGTGAAGGAGGCGAAAGCGCGGGAAAAGAAGAAGCCTGAGATCAAGGAGATTGTGCGGAGTTGGGTGCTGGATAAGGGAGAGGAGAAGGAGAGTGTTATCGATGAGGGGGTGAGGAAGAGGAAGGGAAAACATAGATGATGGCTGGTTGGGGCTTTTCTGACGCCGAGGAATGCAATATGAATTCATGATGATACCCCCGTTTCCTGTGAGTTAGATGGGAAATGCTAGCATATATATAACAGCGACAAAGCTCCTCCAATGCAACAGTATATTCCCATGGCGCTCCCATGACGCCAAAGCATCGCTCCCAACTCCTTGTAGTATCAGGCTCACTTCTTCTTTCGCCCGCCAACCCCGCCTGCAAATCTCCCCAGACTAAGGCTCGATCGCGGCTTGTGTGCCTGGCCTTGACCCTGCCCACCAGGCGGTACAGGAGGCGGCCTCATCGCGCCAGCCGGACTCCCCGGCCTTCCAGGCGGATTCTTGCTCTGCACAGCCGCAGGTCCCATGCGCTCTTTCTCTGCACCTCGTTCTTCGTTGCCAGATGGCAGATCCTCTCCCATGCTCGCCATCCGCTGACTTCTCCGGGCCTTCTCTTGGGTCTGCTTGAACCTCTCGAGTAACTCGTTCCACTTGACTTTTCCATCGTCTTCTCGTCTTATACCAATGCGATTGCGCGTCTCCGCAAAGTTGCTGCCAGGGGTGCCAGACGGCGTGCCAGTGCTGCTAGAAGAGCCGACTTCTGAGCTTTTTTGCCTCAAGTGGTTTAGGGTGGGGGAGGAGGAAGACACGTACGTGTTCGCGCGAGGTGCTATATGCAGGTACCCAATAGCTGATACGCTGTTGAGGCGATTCTTGAGAGCGGCGAAGGCGGATGATTGAGGGAGAAGCATGAGCAGCCCATAGAGGCACTTGTAAAGGTGCGGGTAACGTTCAGGCTCGAGAAGCTGGATGCGGAGGTCTAGTCAATGTTAGTAGGGAGTGCTGTGCAGTTAGTGTAGGACCGAACACGAACATGTGAAGACAGGTGACTCGATAAGCTGCACTAGCTTGTCGATCTGGATGAGTGTGTTGACGGTCATTTCCAAGTCGGCGCTGTAGAGATTAGGGTGTGTTTAGTTGAACGTCGCGGGGGAGCTTACAAGATTTGGAGAAGATGGTAGGCCTGCTCATAGGCTTGGGCAAGCAGACAGAGCGAGAAGGTAGCTACGGCGTTGTGACACCATGCTTTAAAAAGAGTAACGAAGAACGACTGGCCATCTTTATTGTCGAGGTTTCTAAGCCGTCTTCGTAGATCAGCCAGTTCAGGTGCAGTGATGAGGTTGTTGTTAAGGTTCTGAACCATTATGCTCGCAAACTCGATATCCTCATCTTTGACCAGACAGTCTGCCATCGTACGGTAGATTTTCTCCGCGCTCAGTGTCAGACACAGCTGCCTGATGATCAAATTGCCACGCGTCTCGAGTAGTCGTCGGTCTGTGCAGAACAGCTTCAGGAGATTAACCATGAATGATGTGAAGTAAGTGTCATCGCTGTGTAGAGATATCTGCGATAGCAAGAGAAGGTCGCGTGTGACAACAGCATCTGAGGGATCGGAAAGGGTCTTGAGCAGCGCAGGGAAGGTGCCGTCGTCGACGGTGAGGATTCTACCCGGCGCCATTCTGTGCAACATGATGAGCCAGGCAATGGCAGCGACTCTCGTAGCCTCGTGTTCGTTGAGGAACTGCAAAGTGAGCGCACTGACTGCAGCTTGGTAGTCCAGCTCTGGTATTGGGCGTGGTGAGGGGGTACGGTCCTCTGCCGGTGTTGGGGAGCGAGTGCCAGTCGAGTCTGCTCTTGCCGCTTGATCGCGAATGACTGCTTTCAGTAGCTTACTAGAGAGGTTTGAGTCTCTTCGCTGCGTGCCAGTGAGCTCCTTGCCCAGCTCAGACAGTGAAGGAGGAAAGCTGTATTTGCCCGCCTGTACCGCCGTCGGCCTTGCGGCTCTCGTCGGATAGAGACATGATGTAGTCCATTAGTGAGCCATTGACCTTTACTGCTGCTTTGCGAACGGTGTCGACTTCATGTGACATTCGCGGGAGCACGTGCGACAATAAGCTTGGGACAAACGGCATGATGTCCTCGGGACAGATGTCGAAGAGATTGTCAATCCAACGGAGAGCGGTCAGCAATATCTCGGTCTGTTCCTCTTCGGTATCTGCAAACAGTCAGATTGGACTGGTCGCTCCTTGTGTGTGGTACTTACCTGACGGAGCGCTCAGAAATTCGACGAGGATCTCCAGTATCTTTGGATGATCCACCTGCACGTCCTGGCCTGGTATCCAGTCGCCGTCGCCGTTGACGGACTTGCCGCTGCGACTTGAGACCATGGATGCGCTGTCTCTACTGCCATCTTCGGGGTCCTCTACAGCCTCTACAGCCTCGACGGCCTCGCGCGGTTCGAGTGGGGTTCCGCTTGTAGCCTCGCTGGCGTCGTCTGGCGTGCTTTGCAGACTCGAGCTGGAGCGCCGGCGTTCGTCCTTGCTGTGACTCTTCTTGCTTTCCACAATGCCCTTCTTGATCCTCGCGATCTTTCTGATCTCGATCAAGAACTTGTCCAGCGCGGCCTGTGTCATAGTGTACACGTCTTGATTGGAATCGCTGAGGAACTTGAAGAGCCCCTTCAGGAAGCGTGGCAGGTGAGCAATGAGCTCAAGGTCGGGTATGGAGTCCAGTAAAGTCACCCAGGCAACGAGGAACGAGCGCGTGTAGGGGTTGAGGACGTTGATTCGCTCTTCGAGGAGGGGCAGGAAGCGCTCGAGGTTGAAGGCCATGGGCAGGTCCTGGGGCGTTGATTCATGGCTGTCGACTGCCTCGTGGTCGGGGAGCTCTGGGGGAGTATGCAGCGCCGAGACATACGTGGCAGCGGACTCGGAGACGATGTCCTTGACCAGTCTGTCCAGGAGTTCGGCGCCATTCTTGACTGACAACTCTGAGTCGGCAGCCAGCTGGAGGATGTGTCAGCGATATCCGAGGTGCTTCGGCATAGTAATCCTACCTTGCACAGCGCATCGAAGACCTGGTTGAAGTAGACGAGTATCTCCCCCTTGGCGACCTTTGCAATGTTGTACATGCTTTCGCACGCATAGTAGCGCACGCGGGCATCTTGGTCGCCGAAGCAGGCGAGGACGGGCGGGACGATTTCTTCGAGGTAGCGGGCGACTTCCTGCGTCGTGTATCAGCCAAAATGTCTGCCATCTGCTCGGTATATCATGCATACCGGTCCCAGTGCTATCGAAGCGGCTGCCAGTCCTATAAGACCGCCATTCCGGGCATGTGGGTGGTGGACGGCATACGCGTACTCGTTGCAGAGCTCATGGACAATCTTAGCCACCCTGTCGTGGTCCTGGGCATTTAGTGCGTTCCGGATCAGAGCCTCCAGCTCGAGAGCTCCGCTCTTGCGCTTGTCGTAGAGCTTGTCGTTGAGCGCTTTAGTGATATTGGGGTCCATGACGGGGTGCGGGCGTCTACAGGACGTCTACACAGTGCTACAATGTCTCAACGCATTCTGGCTTGCGGGGTCAAATGTCCAAAGTCGTGGGATGCTGGTCGACGCGGATTGCCGGTGCGCGGTTCGCGGGTCGTTGCTGCAACGCGAACGTGAATGTGAAGCTAGGCCCACGCAGCGGATTGGGACATGGCACGTCATAGGGCCAGCGGGCGCGACCCACCCCTGCACCGCACTGCCACCAGCTCACTCGAGCCCGCTGATAGACTCAAAAGCAATATTGCACCATGCCCTCCACTGTCGTGCCCAAAGCACTTCATCTTGAACGCGCCTCTCTTTTCGCTCGCGCCATTCGCCGAAAATGACAGCACATAGCGACAGCTGACTCTATACGCTGACCCCAGCGCCTCGCGCGCCTTCCAACTAACTGCAGCCTCACTGGTCGCTCGCCTCCTGAAGCTTCACCTGCACATGTCAGGTGCGGCCAAGGCTCGACATGGAAAAGTTGAAAAAGATTGTGCAACCGTACCGACGCTCGCGGCAGGAAACAGACATGGATCGAGATCCTGTAATCCCCACCGGCGGTTTCCAGCATTGGGCCGTGGCTTTGTGAGTGTTGCCAGAATGATAGCAAGCCGGCGCTGACAGTGGCAGCATTGTCTGCAACTTCAACGTGGACATCGGGTAGGTAAGATTGATCTCCAGTCTTTTGGGACAGCTGCTAAGAATGTGCCTAGTCCGGAAATAGAAATTCTCTATCCGCCAGATGTACCCTTTACCACCGCCGACCTTAGTGCAATTTGCTTCAACAGGTGCGCCTTCAACGCCATATCTGATGCTCACTTCTAATTCTGCCCAGCTTCCCAGAGCAGCAGAACACCGAAACGGCAGAAGACTTGGCCTTCAACTTTGCAGTCACCAACAACTCACCGGACATCAAACTTAGCTCGCCCAACGCTCCCCATGGCAGCTCTGATACCTTCTACGGGACTTGCGTCTTTCGCCAGGAATTTGACCACTCGATGAAACGCAGCTTCAACCAGAGGACCTTGGTCATGATCTCGCATCACAACTTTCCTTCGTTTCACCATCAGCTACTGCATAAGATGACCGAAACAGGCGTCATCAGTGATCCCGTGACTCTCCAAGCCGCGTACAACCAGATGTTTGCTTGGCGTCCACCAAGGATAGGCAGACACGAACTACCGTTTCTAGGTTCAATAGTCACATTAGACATCGCACCGCACCGCTCGTTCCCGCTGCAGGGGCTCCCAGGCCCGACTCCTCTAATCTCAGATACTCCCACGTCAATATACGCTTACGAGCCTATTGGATCATGGGACAACATTATGCATTTCATGCCACCGTATCACAGACCTCTACGTTCTGTACGAGAAGCTTGTCTTGTGCGAAAGTATCATCGTCATCGCCAAGTCACCACAGCTCGCAAGCGAAGCAGTCTCATCCCTGCTCGACTTGATCTGCCCAGTGCCTTACGCTGGAGTCGTCAAGCCGTACATGACTATGCAAGCCGATTTCAAGAGCATAGGTATCGACGGAGGCACACCACAGTCGTTTATCATCGGCATTACCAACCCTTTCTTGCTTAAGCGCATTGTTGCTGCGGCAGAGGCCAGCCATCGCATGCGACCTCACATTCTATACCTCCAGAACTTTGATGGCCCGGTACCAACAAGGCGACATCACTCCATTCACCACAAGTCGAGTCGGAACGCGCTGCTCGACCTTCCAGGTGGCGGCATTGAGGTCCATACGCCCCCGAAACGCTTCCTAAAGTCCGATCCTTTGGTTGTATCACGAATCGAGGCCATGCTTAAGCTCGGCGATCAGACACGTGACATTGGACCCATCATAAGACGGCATTTTGCAGAATTGACTGCGCAGTTCGTGGCGCCCCTCAACCGTTACCTTGCCACGTCAAATGTTGTTACACCAGGCGGTAATCACCGATACGCCAGTTTCTCGATACCAGAGTTCCTCAGCAGTGTAAGCAAACATGGCACCAGTGTCAAGTTCCGCGGCCAAGGGCCGATCCAACGCCACAGAGCAAGGGACGGACTATATGCGAGTTTCTGCAATTCGGCAAACTTCTACTCGTGGCTGGAAATGAAGCTGTCGCTTGAACAAGAGGCTTCAGCGGGGCTATTAAATGCCCCTATTGCTTCATCGGCAGGGGGCTGAACGATCTACGATGCGCTTTCAACATTATACCCTCCCCGAGTCGCGCAAAATTTCTGCAAGCATGGCCACTTACAAGGAATACACACGGTTAGGCCGAACAAGGACGAATCTTACTCGACACCTCAGACGATTCATAATGAACTAGAGGCGAAGCCGAGTTTCGGGTTCACTACAACCATATACCTAAATAAGTGGCGAGAAGAGCCACCGCCATTTTGGAACACCTCGCAGATCCATAATTATACATATTCCGTTTACTTTAAATACATAATCATCTCAAACTCCTACTCGCCCTTTCCCTGCTTTCCATAAAAAGCCTGCTCGCCGCCCAACTCCTTGAGCGCCTGCTCCGATCGCTTCTTCGACTCGGCGCTGGTGTCTGTCCATATCGTCAGTATATACGTTTCGTATTATTATCTGGAGCGGCGCACTGGGGTTGCTCAGGTTCGCCTTGTGGCCGGCTGCCTGGTGGCTCTTGTCCTCGACGGAGTTGTTGATGTTCTGGTCTGCTTCTGACAGGCCGGCGGCGGTGATGTCTTGGTGAGAGACCTTGTTTGTTGAAGACATTTTTTTCTTTTGAATATGGATGAGATTTGATTTTGATGTGAGATGGGTTTGAAGAGGTTTGATTTCGTGCAGGTAGTTCTCCTACCCAAACAGCAGTGATTCACACTTCCTTAAATACTGTCATGTATTCGTGTTGGAAACAAGATGCTGAGAGGTCGATGACATGCTGCGTCTTGGCTCCGTCATAGTTATGGGACATAGGCGATGGTGGCTTGTCTGGAACGGCCCAACGGTGCTGTATCAGGATTCTCTGCGAAGGTTGAAAAGTGGGGAGGCAGTGTAATGAAAGCGTGCCGACAATCCGGTTGTGGGGAAATGACAGCATCGATGGCGATGGCGGTGCGGGAGCGATGCTCGATAGTTTTCGGGCCGTTTGTCAAGTTTGGCTGAAACTGTGGCTGAAGGAAAATCAAGATACCGTTAACAACACCAAATCCCATCCCATCTAATCAAATCTCCATACTTTATGAAAAACTACTTCAGATTCGGTTTTCGAGATGTTCACTTCCACTCCACACTCCACGTCTCCTCCCCCTTCCTAAACGGCACAACACCCACCCCCAACCCCTCCCTCTCCAACACATCCACAACCCTCGCCCCTCCCTTCCTAAGTACAACCCCTCTCTTCCTTTCCCCGCTCCCATTCCCAACCCTGATAAAATGCCCTCCCCCCAACCCCCCAAAAAACCCCTCAAGAACCTCCTGCCCGACTTCCTCCTCGCCCACAACCCCCCTCTGCACCCCCACCTCCAACGCATCCAACACATACCCCAGCGCATACGGCTGCGTAAAACACGCCTGCGGCGACTTTGTCCCCGCCCCTCTTGCTCCCTTGCGCATGCGGCGCGCTATCCGTGCCCAGGGAAGAACTTGCCCCCGCTGCGCACGACAGCTTGAAGCAAGGCGTCGCGGTCCTCGGGCGTCTTGGCCACGGGCTTGCAGAAGCAGAACGGATCACCCGCCCAATCGTCGATAATGAGGGAGAGATGGTGCGCGGTGATGGTGCCAGCGACGCTGGGCCCGCATGCGCGCACGGCGTCGAGGGCGGCGGCGGTGCTGCAGTGTTCGAGGATGATGCGGAGGTTGGGGAATCTGGCGTGCAGGGATTTAAAAGTCGGGAGGAAGGCGGGCTCGGCGTTGAGGATGGTGATGGAAGTTGTGTCTTTGGAGTGGGTGGTGGAGGGAGGGGTGGAGGGGACTTCGCCGTGAAGATTGAGGATCATGTTTTGCGCTTCCATTTCGGCGAAGACGGGGTAGAAGGACTCGTAGTCTAGGACGCCCGAGGAGGAATTCTGTGGAGGTGTTAGGTGTGTGTCTTAGATGCGTCCATGGTGTGGGAACACTTACGGTTGTTACGCCAGCTGGGTAGGACTTGACGCCTGTGTATGCCGGCTTTCTTTGCTTCGCGGATGACTTCTGGCGTGATTGATTCATGCAGGTAAAGTGACATGAGATAGTCGACATTTGGCTCAATGGCCCTCAACCTGTCGCGGTACTCGAGGCATTGTTTGACCGTCGTGATCGGAGGGACCAAGTTTGGCTGGAGCAACACTTAGAAATGAACAATGGTAATGACAATCGAAAAGGGGTATTTGGAAAGATTGGAAAGAATTGACAGAAATTCTGACTTCGACATGTGTATCGAACTGCACGTGCAAGGGTGCTAGCTTACCATGACATATACCTGATTCACACCACCATGGCGAATCGTCGGCGTAACGAGCTGCGACATTTCACCATCGCGCAAGTGCACATGGGCGTCGAAAGCAGCCGGCAGCTCAATCTCACTCAATTTGGTGAAGCTCATGATTGTTGTTGACCTAGAAGCTGTGAGTTGCCAAACGTAGAATTTTGGGTTCTTCATGCGGGGAGCTGCGATTGGGTGGCACTAGTCCGCCTTTGGAAACCTTACGTTGAGCATGCATTGACGGCACAAATTTTGGGTTTTCTTCAATATGTGGCACATTCATGCTACAGTATGAGGGTATATCTACCACACGCGTCGTGAGTTGCTACTATTCTGCCTTCTGTTGCCTCTTCTTTCACTTTCTAGTCGAGTCTTCACTCTCAGGCCTTTTGTTCCACTGCTTGGGAGTAAAGGCAACCTCCAGACCAGAATGTCGCGTGTAGCGGGCCTTTGACAGAGACCTGTCTCTCCTCCATGTATTTCTACTCGTCTCAGCGCTTTTATAGGAGTCTGATTGTGTATGATTGCTGAGCTTTATTTGTTTTCTTGTACAATCGGAAGACTCCGTTGTGAAGTTGCTGGATTCGTCCAAGGACTCGTCGTGGCTTCGCTTGAATGGTGATGGTGTTGAAATGACAGACGTTGCTGAAGTTGATTGGTAGCGCAATGATCGATCAGCCAGTCCTTTGATACTGTTGGCAATCGTCGTAGACACCCTGGACAGAATACCAGAGGTGTTCGGCCGAGGAGCTGTAAGAGGCGTGTCTCGAGCATCTGAAGCACCGTCTAGGCCGAGAATACCTGGGACTGATGTCTCGTCACTCACATCGCCATCTGTCGAGCCTATTATCCGCCGTGAACATTTCGATGACATTGCCGATGCGTTGGTAGTATGAGCTTCGCTATTCCGAGGTGTTGGCACATTCATGAATATGCCGGAATGGATCGATGCTGTGTCACTAAAATGATCGTCATCGTTCTCCACGTCGACGAGTGTCGGCGCCCTGAAGGTGCTGGAGCCTAGACCTCTTTGCATGTTGGCAATAACGGCTTGCCGTATAGCCCGCCCAAGTGCAAATGCTACCTGTCGATCGACTCCGTTGCCAACAATCCTGTACTGTGCCGAAAGACTACCAATGATGGGCTCGTGGTCTAAATACCCCTGAGTGCGTCTGGCCTCCATAATCGTAATTGGTCTGTTCTGCTGCCAATGTACAGTTGCTCCATTACGCGAGTCCTGGATGCTGAGGCCTGTGGTGATCGTGGGTATTAAGGCAGCCTTTCTGATCCGTTGATAAGCCCTGTCTGACTCCTTACCAGGCTTTTGCAATACAAGCGGAATGATGCCCTGGTTATAGGCTTCTCTGTATCCGCAACCCGGCGGAATATGTGGGATGAGATCTAGCAGGGCTCGTTCCTTGCGACTTGGCTGGGCTGACACACGATGACTGGGGTGCGAGATACACGTTTGCACGTTGCCGTTGCCTATGTCAGGGAGGTCTGAGGTGGCAGTATTTGCAGAAAAGTGAGTAAATGGTGTAGGGTAGTACTCTCTACCTCCAAAACGCTGTCCGTTTGGGAGCGTTCCCAGACTCCTCGCAGCTGTGTCGTCTGGCGGTAAGCTGTGAGTATGTAGTGGTTGCCGAATCATATCTAAGCCTGGGGCTGCGATGGTCAAAATCAGCCGAGAGCGTCGTTGGCAGCTACCAAAGGTCCATGCGTCCATTATGTATTGGTTGACCTGATAGCCTAAAGAGACAAAGAAAGCCACGAGCTGACTGAGGACGTTCTGATCTTCGAACCCTTTCCGCGTATCTGCCATACTAACGACATTCTCCAAGATAGCATATTCAGGGCGATATATATCCACATAGGAACAGATTGTCGTAATGTGTGATGCGTTCTTGATAGACTGAGGACTCGTGAAGTTCTGCTGCAACGTCGAGAAGCCGGGGCAAGGAGATCCTGCAAGAATGATGTTGACGCAGCCAATGTACGGGACGAGCTGATCATCGCTACCGGCAATTGCCATGCTGAGGTGATCGTCTACTGAACCACAAAAAAATTGCTGTGTAGTAGGATTTCGAGCATTTGCCCGTTGCGTGTGTATGGCCGCAGCGTCCCATTCGACCACCGTCTGAACGTCCACTGCACCGCCCTCTTCGATACCACGATCCAGATTGCCACCGCCGCTAAATAAGCTCATACCTACTAGCTTTGTGGTTGTCTCCGTACCAATTTCGCAACCATTCTTGAAATAATAGGGCGGCCGAGCCAAGTACAAGAGGCGTGGTGTTCCATCTTTCGTCGATAGACCCATAGAGAAAAACCAGTAGTCGCCAGCACCCTTGCGATTGTATGGGAAAGGAATCTGATCGTTCAGAATGTCGTTCTTGGACACAAACCGTAGATGGCATTTTCTCTCGATCCTCGATGCTGCAACGCTCTCATATGTATCAGTTAGAACCAGCTCGTTCACGGCTATGATGCCTTTCCGGACGCGAGTAGCTTGTTCTTTCAGGTCGCGGCCGAGTCTGGCGAAACATCGTACGATAACATGAGCCGTATCTTCTTGTAACTGATGAAACACAACAGGCTCCAGAACCTTCTTGTCGCCGAGTAGTTTCGTAATATACACGCTCTCACCGCGCGTGTAACTCTTGAGTTCCTTCGATGGTTGCTTCTTGCATTCGCAGATTTTATGCCCCTCTGTAAACGTTGTGAAAGCACTGTCTTGTGTGATGTATGTCTGCCGCACAAAGAACGCGCTCGATGGTATAGTTGTCGGAGACCATGCAACGTCATAGCGTCCTTTGATATGTGTAGACAGTAGCGCTCCGTCGTCGCAATTGCAATTATCCGAGAAGAAGAGTTCATTCTGACGGGGATATTGGGCAATGAAGATGTTGGTTTCGCGAGGTCTGTATAGGTACAGCCCGAAAAGGCGTTGTGCACCATTTTGCGTCAACTCAACGTCCGTGACGTGCAATAGCCATTCCCAGTCTGCGTTTCGCCACTTCTGCTTGTCTGCTCTGTCTGGATCAAACGCAACTACATCGCCAACCTGCACCAGAGCTTGCACGTATGGGTGAAGTGTCGGTGTTGTTTCAGGTCCAGTTGCGGCTGCAATGAACCCCATATCAGCGCTTCGCTGTTGCTGCTGTGCCTTGACACCCTTTGACAGCGCAATTGGGCATATGACCTTGCCGAAGTACATGTGCTTGAAGCATGCATATACGTCAGGTGTTGCTAGTGTGCTTTTCGCGATGCGCTCCTGTGGCTCAACCTGAACCAACCCGCCAGTCATGCAATCAGCCCATAGGGGATGAGCAAGCAAACTGCGCGAATTTGGCAGGTTGTATGCTTGTTGATACAAGAAGTCGATGTAGGCGTTGACGCAGACTCGGAAGTCCCGCCGGTCGTGGAGAGCATGGTACCATTCATCGAACGTTGTCTGTCCGATAAATCGTGCGGTCAGCCACGGTTGGAAGGCAGAGCGAAAATGGTCCAGACCGATCGACCCTCGCGTTTTTGCATCCAGGAAATCTAGGACGTGCTTTGCTAACTGGGCTACCCAGAGGAACGGAAGATGATGTCTTGCATAGGCTGGAGTGGGTTCATTCAGCCTATACCAGATGTCATATGCTGGGTCCTTCATCGCGGAAGCGGACTGAACATATGTTGCAGTCGTGGGGTCGTCAGAGTCGCCATAGCCCTCAATTGAGAAGTCGTTGAGCGGGACGCCCTCAACATAGTGCTTTACGCCACCCATGCAGAGGAATCCATCGAATAACATCTTTTTCGATCTGGGAACTTCCAGATGATGTAAGCCAAGTAGCTCATAGCTTCTCGCCTTGCTATCTGGACAAATGTAGATCTCGAAGTCATGAAGGTCTGCGACCATGACTGGTCGTTTTGAACGATAGCCATCCCATGCTGGAGTCCTAGTATCGAATTTGTTCCATTGAGTCTATTATCGTTAGCTGCACTATCTAATTAGGAGAACATTGGTTGAGTACCTTCAGAGACTTCAACGCCACATCCTCCCGTGTGATAGGGCACGGGGGTGTCCATCCCGGAGCATGCGACCGCGCGAAATCATTGATTGAGGAGCCGTCCTGGCTGACATGTGCTGTCAAGGATCCTTGCGCCCCATTGTGTTGTCGTTTGCTTGAGTCTGCCTGTGCAGCAGCAATAGCATCGGAGAAGTCCGACATCTTAGCTAGTACACTCGCGCCTGGTCTCGCAGAGGTGGAATCGCGAGCAGTGTAGCGAGATCTAGGAGATGGCGGACAGATTTTTGGCGACGCAAACAAAGAGCAAGCAGTTCAAATTACAGCTAAGCTCTTCTACGCAACCATTCTGACACAGTTGTTTTAGTGACCGTGAATGCGAATATCCTTATGAGTGGACCAAAGTGAACGAGTCCTACAAACAAAATCGCAAACAGTGACTCACGCGCAAGTTCAGGTCAACAAGCATTATGACAGTAAAGGAAAAGCAAACGTATGCGATCTGGATGAGTGCGGTAAGCTGGCGCAGTATTGGTGGTTCAGCAGTCGCAGTTCGGAGGTTAGGGCGCCAGTGCAGCCGGCAGGTGGGCAATCACTTCCCAGCCACCCATGAACAGGCAAGGAAGACTCACTTCCATGAAGCATCGTCTGTATACGACATGGAAGAAGAAGAAATTTGTGTGCTTGGCATTTACACAAGTGGCGTCAAGGTGAAGGTGAATGGTGAGAGGTACGGATCGCGTATTGCAGCGGGCGCGTCGTTGCCCCGCCGGCACGTGCTCGCGCGTCAAGGCGCGTTTCGGGAAGAGAACATGGGATTTTTGAACTATCTAGCAAACTTCTACCTTCCACAAGGTCGATGTTGATGTAATCAGAATCGGGGATACTTTTGTTCCCGCGTTAGGCAAAATGCTAACGCAGGTCCATGAATTAAGGCTCCTCCATTGATGCAACGTGACTTGACGTATAGAGTAGGTACAACGTGGGGGTTTATGTCCAAACACCTCCACGCCATAATTCTATTAAGACAGATAACAAAGCGTATTTCATGCAGAGCAGTCTAAGATCCGCAGAGCACGCTGCTTTACCCATGCAGCAAGCGGCCTTCATCAATGCAACCAACCATCCAAACGCCTCGCCAGGAAACGCCAGGCATCATGAAGAATACATAAATGCAGCCATTAATCGTGTTTCGGCGCATAATCCCATATATGCGACGAGTCATAGCTCTCCGTCTCCTCTTTCCTCTTTGCCGGATCATCGCCCCTCTTCTTCGCCTCTTCTCTCAGCTCATCCAGCTGCCTGTCCAATTTCACGACTTGGTAGTTTATTTCGGTAAACTCATTCCGCTCCTCCTGGGTGTACTCTGGAGATTTACCCGCCATTTTGGCTTCCTCTTCCTTCTGCTTCCATGGTTCAAGTTTGGCAGCCAGCGCGTTACGCTTGTCTTGCATCTCGAAGTACTCGGCGAATTTCTTCTGCCCGCCGAAGCAGTAGCCGTAGCCATCGCAGTAGCACGTGTTCATGGCGGGACAGAGGACCTCGTGGCCGGTGAAGATGTAGTGCCAGATGTACTCGAAGACGCGGCCGGAGAACTGGTCGTCCATGCCGGTTGTGAGCAGCCACTTGCGGTAGTGCTTGAAGCGCTCAATGGGCACCTCGCGGATCCGTTGGCGCGAGACGGCGAACTGCGCGCAGCAGGTGCCGGATATTGAGGGCGGGATAGGCGCGCCCGGGTGGATCTCTTCCCAGATTTCACGCCGCCAGTAGATTTCCTCGGGCTTGTGGTAGAAGTCAAAGTCGATGCCGGGGCGGTCCAGGTGGATCCAGTCGGGGCAGCCGGGATCGTGGTGGCAGCGCACATTCATGTAGCCGAGGCGCGCGACGCGCTCGTGGTTGAGGCGCTTGATCATGGTGGCGGCATCTTGGCCCATGAGCATGTTGTTGTGCCATGCGTAGCGGTGGGCGTGCATGAAGAGGGTTGTGTCGGGCAGGTCGTCGTAGTGGTCGATGATGTAGCTGAGGTACACCTGTTCCCATTGTCAGCTCTCAGCTCTCAACGCTCAACTCTCACACGACCAAATGTCTCGGCTTCCACCGCACTCACCATGGCCTCGCGACCCTTGTTCTTCGGGATCTTGTGTTCCGCATTGGGGTTGTCGACTTCGTAGATGACCAGCGGCACATCCGGTATCTCCTCCTCCATCCAGCCAAGGTCCTCGTCCTTGGTCTTGGGCACCACAATCTTGACCGTGTAGTTGGAGCCAGGCGGCTTCAGGGCGCCATCGCTGAACTTGGGCAGTATGCTAAAGTCGAGCGGGTCGCCCTTGTAGGCGGGGGTTGCGACAGTCTTCGGCTTGGGGTTCGGGACCCATCCTGATATCGCATGGCCTGCACTTGCACCTGGCAGATGGAGGTACCACCAGACAAAGCAAAGACACAGGAACACAAACACAAAGGGAATCAGACGCGGCGGGCCGGACAGCATGTTGACGGCGGAGCGAGCGGTGGATGTTCGGCACAGTGGTTCAGTCCATCAAGCAGGAATGGAGTCCAAGTCGAGGCAGATGGTGTCTGGCGCAATGTGGTCATTGTTGGCAGGTGGAGATCTTGGGGGCTAGTGCGCCGCGTTGACTTTTGGTGGTCCCGTATCGCTGGTTTCACCTTGCCCAAACAGACGGCCCTTGCGCCATCCCTGTGCAACCATTACACTCTGGACCTGAGTCTCGCTCGCTAAGAATAAATTGCAAGGGCATACCTGCAGCCTCCTACATTCCCTACAGTTACAGTGCGCGCACAACTATGTAAACCCTATCAACGCAAAGCCTGGACTACTCTCGCTTCATTCCCACCTTTCCAATGCCTCTCAGCCCCCACGCGAACAGGACCGCAGTGGCGCAGCTGAGCGCAAACAAGTACCAGTATGCAGCGCGGAAGCCCTCCATGAGCGCTTCTGGGCCTTCTTTCTCCTGGTGCCGTGAATGGCTTGTGATGCTAGTTGCAATCACTCCGCTGCAACGGGAACCACCAAGTCAGTGACAACCTACAAGGCGTTGACATCGAAACTCACCTTGTCGCAAGTCCAACACTCTTGCCAATCTGCGCGATGGTATTAAAGACGCCTCCTGCAAGCCCTTGTGTTCGGGCAGGACTGAGAATGTCAGCTTAATATGGCACCCCGAAGGTATTTGATGTGACGTACAACACCGAAGTGATTACCAGACTCGAGATGGTGTAGAGGACGTCAGAGCCTATCGGCATGAGGAAGGTAGCTGGGAATGCGCAAACCCAATACGTCCACTCAGGCTGGATCACGCACATCAGCAACGCGGCCACAGTAGCCAGGAAGACGCCAATGTGCACGGTGTAGTCGGCGCGCACTCTGTGGGCTATCAGTCCCATTGCGACGTTGGCTATGATACCACCAACAGGAGTTGGAAGGAAACGGATCGATGTTTGGAGCGCAGAGAGACCTTGTACGTCTTGGAAGAAGAGCGTCATGTATGTCTCGATGCCATTAAAGACGCCCCAGACGAGGAATACCCCCACACAGATAACGCTGAAGATGCGGTTTTTCCAGAGAGAGTTTGGAATCACGGCTGGACGGCCGAGTTTCTCCTGGCGTCCGACCCACACGATGAAGCCAGGGATCAGAGCGATTGCGGTGATGAGAAGTCCGAGGGTAGTTGCTTCGCGGATCTTTGCAGTGTCCTCTGAGATCAAGCTGCATCTTGTCAGATTCGAGGTCCATCGTGGGTATATACCAGCTACTTACACAAAGCAGTAGGAAAGCAGTGCTAAAGAGATGCTTCCCATGGCTATCCCGACCCCAGTCGATTTCAGTCCTGAGTCTGTGAAACACCTGAGTCTGCTTGTCTGCAACCTTGGGCAGTCCGAACAGTGCGATAACGAAGATGATGGTGTTAACAATGGCACAAAGGTGGAATCCCCATCGCCAGCCAATAGTATCGGCAAATATCCCCCCAAGAACCAAGCCGAGCGAGAACCCAATGGGCTGGCCTCCACCCATTGAAGCAAACGCGATGTTCCTGCTTTTGCCCTCTGGGAATGTAGCCGTGATAGTGCTGACTGCCGAGGGTAAGCAGAACGATATCGCGATACCACCAAGAGCACGGAAGACGATGAGTTGAGTGCCCGTCCGGGAGAGTCCAGAGGCAAGGGTGAACACAGACTGCAGTACGCAGCCTGTCAGATACATTGGCCTGGAACCTATTACATCTGACACTGAGCCTAGCAATAACAGCGTGCAACCGCATGTCAGCGCGTAGACAGATACGGGCCTGAGTTTCGTCAGCTCCTCTCAATTAGATAGATTCGATAGTATCACCATAGGAGCACACTTGGTGCAAGCTGCAAGTCTCTCGCCATCGTCGGCAACACAACAGTCGTAACTCCTGAGAGCATGGCACTGATCATTGTGACACACACAACTGTCACAAGAACAATGGCAGTCGTCCTTTTCCCTGGTGCCTGCAAATGCTCGACATCGACGGCATTAGTTGAAGCGATGATTGGCTGTCCATCGTCGTTCAAAGACGAAGCTCGGTCGCCCTTGATATGCACATTGGGTGGATCTGTTAATGGAGTCTGAGGGTATTCCATGAGCTCGATTGACGTTGCAGTGCGCGACATTGTAGGCGAACAATTTCCTGGTGAGTACCTTAGGTATGAAGACAGACGTGGAGAGCACTGGGAGTCAGACTGTCCTGGTGCTCAGGAAGCCTTCTACGAAAACAGGGAACATCATATTTATCATTCAAGCTCTCTTGACTAAGGGCACGTCTAAAAGTACCCGATCAGGCTGCCTTTGTGTGATTGACGGTAGGGCGCGCGCTAGGAGACCGTGCAGCGGGTAATTCTCCGTCGGTTGTCGATGAAGAAGTCTGGACTGACATGGAAGCACGGTCGTTCTTGGACTTATCGATAAGAAGCCACAGCCATATGTGGCTGTGCTGCGGACTCCCGAGAGTTAGAACACCTCGAGGACAACAAGCTGAGTACATTGACGACAGGAGGCAGAAATACCAATTCTGTCTGTACATATCCCGGAGGCTTCTTTCGTTGTTTCTCTAGCCCTTTGCGCAATTCTCAGCTGGTCCTGTGAGATTTCAGGCCCCGGACGTAATGCTACACGTTGCAACTTCGTGAGACCGCGGCTGCTACACTCCACCCACAACCAATTGCGCACTGCCTGAAGCTTCCTAAAGTCTCATCGGTGTCCAAGACAGCTTGATATATATTCTTGCACTATGTGGACACCAGCTTCTTTGCTAGGCGCGCGGGGTCTGTTCGCCCTCAGTGCGGTCCACCACATTGGCGCCCTTGCGAGTCCAAGCATAAACGTTGCTTTGCGGGCCTCGTTCAGCCCTGCACCATATTTGGTAGAGCTCTTGTACTTCACAAGTCTCCTCTTCGAAAGTCATCACAACTAACACGGCCTAGAGAAACTGCCGCGGACGAGAACGGCACTGCGTACTATCCAATCCTCGATCGCGTATCACAGGGCTACTTCGACAAATATGCCACCGAACAAGACCTTTATACGGCCTTTGTAGATTTATTACACAATGACGGGCATATCACAGAGCCTGAAGCCCTCGCGTCTTTCGAGTTTGCACTGTCTGTTCGGTCGGCTGCGCCGCGAATAGAAGCACACTATCAGTTCTACAACACCTCCGTTGAGCCCTCGCTGCTTGCAGAACAGACAAATGCCTGCGATATCTGGATATCTTTTGGCGGGAAGCAATATTGCTCTCCACAATTCACCGAGCCTTTTGGCGATATCAAGAGTGAACGGTAGGAAGTGCAGAACAATCGGGATGTCATCATATTGACAATTTATAGCACATACGAACTACCCTTTGACCGTACACTCGGAAACAGCTCGGCTCTACCTGCAATTCTATACGCCGACATAACTGCACCGCAATTCAAACCATGGCACGATATGTTGAGCAAGACGGCGAAGGAAGGCAAGACATCGTATCGAATCCGCCACAAGCCTTCCAACAAAGCATCTAAATCGCCGCTAGTCGTGAATGGATATGGTGTTGAACTTCAGCTCAAGCGAACAGACTACATCGTCATCGACGACAGACAGAAGGACGAGAGTCAACCCAGCGGACAGAAGCCGCTCGTCACCGGCCTAGATGAAGACCAAGAAGTTGCGGACCTCAAACCCTTGTCCAAAGATGAGGTCTCCGATCTTGGTGTGAAAGCTGCCAGCTTTGTAATGAAGAGCGACCAGCCCATGGACACGCTTCTCAAGCTCGTACAGGACTTCCCAAAGTACTCCTCCATCATCGCTGGCCAAAACGTGTCGGAGAGCTTCCTGGAAGAGCATACCAAGAACCGAGAATTCCTTCTTCCTACTGGATTCAACATGATCTGGATCAATGGCGTTCAGATACCAGCACGAGATGTGAACCCATACTCTTTACTTTCACACCTTAGACGCGAGCGAACTTTGATTAACGGCATACGCAGCCAGGGTCTCTCTGCACCAGACGTTGTTGCACTTCTTTCACACGAAGCTATTGCTGCAACTCAGACTCAAGATGAACCTCAACGATATGATTTCAGAGACGAAATTGAAGGCGGCAATGTGATCATGTATCTGAACGATATTGAAAAGGATGACAGATACGAGAGTTGGCCCACTGACCTTCGAGCGGTAAGTGACTGCTTCCAAGCTTCGCTTGTTGTATACTGACAATAGCATTAGTTACTGCAAAGAACATTCCCAGGCCAATTGCCCTCTGTCAGGCGCGATATACACAACGCCATCGTTCCCATTGACTTCACCTCTATCGATGATGTCACTACCATCGTCGACACGATCTTGAGCTTGGTACAGAGAGGTATCCCGTTAAGGTGGGGTCTCGTGCCCCAGATCTTGACCGACGGCGCTCTAGAGCAAGCAAAGGTCATCTATTACCTACAGGATGCCTATGGGATTGCTGGTGTAACAAGCTATCTCCAAGATGTGAGTCAATCCCCATATATGCATATCCACCTCGACTGACAAGGGGCTCTAGTCACTCAATAACAAAAATCTTGCATCACCCGACAAGAACGCTTTTGCTTCGGTTATCAAAGACGGACAACTCGTTGCCGATCGCGAAGCGCTAGAGCTTACTGAAGTACTCAAGTCGGAAGAGGTACTCAAAAGAGCAGAAGCAGCGAAGCAGTACCTGAAGCGTCTCGCTGCAAATGTACCAAATGCCCCGGTATTTGTCAACGGTGTGCCAGTCGCTCAAACAGATGAGTGGCTCGGTGTCCTCAGCCAGCGAATTGGATCGGATCTTCGCCAGATTCAGCAGAACGTATTCAATGGCGTCTTCAACGAGGACAGCTGGGTGCCCCAGTTCTTCCTGTTGCAGGCCTCCGCAAGGCGTAACCCCTTCATCGTGCCGGAGAACGAGAAGAACATCACACTCATCAACATGGCTGAGTTTGAGCAGGCTCACGGGGAGAACTTTGGCAAGATGCCTCGCATCAAAGCTGCGGAATCTGCAAGCAAGAGCGACTGGGTTCATATTACAGTCCTTGGTGACTTTGATTCTCCTTCTGGACTGGCACTGCTGAAGTCTGCTGCCACCTACCGCGAAGAAAACCCGAATGCGGAGATTGTCTTAATTCACAACGCAAATGCCGACTCCGAGCGCAACACCTCTGATGATCTCCTCAAAGCATTTACCGAGTCGAATGGTGATTTTACTACAGAGGCACTGTCGGCATTGTTAGACAAGACGTCTGACTCCCGACCTGTTACGGAAGAATCAAAGGCGTTCTGGAAGTCCGCATCGCCAATACTTGAGGTATTCACGTTGAAGCCAGGACAGAACGCAATTATTGTCAATGGTCGCCAAGTTGGACCCATTCCAGACGATCTTGAATTCTCAAAAGATGACATTGAGACACTTGTCACGTACGAGACGAACAAGCGGACTGAACCTCTGAGCCTTGCCCTCACCGACCTCGACCTCACCTCTAAACTTTCTACACCCTTTGATGTTGCCAAGATTCAATCACTTGTCACGCTATCCACTATCTCTGATGTGCCAGACGGCATTTTTGAGTCTGCATCTACACTGCGCATGAGCAAGTTCAATAACTGGACTACCGAGCACACTGCGATCATCAAGGGCGACTTCGACAATGCTGTATTCCAGATTGTCGCTTCCATCGACCCAGCCACTGAGCAAGCACAGAAGTGGATTCCCATCCTGAAGACACTCAGCGACATGAATGGTGTCCATCTCAAGCTGTTCCTGAACCCCAAGCAAATGCTCCAGGAGCTTCCGATTAAACGGTTTTACAGGTATTTGCTTGATGCGAGACCAACCTTTAACGAAGACGGCTCGACTGGTAGTCTCGAAGCCGAGTTCTCTGGTATTCCGAAAGAAGCATTGCTCAATCTGGGCATGGACGTACCGCCGCCGTGGTTGGTTGCTCCAGAAGAGTCAATCCATGATCTTGACAACATTAAGCTAAGCACGCTTCCTGCTGGAAAGAATATCAATGCTATCTACGGTTTAGAAAGCATCTTGATTGAAGGACACTCTCGCGACACTACCCTTGGCGGTCAGCCACCTAGTGGAGCTGAAGTTGTCCTTGCGACTGAGAAGGACCCTCACTACGCCGATACCATCATCATGGCCAACCTTGGGTACTTCCAGTTCAAGACCAACCCAGGCTTCTACAACATCAGGCTCAAGACCGGTCGCTCGCAGGAGATATTTAGCCTTGACAGCGCAGGCCCCAAGGGTTGGGCACCGCAGCCGGGTGACGAGACCACCGAGATTGCGTTGATGAGCTTCCAGGGCGCAACAATCTTCCCTCGTCTTTCTCGCAAACCTGGTCAGGAAATGGCAGATGTTCTTACTCCAGATGAGTCACTCGCCTCCGAACTCGTTGGCAAGGGTACAGAAAAGGTCAACAAGCTTCTAGGCAAGCTCGGCCTGAACTTTGACTCGCAAAAGGTCCTTGACAAGGGCGCCGAACTGCTTGGTAGCAAGTCTAAGAAGAAGGGCACCCAAGCCGATATCAACATCTTCTCCGTCGCCTCAGGCCATCTCTATGAGCGCATGCTCAATATCATGATGCTTTCTGTCATGAAGCACACCAAGCACAGCGTCAAGTTCTGGTTCATTGAGCAATTCCTGTCGCCGTCGTTCAAGTCTTTTCTTCCACACATGGCCGCCGAATACGGTTTCGAATACGAGCTCGTCACCTACAAATGGCCACACTGGCTGCGCAGCCAAACCGAAAAGCAGCGCGAGATATGGGGTTACAAGATCCTCTTCCTAGACGTCTTGTTCCCACTTGATCTCGAAAAGGTCATCTTTGTCGACGCCGATCAGATCGTCCGCACAGATATGTACGAACTCGTCACTCACGATCTAGAGGGCGCACCCTACGGATTCACACCTATGGGTGACAGTCGTACAGAAATGGAGGGCTTCAGATTCTGGAAGACAGGCTACTGGGCCAACTTCCTGCGTGGAAGACCGTACCATATCTCCGCGTTGTATGTCGTTGATCTCGTCAAATTCCGCCAACTCGCAGCCGGCGACCGCCTCCGTCAACAATACCACCAACTCTCGGCCGATCCAAACTCTCTCTCCAACTTGGACCAAGACTTGCCCAACAATATGCAGTTCAACCTCCCGATCCATTCGCTGCCGCAGGAATGGCTGTGGTGCGAGACGTGGTGCAGTGATGCAGATCTGGAAAAGGCAAAGACGATTGATCTTTGCAACAACCCCATGACCAAGGAACCAAAGCTCGACCGCGCCAGACGCCAGATTCCAGAGTGGAATGTGTACGATGAGGAAGTGGGTGCTTTGGCGCGCAGAGTCAAGGGCGAAAAGGCGAAGGAGGAAGCGGTGGTGGATGTCCAGGCCGAAGAGCAGGTCAGAGAGAAGAAGGAGAAGGACGAAGAGAGGAGAAGGGATGAGCTGTAGACGCATGCATGTATGGAATGTTTAGACGAGCAGCTATAGACAACCCTCAATCGCCTTCCTTATCTCCTTGGGTCTTGCACCCGTAACGCCCTCCTGAATATCCCCGTCTTTGAAAATACTAAACGTCGGCATCTGACTGACGCCCAGCTCCTGCGCAATGTCCTCGCACTCTTCCACGTCGTATGTGTAGAATTTGACCTGCCAGCGTTAGCTAGGCGCGATAGATCAAGTAAGAGCAAGGCAGTTAGGTACATTCGGATACTCCTCAACCATCTTGGCGACTTCGGGTGCGATCACTTTGCACTGCTGGCACCATGTTGCGGTGCCTTCGAGGATCGTGACGCCTTCGTACATGACGGCACGCAGGTATTCGGCTTTGGAATGTAGGGAGGGGATTTCGGGGGCGGACATGATGAGGGGTGTGTCTTGTGAAGGTGAAGGTTGAATGATTGGTAGGGGGCATGGGTGTGTAGAGATGTCTTGATGTGGGTTCGGATGGGTGAAGGGAATGATGTCATAGTTGCTTGTTTGGGGATGGCGGGGGTCGGATGGGGGCTTGGGTAATAGTGAAGTAAGACGTGAGAAGGTTGATTAGTTAGGCCGTTCTAATATCACATGGAAGAAGCATATACAAGGAGAGCGTCTTGTTTCTGTATGGCGCGTACATGGGGTGTGAAGTAGTCTCGACGTGACAAGTTGTCTTATTTATGCGAATGTAAGGCAAATGGCAGCTTGTTTGGTACTATGGAATTTCTTATTTCGCTCCCGGTAATCTCACCGCATAGCATGGTGCTAACACGGTAAGTCATTCTAGGTAAACACGGTGATGGTGATTGTAGGATTCGAGCACGGGCCATGGGTCACCAAACGCGTCCCCCAGCGCCAAGGCTGACCATCACTCATCGCGCCAAACCTCGACCTAGCGACCTTCACATGTTGGTACTTTAATCGGTTTCTCACCCCACGCTCAGGACCGCGCAGGACCTTCATCGCCATACCAGAGCATTCACTCGTTAGATTCACCTGCGACATCAACCCTCGGAGTACTCCGCCCTTTGTCTCCGCCCATTCACACGTCTGCGGCACGTCGCGACAATGAGCGAAGCCCAACCCCAGCAGCAGGGCCAGCAGGCGCCTGGCGGCCAAGCAGCACAGTTGATGCGACCCGACGACATTCTCAGGCTTCAGTGTCTTAGCGAAGATGAAAGGCAGAAATATCGCCAGATCATGATGAACTTCTGGAACATGACCCAGCACCATGCGCAGGGCACATCCGAGCATACCACGGCGCGCGCGAAGCTCTTCGAGTACTCACAGAAGTTCATAACCCGCGAGAGACAATTCCGCAAGCAGAAGATGCAACAACAACAAGGAAACCAAGGTCAATCCAGCCAGGGGTCACAGCAGAGCCAGGGCCAGCCCAAGCAGGAGCAACCACAGGCGCAAAACACTGCAGGTGCGCCGAGCCAGGCTTCAGCACAGCAGTCCCAACCACAAGCCGCCAACCAATCGCGACCAGCTGGGTCAGCCCCGCCAATCGACAGTGCCATATACAAGCATGTACAAGCATTCCCGATTCACCTCCCGCCCAACGGCCCAACTCCCGGAACACCAGAATACAACGCCAAGGTTAAGGAATACCGGAATGGCTACTTGAATATGCTGGTCAAACAAGCGCAACATGCGGAGAACAGGCGGAAGATCCTGAGCCAGATAGAAGAAAAGCAGAAAACAGGACAGGAAGTTCCCGCCGATGCGCTGAATATGAAGGCGCGCATAGAAAAGGAGCATGCCAACATGAGCGAGCAAGTGGAGAAGTTTCGCAAGGCGCAGAAAACGTGGAAGGACGATCGGGAAAGAAAAGACCAAGAGGCTGCGCAGGGACAGCCGGTGTCGCAAGAGCAGTCCCAGATCCCGACCCAATCGCCGCACCAGCAGCAACAGCAACCACAACAACAACCTCAAGCACAACACCTTCAGCGACAATCCTCACAGCCAGGCATTCCTAACCAGGCCCCGGTCAAAGAAGAGCCACAAATAAAGGTCGAAGGTGGCCAGGTTCCGCAGCAACAGCCCGTCGCGCAGTTCAACATGCAAGGTAACCAGCAGCCGCAACAACCGCCCCAGAACCTCCAAATGCCGCCCTCGATGCAGCAGCAGCTCCAGCATCAACAGCAGCAACATCATCAACAACAACAACAGCAACCGCAGCAGCATCCGCAGCAGCAGCAACAACAAGCTCGGCCACCGCCTGGCCCCCACCCGCAGGGCATGCCACCAAGCCAGGTGCAACAGCAGTTCGCGCAGCCAGGACAACAACAGCACATGCAGCAGAACCGTCCGCAGATCAACCCCCACCAAGCAAATGCACACCAGCACCAGAGCAATTCACCTCACCCTCAATCAGCCACATCCAATGCGCCAGGCCCGCCCGTCCCGCTTTCACACCAAGCAGCTGTCAGCGCCGCGAACCGCTCGTATACCGACCCCCAGCGCACTGGCACGCCGCTCCAGCAAGGACAGGGCAACTTTGGCAACAGGGAGCGCGAGCAGCTTAACAACCCCAAGATGCCGATTCCCCGCCATCTCAACGTCACATCGCCTGCGCCTGTGCACATGGGTCAGGCTCGGCCAACCATGAGTGGACCCACTAACGGTGCGCCTGGTCCTATGGGACAGCCTGTCATTCCCCGGCCTCCTCCATTCCAGCTCGAGGGCGAGGGCGACCGTGTGCTCAGCAAGCGCAAACTGGACGAGCTTGTTCGCCAAGTCACCGGTGGATCGGAGGAGGCGCTGACTTCCGAGGTTGAAGAGGTATGTCAATAATATCACAGTGTTTATCTCGTGTGCTAACATATCCCCAGGCGGTGCTCCAACTCGCCGACGACTTCGTCGACAACGTCATCAGCAGCGCATGCAAGCTCAGCAAGCTCCGCGAGTCACCACAGCTCGACATCCGCGACCTTCAACTCATCCTCGAGCGCAACTACAACATCCGCATCCCCGGCTACGCTTCGGACGAAGTGCGTACCGTGCGCAAAGTCGTGCCAGCTACAGGCTGGGTGGAGAAGATGAAAGCGGTCAACGCGGCCAAGGTCATGGGCGGGAAGACGGACTTTTAGTCTGCCTCTTTTCTCGCTCGTGCCGCGCTGGATGTATAATGCTAATACTTGCTATGTTTTCAATTAGATACGGTTGCGAGATCGGATAGTCCCGTTACCAAGGAGAAGAACGCTACGGCAATCTCACCAGAACAATTACCTATTACAGCAATTCTTGCCAACTGTGAAATCGTTGACGTTACTGCGGATGGCAGATTCGTACTCAAACTCCCATCATATGTCGTCTCGCGTTGTCATATGTCCTTGTTCGTGGGCCCCATCGACGTACCGACTCATTTCATCTACGACCCGGCAAGACCGCTTGGGTTACGCTGGAAACGCCACTTCGTTCCGTCTACGTCGAAGCTGTTGGGGCCGAAATGCATCCATGCCCACGCGGGATGTGCCACGGTATTTCTGTTCTGCGACAAGTGCGAGATGTGCGTAAAATTGGCGACAGAAACGGAGCCGTGGTGTGCTCCAACGGTGCAGACTCGGACGTGGTCGGCGGCGGAGTTGAGGGACAAGTTTGTGCGAAAAGTGCTAATGGAGGAGGAATAAGGGTTATCCATTGAGAATAGCATTCCTTCGTTCGTGGATGTATGCTATCAATAAAGTTCAAGAACATCACCAAAATGGACTGAGGCACAACATGTTGTTTGTTTGTTCATTGGAGTATTTGCAATTTCCTTGCTTGTCTGTTTCGCGGATCATTTCATGAATGATCCAAAGACTATCGTACATGTGTAATGGACTAGCATCGCAGTGCTGCTAGTCCAGAATAAAAGATAAAAGAAAATGGTGAGTTTGTGAGCGGAGTGCGCAACTCAAAGGAAGAAGGTGATATCTGAGTGCTCTGGATTAAAGCTTAAAGGTAGCAGCCAAATCGTTCTTTGCTGCAGTATAAAAAAGGTGGGGGTATCTATCGCCTCTCTTGGGCATTTGTCGAATGTATAAAAAAAAAAGGTGTGAGGTATCCAAGTTGAAGATTTGGTGAAATGAATATGAGTGGAGTGGAGTGAGGTTGGTGATGGTGCTGGAGTTGTTGATATGGGCATGCACGTTGATTTCGGATGCGGTCGTACAAATTATAAAATGGTGATATAGGAAAAAATATGTGACAACGAATGAGATTGGGGTGGATGGGTTTCCAGATCCGAGGGTCATGTCCAAGATGTAGGATGATGTCGTGCTTTATACGGTTTCGTAATTGGGGTCGATTTGAAGGGTCGGCGTCCGGGCCTGGTTCTTCTGCTTCTGCCACTCCAAGGTGATTTCCTCGCGAACGCCTTGACACCATTTGAGAAGGGCGATATCGAGCTTCTTCCAGGCTAGATCGTCGTCACCATGTACGATGCCCATGACGTCAACGTCCAGCTTGATGTCCCAGCGTAGCTCAGCTGCCTTGACCCAGTAGCGCAAATTGTCTGCGCATCGGTATGGTTTCGCGGTATCGGTGTGGTAATGCTTGATCTCCTCGAAGTGTCGTCGTGATTTTCGTACAAGGCGCGTTGTGAAGATGTACTAGTCGCAGACCGCTCTGGAGTTCTGCTAGGAAGGGAGTTGGGAGCTCCCCATCTTTGGGCTCTGTCCAGTCTGGGAGGGCGTCTGAGCTGCTGTCAAACGACTTGAGGAACAGGAGTTCTCTTTCACGCTCCTTGCCAGTCCAATCACCCTCCCTCCACGACCAGTTTTCTCTTTCTTCTTGCTCCTGCTTCTCCTTCTCTTCCTCGGTGTCGAGTAGCTTGCCGATATCGACAACCCACTGCTTGATTGAAATCGTCTCGTAGGGTTGTACTCCGTTGGCAAAGTTGCGGATGGCAAGGCGTTTCAGGACCTCGAGTACTTCGTAGAGTTCCTTCCGGATGGTTCGTTCCGACTTGAGGGAGTAGAGTCTTTGCGGCTCCTCGTGTGCAGTGTAATAGTTCTTCGCTGCCCTGATGGCAAGGGTAGTGACATCGAGTAGGTTGAGGCCTTGGATCTCAAACCAGCTGGACTGGTCGACGTCGACCTTTTGCTCGGCACCAAAGCCCTTCTCCAGCTCACGCAGGTGCTTCATGGCTTCGGCCAGGGACTCGCGTAGTTCCCGGCGCAGGACCGTCATGTCGGGCGGCGGGGGCAGGTAGACAGGGTTGTTCTTGTAGGTACTGACGGTGGGGGGCAGCATCATTGGCTCGTTATCCTCCCAGCTAAGCGAGGCAGTCTCGTCAAGAGGTGACTCAACGAAGCCCTCGCCAAGATGCTCCATGGTGCCATCCGGCGAGGGAAATGACAACACAGACATGTCGCCCTCCATTGGCGATAGTGGGGGTTCGTTGCCGCTCGAAGTGCGCGACCCGGCCTTTCGTCCCTTCGCGACGCGCCCCGTTGCCGTGTCCAACAGACCGGTGCGGGCGAAGTAGTACTGCAGATGCGCAATGGTGCCCAGGTTTTGCACGCTTTCCCTGTTCTTCGCCGACTTGGAGAACTGAGTGCCTTCCGGACGCATGTAGCCCCGTCTCCCACGGCCGCCATCAGAGAGCCTGGAGCTTGCTGAGCGCCCCGAGATTGATGATACTGAAGACGCGGTTGATACAGAGCGGTCGAGCATGGGCACTGAGCCCAGTGCGAGTGAGGGGACCGCCCATGGCTCGGGCGAACCAGCGCGATCGAGGGGAGGAGAGGGTGTCGTGTCCATATTGGCGATGGATGAGAGATGGGGGCGTGAGGGGGCGGGCGATAAGCAGATACGGGCAGTTGTGGAAAAGGAATGTGAGAGGGGGGTCTGCAGGCGATGACTGCAGAGATGGGGTTCAACTGTGTTTGTGCTTGTGCTTGTGGAGACTCATAGATGGTGGTCGTTGCTGAGGTTTCAGGAAAGGAGAGGGAAGGAGCGATCCGACGACACGCGAAATTGCATGCAAACAACGCGACGACACTAGCGCCAACCCGCTCTCGTCCACACCCATCGGGCGAGACCACCGGCCACGCATGAATGCGTATTTCATCGAGTTCCAGGTTGATGGGTGATAGAATGCGTCCTTTGCTAGTCCGAGCCGCTCTCTGCGGTGCCGACTCGAGTGATGGTGCCCCGCATTCCGTCCTGGCTAGCTGCAGGGGTCGTCACTTCCCGTTTCAGCGCGTCTGCAGTGCTTCAGGAATCGATATGACGTCGTCGCTACGGTATGCATGAGGTCGTCTTTCTGTTGACCAGATGCTCACACTTCTCGTTGCCGAGACAGCTATCTCCAAAAGTCTAATCTGAATGAAGCGTATCTTCTCGACCACAGCTAAAATGTCAACCAAGCGCGTGCGTTCATCCGCAATTTGCCCGGGCCAGGGCTAACGACACCAGATCTCTTACACAGTCAAAGGCGAGGTCCAGGGCGTGAACTTCAGGTACCACTCACCTCATGGGACCCAATTGCATTCATTTTGACGCAGACGCAGGTCTTTCACGCAGAAGCAGGCCAGAAGCATTGGAGTCACTGGCTTCGTCACAAACGCATCGGATGGCAGTGTAGGTGCAGCCTCGTTTTCATCGTCCCCATACCAACACCACGCAGGTCCAGGGCGAGGCACAGGGCAGCGACGATGCGATCAAGCAGTTCGTCCAGCACCTGAACAAGGGTCCCCCAGCAGCATCCGTCTCTAGCGTCAAGCACGACGACATCTCCACCAAGTCAGGCGAAAGCAGCTTCAATGTTCCGTAAAGCTGCTTCCCGTAGTCTGGGCTTCAGCTAGTGGCGGGAAGCCACATGCCCTAGAGTTGCCGACTAGTTCCTCCAGAAGACGAATGCGGCACGGCAGGACTTCCATGTACTTATATCAGACCATGGACTAAGAATAAAACACTTCGACGCAGGTCTTGTACGTTCTATTCCATCGGAAGCAAGCGCGATGCAGCGTTCTACCGTCATCCACGCTGCATGCACGTAAGCCTTGGAGGTGTCAGGCCGCCCTCTATGACAAAATAAGAGGAGGAATACGGAATAATACTCGATGCCCGGACTTGCAAGTTCTGTTGACGTCGTTTTTAATCGCAAGTGATAACGCTATGAGATGAACTCAATATAGCCTAGGATGCGTCTTGCGTCTGGTGCACTGCAGCACTGTGAAGTCTACGAGGAACGCTAGAAATGCAGGATAATCCGAGATCGCTCAGCTTCTACTAGACAGTGCAGAGCCTGCCAGAAGATCTGACTCTGAATATGCACTATCATGCCGATGGGAGCTTGGACTCACTTGCCTTCATGTCGCACTTGAACCTACGGCATCACCAAGGGTCCTTCTTCGCTATGGGATGATGCAACCTGAAGACGTAGGCAAAAATTTAAAAGAATTTTAAGTCCATATTATCCCTGCGACTAACCATGCCTTTGAAAACAATTCAGAGGAGATGCGCATGTATGTGTCTCTGGTAAAGACCAAGTGGTGTTCTGACGCCGCAGGGCTGAACGGGAACCCGACGGTCGACCGAGACGCCGACGGGGTCTAATCGGGACCTCTTGCCCGGCCCATTTTCGTGTATATGACAACAACATCAAACATCCGCCACAAAGTCCTCGTTGCACGCGACCATGCACGTGGCAACAGAGCAACTATTCGCTCTTTTCGGCCTCTCAAACGGTGCCCACTGCTCGCCGACGCTGCCGCAGCACGGATGTGGCGTCGATAGTGTCCTAGTTCGTCCTGCCTTTGATGACTTGCGGCAGGATTGGTGCACAGAACTTTCTATAGTCGTGGGCGTCACGGGCTGATTAGACTGTATTGATATAAAGCGCAACGTGTGCGTCAGCCGCTTGCCTACTTACCGTCGACACTTGCGAGAACAGACTCACATCACCTTCAACCTATATCGATACACAAATCGAGAACAAACCCCAAGACATTGACCATCCATGATCTCATCTATAGCAATCAGTCGAACCACGCCGACTTCAAAGAGGGCGGCTGTTCATGTGTTCAAAGCCGCCAATGGCTCTAGATCCGTTAGATGTCGTTCGTCTTTCATTGTAGCACGACACTTCTCATCCTCACCGAATAGCCCTAAGATGGACGTATTCTTCGAACAGAGAGAGACTGAGAAGGTTCGCAAGACACCAGCTGCATGGTCACATCCAGGTACGCAGTGCATATGCACTACCTCTATTCATCATTATGCTGATATACTTTAGCCTATTCCAAAGAGGAAATGGAAAACGTCGTCGTTGCGCATCGCGAGGCCAAGACCATGTCAGACAAACTGGCGCTCATCGCCGTCAAAACCATGCGATGGGGACTCGACACAGCAACAGGATACAAGCATGAGAAAGCTGTAGCTCTGCACCAGAAGGACCCGGTAGCCGCACAACGCAAGTACGGTATGACGGCGAAGAAGTACATGATCAGAAATGTCTTCCTCGAAAGCATTGCTGGTGTGCCTGGAATGGTTGCCGGCATGATAAGGCATCTGAACTCAATGAGGAGGATGAAGCGCGACAATGGGTGGTGAGCGAGACAACCCACATGAGCTTGGCCCAGACTGACGGTTTTCCAGGATCGAGACCTTGCTCGAGGAGAGCTACAACGAGCGAATGCATCTCCTGGTGTTCCTGAAAATGCAGCAGCCAGGACCATTCATGCGCTTCATGGTACTTGCAGCGCAGGGCGTCTGGTGCAACGCAATGTTCTTCGCCTACCTCATTAGCCCCCGCATTGTGCACCGTCTTGTCGGATATCTCGAAGAGGAAGCTGTCTATACCTACACACGCCAGATCAAGGACCTCGACGCAGGTCGCTTGCCCGAATGGGAGAAACTACAAGCCCCTCAGATTGCCATCGACTATTGGAAGATGCCCGAGGGTAACCGGACGATGCGCGATCTGCTTCTCTACAGTAAGTATGCCGTAAATCTCTAGGATTATCCAAGCTAACGCACAGCAGTTCGCGCAGATGAGAGTAAGCACCGCGAAGTCAACCATACCTTTGGTAATCTCGATCAGAAAGAGGACCCCAACCCTTTCGTGAGCGAGTACAAGGACCCGGAGAAGCCGCACCCCAGCAAAGGCCTTGAGCATCCAAAGCCAACTGGCTGGGAACGCCACGAGATTATTTGAGTTGACGTTACATATTTCTCTACTATCCTCTTTGTCAGTGTTTCCTACCTCATGACATAGCGTTTACTTTTCTCCACTCTCCAAAAGTATTTCGGGCGTTCATCGGAGTTGAATCGACAGTAGACCGCGATACCCTACGGTGGACAAGTATGTACCTAGTTTCGTCGCCTCTCGTGGGTACAATGAATAGCGACGGGACGGATGATCCGGACCCGCATTTGCCTCACAAAAGTGCCATGCCAGCCCTGCCATACCAAGTCACCGATGACCGCGGTTGGCACACATGACATCGAGAAAACGCATCATGGAGATCAACAGCTGTTATGGGTTACTGAGAGCCTTGCATTCCTGCGCTTCCTCGACGTTTTGTCGGTGAACACGTTGCGAGCAAATTTAGGACTCCAGCAGGTAGGTACGTCAGGCATGATCCACCACTAACCCTGAAGCGAAGCCTCAGCCCTGGTCACGATCTACATCGACATGATCGATTCGCTGCTACTCCTCATACCAAGGCCTCTGCTCGAATGTCGATTGTCTGTGCAGGCTCGATCGGGATATCATCCTGGATCATCGGGATTAACAAGCCAGCCTCGTACGAATGCAGACCAAAACCTTCCTTTCTACGCGAGCACGGAGAAGGTGCCGCAACTACGCTCCATAGCCCGCCAAACCATAACAACGTTCATCGAAACGGTTGGCCGCAGGCGCTAACCCCGCACTCGCCTGCATTAGCCTTCACGCCAAGACGTAAGCCCCCTCCAAGCGCACGGCCTCCTGCACCCCACATCCGACCATTTGATGTTCTCCCACGACTCAGACGTCAGTGCCGCATGCCCCCCGCAAAATGCGGGGAGCTAGAAGTGTGTCCTGCCGCAGCTACATGAGCTCCAAGAGCTACCATCCCTGACCCGAAATAGAGCTCGAGGTGACACAACATTGAGGAAGAACATAGAGCTTGCATCTCAACAGCTTCGATACATATTACCTGCTGTTGTAGATGGCCGTCACACGTTGTCTACGTGGGGGTCTTATTCGTTGTCCAATTCGTACAATGCTACATCTCACCATCAATCTAACAATATCGATCTGGCGTACAGTCTCATCTGTGCTTCTCCTTGTTCCTAGGGTTTCGGATCTGCTGACCTCGTGCAGAAGAAGTGGGCCTCCATACGCAATTCAGCATTTCCCCTCAAAAGTACCGGGACACTCCGTCTGTCACTATTCGGTCCATCGCTTCATGCTGCACCCTGAACTGTCACATACTTCAGATATGTATCCTGTTGCTAGAACGAAGATTTGCATCATAAAGGCAGCTCCAATGCACACCTTGTCCTTGCCATTGTAGACATTGCTGGTGGAGAACGAACATAAGGTTGGACGGGGCCTGTCGCCCTCATTGGATACGCCTCTTCTCCGCATGTACCAATTCAGCCAAGTACCATGCCTGCTCACGAATCCCTGATAGCCTTTATCCAGTACCATTGCACTGGTAGTTCCTCACCCGGATATATTGACCAATAATCCCGAAGCTACCTCCTCAACCGCCATGCCTGAACCCCGTAGATGGCGCAGCACATTTGCGGACCCGCAAGAGTCTCATACGCCAACCGTGGCATTGCGTCTAGGTTCCTCCACATTCTTCACCAAGACAGGGTAGCTATTGGCGTCCACTTCTGCTCGCTAGAGTAGCATGCATGAGCCTAGCACATAGTATGCTCGCCCCTCTTCTGGATATGCATAATGCTCAGATCGGATCCGTAGGATGGCGGCAAGTGTAAGCTGGTACGGGTTTAGACGCTGGATCTCGTGGAAGCCGAATACCCTGGTGATGCGGGGTTTCACAGAATAAAGGAAGCAGATGCTGCTTCGATTGATGATCATGCCCAGTTGACTTGCTCTCCTGCGGTTTATTCTGTCTTACTCAAAAACAAATTGATTTTGGCTATACTACTTCAACTTCAAGATGGTGATTCCAGACGAGGTATGTATATTTCTCTCTTCGATGCACAATGTCTAACAGACACAGGTTGATATCATCGTGTGCGGTGGTGGATCGTGAGTTCATCTACGATCTCCAAGTGAGACATGTACTGACCCGAGTAGATGTGGTTGTGTCGTCGCCGGCCGATTGGCCAACCTGGACCACAAGCTCCAAGTCCTCTTGATCGAGGGTGGAGAGAACAACTTGAACAACCCATGGGTCTTTCGTCCGGGTATCTACCCGAGGAACATGAAGTTGGACAGCAAGACTGCCTCCTTCTACTACTCTCGCCCATCGGAATGGCTCGACGGACGCCGAGCTGTCGTTCCTTGTGCACACATTCTTGGCGGTGGATCTTCCATCAACTTCATGGTACAACAAATTGGTTCGGACACTGAAAGCACGGAACTAACTGTGACTAGATGTACACCCGCGCTTCGGCCTCCGACTATGACGACTTCCAGGCCAAGGGCTGGACTACCAAGGAACTGCTTCCTCTTATGAAGAAGCATGAGACCTACCAGCGCTCATGCAACAACCGCGATCTCCACGGCTTCGAGGGACCCATCAAGGTATCGTTCGGCAACTACACATATCCTATCAAGGAAGACTTCCTTCGTGCGGTTGAGACGCAAGGTATTCCCGTCACGGACGACCTTCAGGACTTGGAGACTGGCCACGGTGCTGAGCATTGGCTCAAGTGGATTAACCGCGACACCGGTCGACGATCTGACTCTGCGCATGGTTACATCCACAGCACACGGTCTGTGCACCAGAATTTGCATCTGTTGACTAGCAACAAGGTCGACAAGGTATGTAAATCTCAATGTAATGTTTAAAATGACCAGCACTGACCATGACCAGGTCATTCTCGAAGGCGACCGCGCTGTAGGCGTCAAGGTCGTGCCAACCAAGCACCTTTCAAACTCAGAAGTTCCGTCCCGCATCATCAGGGCTCGCAAGCAGATCATTGTATCTGGTGGAACTCTTAGTTCGCCTCTCATTTTGCAGCGCTCAGGTATCGGTGACCCAGAGAAGCTCCGCAAGGTTGGCGTCAAGCCGCTTGTGGACCTGCCTGGTGTTGGACTCAACTTCCAAGACCACTACCTTACGTTCGCCACGTATCGCGCGAAGCCACACGTCGAGTCTTTCGATGACTTTGCACGTGGTGACCCGGCGGTCCAGGAGCGCGTCTTCAACCAATGGTGAGCATTAGTACACAAGATCATCGAAACAGTCACTGACTTCACACAGGAACATAAACGGCACTGGTCCACTCGCCACCAACGGCATCGAAGCCGGCGTCAAGATCCGCCCCACGGAAGAAGAACTCAAGATGATGGATAGCTGGCCGTGCCCCGAGTTCCGCTCGGGCTGGGACAGCTACTTCAAGAACAAGCCCGACAAGCCTGTGATGCACTACTCTGTCATTGCCGGCTGGTTCGGCGACCACATGGTAATGCCCCCTGGCAAGTTCTTCACCATGTTCCATTTTCTCGAGTACCCCTTCTCGCGCGGCAGCACGCACATTGTGTCGCCCAACCCGTACGAAGCGCCCGACTTCGACGCCGGCTTCATGAACGACAAGCGTGACATGGCGCCCATGGTCTGGGGCTACGTCAAGTCCCGCGAGACGGCGCGCCGCATGGATGCGTACGCCGGTGAAGTCCAGGCCATGCATCCATTCTACGCGTTCGACAGCCCTGCGCGCGCGGTGGACATGGATCTCGCAACGACCAATGCGTACGCCCTGCCTGGCAATGTCACGGCGGGCATTCAGCATGGCAGCTGGACGATGCCGTTGGAGAAGGGCAAGGCGCCCGAGCCCAGCTGGTTGAACTCGAACCAGCAGGAGATTCACCGCGACCTTCACTACACCAAGGAGGATATCGAGCACGTTATTAACTGGACTAAGCGTGAGTTATTACTCTTCGTGACGAACGAGGTTGGATATAGATGACTGACATGCAACAGGCCACGTCGAAACTACCTGGCACTCCCTCGGCACGTGCTCCATGGCTCCCCGCGAGGGCAACTCCATCGTCAAGCACGGCGTCCTCGACGAGCGCCTGAACGTGCACGGCGTCAAGGGCCTCAAGGTCGCTGACCTGTCCATCTGCCCCGACAACGTAGGCTGCAACACGTACAGCACCGCGCTGCTCATTGGCGAGAAGTGCGCTGTCCTAACAGGCGAGGATCTCGGATACACAGGTAGCGCGCTGGATATGAAGGTTCCAGAGTACCACGCGCCGCGCGAGATTGTTGGCTTGTCGAGGTTGTAAATGTTGGTGGTCGTACAGTCACTCATTGCGATTGTTGTGTCAGGACGCGTCGTGTATCGTTTAAATGAGAATGTATCATGGATTACAAAATGAGTAACGTGCATCTACTCGTAGCAGAACAACCCGCAAGTCGGAACTACGTTGTCATGACAGCCGTACTAACGGTATAGCCACGACCCCAATCGTTTTACAGTTCTTGCATTGGCTGCAATTTCAGCGCAAAGCCCTCGAATAAGAAGAGAAGCTAGATTTGTATTAGGGCATGACAGGGGCAACGCTGTCTTGTATTGATTTGGCAGCATGTTAAAACTGTACAGCGCCTCCTCACAATCAGCAACCGATTACCGATTTAGTGCCCTTTTGAAGCGCGCCTGGCGCTAACATTAGATCTCCAGTCTATCAAAGCCCCGCTATTGCCACGTCACAAATCGCAACGCTCGGTACATGGGTACAAGTGAGTGCGCGTCTCTCAGCTTTTCCAAAGTGCTATGCAGCAGCGAACATACTCACTCACATCCCTGTTATCGTGCTTCCTCTGATCCTTAACTCTTTAAAAAAAATTCCGGATAAGCTCTAAATCCATTCCTCTGCACATTTCACGGATGTCTTGCTTGCATGTTGGCAACGAGCCGTCAACAAGGATAATCTGGTCGGCAACCCTATGATTCTCAACTACCTTCAATAACCCTGCTTGATCAGCTAGTATATGTTGATCAATGGAAAACTCGGACGGGCATGAGGGAACAGGCAAAATCCTCTGTTCAAGATGCCAACACCTCAACTTGAGACGCTTTCTTGTTGAGCACGAAGATCCTGGTCCTGTCGAGCTTGGAGGTTTCCAAGAAATATCAGAAAGAGAAGATTGCTTATTCTGCCAACTCATCATCGCCGCATTGAGCGCCCATTCTAAAAGTTACTGGCAAGGGAAGGTTTATCCGGTTGAGAAATGCAACCTAGGCAGAATTTTGGGCACTTCAAGGACTTCCAGACTTGTGACATGGTTCGATGCCACGTCCTCAACTCTTCCTCCGGGCATTTCTGGACACAGCACCACATATGGGGAGATTCTTCTGGTTGAGCAAATATCTTACCGACGACAGGATGTGCAAGTCGGAATCGCACGACTTGTTCAAGAATCTCGGACAGACTTCTCATTGATTCATAAGTGGTTGCATACTTGCGAAGAACATCATGGGCCAGTATGCAACTTAGAGACATACAGTCCTACCTACATTAGGTTGCTCGACTTGAAGCGCATGTGCCTTGTGAGCGGCTCCCGAAAATACCGCTACTTCACGCTTAGCTATGTCTGGGGAAACATGGTCACGTTTCAGACAACGAAATCTAACCTTTCTGAGTTAGAAGAACACGGTTCAATCTTGCGTTTGAGAGATAAGTTCCCTCAAGTCATCAAAGATGCCATATCTCTTGTTTCCGCACTTCAAGAGAGATTTCTTTGGGTTGATGCGCTGTGTATTGTGCAAGACGATGCGACAGACAAGCGAGCTCAGATCCCTCGTATGGGCATGATCTACAGTCAGGCTGCGGCAACTATTGTATCCTTATCTGGAAAAGATGCTAGTGCAGGACTCCCAGGTGTAAGAGAAGAATCGCGACGAGTCCGACAATGCTCTGTCACAATCAGCCCGTGGCAACTTTCTGCAAAACTACCAGAACTCTCTGTTGCTCTACAGAAGTCGAAATGGCATACCCGTGCTTGGACTTTCCAAGAAGCAATCCTGTCAAAAAGATGTTTGTATTTCTCAGACGACCAAGTTTATTTTCAATGCCAATCAGGCTACTATACGGAAGACTGTCATGGAGATCAGACTCGACATGAATGGGGCTCTGGATTCTCCAATCCGTTCAAACAGAAAGTCCCCGAGAGTACAGATTCCTTTTTTTCGACCTTCAATGTGTACAACAATCTGGTCAAAGGTTATTCAAGCAGACAACACACATTCAACTCAGACTCTCTGAATGCGTTCCAAGGGGTCTTATCATCATTCAACACCTTATATGGATGGCATTTCCTTAGTGCTCTACCAGAAGATGTCCTCGACCTCGCATTACTCTGGAGGCCTATGGTCACCGCAGATTTACGACCAAGAGAGTCGTTCAGTTGCGCACGAGACGCAGCTTGCAGGACACCAACGTGGTGCTGGACGTCTTGGATTGGCGATATCTACTGGGACGACTGGCGCATTGGTTCCTATGCCGGAAGTACGATATCCTTGCAACCGGCGGTTGAGCAATTCATCATTGCAACCCCTGATGGATTTCGCGGCACTCGCAAGTGGAAAAGGGACACCGACAGTGAGCGATTACAAGTGACTTTGAACGACGCGAGGAATTACATGAACAAACATAAAATCAGCTGGGACGAATCTGACAGAGAAAACAATTGCTCTGAGAATATGGTGCTCCTTTTCAAGGCATCTGCAATCGACCTCTCAAAACTTTCAATTCATTTTGAATCTAGTCATCTTGAGATCCATCCAGAGTTGTCCAACTGGGCAAAACGAGCCCGCAGACACAACGCATGGATATTTGACGGTAACGGTCGACATTGCGGGACTCTTCATGGCCTTTGTTCTAATTGGACAAACTTCCACAATCCACGTCTTTGTGAGCTCATCCTTCTATCTAGTTTCAGCCAGAAAGAAGTTATGCCAGAAGACATTGATGCGCATCGACACAGTCTACCACTTGAGTACCCATCAAGTGATGACTATTACAATGAAATGTATGACATATCCCACTACAGATACATGGACTCTTGGGCTCAGAACATCTTGCTTGTTGAATGGAGTGGCAACCTCGCTAGGCGAGTGGCTATTGGGCAGATCCATGTTGACGCTTGGACAACTCTAGGGAGCGTCACTAAAATGATAGCACTCGTTTAGATTTTCCATAATTAGATAGACATGTTCTGCGCTTTGGTGATTGACCCACGATTCACTAAGGCAGGGTAAAGTCCCAAGAGTTTCTTTGGGTCAAAGTCAAGCAAATCTGTACATTGTGGCGCCTTACGTATCGTTCACGCTCGATGGGAATCAGGCATTAAAACACTTTTCTTTTCTCAATGGATCAGTGGTGATGATCCTGAAGAGGCGGCTCATGAGTACTGATCGTGATGAATATTGGTCCATAGTGGCACGCTCGTGAAAAGGTGACGGGCGTGGCTGTGTGTCTTTATGAGAGGCTTCGCATCGTTTTAGGGGTTGTCGCCGTGTTGCGTTGCGCGCAGCGGAGTCGTAGGACTTTCCTGTAAAGTTCGTAAAAACTTCTTCGTTGTCGGGAATAGCAGAGATGCGAATTATTTTGCCTTTTGGGCCAAGCTACAGTGACGTCGGGTTCTTACCATCATCTATGCCCTCAGCTGTTAAGCGGACAGTCATGGCGAGGTCCCTGACCGACAAAACAGGTCTCGGGTATGGTAGAATACGGTATTTTACCAGAAGATCCTGAGCTGTGTCAGTGAGGGTTGGTGGCGGCTCTGATTTGAGAACGATGGTTAGAGTTACCACTCGACTCGTGATCGTCCAAGTATTAATCGCCGCCCGCATTCCAACTGTCTACTCTGCCTTTTTAGCGATGCTGTTCATTATTTCAGCTTTAGTAAAGACACTGCATACGTTACAATCACAGTACAATCTTATTACTACCCTCGCAGTGCGCAATGCAGCTTTTACTACAAAGAACGATCGTTTCTAAATCAGGCAGGAAGTCGCCTACACAGGCATGAATTTTCTATACGCTTATTATAGAGGGTTTAGAAATAGTCATAGCATGTAACTAGAGACTGACAAAACAACATTTAAGGCGCGTGTGGAAACGCATTTGCTGCAAAGCTGAAGTACCTACAGTTTGTTCAGTTACAGGGGTTGTTCCGCTGTAGGTAGATGCACATTATACAATCATCCCTTTACAAATTGGGTGTATCAATAAGAAGTATGCCTCCGCGCTATGTTTCGTGTCCTGTGCGTTCGCATGTGACGTCTGTTTGCTGTCCGTGCGTCTCAATGTCTCTTTCCTGACCTTCCTCTGCAGGGCGGACTGTTTGGTACGCATGTGTGTCATGACCTGAACGCCGAGCGCCCAGACACAAGCTGAATCTCATTCCCGTCAGACAAGACGCTGTCCATCATTCATATCGAAAAATTCGTCATCGCGCTCGGCGTATCCCATAACGCATCCCATGAGAAGTCAAACGCATTAGGATCCAAAATATCCGAAAGGAGAAATGTCGTGTCGTCGAAATTCGGTGGTAGAGTAGTCGGTGGCTCCATTGCTCCCGCGCCATTAGGTATTATGCTTCCGTTCATGTTAGCCAGCTCAATCTCAGATGGCTGGGGCAGCTCTCGAGCATTGAGCGACGCGATCCGCTGTACTGGCTCCGCGCATCTCTCGAGCGCGTAGATCGCAATGTCCCAGTCGTAGTTATCTCTTGCGTGTTGCATGTGCGCGATCACGCGCTCAAGCTTCGAAACCATGTCGTTGCGGATTTCAGAATCTTTTGTCTCGACCGTACAGCGCAGGGAGACTGTGATGGCGTGCACCAAGATCTGTGTGGCGTATGGAAGCCAGAAGTCCTGGAACTGGCTTTCGCCAAGGCTCAGTACAAAGTCAAGGATAGAGGACGATGCGAGACGTAGTTGTTCCATGCGCGCTCTTCCGAGACTGCCGTCGCCGTCCAGGATAGCTGATCGGAAAGTTACACGTGCAAGTATCAGCCGAATGCTCAGAAAGCACAACCATAACATCGAAGATCCAGCGCGCTTTGGCAAGGGCATCCAGCTCGGCAACTGAGCCTCCATATCTTCCAGCTGCTTTTTGAATCTCGTGACTTTTCGTGCCAGCTCTTCCCTATCCGGGTCCAATTGATAAACCAACGGCAAAATGTCGCCCAGCAGCTCTGTCAATTCGCACAAGTGCACAAAACATGTCGTCGCGTGCTTTTGTTGAGGCGTTGAGCGCGCTGAGATCAGGCTGCTGACGGTTGGTCTGGGAACGTCATAGTAGCCTTTGGAGATGTACGGAGGCGCACCATACGCCATGCTGGACCAGTAATCTGTTATTAAGCAGCACCACCACAGCCTTACCCGCACTGACTTCTCATTCTCCGTGATGTTCCATTTCGAAGGGTCGCGATGCAAGCCGAACGTCTGTGCGAGAGATATCGTGCGCCCGCATAATGTGATATTTCCGACAATGGAAACAGACGGTCTTCCCATTTGATCGAGCACGGCAGCTTGAATGGTCGGCATCCCAGGACTCAAAAAGTCCTCAAGCGTTGCGGAAATACCCTTGTTCCACACATAATACGTATCCGGTCTTGGATGCATTTTCAGGGTTTCTGAACGCGTCCATAGTGGCGATCCCAAGGCATAAATGACACACATGAGGTTATTTGGAACTTTTGAGAACTGCCCTGACCGTAAGAGATCGCAGGTCTCGTCGTCGAGAATAGGGAAGTGGTAGTGCACGTGATTGAAATACAGTTCGACGACTTCGCGTTTGAAAGGACCCAGAATCTGTTCCACAACCTCACGCTGCTCTCGTCCGCATCCCGAGCCGGGGGGTAAACCGGTACGAAATCTTGGAACAGATGTGTATACGACTGGATCGTTCACATCATGGCGCAAAGTTTGATATTTGGATGGTTCCGAGTCCTCACCGCCAGGATTGCGATGTTGTGAGATATGTCGGTTGAAGATGTCAACGTCCTCCGCCAAATGCGGTGCCAACATAATAGACGCAGAGGGATTAGTACTTTGCTTGTGCAAGATGGGCGCTGAGCGTGGTCGCGAAGGGCCTTCCTCGGGTTCGCTGTGTCGTCTTCGCTTTGCTGGTCTTCCGCTTCCGCCATCTTCTGTTGGTGAATTGTTGGCAGTTGTACTTTCAATGTACTGGCATTTCAAGCGCCTCTCTCGACAAGACAGACACGGCTCTCCGGGAATGTCGATGTGGCATCTTATCTTGCGCGAGCGACATCGGGTGCAGGCTGGGACTTTGTGACTCCTGTATGGCCGTGTTTGGATGGGCGCAGCGCTAGCCATCGAAGCTGATGTCCTAACAGTGTCGCCTGGTGAGCATACAGAGGAAAATATCTGATAATGGCAGTTAGATTGAATATGATAGGTGCGCCTTGCAGGGCAGGAAAGATGGGATTGGATGCGGTTTGCAGAAGTTGGCTGGAAGCTTCGGCTAAAACTGCCCCACTAAGATGGCGCCTTCCTCAACTGTACCTTGGGAGCACTTCGTCCACTGAAAGTACTGAAACCATCGTGATTTTTCAGGGAGTATTCCAGTGTTAAAACTAGCATGGCCTTCCATTTGTGTTCTTGCGATGCGACTGCTTAATGATGCAAGGTGCCCGTCAGCTGGAGTAATATTGAAGTAGAGGACTTAAACTCTTCCGTGTACTTGAAAGGAGCTTCGCAGACTGTCAAGATGCCACATGTTTGTGGTTGCTCATGGAAAGCACGATTAGACTGATCATAGCGAGCGGGCGTTGAGCGGATCATGTCACTAGTAAGGTGTGTTTGTAATAGTATGACTTCCTGTACGCGACTGCGGGGAAGCGAAATTTTCCGTCTCGCTCAGAGCACTACATTAGGATAGCAGCGTTACCACCCTCACAATACGTACTATATATTGATTCTAATTTGATTTTGACACATCTCAGCTTACCTGACCAACCGATCGTTTGATCGGATCCGCCCTCTTGGCTTAGTGGTAAAGCGTATCACTAGTATTGCATGCTATGATAAGATCGCTAGTTCGATTCTGGCAGAGGGCATCTTCTTTTTGAACTGACGACGAACCGGTCAGGATGCGCGATGGACGCGCGACATTTTTGGATGATCGACGGGCATTCAGCGTCGTTGTTTCACCATTTTGTAAGACTTACACGCCATCTTTTTGGATGGGGTACTGATGCAGATCTTCTCGGCATTCAAGCAAAGAACTACCAACCCGTACATTTCGCAGGACACAGGTTGCCACACAGGGGCAAATTTACTGTCGTGCGACAGCCTCGGAAGCATGAATCAGCAATCTTCTCGTGATTGAGCTTCGCAGACGTGTTGTGCACCGCCCTCGGCTCCAACCATATAGCGTTATTGTGCTGACGATCCCCGAAATTGCGACTCGTTCTTCCACCGGCTCGAAGAAGCAATTCAGGCGCTCACCTCCAACGACGAGCCTTGCAAGACAGCTTGGTAGCAATTACCGGCCCCATTTCGACACCCTGGTACGTCATATATGTGACATTCTCTTTGATGGTGCTCATAAATAACTGTCGACCTGGCGACTGGGACTGGAATGCTGTGGCTGCAGCCGTGATGAGTGCTACGTTCAGCCACAGCACAAGCTGGTGGATTGAAACAGAGGATGAGCTTGTCTGGACGGCGCCGACAAGCCTTCTCATCCGCGCAGAGGCGCCGATAACCCTCGATAAGGGGTTCCTGGTGGTGCTTCCTCCAGCGCAAGCGCGCGAAAATAGCACGAGCTCATCAGCACCCGCAGTAAGTTAGATGAGTCTGAGTCGGCCAATCAACGGCCGGTGCCTGAATCCTAACGTGCCGCCAATACCGAACGGGGTTAAAGGAGAGATGAACTGGGCACGGCCCCGCGAGTTTGTTTGGTCAGGCACGCCGACGTTTCGAACGCGGGTTGTCCTCTCAGCCGTGTCTCGTTTCTCGCGCCTGCCTTCGCTCGCTCTCCCGTGCCTTCACCACTACCTCACCTAATTCTCCCACCCTCTCGCGGCCGTGCTGTGTTCGTCCTTCGTTCATCGAGCGCAGCCAGTCTCGCAAGTCACTCTTTACCACCACACCCATTTACATACACTCCTTCATGTTTAGTACCTAGTCACGATCACATTCCACGACAATCGAGCCATTCAAAGCCCAGCCCGAGACTGCGCATTCCTTGCAGCCTTCCGACCTCCCTTGAGCCTCACTTGCCACGATTGTAAATATCCGCCCGTCCTCTCTGTCTGCGCATCTACGTAATCGCATCAAACAACTACTATTGTCCGGACGCGGGTGACTTCGTTTCCCGGACCAACAACTAATTTCGCCGCTGGAATCCTCGCCGACCTAACTTCTATTACTTGCGACACCGGATTCGACTCTCCAGTTGCGCGACACCACACACAGCATGGCGCACCACCACAACCATGCGCACCTTGTGCGACGACAGAGAGACGACGACGATGATAATGGCAACGCTGTGGTCGTTACAACTGTAAAGGTTGTGACGGCACCCAACACCTACACCGTGCCTGTTACCTTCGTCGGTCCAGACGACGACAATGGCCCAGCAAGGATCACTCTCGGCCCGCCAGCACAGCGCCCATTGCCGCCCAGCACTACCAGCGCTACCAGCAAGGGAGACACAAAGGGCTACGAGCCAAGCCAGCTGAGAGCGTTATCAAGCCATCAATCCGGCCTTCGTCAGCAAAAGATAGCGCGCAACAGAGCACCCTCATGGTCGCGACCAAGCCGCCAACACCAAGTCTGGCCAACGCAGCTGGGACTCTTGCTGCCTCTGCCTCTGCTACTATCTCGGCGGCTGCTTCGGCAGGCTCGTCAGAGGGCATGTCTGGAGGAGCCAAGGCTGGTCTAGCTCTCGGTATCTTGGTGGGAGTTGGTGCGCTCCTCGTGGGCATTTTGCTTGTGTACCGCCGCAAGAAGAACCAGATGGCTCCGACCAAGGACGACGAGAAGATATCCATGCATAACGCGCCCGCGCCACCGCCTCCCCAGGTGCAATTCACTGCCGCTCCCGCAGCCCCAAGTGTACGGACTGAGCGCACCATGTCCACCGCGCCCCGTCTTAGTCTGAGGCCTGTCACCCAATTCGATCCAGCTTTCGAGAACGGTAACAAGAGTGGAAACAACATGCTGGGTGTCGCCGCCGCTGCACCTCTTACACCGTCCAAAGAGCGTGACCTTCCGGACCGCCCAAGAAGCGCTTGGGAGCGACCCGGAGCTGCTGCGAATGTGCCAGCTGCTGAGAACCCATTCAGCGATCCCCACTCTGGTCCTCCTTCTGCCAATCCGTTTGGAAACAATGCCGCGGTCGATGCTTCCCAGTCCAGGATCCCAGATTCGCCTCCCAACGCCTCTCCATTGCACTCCACCTCGCCCAGCACCGACTTCGCCAACCCCGCCCCTGTCATCGCTGCCGCAACTGCCATGTCTTCTGCACCACCTGCCCAGAGCCTCCCTGCGCCACCTAGCATCAACGCTGCTTCAGAGGGAGTACCTCCCAGCCCCGCTTGGACCGAAGATCTGCCTGCATCGCCTGGCCCTGCCCCTACCGGTGCTCTTCCTGTTGCTGGTGCTCATTCCAACGGCCCTGCACCTGCTCCCAACAACGTCCATCGCGTCCAGCTTGACTTCAAGCCGTCCATGCAAGATGAGCTCGGTCTCAACGCCGGTCAGCTCGTCAGGATGCTGCACGAGTACGATGACGGCTGGGCGCTCTGCATTCGCATGGACCGCTCCCAACAAGGTGTAGTTCCCCGTACTTGTCTGTCCAAGCACCCCGTCAAGCCTCGTGGTGGTCCACCTCGTCAAGCACCGCCCCCAGGTATGCGCGGACCTCCCCTCCGCTCTCCCATGGGCCCTGGCGGCGTTCCTCAACCTCGTCCGCTCTCGCCCGGCAGCGGACCCAACTCGCCTCATCCATCTGCCAACGGTCGCATGTCCCCTTCTCCTCACGCCATGAGCCCCGGACCTCGCCAGATGTCCCCTCAGATGCAAGGACCTCCTCGCGGCCGATCCAACAGCAACGCACCACAGCAAGGCCCCCCTCGTGGACGCTCGAACAGCAACGCACCGTATGCCGCTCCTCAGCGCTCAATGTCTCCCGGCCCGTATGGCGGCGGACCCCAGATGGCTCCTCCCCCGCAGATGGGCCGTCCCAGATCGAACTCGGCAAACCAGGCTGGTAACATGCGACGAGGCCCCGCTCCGGCGCTGAGTCCCATGAATCCCAACGCCGGTCCCATCAACCCTGGCGCTGGTCCCATGCCTTCGCGGAAACCCGTCCCTGGCATGGCTTTGTGAGCGTACTGGCTCGATATGAGTCTTGACGAGGATATGTTTGCGCATTTCCTTTGTATTTGTCCGTCATCTTTTCGAATACCTACTTGCTTTTACTTCTCCTTCTCGAAGCATCACTCCTCCTAATTTGGGGTAGCACTCAAACAACGACGAGTGGTGCCGGCTTCACTGTTTATAGCCTGAGGCGCTCTCGACCTGATCTAGCCATAGACCAGGTCAGGACGTTCTCTTTTAGTTGATAATGTCTTGAAGATATTTTGGAACCTGTCCGTAGGGAAGGTCGGACGGATAGGCTGGATCGCATTTCACTCTTTCTTCTTTGCCGGCTGAGCTTGCTGCATTTCTAAGCTTGTCAATTGAACTTGGCGAAGGACTGGGATTTTGAAATCTGAATTGAAAATGTTGGGTTTGGATATGGATCCACTTTTGGAGGTACTTAGGTTAGGTAGGAGAATTCATGAGTACAACTGAACTTTCTCGTCTGCCTTGCGTGTCGTGCGTTCTTTCAATTGCCAAGCGTGATTCTCATCTTTCTCTACTTGATTTGTAAACTTTCTCCACCAGTTTCGGGGTTCTGTGAGGAGTATGCAGCGTTCGACAATAGTGAAAATATCCGAGCTTTCAGCGGGAGGATTTCCACCTTGCAAGAACTAAGGGTATTCACACAATTGAGTACGTTCCACTGTACTGGAAAAGGAAGCGCATAGTGTTAGAATCGGCGATGCGAGCACGATGGCGAAAATTGCCTTGCAAGGCACGTGGTTTGAGCTGCGTCTTGTAACATTTAGGGTTTGCACACGTAATAGTAGGTCGCGGCAGCTGCCGAAGAAAACTACACGACAGTGAACTTCACGTTGGTTCTCCGTCTCGAGTCCCCGTGTCGACTCATGTCCCCGTGGCATGCAAGGGCGGGTGTCGACAGCATGGATGGGAGCGCAGCAGCGAGGATAGGAGCGCAGCAGCGAGGATGGGAGCGCAGCAGCGAGGATAGGAGCGTAGCAGCGAGGATGGGAGCGCAGCAGCGAGTATAGGAACGTAGCTGTACTTACACTGTTAGGGCCTAGCAGATAGCTGTACTTACACTGTTAGGGCCTAGCAGACGGCCCGAGTCCCGGCGTCTGGTCGGCTTCCAGCGCCCCCTTGCAGCTTTTCGCCTTGAAGCTGTTAGACGTAGGATCACGGGTATCTCCCGGCGCCGTGCTAATGGGCTGCCTGAAACCCTTCGCCTACCGTTCTTGTTGAATAGTCGGAATACACTAGGAGAATCTAACCTTGGCATAAGCAGCGTCCACGCTCGGTTGTTCAATCGACCAGGTCTACCAGGTGCTATGAGCTTTCTCGCCAGCACAATCAAAGCGTAGCTTAAATACACTGCCCGCGCCTCATCGTTCTTGCAATGTACTTTCATACAAAGGTCGAGACACGGCCGCTTTCAAAACCAATTTCTATTTCAGTTTTCAAACTTCAGCATCATCAACTATTTCATCGTACTCCTTTATCAGTAACGGTTCTTGTACATTTACCGTTCTGATCACCCTCAGCCTGCCCGATTACACCTGTATCCGAGCACTTCAATCCACACATTATCCACATCTCCTGAAGGCTTCTGGTGCTACCAAACCATCGCAACAACCCTCCCCAAGTCTTGTCGACATGGTCAACAACGGTACGAGATTGCTTCTGCTTAGATGAGGGTGAACTATGTTACGTCCCCATACTGATCTGTAGAATACACAGATAGTGAATCATCCCCGAATGGTGCATCAGCGTGGGCCAAGGAAGCTATCATAGCTTGCACAACCCTCATTCTCATGGCGGCCTTGCCTGGCTTAAAAAAATCGTACAGGTGGACAGCTCGAAGACTGAATATAGCGCATCCAAGATTGTGGCGAACGCGAAGAGAAGCAGTGGATGGTATGTGCTTCTCTACGCGACTTCGAGAGTAACAATCGGTCTAACGAACTAGTGGACACGGAGCTTCTTCCTCTTCAATCCTTGTCCGACCATAAAGGCTGGGCCGGCATGGCGGATGTGCGCCGCTATCAGCAAGATACATATACGTCTAATATACGGATGCGACGCGGTCCAGCTAGAAGACGTTCTTTGTAATTCGCATGGAATCGGAAAACATACACAAGTACAATTGCATGTTGCCTCACATAATTCGGTGGGTAGGAGATTTACTCTACAAAACGCCTGCTTCTCATTGTATCAAAATCTGTGTCTGGGCGTAGTCGCCATAATCGAGCTGGAGTAAGACAAACCTGAATGCGGTCATCGCATGCTGTATGAATCTAAGCTACGAAAACTTGACACTTCACCGAAGCCCGCGACTCCGTCACAACCAGCCTGAAAGGAGAACGTCGTCCGAGTACCAATATCTATATATGTACTATCTGTTTTGTCCACTCGACGCTTTTAGCGATGCAAGTCCCTTGAGCTTACTTCGACGCGACAGCGCTTGTACCATGTTCGCGGGATAAAGAACCACCTTCCCCGCAACTTTGGTTCTTACTAGGGCCATTAAATTATCAAAAAATAGAAGCGGAGAATCCATTGGCTGAAGCGCAATGTTCCTCCGTGTGCCTACAGGCTTTAGCATTGCCACTGTTGACGCTTCGTTAGCCTACACCGAGTACCGCAACCATGCGCATTCGGTGCACTGGTATTCTATCCGTTGCGCAAAGCTTTTTTCAAGAGGTTCCCATTTGTTACCTGAAGCCAGAGCTATATCTAGTCGGCCATGAACTGGTAATGCAAACTCGAGAAAGTCTTCCACTTCGCAATGTACAAGAATTTCCACTGGACCATTGCAACAACTGACAAACTTTCTCCATACACAATGACAACCAACAGTACGTAATTAGGCCTAACTGGTGCGGCTCCACGTTGAGTTCACCAGGGCAATGCTAACATAATAAGCCACCTATGTCCTTCCCACCTCTCCTGTCAGCTCTTCTTGGTCAAAAGAGGCTATCCTCGCCTTGGTGGCCATCATCATATCGCTCGTCATGTCCGGTCTAGGTTTTCTCTTCAAGCATAGGTTGAAAACGTTCTTTCCACCCAGGCTCAAAAGACGCCGGTCGGTTAGGGTCACACAAGGTGCGTCCAAATAGCTGGTGAACGAGCCTTTAACTGATATATGCAGATATTGAGCTCGCATATGGATCCCACACCGATACAAGTTGCGAATGGGTGGATATAGAACGGATCAGAAGGTATCAACAGGATACATATACTTCGCTCCTCCATACGCGGCACGGTCCAGACGGTTCACAAAAGTGAGAGACCTTACTGAGTGGATGATGGTCGTGGAGTGACCAGGCACATATATCGGCGCACGCAAGGCTGAATGAATCAGGTAGTGCTATTCGCGAGCGCCTGGCGTGGAGAACAACAAAAAGTTTTGCAGATTAATAGAGGCAGGAAATTGTAATGCACTTCATGTCAAGAGTAACGAGCATTGTCTGCTCTTCTGGTGGTTCAGCGTCAGCAATGGTATCAGCCGCATGTACACATAAGGGCTGACCATCAGGGCAGGCGCAAGACGCGACCTCAGCCAATTTCATCCTCTGCTGATAGGTAAGACGAACGCGCCAGCCTAGCCGCCGTTTGAAAATTTTGCGCTTGAGAGTTCTATGAGGCTGTTTTGACCATCACGATCATTAACTTGTATATGTTGACCGTGGTCGCGTTGAACCACACTTTCGCTTCATATTCACTCCCAAAACTCGCTAAATACAACTCAAGCCAACAAGCATAAGCAATATGTAGGGTTTGGATAGACGTAGGCTCAATATTGTTGGTATGCTAGGACTGATGGTTTCGCAACAAAGAGGCGTGAAACCGGCGATTGCATAACCCTACTCGAAGGCCGCTCTGTAAGTAGGTAGATACACTGTAGACTTACGCTTGACGATGGGCGTGATGGAACACAGCCTAGCTTTCTACAGTAATTTTTAAGTCGCAGTGCAAATGAAGGTGGGTATGGAGCTAAACGCGGCCTAGGGCATCGAGGCAGTGCAATACAGCCAAGCTGTGAGACCTACAACAAAGTCGATCAAGACTGGATTTAAAGCCATCGCACTTTTTCTTGCATTGATCTTCTATCTTTCCAACACAGCGTTTGTTACTCTTCAGTGCTTAGCCACGATCCACTGGACCACACCACTACGTTACAGGTCCATGACCTCTTGAATCACCTAGCGAACGAACACATCCTATAAATTTTGTGATATCCATCAAGACACACTGAATATACAACAAATAGCGCCCTGATACTAAGCTTTCGGTTCTCCAACTTGGCGGATTTATCCTCCATTGGATAGGTCATCATGGATGCAAATGGTACGCAGCTCTCTTTTCCCGAGTCCTTTTGAATCAATTTGGACTCAAAATATTCAAGATACCCTATCCCAGCCAACTCCCAGTGGAAGGAGCTCTTGGTCCAAGGAGGCTGCATTTGCTTGTGCAACTATCCTTCTCATGGCTCTAGGACTGGCCATCAAATACAGACGCGAATTGCGGGACTTAGTACACTCAAAGAATCGGCCGTGGTTAAGATGGTTCCGGAATGGTAATTGAAGCAACTAGATGTACGTCGTATAGCTGTGGCTGACAAAATTAGACAACATGTTTCTTCTGCCACGTCGGAGCTCCGGGTACAACAGATTGGGTTGAGTTGAAAGTTGTTCGACAATCGCAACAACTAAAGTATACGTCTGAGATGAGTGGGCGCCGCGGTCCAAGATCTACGCCTCGCGGTTGATACCGGACCTTGATGTCCTAGATGATTTGCGAGGGTGGATGACCTTGTCAAGTAGGAAATGAAAATAGCATAACTAGAGGCTTGATATGCATACATTCCTGGGTTTGTGATTTGGAACAATTTCTTGCAAAAACTCATGCGAGAGCATGCACTGACGGAACCCTGGCAGAGGATGATATCTTACTTGATGAAGGCCGGCTCGAGTGTACAAATTAACGGGACGCCGCCAATATGAGCTTACCCCGCATGATCCAACACATCGCCGCCCCAGTGCATCTAGTTAGTGAGACGGTAGGAGTTCAAGAGGGACTGGAAGTGCCGCCAAGCCTTTTCCTCCTCCAGATGGACGAGGAAAAGAGCTGTGGCGGTCTAATCATGCGCCAAATCTTCGGCTGACTGAACTCCTGAATTAGCTAGGACCCTATTTGAACTATCGCGGCCAAAATTGTACGCACCCAAGTCTTCGGCGAGCAATTCATTGCCGTTATGTATCGTGCTCTCTCTAAGAAAGCTCTCGCCTGCTTTCGTAGCTAAACCTTGGGTGAGCAAGGTACCGCCGGTCTGAACTGCGCTCTCTCCGGGAGAGCTCTGGACAGCTTCGATAGCTGAGCTTTCGACAACAAGTGCGCACCCGTCTGTCTTGCGATGCTCTGAGCAGCTAGGCGCTCGCACGTCTCCATTTGTATGTGTCGAGTGATCATAGCCTGAAGCACCCCTTCGTGCGCATATCGATGAGCACTGGTGCCGATCACCATCGAGTCCGCACGTATTACTTCTGACACCAACTCAGCGGGCCGGGTGGTTTGCTCTGTCGCCTCTCGTCCACCGGTTTCTTGCGCGCGAATTTCTTGGTTCTTGTGGTGGACCGAAGCCCGATTCGTCTGTCATTCTGCTTCGTATCGTGTACGAGGATGTTGACCGGCGGACGCGCAAGAATCTTGAGCATATTACTGTCGCGTGGGCACACGGTCCCGGGCTTGGCGCGTTTGCGGTAACACTGGACAGCCGTTTTGAACACGCAATGACAGGCTGTATGATGACGAAAAGATGGGAGAATGAAAGAATTGTAGCTTAATGCATGATCATGGGATGGACTAGGTGAGAATGCTTGCTTGTGGAAATTAATATACCTTCAAGACGTAGACGATTTGCCGCAATACCTCTGTCTAGGTATTACATGAAAGGCTTTTTAGACAGAACAATGTTCGCATCAAAGATAAGACGGGGATGAAATGGAAGGGGTATCTTGCTGTTTAAACCTTTGCTTGGTCTTAGCCTAAGAAGCCTCTCCACAAATAGACTTTTCGAGGTCAATGATAGCGCGTCTCTTTCCCCAACACATGTAACACTGGACCCCAAAACATATTCACGAGAACGAGATTGTGCGAAGAGGCGTTGTGACTGAAGTTTTGGATATGCACGATAAGAACGCTGATGAGCGAGGTTAGATTTGACGTAATTACTAGCGCATCGGAAGCCGGAAAGTTCCGCTGTTGGTCGTGAGGTATGACGCTTTGCGGAGCGACACCTGCAGTGGGGCATGTCATGCGAGCGATACAGTGGTCTACCGTCAGCAGCATCAAAGAAGGGTGTGCCTTCGCTCGCATGATCCGTCGCAGGTGATGTCTATGGCGCGAAATGTTTGCTTACCATCTTCGGTAAGCACTTTTCGAAGCGCTCCAAAGTTGTGCGATGGTCGAGTGTAGTTACTCCACATCAACTACCCCATCATCATGTCGACATTCAAAGACTACTTCCCATGGACCGCATCTCCCCTGATCATCAACGCCCCGATGGCAGGCTTTGCAGGCGGTGCCCTCGCATCCGCCGTCACGCTCGCGGGTGGTCTAGGGTTAATAGGCAGCGCCCTCAGTATGTCCGACGCCCGCAAAGAATTGCTCATCGCATCTGAAGCTCTCACATCCATATCATCATCAAACCTTCCCATTGGCATCGGCTTTCTGCCCTTCTTGCTCAAACTAGACGACGTCGTGCCCATAGTGCAAGAATTCAAGCCCGCCGTGATATGGCTGTTCGCCGCGAAAGAGCTAGACGACTACGCAGAATGGGCTGCAGTATTGCGCAAGGCGTCGCCGGAAAGCAAGGTCTGGGTGCAAGTGGGGAGCGTTGCGGCGGCTTTGCACGTCGCGCGAGCAGCGAAGCCGGATGCATTGTGTCTTCAAGGCGCCGATGCAGGCGGGCATGGATACGAAAAGAGCGCGGGCATCGTATCGTTGGTGCCGGAAGTATGCGACGCCTTTGAGCGCGAGGGCTTGTCGGACATCTCTCTCGTCGCATCAGGCGGTATTGTTGATGGCCGGGGTGTCGCTGCTGCGCTTGCGCTCGGCGCGCAGGGCGTGGTGATGGGTACGCGATTCCTCGCGTCGAAAGAAGTGAACGTACATCCGGTGTATCAAGCAGCGGTGCTGGAGGCACGTGATGGTGGACAAGTAACGACGCGCTCGAAGTTGTTTGATCAGCTGCGTGGGCCGAACATATGGCCCGGGATGTATGATGGACGCAGTTTGATGATGCAGAGCCATAAAGACTTCGTGGACGGAGTGAGTATCGAGGATATCCAAGAGTCGCACAACGACGCCATAGGTGCGGAAGATAAGGGGTATGGTACGGGCCTGCAAGGCAGAGCTGCGATATGGGCGGGTACGGGATTGGGCCTGGTGAATGAGGTGAAAAGCGCGGCGGAGATTGTGGAAGAAGTGAGAGCGGGAGCGAGGGAGGTTTTGGCAAGAACGGTCAAGCTATAGGCACAACAAAGCTTCACTTGCTCTTTGCTACTTCGGCAGTACGATAAGTACGCAGCAGCAAGTCGGTTACGGGTTTTCACTTGACATCTGCCCAACGCAAAGGCCTTCGTTCAGTTGTATCTGTAAGAGCAAAGTGTTGTATGCAATGATCCGCCCAGCGCGCACAAACACAAGAAATTATTCCAGCAGCCAACGCACTATACCTGATATACCCCACCTAATTCCTCCTCTCCCCATCGAACAAACATCAAACACCCATTGGCTCAGGTTCACGGTTTACCATGGATCTACCCTCTTACCCATAGTGGTATTGAGGTTTAGCTAGGCCGGGGTTCGAATACTTCTCAGAGCGCTCAGTTTGCAACAAACTAGAGCTCCAAGATATCTCCTCAGGCTGTCATACACTAGGAGGAGAAGTGAAAGAGGCTGGAAGGAGGAGCAAAGATTAGGGTCGGTCAATTAATTAAGAAAATAAGAGTTTCTTCCCCTCAAGGGTTTTCTTTTTGTATGTTTCCTTTTGGATGATTGTCATAAATTTTGGCTAGCGGGACTTTTAGTAGTACGTGAATGCAAACGTGAAGCATCCTCATCTAAGCAAAGTTCCTGGTCTGGCTTGTATCTATCAACACCTCAGACCCCGCCACTCTGACCAGTGTCACTACCAGGTTGCTATCCAAGTGCAAAATTTAACATGGCTTTGCCGCCTTCTGATCTCCCCAACTGTGTATCGTCGCTCGACATGCGCTGCCGTCGCAATACGCAGTGGGGACACCGGTGATGGTGATGACCGCGCTTGCTGTGCGGGCCATCTCCCAATGGCCAGCGAACATCAGAAAGGAACATGAAACTGAGACTCTTCGGTAGACTGTTGCGCATGCGTGTCATGGCCCGTGTAATGCAAGCTGATATGGAGTGTCAAACAATTGAGAAAGTAGATTGCGACATATCGAATTTCAGAACAGGCTACGCTGTGGGTATAAAACCATGTACACGCGACAGGGTAAGAGAAGAGGTTCCGCCAAGGTTTGTATAGTTGCAGAAGAGAAAGTGGTCAGCCCGGCGCCGCTTTGCTACCGGGGAACTGTTAGGCGCCCCTCGGGCTGCCACCCGGCCCTTTGTTGAGCAGACCGGAGAAGAAAGACATGAGCTTTTCGTTGTCCATCTTGCCAGCTTCTTGCGTTGCTGGAGGCGATCCTGGCTCGTTACCGCGGTTTGCTTCGCGATCCTGCAGAATGGTTAGCTCTGTGTCAATCACGCATTAGACTTTGACTAACCTGCAAGCGCTTCACCATCTCATCCGCATTGACTTGGATGCCACCCATGTTGAACTGCACAGGTCCAATGTGCTCTTCCACAACTCCGGATGCGTCTTCCATGTATGTTCGCGGTGCTGGGGTATCACTCTCTTTCCTCGCGGCCTTCATGGCGGCCTCGTTCTCGTCTTCACGCCGCAATGTCTCCAGCAAAGTGACCTGTTCGTTCAGGAATACTTGCGGGTCCTTGCTCGTAACTTCAATACCGTTACTCTGCCTCGACATGGCCGATAATGGGTAGTCGCTCTCAGGATTACGAATGGTGTCTTCGTATATCGAGGTGGCGGAGGGACCGTCCTGCTGCTCTTCCTCTATAACAGGCGACGGCTCTGGCTCGCCGTTTGCTTGGCCCTCGGCTTCGACCGGCGCTGACGCTGGTGTCTGTCCATTTGCGATTCGCATGTGGCGGGGAATTTCGATATCGACACTCCATCGCTCACTGACGCCCTCAACATCAAAGCCCTCGCGCAGAATGCGTATCTTTGCCCAAGAATCCCAGTTCGGCGGTACCAATACCCGGTCACGGTCAGTCACGTTGTGTCGTAATTGCTCCTGCTTGAGTAGCGACTTGATGCCCAGTGTCGAGTGAATCAAAGTCTGTAATGAGCCAGGTGCTGTTGGCATAGTGTACACCAAACTTGATCCGTGCTTGAGCAGGATAGTGCGCAGATACTGCAAGATGAAGTCGAACTCCTCCTCTTTCCATCCCCGCTCCTTTTCGAGCGACTCAATCTTGTCGGCGTTCTGACACACGACACACAGAGGTATGCCGAGCGGTTCGTCCCACTCTCCAGGGCCCAGTGGAATCTTGACGTCCTCCATGCTGCTGGTTCCTTCAGCTCCAAGGCTGCGGCCCTTGTCCTGCAGAAGCTGGATATTCTCTTCAAGGACTATTTTCGAAGCATCGTCCAGGGATAGGATGAGTGAGCGCAATACGCGTATCCAATCGCGCAGTTGCCGTATCCACAGCCAGGGGTGGTTCCAGTCCAGCAGTATTACTATGAGCATGTTTGGTAGTGTGCGGGGGTTCAGGTAGGGCTTGATTAAAGGGGTGAATGAAGGCGAAGGGTTGGCGAGAAGGTATAGGGAGAGGCGAGCGAGTGTGTCTAGCAGTGTCAGTGTCTCAACAGCCCAGCGACAAAGTACGTGCCATACCTTCATGATCAGTGTCCAGGACATCTTGGTAGGTGTAGCCCAGGGCAAACTGATTCGCGATAGGCGGCTTCCTTCCTCGGTCTGGCGGTCTGCGGCTGTTCGCGCCTTCCGTCGACACTGACTCCAGGAATTCTCGCTGTGTCTCTGGGGTTCCGCCTGGACCCTCGTTAGCTCCTTCCCCAGCTTCTCCTGTCGACAATCTCACCTAGCACGAGCAAGCTCTTTTCGGGCAGGCGCTTCCCGCTCGAGATGTTGTCCAGCATGGGCTTCCATATCTCCTCCTTCTCCGTATCTCTGCTATTCGGCCGGTCATGGTGCGTCCGCGAGGGGAAGTTGGATGTCCGATGTGCGCTCGCCATTGCGGAGGTGCTGCGGAGCTCGCAATGCGGGGACAAGACGTGTTGTCAGGGGGAGAGCTGGTGGAAGAGTCGCTGTACGCGTCAGAGATGGGCAAGCGCGACGCGACGTGCAGTGAAAGGCTCGCGACTGCGTGGTGGTGGTGATTGTTCGGTGCTGGTGTTGGGGAGCTTTTGTGCAGGGGTCCACGTCTGTTGCGTTGCGGTGCCTGCCAAGACCGAGCTTCAAAAAGTTGCGGACCTCACCTCCGCATGCACACCTCGCTCCCACCCCATATGACCGAAACGGGTATAAAGCGTCGAGGATAAAGATACAGCAGACTGTATGGGCATAAAGCGAGCCTGACATCTCGGCTACCAGCGACTCCCTCCCGACTGACACCTCGTGCGACCGCGCCTTCCTCACGAGCTCTCGTCTCCGCCGGATTGCTTACTCCCCGCCATGAATTCTGTACGCGCCATACAACAGCTCAACAAGCGCGAACTCGAGGCCGGTGTCGGAACAGAAGGCTCGTGGCACACCGACTACCGCGACACAGCCTTCATCAACATTGGCGGCCTGCCATTCGAGCTCTCCGAGGGTGACATCATAACCATATTCTCACAGTATGGTGAGCCAGTATGGGTCAAGCTGGCACGTGACAAGGAGACTGGAAAGTCACGGGGCTTTGCGTGGATCAAATACGAAGACCAGAGAAGCTGTGACTTGGCAGTAGACAACCTGGGCGGGTCGACCATTATGGACCGAGTGATACGCGTAGACCATGCGCGCTACAAGCCCATGGATGGCGAGGACATGCGGGACAATACCATGGGCGAACCTGTTGACGATGATGACCAAGGCTCAGACGACGGCAGGCGCAAGAGGCGGAAGACAGACAGCGAGAGTGACTCGGACGAAGATAGACCACTTTTGCCAGAGGAGATTGAATTGGACAAGCTGATGGACAAGCTGGACGAAGACGATCCGATGCGCGACTCCATGATCAAGCGCCAACAAGAGAAGGTCGACGAGGCGCTGAAGAAGTTGAAGAAGGCTAAGCGGAAAGAGAAGGAGCGAGCCAAGAGGCGGGAGAAGCATCACCACAAGGACGGATCCAGAGACCGACATCGCGAGAAAGAGAGAAGGAAGATCAAAGACGACGAAGAAGATGGCGGACGTGGACGGCATTCGCGGCATAGACGTGACCGAGAAAGTCGCGACAGGGACTCGGACGATGACCGTCGACAGCGAAAGTCAAGGCATCGCGATGAGTCTGATAGTAGAGACCATGAGAAACGTCGTGATCGCAGTCGCGAGCGTCACCGTGTTCACAGCGACAAGAAGCAAAGAAGTCGACGTCCTTCAGTCTCCGACGATGATCGCGGGGATCGCTCGCGTTCGAAGCGCTCTCCTCTACCATATCGAGCGCGCTCACCTCGTGGAGATCGCGACCATGCACGCGATTGATCATCACTCGCCCTGTACGAATGACTATCCAGCATTTTTATGCGTGAAACACATCATTAAGATACCCATCGTCAGCAGTATTCCAGTCAGCATATTCCGAGAACCATGGAAGTCAAAATTCATCACCTCGACTTGATCTTTCCTTCGTCAATCTCCAAGCTCACGACACGCCCAATGTAACATATCTAGGTGATCCGTTCCGCCTTCAAGGAATATGAGCATAAATTCTTTCCGCTGCTTGCTCTACAAAGCCCTTACCCTTACATCAAGCAACATGCCACCCAGCTGCCACGTACACTGGCTCGACGAGATCCCATCTCGCGACCGCCTTACCGCACAAAACCTCGAGCACGTACCTATAGGCGGTCCGCTTGCTAGAAATGAATACAGACATCCCCAGCGACGCTTGACGGCTGAAAATCTTGACCGACTAGGTGTGGGTGGAGCACTCGCTGACAGTCGGTTCAGACACCCGCATAATCGCTTAACAGCAGAGAACCTTGAGCGAGTACCTGTTGGTGGGGCACTTGTAAACACTAATTTTAGACACCCCCAGAATCGTCTAAACGCGCGAAACTTGGGTAGGGTAGCTCGTGCCGGATTTAATGCTGGAAGTTGGAGTTGGGAGGGGACCAGGGTGAATGCGCGAGCTGAGCAGAGGAGGGATAGCAGAGGTGAGCTGAGGGATGACAGGAGAGATGAGCGAAGAGGTTATAGGAAAGGGGAGAGGGAGCGAAGAAGACGATAAACTCCTTTCTACCGTATTAGAATGGTAGCATGCTTACGGTCATCTTCTTCAAACTTTTCGAGCACAAATCCTTTTACATTTGCGACACATGCTTCTTTTGCAAGCTCTACTCAGTTGTGGTTCCTTGCTCATATGGTCAAGATATTGAGCAGCATGCGGGAGTTGTTGCCTCATCTAGTGAGCTGACATGCAGCGATGACGTCATCTCACGTGAAAGCTATGGACACCTGACTCCAAAGAAGTCTTGCAATGCATCTTACAATATCAGATCATTATCTAATAATACATGGGAACCAAAGAATCATGGCACATTTGACTCGAGAAGAAGTCTTGAAGTCTGGGGAAGTGGCACCCGAGTATAGAAAGGTGAGCCCCGTCTTTATGTTTCGCCAGCGACGTTGATTCATTACCGTTTATCTCCATCAAGACTGATGCTTGGTCGATTCCATCTGATAACCCAATACCCGCAGGCATTCGAAGCCCGTCCAGTCTCCATCGAGGGCCCAGACTTCTTCACCCAACGCGCCGCCCGCGCTGCACACCTCGAGAAACTGCGCCATCTCTACACAATCCCAGGACCCATCCCAGAATCAGTCACCGAATCGCTCCACAACGTGCCAACACAAGATGGCTCCTCAATCCGTGCGCGGGTGTACCAGCCCGTTGCCGGCCCTCCCACCAGCGGAAGTCCACTAATCATGATGTACCACGAAGGCGGCTGGAGTATGGGCGACCTCACAGACGAAGACTTGAATTGCCGCATGTTCGCGCGCGACTTGGGCGCTGTTTGCGTGAATGTTGAATATCGGTATGCTCTCCCTCAAATCCAAACATCCTAGTGATGGCTGTGAATACTGACACGCCAGTCTCGCCCCCGAGCACAAGTTCCCCACCGGCGTCAACGACTGTTGGGACGCACTGAAATGGGCTATTTCCCACAGTGCAGATCTTAAAGCCACGCCGTCGCGCGGACTGATTGTCGGCGGCGCATCAGCGGGCGGAAACATCGCTGCTGTCCTTGCGCTCAGGGCGCGCGATGAGGGACTCGAGCCGCCTATCACTGGCCAATATCTCTGCGTGCCGGCTCTCCTGCCTGATGCAAATGTACCACCTCATCTCGCGCATTTGTACGAGTCGCGCACAAAATCTACTAATGACCCAGTTCTCAAGGGCATACCGCCTGGCCTGATCGAAGAGATCTACGCGCCCGATCCTAAGTCACCATTGTGGGATCCATTCAATCACCCCAAGGGGCACAAGCGCGCGGCGAAGGCTTTTTTTCAGATTGGAGGACTGGATCCGTTGAGGGATGAGGCGGTGCTGTATGATCGGGTCTTGAGGGAGGCGGGAGTCTTGACAAGGTTTCAGATATATGCGGGCTATGGACATATGTTTTGGACGAATTATCCGGAGATGGAAGAGAGTAGGAGGTTTGTAGGGGATACGCTGAGGGGGGTGAAGTGGCTTTTGGAGAAGTGATGGGGCACTTTAAGGCTTCTGCAGTGGTCTTGCTGACATGCACAATCGGACCATCTTTTTTTACTGAACCAAGACATATTACCACGAAGCGTGAATGACTGCACACTCTCGTCTGCTCGAACCTCGTTCGTGGTCGTATTAATTCACATCTGTATTCACAGTGGCGATCCGTCACTATCACAAGATTCGTCACAACGACATGTTGCCTGCAATGCTTCAAGCGCCTAAACCTTCAAGTCCATCAGTCAAGTCTTAAGAACTACTGTCTCCAACCTTTAAGATCCCCTCAACTCTTCTCCTACTTTTCAACTCCAAATACCGAGTATGCTACTCCTCAGAGTCACACTTCTGAGCGCCGCGCTAGCGAATGCTTCAACACTCTTCTCGGTCGCCATACCCTCCATCAACAACAGCACACTCGTAGGAACATCGCAGGCGATCTCATCACCGAGTAAATCCATTCCAGCCTCTCAAACTCCCGGCCCTGTCGGCACTTGCACGTCTATCGAAGGCAAGGCAATGCAAACTTGCTTCCAATGGCCGCAGCCAGGCCAACCACATCCCACCGCATCGGCGACGACTTCGACGTCTCAAAACGCTACAACAAGTACTGCCCCAGGTGCTCAGAGTTATACCGCATCTCCTCCGGCAGCCACAAGTCATACCAGCACAACTCCACCTCCCTCCTCATTGCCTCTCCCCCCATCATCCACACCACCAGCCCACTCACCTCCAATCCCCGCCTCCACCTCCACCTCCTCACCCAAATGCCCCGTGCCACATCTCTCCCACCGCTCCTCCTCCCCCCTCACCGTCCCAATCTCCGACAATCCCAGCAACACCACCCTTCCCGCCTCATCTCCACTTCCCAGCGCCCCCGCTCCTGCCGACGATTGTACTTTAAGCATAGACTCGCCCTTGAACTTGTGTTCCCGTGGCCGAAACCCGCGCCTAGGGCTAGAGCGGTGGAGATGGGTTCAGGAATAAGTCGGGTTGTGGCGCGTGTGGCGTGGCCGATGACGACGTTTTTGACGAGAGTGAGGGAGGGGGAGGATGGGCTGTGATGATGGATTGGGTTGAAGGTTGTTGTATATTTTGAGCAGGCGGTTATGTCGAGGTATTGATGTCTGGGTCGGGCGACGATTTGACAATGGGGTGGATAGGGTGTAGATGAGTGTGGGTGAATAGATTACTATGGACGTGTCTTGAAATGTTTCTTTGAGTATCGTGTCTTGTTGTGGTGTATTGCATTAGAATATCCTGTGCGTTTATGAGGTTTTCGAGATCATGTATGTCTAGTGCCGACTCCTGGCGTGTCCTTAGTGAGGCTGGTGAATTGCGGGGCAATTATGCTCAGCACCGAGATTCAATACAGATAAGAGTAAGACTAAGCTACAATCCTCAAATGGTGCTTTACTCGCGTGTTCTGTATGAGAATCCTGTGAGTCTTGATGAAGTCGGATGCTGATTTATAGCATGCGAATGAAGGATATCACCATGTGAGGAATCACAAAATCTTGAGACGAACGTTGGGTTGCTTCAATGGAGGTAGGTGGCTCTTAATACCTTGTGCATGTTGTACCACTATTGTGCTGTGAAAGTTTTCTAGATCTCAATGCTACTGCTCTCTACTTGTTCATTGTTATGGACTACATTCAATAATAGCTTGATACTTGGATAATCGTCCCACTTAGATGTTCAAACGCTATGAAAGAGTGGCCACACGTGATAGGTCCAGGGCGATACTGTTCTTCCTCAAGTTCTTGCCGACAGACAAAAAGCTCAATGAAAAAAGAAAGTGATACAGGAGTTAAGTACCAGTATCGTAACCAAGCGTGATAGTTGCCACTGCAGGCCCGGGACCGCGCAGCTTGACGCTTAATGCTGGGAGTGCAATCCCTTGGTTGACATCTGCAGCTTCGCAACTGCTGATGTCATAGTTCAGAAGGCCAATTATCCAACAGGCCTAGCAAGCTAGGACCTGCAAGACAAGCAACCTCCTTGCTACCGGCCAGCTTCCGAATACCGATACTGAAAAAGACGAGCGGTGTGAAATCGAGCCGTGTCCTGCTGCTATGTCTTTGCAGCAAGATGACCAACTAGCAAGACTGACAGCAGCACCAAGCATCTGAAAGACCGACTGAACCAGGTAGCTGGTCCTCCAATACCGGTTAAGGTACACTATCTCCACAAGCGAGGGCCTGGTAATCAACTTCCCATCAGCCTTGCGGTGAAGAGGAGAAGACGTCCCAGACAGCCGTCAGCGAAAATGAGTGAGCAATTCATGACACTGCAACCACGTTTGCGGCTAACGTGGCCCTGATGGATTGGAACCTGATGCGATGCGCGCAGTTCAGCCATCTCACTGCTTCCTGCAGGCAGCTGTGAGATGTCTGTTGGAATCGGGTATTCACACAGCACTATACCAGTCGTGGGCCCAGCACATGCCTTGGCGGTGTTCGCGGGTCGCCAACAAGACTGTCCCGCCGCAACGGAATGTCGACAACGATCCTGGCACCCCGCTAATTATGTAAATCCCACTCAATGAGATCATACCTGTTGACCCAGCATTTGCTGGTATGGTGTCTGAACATCGGCCGTCATCGCTACATTCGAAGAGTTCTGCGAATCATGGGGGATATTAATCGGAGACTGCAGGGAAACCGAAGAGCATGGTTATATCTCTGTATGGATTAGTTGAACATGGAGAAGAGCGCATACCGGTCAGGGCGAGTGCACGTCGTAGGCGAGTGCGCCTCATGATCAGTTCTCTCGGTTGAAAGCAAGATCGCAGTTGTTAGTTGTGGATGCAAAGCGGCGATCAGAAAGAGAACTGGAGGTAAGGAAATAACAGTGAGGTGAGCTTACCTGAAGTGATTGGGACAGGTGCCGTTAGGCCACCTGTGACTTTGCGCGCCTATACGACCTATTGTGGAGCCAAACTGAATGCAGCTTGCAAACGGTTCAGTACCTAGGTACGCTGCTGCTCAATCCTTCCTATTAGACAACGCCACTGTTAGAGTTATATAACTGACATCAAAAGGAGTCACTGTCGACTAAGATGGAAATTGTTAGTTCTTCCAGTTAGAGGTACATGCCAGTATGCGCAATGCCTGCCAATACCTTTTCCAGGAACACTATGTCGTTATCTTGTCTCTTTGTGACATGATAGACTTTTTGAACCTCCACGCACCAACCATACATGAAAGTCAACTCATTCGGAAGCAGGTACCCGCTTTCATACTGCTAACAGGAAGATTTTACGCTTTTGCAATTTGAGGCAGTGAACCTCAGACTTCCTATGACTCCTCTAATGCTCACGTAATTCTTCCTCAAGTTCACGCCCAGTAGGCATGAACATCGATGAAAAAAGTACCGGAGTTGAATCCCGGCAAGAGCAAGCGCCAAAGCTTTCGCCCAGCGTGCTGTAGCAGTAATGTTGAATATCTGCTACTGAACTGGCCACCCACTCACAGAAACAGAACGTCTTCTGCTGACATGAGCTGTGTCAACTCTAGTCAAAACAACAACCAGTTCAAAACAGCTTTGGTGGACAGACACACGCCAAAGGCTGTTCTCTTCCGAAGTGCGAGGCACGACACAAGATCGAAGAGGGATCAGCTCTCGATGAACCAAAAGTCGTTCTCAAATCTCAAAGAAGAAGTCAAAGACGACTTCGATAAGCTTTGAATGACTCTCAACGCAACTCGGTCGCCACGTCTTGGCGGACAGACACGCACCAAGACGCGCGCAGCCCAAAGGGAAGACACGCCTTTGAGACAGTCGGTGAAGGGAAGACACGCCTTCGTTGAACCGGGCCAACGGGAAGACACGCCGCTGTATTGCGCTGAGGTGGGCGAATTGACTGCCTGGAAGAATTAGTTGATTGAGGAGGAGCAAAGGCGGGGTGGGAAGACATACTGGGTGGCTAAGTTGATGAGAGAAAACAGAGGGGAACGGGCAAGGTATCTATATATGCCACGGGAGCCGCTAGCTGTTGCGCTATGGGCAGCCTGCGGCCTGTTGACCCGACTTCGGCAGCCCGTGTCAAGGTGAAAGAGAGCAAACGCGTGTATGTCAGGAGGCAATAGCATTCTTTGCCGACATCGCGGACTGTTGCCTGATATGAACGTCTGATAGGTTCAGAATGAGGTCATATTTGTAGCTTCTGCGGGCTTCCACAGCCCCGCAAGCCATCGAGACCCATTCACTCGTGGTAGGTATTCGCTCCGCCGCTGGCCCATGTGTCGTCTACGCTAGAGAATTAGAAGGCTCGGAGCTAGGGTTTAGCCTGATAGAGAGTGCTCTGCGTACTACATATCAAAGATTTCGCATCGGTTACACCTGCGCGCTCAACCTCCAGTTTCTACTACCAATTGGTAAGCCCTGCAGTCACTATCATACCGCCTGTCTCTGACAGACACTTTAGTTATCATGATGAGCAAAGATAAGGGATCCGCCGCCGCATCCAAGATGGGTGTCAAAGGTCAAGATAGTGATCGTCTCGCGCACAAGGCGCGCGCCCGCAACGACACTGCCTCGCAGCCCAAGGATCGTGAGGCACAAATTGACAGCGCCGATAACAAGCCTGATATCTCTACCCCCTCGAACACGTCCCGTAAGCTGGTTGATAAGTCATTGGCCCCGCTCCCTCTTGCTATCGATCTTGCGTGTAACTTCGATACCTTGGCGCCCGCAGATTCGGAGCGCACCAAGGTAGCATTCTTCGAGACTCTCCTAGGCTTCAAATATGATGAGCTCCGCAACGACTATGCTGTAGTCGTTTACCAGGTTGGTGATCCACTCCTTGCAACAGTCACGATCGATGTTCGCAACATCAACACTTCAGGTATGTATGACCCACGGGATTGACAAGGCACTCTCTCTAACGATTAGGTTAGAATCGGAGCTCCATCCTAGTCTCAAGTTTGGTCAGCGCCTTGAGCGTCCAGAGAAGGAGTCGACCGCCATCGTTACAAAGCAAGATGCGGCCTCAGAAGATACCTCAGGCAGAAAGACGGTGAGCAAAGCTTCCACCAAGACGACCACCATTACGAGCAGGGACAAGAATACCGATGGATTTCCTCAAGCAAAGAGACTTCCTGACAAGGACATCGACAAAAAGCGGTAAGTTCATGAATGGGAGCTTACGAATCACGCATCAACTGACAATTGTAGTCGTGTCGAAGATTCTCCTGCTTCTACCACAGCAGAAAAGCGTGCTAAGACCCGTGGACACTCTCGTTTCTTGCCAGCAAATCTTCCAGTCGACTATCGCCCACCAAAGCCTAAATACCAGAACGATTGCCCGCGTCTGGAGTCAGGAAAGGACTGTGATAGGCATCGTTGCGAATGTCTGCACGAGGACCAGCGCGAGTACTTTCACAGGGAGCAATACAAGGAAGACGGTTGGCCATGGCAGCATGCAGCTCCCCAGATCTTCGACCTGGGAAAGCTTCCCATCGCTAACCGGCGCAAAAAGTTGTAGATGTTCTTGTAGCATGTCGATTTGTTTGCTCGAATTGCTCGCTCAAATCATGCAGGTAGGCGCATCTCGGGTGCATCTTGCGGAACAAGGCGTTGCCTCAGTACTCGCCGCTTTTTAGATGGACACACTTGTATCCTGCGCTTATGATGCGCTCACGTTCCTCTTCATGATGGTCGGCGTTGGGATACCCTAGATACCCGTTCCAATGTAACGTTAACGTTTACCATCTATGTATGGCCCATGGCAATTCGTTTTTTGGATAGTACAGTGATTATATCAAAGCTAGTATGTCATCGTAAGATATACAAACCGAGGCTTCGCCACTCCCTGAAGCGCTACGCTGTCCACTGGCCGCAAATATTCGTGAGATCAGAGCTTCGATCTACCCTCCTTCTCCTCCGCCTCCGCCCACTCTTTTAACACCCTCTTCAAGATCTTACCACTAGGGCTCTTCGGAACTTCATCGAGAAAAACAACACCACCTGTCAGTTGCTTGTAGCTGGCAAGATTCTCACTGATCAGTCTCTTGACGCCATCCTCCGTAATGTCGCTGCCGGGCTTGCGCACAACATGAGCGCGCGGTCGCTCTGCGTCAGAGCCGGGCTTGGCTTTCAACCCAATCACCGCCGCATCGACAATGTGATCTTTGGCTTCAAGAAGGACAGCTTCCAGCTCAGGCGGGGCGACCTGGAAGCCCCGAACTTTGATGAGTTCCTGGTTGAGGTCAGCGGTGAGCCGGCAGGAGGTGCTAGGGGTGAGCCCACCTTTTTGCGATCGACGATATACCATAGCTTAGTTTTACTATCGCAGTATAGGATGTCACCGCTGTGCAAGTATCCATCCTCATCCCATGTTTCTGCGGTTGCCTTGGGGTTTTTGTAGTATTGTCGGGCTACTGTTGGACCACGGACGCACAACTCACCGCGCACATCATAGGCTGTAATGTCTTTGCCATCATCGTCCACAAGTCTGCGTGTAGTTAGTAGGAGATTCGATCCGCACCTTTCTCTCACATACTTGACGTCTGTGTTCGCCATCAGCCTGCCTACACTTCCGGTGTCGTCTGCCTCGGGATAATAGAAAAGCGTTATTGCGCTAGTAGTTTCTGTCATACCCCATACTTGCGTGAATGTCGCATCTGGTGCAAGTAGTTTCCTCAGCCTCCTCTGACTACCCGCGTCTAACGGTGCTGCGCCTACGGCTGCCGTTCGTATACTCTTCAAGCTATATTTCTTGCTCAGTGGACTATTTATGATGGCGATAACGAGCGGCGGTACCACTCCGAGGTTGGTGACCTGATGTTTCTCGATGCCGGCAAGGAAGGGCTCCAACTCAAAGCGGCGCATGATCCATACTGGATGTCCGGTGCGGAATGGAGACGCATGTATGCTTGGTACCGTGGCAACATGGAATAAGGGCAAAGGAGAAATGCCTCTGGGCTCCCAGGTGATCGATTCTTGCGACTTTGTGGCTGTCATAGTATGCCATGACGTGGCATTGTAATGACTCTGACAGGCTATCTTCGGTAGGCCAGTCGTGCCAGACGTAGTGAGACGGGCGACATCGGTGGTCTTCAAGGTTTCGAGATCCGTGATGCGCTCCCAGTCTTCTTCGCCATGTTCAAGTAACCACTCCCACGATCTGTAACCATCGGGCACTTTTTGTCCGCGCACGTTGAAGATGAAGATCCGGTCTTTGGGTATACCTTCCGCTGTCGCACCCTCAGCCACCACATCCAGTAGTTCTGGTTCCACGATGAAGAATTTGACTTCAGCGGTCCGAATGTGGTGTCTCATCTCCGCGACACGGTACGCGGGATTTGTCCCAGAAAAGACGCCACCAGCTGCCACTCCCCCAAGGAAGACCATTGGATACATGATATCATTGAAAGATGTGATTGCAAAGCAATCTCCCTTCTGGAGGCCAGCCTTGCGGAATCCAGCAACTAACTTTTGAACGATACTTAGACCTTGCCGACGTGACAAAGTGCGCGACTCATTTTCGGCGTCGTGGTAGACCTGGCTGTGTCAACACTCAATTCCCACGGCTTCCTTCAGTCGTACCAGTTTATCATTGTCATAGTCGGTGTTTCCGAAAGCGAAAGATACCAAATCTTCCTCTGGCAGTGGGTAAGATTCTTGTGATAGCCACGGCATCTTGGTAATGGAGCTGCTCTATGGCTGTGTTTGACCTTTTGCTGATACAGTACAATATGATCAATCGCAATTTAATTAAATCTACTTGCGTTACAACAGCATTATAAACGTTCCCAGTCGGTTGTTAAGGCAGAGAAAGGATCGTTATGATCGAGTCTCCATGGGTTCCGAGGTTGCCGAGGTTGTTCGACGATCTTACCCCAGTCCCGCCTTCTCCACAGCTTGCAACGTTGTACGGGAGGTGGCGCTTGGAATCACATCAGGACGAAGGACTGAATGGATGCATATTTCATAGCATGCCATATCTAAACACTCAAAGGGATCCTCATACATCTTGCTCTTTTCCAAGTGGGTCACGCGAGGAAGTCGGATGCGGAGCACATGCACAGCATGCCGACAAAGCTGTCCATAATCCAAGGATACTGTTGGAGAGTTCTATGGGAAGGTAGGTCTTCCTGATCGGAAAGTTGAAGCGTGAAAGGTTGTGTGCTCGACGAAGTGGTAGTTCCTACGCTGTGCACGGGTTGTTGACGCCACAGCCCAATTGAGACTAGTGTTCCCCGGATCCCAACTCCCGGCACATCTTCATCAACCCAGAGATATTTGTCGATGTTCATCAGGCCCAATTACTCTGGCACTATGATACTTGATCACTGTAGAGAACTCAAAGGTTGTTTCAACCCTTAACTCGACGAAATCCATGTCTTTTCTATATCGTATAGCTGCCCGTCTGCCATAATTTCCGCTGGACATCACAGCAACTGCTTCGGCCGACTGAGAAGCGCCATCGCACGCAAATCACAGGCCTTGGTATGCTTAAATACGACTCAAGTTTCTCCGAATCCTTTTTGGAACATCGGGTGCATTGCTCAAATCGTCCTAGCATTCACCGTTGTTCTCCACATTTCGGGGTACACCTGTCCGAGGGGGACGATATAAAGCAAGGCGTGCACCCCGTGGGGAGAAATGGTTCAAGTATGATGGCGATGGTCTGGAGAACCTTGGTCGTCCTCGTTCCCTACGCTGGCACAAATCGAAGCCAGACCCAATACTGCTGATCACGCCATTGCATTGCTGTGGTAAGCAACACTTTCCCTTCCGCGCGCGTGCCGGCCCCGTATCATTGAGGCCGCCCCATCCATTCTTAGACAGGTGAGCTGACCGTGACCAGAACTACAGCATGTCCCAACCATACGTGATCTCTTTGTCGCGGAGGCTGTTCCATGCAGCATGCAGGTGCTGCACAGATTGTGCTACCGCGCGTTGGGACGCTGTCGCCCCCTGAAAATGTCTGCAGAGACCCGGTAAACCCGACTACAAATGCCGTTTACCCATGGGCCATCGATTTTACGACACTGCTCCACCACGACCCTCTTTTATGCGACCATCGTCAAAACTTGCTTGAAGAATCTGCGCATTTGCGGACCACTAGCGCTGCAACTTCGGAGATCACAATGAGGCTGCACGCAACGTCGGAGCACGCTCGGTCAAGGTCGGCCAGAACATCACCACCATGGCACCAATGATCACGACACCAGATCTCGAGGAGACTTTTGAATAACGGAGGTCCAAGGCGAACAAACGGCTGTAGCATTGCTGGCATTTCATAATCACGCAAAGATCACAGCTTCCATGGCTCTAGATTGTGTAACGAACATTCCGGAATATCGCGCGACGCCGGCGATCATGTCTCCACAGCCTGAGAATCCAAACCCACTTCGCGATGACGTCGCAGCTGGTACGAAATCGAAGAAGGCTAGCGCTCAGGGACTGATTGGCTTTGAACTGTACGAGCCGAACCGACTTGCGCATCATGGGCCCCCTGCTATGCGGTTCACATCTGAAACATTTCCCATATCGACAGGATGAACAAGAGCTCGTTTGCTGGATGCAGTCAATACCTTCGAAGTCCTTTCCTCCAGAGAGGGACAAGATAAGGAGCCTCGCATTGTGCAATGTTTCCATTGTTGAAAGATCACCGTGGCGCCCCAAATTGTCGGGTGAAATTCTCAGTCTTCCGATCATGAACATCGAAGATTTTTTTTCTGATCGGTCGCTTCCCGGTCCGAGTGTTGCTTTCGTCGAATGACTAGAGAAAATAACGTGCTTTGGGACGCACCACATAGCCGTGACCCTGTATCACCGGCTTACCAAAGCATACTTTTCTGTATTGGCCTCGGTCACCACACCTGCAACGCGATGCTCCGTGATCTGGTGCATTGAAAGAAATTAGGACCGGGGCTCCACTGTCAGTTGGCCACGCGACTCCACGATATCGCGTCCGACTATTTATGAAGCGCGAACCTCTCCTCAAAGTCCGCACTTGACTTCCCCTCCACCCCAGACCCATACAACGATTTCACCTTAAAACATCTGGTGGAAGTATCAACTGAATCGAGCTTTCACGCCGCCTGAAACAAAATGCGCTTCTTCCGCAAGCCGACCGAGGCTGTTCATGAGAAAGGCACCCCTGCCAACTCTACGCCAGCAGACACACCACCAAGGGGCAACTCTCACACGGCAGAGAATGTCGTTCCTGAAGGTCGCATCCCTGCTATTGCGGTCGTACTAGGGGCCGTCGCCAGCATTGGTGGCTTCATGTTCGGTTATGAAAGTGGTCAGATTTCGGGCTTTTTGGCAATGCCAGACTTCATCGAGCGGTTCGGTGACAATGGAGAATTCTCCGATGTTCGCCAAGGAACTATTGTTGGTCTTCTTGCGTAAGTTGTGAAGATGGAGAATTTTGTGCTTTATATTTACGTCGAGACAGTATTGGTACACTCTTCGGATGCTTGTGCTCAGCACCTCTCGCCGATACCTACGGCCGACGCCTCACGATTTCCGGTTCAGCATTCTTCTACATCATTGGTGTGATCATCGAGATTACCAGCAAAAAGGTATGGGTACAATTCGCAATGGGCCGCTTCACTGCCGGTCTTGGCATAGGAGCGCTGTCCACTGTCGTCCCAATGTACCAGTCAGAGTCAATTCCCAAGCGCATTCGCGGAGCAACTGTCAGCTCTTACCAACTGCTCATCACTCTTGGTATCTGGACAGCCTACATGGTCAACTACGGTACCGTGAAAGACTACTCGAACTCCGCGCAGTGGAGAATCCCCAACGGCCTTTCCGCACTCTGGGCCATCATTCTTGGCAGCACCATCCTGCTGCTTCCAGAGTCGCCCCGCTACGCGTACCGCAAGGGCAGAATTGATGAGGCCCGCACGAACATGGCCCGCCTCAACGGAGTCGACCCGCACAGCGCCTTTATCGATGCCGAGATCCGTGAAATCCAGGAGAAGCTAGAGGCCGAGAGCGCTGGGGGCGACCACCCATGGCACGAGATCTTTACTGGACCCCGAATGCTCTACCGTACTCTCCTCGCAATGGTACTACAAGCGGGCCAGCAACTGACTGGTGCAAACTACTTCTTCTACTACGGCACTACCATCTTTACGGCTACTGGTCTCGAAAACTCCTACGTGACCTCCATCATCCTTGGTACCGTCAACGTTGCGGCTACAATCGTTGGCCTGTGGATTGTCGAGAATGTCGGTCGTCGCAAGGCGATGATGGCTGGTGCGGCATGGATGGGCATGTGCCTCTTCATCTACGCCTTTGTCGGTCACTACACACTCGACAAGCAAAACCCACAGCTTACGCCTGGGCCCGGCAATGTGATGATTGTTTTCACGTGCCTTTTCATTGCGGCTTTCGCTACCACTTGGGGTCCTCTCGTGTGGGCTATCGTTGGTGAAATGGTAAGCGCTGGAATACGAAAGCTTTTGCGAATAATGCTAACCTACGATAGTTCCCTGCTCGTTACCGCGCTCTCTGCATGGCTCTCGCAACCGCCGCCAACTGGCTGTTCAACTTCCTAATCTCATTCCTCTCGTCAATGATCACCCGTCAGATCGACTACCTTTATGGTCTCGTGTTTGGAACCTGCTGTTTCGCGCTCTTCTTCATCGTATACTTCTTCATGATTGAGACGAAGGGTCGATCGCTCGAGGAGATCGACACCATGTACGTCTTGCACGTCAACCCAATCACCAGCGCCAAATTCGACGCATCTTCGCTGCGCAAGGATGGCCTCATCGATACGGACAGGTTACACATGGGTGCTGGCGGCAGGACTTTCAGCAAGGCAGAGCAGGCTGGGCAGAACGGAGGTTCGCGCGGCATTCTTGAGCCGGCTGAGCGCCAGGAACTCCAGGTTTAAGCTGGGACTTCAATTTCTTCGCGGCAAGGTTCTCTAGCCACTCGGCTTTGGCACTGAATCTTCTTACCTGTGTCATCGTCCGTCGAATCATCACTTGTAATACTATGGACCCATTCAGTCTATCATCAATGAATAAGCGACGCAATGGATCGCATTAGCAGATTATAAATATCTGTGCACACTTTCTGTCTCTCTTCTGCTGAAGTCTCCTTGAGCGAGATTGTGCGAGGTCTCGATTGCGAGTAAGCGTGAGAAGAAATGCGGGGTATCTCCAAAACATACATATGTACCTAAACATCATTCGGGCAAGTACTTGCATGTGTTGAAAGTGCATTCAAACACCAAATCTCCACTCTCCAACCGCATCATATCTCAAACCATGCCACCCACAACAATCAACCTTCCAGCCATCAAGCAACGCACCTGGTCCATGACCACATCCTACACCGTCTCACAGATCATATCCTACAACCTCGCCCTAGGCGCATCTGGCATCAATCTCGCACTAGTCTACGAAGGCCACCCTAGCTTCCATGCCCTCCCCACTTTCGGCGCCGTACACGGCATAGCGGTAATGGGTCTTGTACACCGCGCCATGAGCGATTTCTTGCCAAACTTCCAGGGACACAATTACGTCCATGGTGAGCATTATCTCAAGCTTGTGCTGGCGTATCCCATTCCACAAGGCGCGGATGAAATTCGATTAAAGACGACGGCGAGGGTGGTGGACGTTGTGGATCGGAAGAAGGGGGTTTTAGTTTGTGTGGATATTTTCACAAGCGAGGAGGGATCGGGAAACGTGGTTTGTGAAAACGAATGGGCGGGGTTTGTCATGAAGGTACCGACTGCTGGAGCAAATGCGCAACAAACATCGAGAGGAGAGAGGACGATGCTTCATCCGACGCCGTCGAGAAAGCCGGATAAGGTGCTGTCGCATAAGACGTCGCCGGAGCAGGCGGCATTGTATCGGGCTGCGTCAGGTGATTTGAATCCGTTACATATTGATCCGAACACTGCGACTGCAGCAGGGTTTCCGGCGCCGATTCTGACGGGTACTTGCACGTTAGGGATTGGTGTAAGGCATGTCGTTGAGGCTTTCTGTGCAGGAGACGTAAGCAGATTTGTCAGTGTAAAGGTCAGGCTGAATAAGCCGGTATTAGCTGTATTGAGTGAGGAAGTCAAGACGGAGATGTGGGAGGAAGTGACACAGGAAGGAAGGCAAAGAGTACTTTTCAGGATGGTCGTCGAAGATCAAACTGGGAAAGGTGAGAAAGTTGTAATGAGTCAAGGATGTGTGGAGTTGAGAAGAGATGAGGCAAAGCTGTGAGCTGAGTCAAGGTGTGGTTACATATCTTTGATTTTGAAATTTGCGGGAAAGCTTTGTTGGCATTGATCTAGTGCGCAGGGCGTTTCTGATAAGGAAGCGCGTATAATTTCGATGGCTAAGACGTGTTGGAAACTGATCGCAAATCTCTTCATTATACTTTCCTAGTCTTCTACTGACACAGGCTAGACTAGCGAACCTAATAATATGTGTAGAGCCGACGAGGCCGTGGTGCTTGCCGGGTGTAAAGTACACCTACGTGCTGTGGCGGTGACAACTGCGAGAATTTGGTCTTGATCAACTCTCCCAGATCATTTGCCGCCCTGGAAGCCTCCATTACGTGCTGGCTGGTTTGCTCGATGGTTATATTCTTCAGACTCCTACAGTCCAGAAGTCTCTGCAATTTGAAGTTCTCGAGTAGTTCATTAGGGGAGCGTGCCCGACGGCTCAAAGTCATGTTATCTTCGCTCTCCATGACAAGGTATGTCAGTGGCTCGAAGTGAAACGTCAACTTGATCGTGCGCAAACCATTGCAAAGGACGGCCAGCTCCAAGTCAGAATTCTTCTCGTAGCCATATGGAAAGCGACTGAAGAAGTCGAAGCTCAGGTCGCGACAAAGCTCAAGACGTCCTGGAGCAGCCTTGAGGAACGTCTGAAGAAAGGCGTTGTCTTTGATAGATGCCACCATGAACTTCGACCCCTCGATAACTACCGCGATGATCTCTTCCTTAGTCGCCTCGGATACCGAGCAAATGGCCGGTAGGAAATTGGGGCTTATTGGATCGTCGCCGACCTTGACGTACTCGCGCAATGCGATCGGGTCGATAAAGTAGCGCATACCAATTCCGTTAGGCTGATGGTATGGCTCATCGCGCATGGCCAAGTCCCAGATGACGAGACGGAGCTCTCGTGCCAGTTGCATGAAGTTGTGGAACTCAGGCTCTGGTTCTGGATTGGGGATGGAAATCTGGGGCGAACACTTGTTGTCGTCGATGACCGCTGGTGCTTTGTTTTCGTCAGCTCTCATGTGAAATTTATGGAATTGAAGTTCAATATCAACATACCTGCCACGGCCGTCTTCAGTGCCCCATAACGGACGACTTCGACCCAGGTGCGGGCGCCAGTGCTCAAATTTTTGGAGATCAGGGCAGCTTTGGACTCAAGGGAAGTCAGGAGCGGAAATTGCTCTTCATAGAAAGCATATGGAGCGGTCACTGGGGCTGGTACATCGTGTCGAGGATGCCCACGGCAAGGAACTGTAAGGACCACCATTTAGTGCTACGCTTTGCTAATTCAGCTACGCTAGTTATTATCTTGCTTGTGGGGATAAATGACTTACTTTGTGTGGACACAATTGGTTGACTAAATGTTGGCGGAGGAGCTGGGTCGTAAGGTCGAGTAATAGGAGTTGGCGAGCGATTAGCGTGTCAAGTTTCTGGTCAGTGCGAGGCTGATAGGAAATTCGTAGGCCTACTGTAGCCTGGGGAGTGATGGCCGACCAATTGGTCGGTCATCAAGCCTGTGGAAAGAATCTTAGGCGTACCACTCACCCCCTGTGTATAAAGTACTCCTGGGGACAACTCTCATCCTGCACCTCTTCTTGTCTCGCAAGACTCCGCATCAACAACACTCAACCACCCAAAATACCTCATCAACCCTCAACTTCAAAAGATCGACTCGACTCTCCCCTTGGCAATTCCCCCACCGAAATGTTCTCTACCACTGCCTTCCCGGATGACTTCCTCCCGAGTTTCAGTCGTCTCTACGTCGACTCACATATTCGTGTAGTTTCAAGAGATGAAGATCCTCGCCTTGGCCTCCAAACCGACACCTATACTTTTCAACGCCCACCGAAATACGGCCAAGACGACTTCCCGCCCCTCGACTCTGCCCAAGCCTCTGATGCCCTCGAGGTCACCGATACATCTGGCGCCTATACATATGCGGATGTGCTCAAATTAAGTCGCACAACCGGCTTTGACCTGTTCGAGTTTCCCCCCGAAGTCCGTGAGCTGGTCTGGGAGGCTGCCATGCGCGCTGGCGGCACATTTTCCAATGGAATCCATCTTCGATCCCACGTCTACCGGCGCGAAGAGCCGGATCGCCCTAGCTTTCTCCCTCGAGTCTGCTTCTTATCCAGGTCCACTCGAGATGAGACTGTTGCTGTGTTCATGCGGAACGCGAGCTACATCATCGCTTCGATCCACGACAATGTCTTCCTTCGAAAGTTCATTGCCTCGGTACCCGGTGGCCAGCTCAATATCCGCGAACTGTCCTTCCGGAACTTTGACTTCTTCCCGGAGCACGATCGCGAGACTGGGGTGTTGAATACTGAGGACTCTGACCTTGAGCTGGCAGTGCACTGCGAGGGCCTGCGGACTGTGCACTTGACCATGGGCCCTAGGTTCATCGGCTATCACGTCTTAGATGAGGATACCGGACAGTATGACCATCGCTTCAGGTCTACTGAAGAACTTGTCACCAAGTATCACCTGCGTCGACTTCTCGATTGTGAGAGGCTGCGCACTGTCCACTGGCATGGGTTGTGGATGACAACTGAGCATGAGCGAGTGCTTCGCGGCCTTGCGAACTGGGTCAAGGCGGAATTTGCGAGCCGGGGTCGCAAGACTGAATACACTGTAACCTAGGAGATCGCCGAAAGTGCTCTATAGGATGGCACTTACCCTGAGGTTAGGAGAACATGATTGCTGTATAGTATCTAAAGCACGTTAACGGAACGTCCTGAATACAAAGTGTCTTTATTAATCTTACTTTCCATATTGATGGTATATATGGCTGCTCATATGCAAGTTTAGTATAAACCTAGACGACTAAGTGGTGGAAGTTCAGAGACAGGATACGAATTATATGTCACTTCCGCTGTGTGGGGCGCCATAATCACTAACAATGCTTGCTATACGAGTAAATTTACCATGCATTTATACAACATCGCAAACACAATCTCTTGCCGCTGCGTTCAACATCGAGTGTCTCAGTGACGTAGGTGATACAAAGCGGTTTTGTCCACAGACAAACAAAAGTCTCCAAGCAAACTTAGCTTGGTCCTAATCGTGCGTTTACAGCAGTTCTCTTGGAAAACACAAACCACCCCACCCCCTAAGCCCTCGGCTCCTTCCCCCCAATCTCCCCACTCTCCCTGACAAAACCATTCCCATCCCCCGCCCTCGCTGCCCCATGTTGATGACTAGACACACAAAGTCAGCTTTCACTCATCCCATTCACTCCACCCCTCTTCCCTCCTCACATAGCACATACCTATGATCCCGCACCTCCCACTTCTTCAATACATCTAACCCCACACTATCTAACGCACCCACATGACTACTCGCCAGCGTCACGCCAGGCACATCCTCTCCCTTATCTGCTACTTTCTTCCAGCTCGCGGCGGATACGCAGAACCGCTGGCCGGCGCTGACATCCTTGAGGCCCGAGGCGCGGATGAAGGCTGAGGTCAGTTGTGCGCCGATGGGGTTGGCGGCTGTGCAGTAGCCGGCGTGCAGGGACGAGGGGAGGGATTTGGGCGCGCTGGATTCGGAGGAGTGTTTGTGAAGGGGGGCGTTGAAGACTATCTTCGTGAGTAGGTGTGGAAAATGCTAGGGATATAGATAAAGGGTACCGTTCTTTTGCTTGACGTCCATGCCGCCTTGTTCGTTTTTGGATGACATGTCGGTGTTAGGTTGGAGAATACGTGATGCGTTTAATTGTTCTGGGTGAAGAAAGACCATAGGACTTGAGTGTTATGGAGGAGAAAAGCATTCGAAGCTTGTACCTGAGCCTTTCGCGCCAGACTCTACTGACGTTTTTGGTAGACATGATGCTGTCATAGAACGACTGGACTCCTGACGTCACGAGAGAGGACTAGTCTTCAGCCTCAATCCTTCTGCATCAACACTATCAACTCGAATCTCTCCTCATAATCATCAAAGACACAGTATGTTGAAACCAACCCCTTCAACGTAAATGTCGACGCTGCCACCACGTCACATCCCCCTCGGCATTAACTTCCCCATCCCCATTTGCGCTATGCCAAATCGGCCCTAGCGTCGGCTAAACTTCATACCCATCATCGCACCCCAGATCCGCATCGCATCTTCGGATCCACCACCACGCCGAGTATCGAACATCCAAATCCCAAGCTCATGTTCAGCCACGCGGCTCTCCCTCCCCTACGGTACACCTCTCGACATGCGTACACAGGCCACGCAACGTCCCTTGGCATACGTCGCGTGTCGGCGTTTCCGCAATACCGAGCGCCGACATGCAGCGGTGAAAGTAGCACACAAGCATTGGCCTCGAATGTTGCTCATTAGAGGAGCTGGGAAGCTCCGCCGTGAACGTGTGAGTCGGTGAGCTTCATTGTGGCCGATCAAATGACGATTGCCTCACCACACCGCCACGAGTCGCACCAACGTGCAGTCGCAAAGCTAAAGAATTGCAGTTCTTCTGACTCGTCTCGCGCGTCATTCCGCGACGGGTGCGCTAGCGTAGGTGCAAGGTGTATGCCTGTAGGTAGTGAACTATAATGCTCGCGGCATTAATGCATGAATTGCTAGGAAGAGTGGTATGTGAGGGGCGGAGAATTACTTCTCTCCCGTGGATGGGTAAATAATTAGTTAGCATGGAAGACATGCAAGAGAACGCGGTACAGGACGCGTATGTTGTAGTTTGTTCCTGTGGCTCATCTAAAGATGTGATCTTGACGACGGGTGATTATATTAGCAAAACAAAAGTACAGCATTACTGGGCAGTTCTGTTTTGATCAATTCTTCGTTATTCGCCGCTATCTCAAGCCTTCATGGCGGTGTGATGCTACTACTTGCTCGCTGAAAAATGCCGTCAGGATGCTTGCTCGTTCCGCTTTCATACTCATTCAATCCGTCTATGCCAAAATACCTGTATGATACATTCCTCCACAATGCGTATTGGCGACTAGTGCATAGGTCTAGACGCGCTTTGCACGTGTCTTTCCCTTCGAACCGTCGGAGCCTGACAAGGCGGTTCTAATTCAGCCCTGCAGCTTCTCGCGAATCTCCGCGATGACGTTCCTTATCCGCGGCTCCTTGACCTTGCGCTCTGCGTGCGAGACCGCATCGCCAATCTGGAGGATGTCTCTACCAGCCTCACAGAAGTCGGGCCCTAGAGACAGAAGTGTACCAGTGGCGACCAGAGCGCGGTAAACGGCTTCCGAGTCGGTAGCTGAGGTAAGAATTTTGGACAGGTCATCCAGAAGCGACAAGGCGCGGTCCGCGTTGTTCTCTGACGTAAGCAGAACCGAGTAGTTGATGTAGAGGGTCGTCAGCGCGATGATGAGGTTGCGATTTGATGATGTCAGAAATGACGACAGCAGTGGGTGTATCTGATCGAACTCAGTGCTCGCCAGCATGCGGCCCTTGTCCGTCTGGAGCAGATTGCTGACGCAACGGATAGCCATCATGGTGTTATTTGGTGGTGATGACTCGGTGAAGACGCCAGACTCGGTGAGCGACGAGACAAAGTTCTGTTCAGGCGAAACAATGTGTGCTGTCGGCTCTTCGAAGATGAGAACAAGCCGAAGCATGTCTAGCGCGGGCAGTCGCTTTTCTGCCGGCCATTGTGTCGCTGCCTTGAGAAGGAGATCAATGCCTGTAAGATCGACACCCTTTCCATTACCCTTCTCTACTGCTGATACGGTGGTGCTCAGTTGTTCTACGTCGGAAGGATTGAGCGAGATGCCCTTGTGCCCCTCATCGATCAATGCCTGATTGAACTCTTGCAGCTTCTTGAAGATGACCTTGTGGTTTCCTGATGCGATGGGGAGATACTCCTTCTGGGGAAGAATCTTTGGGGCTGCAGGTGTTGGGGGCGCCTGTGAGACTTGGTTCGCATCGCCTGGCCTGTATCGCGACTCTGAACCCCATGGATCTGCACCTGGTCCGGCAGCCTGCCCCAACGTTGCGCCCTGTGTGTTTTGGACGATGAAGTTTGCCACCTGGTCCAAGTAGGTCAGGGGTAGCTCGTTGTCCTCGATGAATTTTCGCGCAGCTTCGTAGTGGTTCTGGTTGAGATTGTAAGGAAGCTTGAGTGGTGGCTTTCCGTCCTCAATGTCTACATCAAACACATAGTCGTACTCCTTGCCGTTATGCGATACCTTGCGTCCACCGCTGCCTGCCGAGTCAACCACAGTGCCGACATTCAGCCATTCATTGGCGGCTGAAGACCATTTGGTATGCCGAGACATTGCCGTTTGCTTCGAGGATCATCTGGACTTGGCCCTCCTTGGTGCCCGATCGCTGGGTCAGGAACTCGGGTCCTGGGAGCTTCTCCTTGTTGATGTCTCCAACGGTCTGCTGTGGTATCGATGAGCCCTTGACATCGTCGTTGAGCTGCTGGATCTCGGCCTCGGAGGCGAGCCGCTCTGGCTCGCGGGTGAAGATGCGAACGAGCTTGTCACTCGCACCGGTGACAATGTCGCCATTGTCTGGGCACACAGCAACCGTCCATACGGAAATCGCTGGGTGTGTGATGGTCTGTATGCACTGGTTCTTTTCCCATACCCGCACTGTCCGGTCTTCGCCTGCGCTCACCAGTCCGCCATTGGGCAGCACTGCCAGCGAGTAGATGAAGTTCTCGTGACCGTGAAGCTCAGCTATCTGCCTTCCATTTAGAGTCCATAAGCGGATGATAGCATCGTTGCCAGCGGAGGCAAAGTGTGCGCCCGAGGCATGGTTTGCAGGCAGTCGACACAGGGCGCGCACGACTTCGGGGGCCTGTATTGACTGCACCTGCTTCCCTGAGGTCTGGAAGATGCGGATCTTCTTGTCGGCGCATCCCGTGATGATGGTGTTGCTATCGTAGGCAAGAACGGCCCACACAGACGCCTCGTGGCCAGGAAGGAGCTTCGAATCGCCCCACTTGCCGACCTCCCACAGGCGCGCCTCCGTGTCCCAGCCGCCGCTCACAATGTATTTTCCGTCCTGGCTAGCGTCGAGTGCGCATACGTTGTTGCCGTGCCCTATCAGAAGAGCCTCGGCGTCATCGTCCAGGTTTTTGCTCGGTTGTCGCACGTCAATGATCTGGTCCTTGCCGCCCGAGACAATCAGACCCTCGGGATACGCCGTTGTCGGCGGCACAATGGCGAGTGAATTGACAAACTCCTTGCCGTGTGTCTTGATGGTGCTGTCCCATGTTGGCGGCTTGGCGGTTTGCTGCGACCACACGCGCACTGTGAAGTCTCGAGAAGCGGACACGACCGAGGCGGGGGAGGGGAAGGCGACGCTTCGGACCTTGTAATGTTGTTAGTCATTCTGTTGGGGGCTGAACAGAGAAGGAGCACATGGGTGGGTATACATACATCGTCTTCGTGGCCGCGCAGAGTAGCTGACAGCTTGAAGTCGCTCATGGCTGATGTGCACGCGGGGTTGCTCGGCGGCGGGGGAAGTTGGGGGAGGACGGTGGGAGAAGGAGAGGGCCGACGATTATTGGGAGGAAGGCATCAACTCTGGGGTCTGGGGCGGTGAGATCACGGGACCGTTGTGTTGGTGGGTGAGTCTCGTTGCTCTGAAGTGAATTGCCGTTGTTCTCACAGAGCTCTGGCTCGCTCGCTGAACGTCAACACTCGACCAACGTCACTTCCCCGGTCGCCTCGCTTGCGCATTAGGTAAGCAGTCCGCCCGTCACTCGACAGCAACACCAACACCAACACAACACGTTGAGATCGAGAAGTGTACGACCCGTCTCGCCGCCTCGGTAGTTCTTTTGAGGCGCTTAACCATGCAGCTTGACTTTGTCGCGAAACACTATGGAGAATTCAGCCCGCAGATACGACAGACCTCAGCTCGCCTAGACAAGTTTTTTGCAGCCCCACGCCTTGTTCTCCAGTCTGCATCTGTCATCTTTCGATCCTACACCAGCCCCAAATTCCTCCAAATGTACTTCCTCGAGCCCAGCACGTGGCGTCGGTAATGAGAGGCTGAGTGGTGCTTAGCGCAAAGCTTTAGCGATCGAGCCGTTCAAAGAGGCCGCAGGCATTGCGACTCTTCACTTTCCCTCGTCCTCATCTCTGGCGCACCATGGCACTCTGCAGCATGTCACCCAGTGTTGTCTCACGGAAGCTGGAAGACCGATGGGCACTGCCAAGCGCCTACAGCCGATGAGACACATTCGCGCCAGCAACTACCTACTGCGGCAACATCCGGCGAGGAGCTGCGTACTCCGTCCTTCGTAGACGTCCTTCATGATGGGAGTTTCAAGTGAACCTTCTCCGCGCCCAGTGGCCATCTGTTGAGTAAGACAGCAGTTGGGCGGCGTACTATGAAGTTGCACAGCAACGCCCAGCAGCTCTTCCCGTGATTCTGCAGCTGAAGCACATCTCAAACAGGCATGGATCGACATACCAGGCCCAGAACGACATTCATTGCGCATGGCCGCCAAACGTCAGTTAGGTATGAGGTGGTGGAACGGTTGCGTCCCAGCAAAGCTCCCCGCATAACTGCCATCGCTCGGCCTCCACCCCACCCCACCCTCGACCAGATTGCATCACGGAGCACGGCGCTCTTGTTTCACCGACCGCTGCGAAATGCAACTCTACCAATTCATGCGTAAAGGATAGAGATGAACTAGCCACTCGCATGGTCATCTGATTTGCGAAACCACTGCGCATGATGGCGCCGTCCTCGCTTCGCCCTCCTAGCCAGTGTTTGTCCAGCTCGACCTTCGCCTGCGTTCGCTGCAGCCACTATGAAATTAGATCCTCTTAGAAAGCAGCTTATCCCTGCTAGACATGAGTACGCTTACAGACAGCTCCCTGCGCAAGCCTGGGCCCAACTGTCCGCTACATGGCGGCCAAGCCTCTGGCCTTTGTGGCGGACAGTTGCGTGTCAGCTTAGCTTTCTCGACCATTGACAGCATTGAAGGGAAACCTTGTGACCCGTCTAGACTCCAAGCCTACGCAGCGCGACTTAGTTGAAATGACTGCACCTCGCCAGACTGACGCCAGCGTGTCGTAGCTTCAAGCATACAAGAGGACGCACATCCCCCAGTTCGAGTGCGAAATCAAGATAGATCTGCTTGAATCGGTAGATCCCGAGGCCACGAAAGCCATCCCGAGGCCACGAAAGCCCCATCCGTCCCCTGCCGCCGATCTTGTCACCCTTGTGCAGCCTTACCATAGAACCGGATCCGCCGCGTTCATCAACAACTGTTGGCCGACCCCTACGTACCTCACAGCGCTCTTACGCAAGGCCCGTGCTACCGCCCTCGGCCAACAGCCTGACCCTTAAAAGAAACCTGCGCCGCAGATCAGGGTCTCATAGCAAGTTCGTTCTCAACTTTGCCCTACACCGCAACATCTTCACTAGAAAAGAGGCTGCTTCCTCTCCGACCTATATCATTCAATGGACGCACCCACATTAGAGCTCAGACAAGCAATGGCATCGTAAGTCATAACTCAGTCTGTTTGTTGCAATGCTAATTCGACAAGTCTGTTCTCCGATCCCAAGTTCTCAGACTTGACCATTGTGTGTGGAGCGAGAAAATATCCCGTACACCGAGTTTTGCTCGCAACAAGATCGGCTTTCTTTGAGGGTGCTTGCCGCAATTCGTTTCTAGAGGCAGAGACTGGTGTCATTGACCTTTCCGAAGACGATGCTGAGGCCGTAGAGCACATGATCCACTGTAAGTACAACCCAACACGCGTCGAAGCGCAGACTAATCCAGGTCCTTCCAGACTTCTACCATATGGATTATCTGAAGAAGACGCAGTCGCGTCGATTCTCGCAACGTTCATCGCGCCCGGCATCACCGCTGTCTTTAGGCTTCTCGAAACGCGGCCCGCCCAAGAAGTTGAATCTGGCCCTCGTGGAAGACCCTTTGCTAGCGAGCATGACGGCATCTAATTTGTCGATGCCGCTGACGCCTCCCGCCGACGAACCTGTCCTCCAAAATCTGGATGCGTCGTCAAAACTCCCCGACACGCCGATGTTCGACCAATTTGCAATCGATGAGCTAGAAGGCGAGCAATCAGAGCCCGAGCTTGCCATGCAGAGTGCACACCTCGTCACTCATGCAAAAGTGTACGCAATTGCTGAGAAGTACGTATGATCTTTCGTCATTATTTGGGTTTTCTTCATCTGCCTGAATGCGCGTCCCAGTCCACTGGACCCCTTTCATTTGCGCCCGCAGATTACATTTGCGCCTGTGATGTGCTTGGGGTACCAAGGCGGTCCAACACCGACGAACGCCGCCAATTGCGTCACCGAGCGTATGCAAAGCCCAATCACTTCAGGTCAATGCACGTACCACATCAGATCGCCACGTCTCAATTGTCTATCTTTCCTTCTGTTTCTTTACCCCTGTAGCACACAATTAGCGTTTCCTGCACAGATCTCACCTCTACATCCTCGAAACGAACCACGTCCCTCCAATCACGCGATCTCAGAAAACCACGCACACACAGGTCATGCATGGCTAACATACCATCACAGATACGGCATTGCAGGTCTGAAAGTTATCGCACAACAGAAATTTGTGCAAGAGCTTGATCTGCACCTCGATAGTCCCGACTTCCCAGAAGCGTGCCAGGAGGCATACGAATCCACCTTCCACACTGATCGAGGTCTCCGTGACGTGATCGTCCAAGCATTCCGGGCTAACCCAGGACTATCCCTGCGACCGGACGTAGAGATGGCTGTGAGAGAAACCCCTGGACTGGCTTTCGAACTCTACAGAATGGCGAGTGGCATGCCTATCACGTCCTGAATCCTCCTGTCGAAGTTCAGTGCACAATAGCCACTTTTCTCCGTGAACCTCAGCCGGACGTTCCACTGAGAACGAATCGCGCGATTCATGCAAAGACGTGGCCGCCACTTCATGCGCGTCATAAGCGGCCAGCTTCAATTTGAGATAGCAATGTCTCGCAGCATGCGGCACACTTCCCCGCAGCAGTGAAATACGCGGAGCAATCACCTCTCTTGAAGAGGTGGGGGCTAGCTCTACACAACTGTTCCACGACCGCAGTTGTGAGGAGGGGCTGCATACGCAGGTCCGGGTCGTGGACGTCGGTGGATTACATGAGCCGTCAAGCTGCTCGTTGCGGGGTGCAAATCGACGAGTGTGAGATCAATGACAAGGAAACACACGTACAGTTCGCGAACGAATCTGTTCATAGATGGCACCTAGGCAGGCAGCGCAGAAAGCGCACACGTGACAATGTAAAGTTCTTTCAAAATATCAATTTCAATGTACAGAACGCAGTCGATCGACCGATGTGTCTCCTCTTACTTTTCTGTCTTTCTACTATCAATTCAACAATCATGGTCCATCACACATTATCCACTCGTCACGTCTCCAGTGTCATCGCACAGCACCTGACAGCTACCATGGACACGACTTTCCACCGTATCGCACTCAAACAAACAAGCCTTGATCTACTGAATTCATCCAGGAATTAATATAGTATGTCTCAATAGGAACGCACTGCACACAAGCATGTGTAGGCGGACGCGATATTGGGAGTGAAGGTGAGAGCACAGCGCAGGCGTGGGGCTTGGTAATCATTTGCTCCTGCCCCGGTGTGCGACAGCTTTGTTTCTCTTCTCTCACCTCACCTTCTGCCAACATCTCGACCATGCACATGGCTGGCGACGTAGCGGGAGCTGCGCAAACTGCGCACTGCCTGCTATTCACATTGCCAGATGAGCTGCTCCTCGACATCGCTCACTGCCTGTCGACACTGGATCAGTGCGAGTTATCACCCGTTTCGAAGCAAATTGGAACAATTGCGCAGGAGGCCGCGTACTGCGCACCGAGCATACCTTACCGTAGGTCATCCCCTTCGCGGATCGCAATGCTGGCGGAAGTACTGGCCCGTAATGCTCACCTAGCCTGCAAAGTCCAGGAACTCGACCTGAAGCCCCACACCAGCCACGTCAGTGTCGAAACGACTCTCTTCTGTCCATGGGATGACACGGTTGCAGAGTCCATGCAGCATCTCACGGTCTTCATGAAAGAGTCGGAAATTGTGGGTTACATTCTGAAGCACGTTCCTAACCTTCGGCACCTGCTGTTGGACGTGAGAGACGAAGAGGCTGCGAGCTTTTCTTCGGATCGCACGCATGAGCATCTGCTTGGCTACGACCACGGACAAGAACCATACGGAGGAGCAGCAATGTCGAATGTTGTAGGACTGTAACAGCTTCGTTCTCTATCTCTATACAGTGGGGCACTGGAGTGGGCTTGGTGTCAGCTACCGCATCTTACAACACTCAATCTGGGTTGATTGTGCTCTATCCTGGATTATAGCTTCCCGCCGCGAGCGACATGCCGGGTCAAAACATTGTCCATGGAAAGATGCACTCGTTTACTCAATACACAAACGGAGGCATCGGACGAGCTAGTCGCTTTCATCCGTCGTCTACCAGAGCTTGAGGAACTTGTCGTTTCATTCTGCAACTCGGAAATCGACGCAAGCACTGGAGATTCCTACGTAGTGCTGAAACCGGGAACACTGGGATCGCTGGATTCACGACTGTTGTATCTGCACCCTTTGGCCTCGACACTGAAATACCTCATTCTATCTGCTTGTAACCATAATGATGCGTCATTTCTCGAATTCATTTCACCCATGGGACCGTCGCTCCTTCGGTTTCAAGACCTGCGCAAGCTCCAGGTCGAACATGATATGATTGTTAGATCGGATGGCAATTCCATTGAGCAAATGTTACCTCCTAGCCTTGAAAATCTGACTATATTCGCTCCGCGTCTCAGTGTCGTTCCCTACCTAAAAGGATTGTTGCCACTGAAATGTCATTTCACAAAGAGCATCACTGTCGAGCTCTGCCAGTACAGTCACCGAGGCGCTGGTTATCAGGACTTATATTACTGACATCTCCATACGTGGGATAGGTTGTTTGAGGTGGGAATCCTGGTCTGGGTATTCTGGGATCCAAAAGATTATCGTGATGATTGGAACGATCCCGATTACGACCCGTTCATCTTCGAAATCATCGAGTTCCTCGCTGGATTGAGTTTGTGCGGCACGTTAGGTCAAGATATGGAGGCGCGTGAATTGCTCTGAAATATCTGCGAGGAGTTGGTCAATCATTTCTACGTACGATATCAAACTGACTTTGATAAGTATGTCACGCTTCAGTCCTGTCTTCGCGTGCTGGAAACATGGCAAAGCTATGTTGGCTTATGTGCCTTTCTTCTCCGGGCTTCCCATCGGCGCCGACAATCCGGGTTCACAACGATCCACCACGTCATTCAGCGTTTCGGTCAAGCATTATTACACAGTATAAACCACTTGACCATGTCCAATGGCCTCTTCTTTCTGTCTCGGGCATCAGCCCATGACCCGTTTCGGTGCTTCTCTTCTCAAAGGCATGCCAAGCATATTCGTCAGCTCTTCGTCTTGGAGTCTGACGAATGCTCCGCCCGACGTAACTGCATCTTACGCAGAAAACTTAATGATACTGCGTTACCTCACAACGAGAATTGACATATCAAACATTACTCCCTGTCTAAGCTCTCTGCTTCCTCGTCTGTTTTGTCAATCAGCTCCAGACTCTACGCTGTGCGTTCAAACGAAGACGGTTCGTTCAAAGCCAGCTAAGCCTTATCATCGATGCTTGTAGACCTCCAGGCCGAGGAACACGAGCCAAGCTATTTTTAAATTAGGCCCATGTTGGGAGCTGACGTGATTGGCAGGATCAACCTAACCCCAGCCTCACACAGCCTTGTATGTTTATACGATGCCTGCGAATATACCGTGTATTGACCGAAGAAACGAAACAAGGTTTACGTCGCTCCCAAATTTACCTGCCGCAGTGTTCCGTTTCTGAACATGGCAGAGCGCACGACCCGCCTGTCAAACGTCTGATCAGACCGAATAGCACCGACGGTACATAAGCACTCCGCACCCGCACTTGCACCGTAAATACCGACACTGCTACGCGATCTCTCATGATGTTCGCGATCAAGTGGTCTCTCTGTGCGCTAGTCGGTGTTGCCCTTGCGCAATCCAACCAATTCACCTCACCCGACGGCCGCGAAGATGACCTAGGCGTCGGCGACAACCTCGACATTAGATGGCAGGCGGGCTGGACTGGTAGCGGATTGCGCCAGACCAATGTCGACTTGTTCGTCACGGGTTCCAAGAGTGGCACATTCACCTCTGTACTCAGGCGTAAGCATCACCCATACCCTACGTTTCGTGCATGATGCAATGCTAACAGCGAGCAGGCAACATCTCCCTCGACCAGCCCGGCAACTACCGCTGGAAAATCGACATCCCATTCGACATCCTGCGCAAAGACAAAGACTTCGTCGTCGCCTTCGTACAGGCACGCGACCCGCCCAACTTCGACGCCACAGCCGGCATAGGCACGAGTTCGAGCCGCGTCTTCAAAGTCGAGGAAGACTCGAAATCATCATCGGGATCCAAGGGCAAGGGGAAAAACAAGAAAGGCAAGACCAAGCTCGGCGCCATTCTCGGCGGCGTGTTGGGTGGCCTTGCGCTGCTGATCGGCGCGCTGGTCACGGCACTCGCGGTGCTGAGGAGCAAGAGGAAGAAGAAGCAGCAGCTCGAGGCTGGTAAGGAGATACCACCACCGCCGCCTGTGGAGCAGCAGAAGTTTGCGAGTACGGCGGAGATGCAGGCGATGAGGGCGGGGGAGCATGATGCGCCGCCGAAGTATGAGCCGCCGGCGGAATTGCAGGGGAGTGAGGCGCGGAAGGATGGGGAGGTTACTGTTAAAAGTGGTGATATTACAAAGGATGGTGAGGCGAGTCGTAAAGATGGGGAGGTGACGAAGGATCAGAAATGAACGATATGATGGGATGGGAGGTTATGAAATGTGCAATATCCCGTGAAAGTTTACGTCGACCTGCGCATTATTTGAGACATTACATTCGTAGTACAAGCAAAAAAGAGTAGGGCCAGGGAAAATGAAATGGTCATTTCACAGCAACTCTGCAAATCTGGGCGTTCTTGCAACACTGCTATGGCCTGTCGAACTACGTTGTGAGAGAGAAGGTTTGCGCAGCGGGGTGCTGACGCGTTCTAGTTAGATTAGTAGCGCGCTCATGACAAAAACAGCCTCAGTGCGCACATCACAGATGACTAGCAAAAATAGAAAAAAGAGAGGGAAAGTCTGACCCGAAGGCGATTTGAACGCCTAACCTTCAGGAGACTCGAAATAGATTCGCTGGAATCTGACGCGCTACCATTGCGCCATCGGGCCCTTCTTTGATCAAGCCGAAATTTACATATTATATATACTCACAACGACACCTGCTCGGAGGCAGCCCTGCTACACCGCGATCATTTTTGGTATGCCAACGGAAATTTCATAGTCTTGGAGCGGGGGCAGTATAAAGATCTGACGACCCTGGCCGAGAAAGTGGGGTAGAGCGGGGTCCATGGTCCTGAAACGGTCCTTCAGCAGCGCTAAGGTCGCGATGCGGCGTTTGAGTTCAGGCCTCCTGAGGTCACCTCCATAGCAAATCCCCTTTCCTCGTACTTTGCTGTGAGTGAGGCAGCGGTCGATCGATAATCTGTTGTAGCAGTAAGGCCGACATCCACCATCTCATCATGAGCACATCAGCGCTTACTTGTAAGCCTCGCCTAGCGTGTCCGCCTACCATTCTCAAGTCAGTCGCATTTGGGACGATGGGTGGGAGATGCTGACACAGACGTAGAGCGTACAAGAATGGCGAATTCACGGATTTGACTATAATCTGTGGCTCGCTCGCCTTCAAGGTGCACGCCGTTGTTGTCTGCACGGCATGCGACTTCTTCCTAAAGAGCCTAAAGTTTGCTGCTGGCAAAGAAGCCGAATCAAAATGCATCAACCTTCCAGAAGACGACCCTGAGATGATCCGGCGCCTGATCGCGTATCTATATCTTGGGGATTATGACCCCAACAGCGGCATGTCGCTGGCACAATTCGGAGCCATCGCCCAGCATGAATCCACCTCAGCAACCAATCCAACCCACCACTACCGTAGAGGCGCTTTTGGCGTGTCGGTCACTGATCCATGCGCGTGTCTCGCGCCCAATGCGAAAAACACAGAACAGCCCGTCGCAAAGGAGACGGATTCGCAACAGGACTACAAGGTCTACGAGAAGACGGCGAATGCGGTCGAGGTTGCAAATCCGCTGACTATTCATGCGTCCATGTACGCGCTGGGTGACAAGTACCAAGTCGAAGGGCTGAGCAGTCTTGCGAAGGAGAAGTTCGAGTGTTGTCTTCATCATCATGCGCAGACGGAGGATTTCATCGCTGCGGTGCAGATTGCGTACAGCACCACGCCTGATTCGAATCGCGGGTTGAGAAATAGTGTCATGGAGGCTTTTCGAACGCACTTCCAGACTGACATCGCGTCGATACCAGGTGCAGAGGCGAAGCTGGATTCGATTGACGAACTGTCGTTTTTGCTCATCAAATCCTGGCCACAGAAAATTGAGGCTCCAAATCGCGCGGTCAAGTCTGCGAGCGGTGCAACACAATTTGGCTCGGTGAGTTCATCCAACACGAGAGCAAATGTGCCTTCGCTTTTTGCAAGTATGAACAGTACCGTACAGCCAGCGACAACCGCGTCACTTTTTGGGACGCCGCGCCCTAGCAGTAACAATGCTGTTCCCTCCCAGCCACCAACCTACCCAGGCCTGTTCGGAGCACCACGCCCCGCAAATACTGATACTGGTGCTTCACGTCCTACACCTCGTCTCTTCTCTCAAGACATATCCAGATAGAGCAGTGGAGCTCTTGTGGCGTATTTAGTGTTTTCGGTTCTCTTGTTTTTCCAACTACTTTTCCGTGTTACACAAAATCACCATCGCGCATTCCTCAGCCAGCCTCACCTTCCACCACCGCACCGCAAGCGACTGCTGCAAAATATTATGCAGCTTCCCAGATAGCTGCAAACGACCTCCTAAATACTGCATCCAGCGCGACTTCCAACATATCAGATACCAGGCGCAGAAATGGCTTATAATATATTTCCGCGTAGCGGCTACTTAGGCTACTACAACAATTGCATTGTCCCATTTTACAAACTTCAAATCATTGCAAAAACATAACAAATTCGCATCTGATACACTTCATCCTTCTAAAAATGGCCACATACCACGAGAATAATGACGTCGCTCTTCCGCACGCCGGACTGCTCTCATACTTCCATCCTCGCACATCGCACGCACAGCCCAGCGAACATGCACCTCCACCATACAACGACATCGAAGGCCTGCTCACCACTCCAATTCTCACAATCGATGAAGCAAAAGACGCGGACGAGCGGTCGGACTACAGCTATTGTCCCGACTGCGACTCCTTCGACTGTGAACGAGGAACTTTCGTACTCACCACCATGAAGCGCGACCACCGCGGCTTCTACGCCTTCTGCTGCTTCTGGTGCGCCGTTGCAGTCTGCATCCTTGGCGCGTTTGGCATATTCTTCACCCTGGATCTGGTCTTTTCGCAGTTTGGCATGGGGACTGGGCTGGCGATGTGGATGATTCGCGGGAACCCGAGTAATGCGGACACAAGCTACGATGTAAGTACCAGGCTTCCTGTGTAGAGGGCCTGATACTGATGGCTTCATAGATGTCTTTTTGTCTTGTTTCGCCAAACCGCCAAGCTCCTGGGCCCCAGACATGGCGATATATCGCGTCCGCTAGCCGTGAGCATTGTACGACCGAGATCGTGACTCTATCTGCTACAGCGGGCGAGCAGTGGAAGCTTCGAATCGATGATGAGATCCTGTTCGGGGATGAGCTTCCAGTGAAGACAGGCTATGGCCGCGGCGAGAGATTCTTGCACGTCGAGGAACAGGCTAAGGGAGACGACCTCGCAGAAGAATCGACTGCTGGGTGGTTGAGCACTTACGATCCGGTGGACCCAGAAGAGACTCATGAGTAGTTGTTTTGTAAGCTTAAATGACAAACTTTTTCACTCTTCGTCTTCGTTGGACACGTGATGGGGGGTAATTCGCCACGCTCCATGCCTGGCCGGTGTATATTTCAGGACCTCGAGTGCCTTATTATCTCTCTCCTTCCACCCTTCTTGATCAACTTGCTTGCTACAAGCCTCAACCAATCTCTGAGCATGTCCAACGGCGCCGAAACCACGGATGGCTTTCTCGGCCTACCCACTGAGCTACGCTTGCAGATTTACGGTTACATCGCTGACACGGTTCCCATCCCTACTTCTTCTACCATGGAGCCTTATCAAGGCCTAATTCTCTCCTGCCGCCAAGTCTACCACGAGTTCGAGTCCGAGGCTGTCAAGTCTGTTAATCAATTCTTGAAGGCCTCCAAGGCAAAATGGACGACCACTCTCTACGACGTTCTGATACCGCATATCCAGACCTTCGTCGACACCATAACTATCACCATCAAAATTACCGGCCACATCCCTCCGGCCATCCAACTTCCACGTTATCATTGCAACCCCCTATATTATCCGCACCTAGCAACACTCATCCACAACTTCATCGACAACTTACCATCTTTTCGGCTGTGCATGCTCAAAGTCGATTCTCCCATCGTCGATGTCAGGTTCGCGTACGATTGCCGTTCCCCAAGCTACGAACAGCAACTATCTGATATGGCCCAGACTCAAGCGTAAAAGACACAAAGGTATTCAGGAGCAAGCCGACCAGAGACATCTCAGTTCCTAGACCTTGTGCTGAACGAATCAGTTGTCCGGAAATAGGGAAATTTTCATAAAGCCCCGAGACGTTGAAGCGCATGCTGATCGCGTCGGAAAGATGAGTCAAGACTGGGAAGCCGATAGCACGGTAGTTGCGTGTGTTCCGCTACTGTGTGAAGCGTGCACTTGTGAGGTAGTCGTTGATGCGAGACATGGTGTCGTGCTCGACCTCGTGGTAGATCTGCCGGCACGACATGATGAAACCGGATATGTTGCGGATGGCCAAGGCGGTGGGTGATGTTACGGGCGCATTCTCTTATGGCAGATCATATGGCATGGCGGGTATGGCGTACTTGTAGATCTGCAGCCGCAGCTCGACAGGAAGCGTGAGGGAGGATACTGTTTGTGGAGCAGGGTGCTTGAAGTGCTGAATCCTAGCGATGGTGAGATGGATGGGTGAATCTTTTGGTTGAGCTTGGAACGGTAGGTGGCATGTTGAGAATAGGGACTTCATGCCAGCGTTGTCTCGTATTGGGCAGTTTAATGGCTTCGCGATAGATGCGTATCCTTAGTTCTGCGGGCAAATTTAAGAAGGGGATCCTTTGCGGCGACGAAGGTTGGCGATTTGGAGGAGTCCGACCGTCCAGGCGCGTTGCCTCGAAGAGAGCGGGGAGAGACATATCGTCCGACATTATGTCGCATTTCGAGCTGAGGTGGCTGAATGAGCGCAATAATTCGTGCGCTGAAGAACAAAAAGAGTTCAGGCAGGATTTTGTGTGAAATAGGAAAATTTCTAGATATGGCTTCGCTGGATCATTTGTAGCGAGAAGATCCTGTGTACCAGACATTGTCGCAACAATATCAGGCCGGGTTCAATCAAATACAGCAACAACGGTCAGTCTCAAAGATTCTCGGCGCCTACGGAATCCTTCCTCTAACACTGCTTTCGGATTAACGAAGATGCTGTCCAGAAATTTTAACCGAAATCGCGCCTGCTGCCCAGACAGTGGAAATGGACAGAGTTCAGATTCTGCATCCGGTAGAGACCTCTCAGGCCCCACCGGTCTTCAATTTCCACCCCTGAAAATTACTCTGGAGTAGGGCTCTCTCCTCCAGGATTTTCTGGTAGATCATCTTCATCAATGAACCGCAAAAGGTGACAAGGACGAAAGCCAAGAATCAGGTCTTGAAGGCCGGTACAGCCAGAGATGAAATTCCCAGGATAAAAGAACTCTGGTATGGTGGAACTTCCATAGCAAGATGCTTCGCGGGAAGTGAGCATGCGAATAGATTCAAAGCCTCTTTTGAATAAGTGTTCCAGAGGGCGCATGATGCTTTGACGGGTCAGTGGACGAGACTTGTCGAATACCAATCGAGTGCGCCGTAGGTATGTCATTATAGACTCTTCTTGAAGGTCCCTGCAGATGAGAGAAAAGCTTGGAAGACTGGTTGTAAGTGACGAGATACGAGTGCGATTGATCATGTACATGCTGTTTTATCCTCTGTCATATGATATGTGGTCAGTGTGTTGTGAGCAACGGTCGATAGTGCGCAGCTGGCGTCCACACGACTCAGCACGCGCATTTCGTTTTGGCACCGTCCGCAACAACTTCAAGCGATGACTTGTATCTTGGGACGTGTCCGTTATAGAAGCATGGCGATGAGTCTGACGACGGGTGAGACTCGGCAAGACGCCGATGTAGCAATGTTTCTGTATGCAAAATGTACGCGTTTTGCGCCAACCCTCTTTCGGAAAGGCTTGTCTACGTCATGCGTCGCCAACATCAACACGGGTCCGACAATCATCCGTCCAGACATCACCAGCATTAACACGCGCATCTCCCCCATCCGTGTAGACATTCCGCTTACGGCATTATCCAAGCACTTATTCAAATCGCGATTCCATGTCAGAATGAGGGGCACGTCAAACGAATCGTCACGAGTAAAACAGCGAAATGGAGAATGATCGTAATTATCATTAGGGTCTATAAACATGAATATCGTGACGGACCAGCACTCTGGGCCACGATTCCCAACCATGGGCGCGGATTCAGAGGCTAGAACCAAACTTTTCGTCACCCACCACTCTAAGCAGGGGGGCCAGCTGGCTCGGGGACGCCGGGAGGGCAGTGCCTTAGGTGTTGTTAGCAATGGTTCGTATTGATGGTGAAATTGACTTAGACTTACCAGTGGTCATCGTGGGGAGTGCAGGACTGAGCAGCCTGAGCAGGCTTGGTAGAGGTGGCGGCCGCAGATGTGGCAGCAGCACGAGTGGGCGTGGCGGAAGCGCTGGCGGGCGCAGCACTGACTGAAGCAGCGCGAGACGTCGAAGCAGCGGCGGCTGAGGAAGAGGTGGCAGTGTACTTGCCGGCGCATCCAACACCGGGAACGGCAATATCCTGGGCGTAGGCCTCAAGGGCGAAGTACTGGAGGGTGTCCGAGTCACGCACGGCGTATGTTGAGTTCTCCTTGGCCAACTCAAGCACGCCTGGGTACTTGCCTACGCTGTAGTGCTCGACAACGCCCTCGCCTACCTTGGGAATGTGAAGCAGGCGATGGAGAAGATCGCCTGCCCAGTAGAAGTTTGTTGCACCGGTCGCGACAGTCCAGCCAAATCCACAGAGGCCCTCGAGAGAACGACGGGTCTCATAGGAAACGTCACAGATGACAGTCTCGGATGACGCGTTGGCACCACGCCAGTGACCGGCCCATCCTAGAAGAAGTCAGTCTAAGCTCGTGTGAATACCGGGTATGGACGTACCTTTTTGAGTAGCGCAGTTCTGGTCAGGGTCGTCACAGCGGAATACTACACCAGCCTTGTCACCGTCGGCGATCTTGGCGAACCAACCAGCAGGCTCGCCAGTGGCAGCATCTCCAAAGTACTTCTTGTAGATTGCGGACGAGTTGCCCCAGCGCAGGATGTGGTCGCGGGCATGTCTGGCGATGGTCTCGGTCTCTTGCAGACCCTTCTTGATGTAGGCCTTCTGGGTAGCGTTGCAAGAGGCGTGAATGGGGTACTCATTCACGGCACCCGCGTCCCAAGCGGTGCTTGCCGGGGCAACAGCTGCCACAGGGGCACTTGAGGCAGCAGCCTGGCGGGGAAAGATGGGGTTGGCAACCGCGGCCGAAGCTCCAAGGAGCACAAGAGAGGAGTAAGCGACCATGATGAGGTTTCTAGAGTGATCCGAATTGAAGCTTTGCAGTATGAGACGTCGAGTGTCTGAAGATATGCGAACTGCTGTTCAAGGTAGGTCCCGACAAGCTGGATGCGGTTTCATGCATGCAGTCAACTTGCTCTTTATACGATCGCAGAACCCAGAGCACTGGCTCCTCTGGCGACACCTCGGTACTCTTCTCCCGAAAATCTGAGTACTTCATCCACGCCAAGTCGCGAGAAAGCACGCCTCAACGCCGCCGCTGATGCACATGCGGGCTTTTCGCTGCCAGTCCGAAGAGCCTCATGGTACTCTATGCATGTACAAGGCTAGTCGACCGTCTTGGCCGACGCACCTCCCGCGTGGTTGAGTCTGGGCATGCGGGCTGTACAGGCCTGGACGACTGGTTTCTCCGCTCAGACTGTTCAAAATGGTCGAAAGAGCACCATGATGGACTCCAACAGCAGGCAGATTTTCACGTCTAAGAGACGAGGTTCGGGATCAGTCCCTGCGTTCGGCAAAGGCGACGGTGCTACTGACAGCCAACGCGGGTTTTCGCCATCCCACTCTTCGGCATGTGTCAGCACGAGAGCAGAATGATCGAGCAGACGGAGTATCACGCGGAGCTTGCATGGACGGTCTGCGCACCAACGGGGCTGAACATTGCGAATTATCGCTGGGCTCCACTTGCTCATAACAACACGGGCAAGCACAATACACGTATCATGAGCACTACGACTACCCGAAAGGACTACACAGGCGTGTTACCTGCTACTCCATCCAGTTCTACCCCACTGAGCACTGACACAAGTCCGATTACCTAACGTTCTGCGCCAAGACGCCCGCCACCGTACAGTGCCACCTTCTACGCTTGTGCTAGATTGAATTGCTAGAACAAGCAACTTCACGACTTCTTGATTCGACGACGTGGACCCGGAGACGGACGCCAAGGTCGTAGCTCGACATCTCGGTACTCTTGCCAAGCACATACTCTCCACGACGGCGGAGCGAGCGAAAGTCTCTTCATGGGGTTGCATTTGTCTTTCCCCATCATGGTACTGGGTATCCGAGCAGCTGACTATTCCAAGACATTTTCTTTCTGATTCTCGGTGGTTATATCAAGGCATTGCGCTGGCACAACTTTGACAGCATTCACCCACAGGCTCGCTTGACCACCAGCCTTGAACATGGTTTCAGCCACATCTCTTGTAGCCTTGCTCTTTGCAGCATGTGCTGCTGCACAAAGTGTAACGCCGGCTCCTACGTCTACTAGTTCATCGAAGCCAACAATCACCGCGGTGTCGGATTGCCATCCCCATGGCACCGTGAAGTATGTGCGCCCTTGAACCACTCGAATGTATGCGACGCTAACGATTGACAGCTGGTGTATGGTCGGAACCGAAGAGTACCAGGTTGTCGGGCCCACGAGGACCCAGGACATGCAACCACAGTACACCGACTGCCATACACACGGAACCCAGACGTGAGTATATGTGCTGCATTTTTTGTGATTTCACTGACAGTTTCTAGATACTGTGTTGATGATGCGGGCGAGGATGTTCAAATCCTGGTTGAAGCAGCCACAACAGGCGCTGAGAGCACTCCTACTGGGACTGCAGGGCACAGCGATGGACATAGCGACGGCCATGCTTCAGAAGAGCCCGCTGGTTCTGGCGAGCACTGCCACGACCATGCTGGAATCCCGTAAGTGAACTTTGTTTGCGTCGATAGACGTTGTCATGCTGATCTATTCTCAGTCACTGCGTTGGTGGTAGCACAGAGGAGAAATCCTGCGATGCACCTAACCGCGAATACAACATCCCGCTTCGCGTGGGCTTGCTCTTCGTTATCCTCGTGACCAGCGCCTTTGGAGTGTTCATGCCAATTCTCACCACCCGCTTCAACATCATCTCGCAGACGAACATCATCTTCGTCATCCTGAAGCAGTTCGGCACGGGCATTGTTATCTCGACTGCCTTTGTCCATCTCTTCACCCACGCAGACTTGATGTTCAGTAACTCCTGCCTCGGCGAGCTTCAATATGAAGGCACTACAGCTGCCATCTTCATGGCTGGTCTCTTCCTATCTTTCCTTGTCGACTACCTCGGTGCTCGCTTCGTGCAGTGGCGCCAGAACAAGCACGTCAGTGGCAGCGCAGAAGTGCCAGCTGCTACAGGCGACGACAAATCTGCCGGATCCGGAACGGCTTCCCAGGATACCGACGTCTTGCGTGGTCATGGTCACGGTCACGCCCACGGGGTAGCGCGCGAACCTACACCAATGGAGGAGAAGATCAATGTCATGAACTTGGAGGCTGGTATCATCTTCCACTCTATTCGTAAGTGTGACTTGTTCTTAATGCGAAACACCTCTAACATGCGCACAGTCATTGGTATCACACTTGTTGTTTCCGGCGACAACTTCTTCATCACGCTGTTCATCGTCATCCTCTTTCACCAAATGTTCGAGGGTATCGCGCTTGGAACTTGCATTGCCGAACTGCCAAGGGCCGCTGCCAACACGATGCAGAAATGCATCATGGCCGGTACCTTTGCGCTCATCACGCCCATCGGCATGGCTATTGGTATTGGTGTGCTTAAGAAATTCAACGGCAACGACCCCAGCACTATCGTTGCGATTGGTACGCTTGATGCGCTCTCCGCGGGTATCCTCGCGTGGGTTGGTATCGTTGAGATGTTGGCGAGAGATTGGATGCAAGGAAAGTTGTTGAATGCTGGCGTGGTGAGGACAGTTTGCGCCATGTTCGCGCTCATCTGCGGTTTAATCCTGATGAGTGTTCTCGGCAAGTGGGCGTAATCGAATTTACAATGACTGTACGGACTGATATGAATTATGGCATTGCATTTGCAGCGGGATATAAATACGGCACCATATAGACTATACCAACCTCAACGTTTGAGCGGAAGAATAATGCACAGCTACTCCACGATACTCCCCTTCATACTCTGCCTCCCGAAACTATCCCAAATTCCTGCTTTCCACCCCTGCCCTTTGTCCTCAGACTTCTCGAGTAAGATCCGATACGGCTCACCAACATACAGCGGACTCATAGCTCTATACGCAATACTCTTCGGCACCGCCTCTTGCTCTCCACACCTCGCCGTATCCCGCCAAAAGTCCAGCATATTAATCAAATTTAGCGGCCCATGTACCACCGCATTCCGATGCCCCTCGACCTCCCGACACCACTCCGGCGAATAGTGAATCTTGTGTCCATTGAACGTCAGCGCCGAGAACCTAAACAGCGTCGTATCCGTCTGGCAAAAATCCTTCTGATACTGCCCTTCCGGCAGCGCTTTCTCCTCCGGCTTAGGAGCCGCTTTGATAAGACTGTCCGGTGTGATTTCGCGCTGGAAAACCCAGCTGCGCTTATCTACCAGCGCTACGCCATGGCTGTTTGAAAACGTCTTGGACACGCCCACGACGAGCATGTCTCCGCCAGATTTTAGCTTCTTGGGCTCCGCGCTGATTAACTCGGTGGTTTCGTGCACTTCCTGCCCGACGCGGAGGAGGGAGGAGGCGTCTTGCGTCCAGTTGAGTTCACCGCCTGCCCACATGCGGCGGGTGTATGGCGATAAGGGATTCACGGTGCGGTCAGTGCCGTCTAAGCCTAATTCGGCTTCGATTATAGAGGGCGTGAAGTAAACCAGATGATGTCCTGGTGGGATTGGCGTGCCATTTTTTGGAAGGTGGTAGGATGTTGGAGTACGGTTGAGGGTTATTGAGAGCAGGTGCAGTTGGTTGGCGTCGAGGATTTGGGAGCGGCTGCTCACGGGGGTGTTGGAGAAGCGTGAGAGTAGTTCGGCACAGGCCTCGGATGCGGAGTTGGAGTGAGCGTGGGCAGAGGTGGTGAAGAGGCGGCGAGTCAGATGTGCCATATTGCCAATATTTGTGATGTTTGATGACCAGAAATTGTATGAGGAGGTTCGGCTATTCGAATGGTAACATCATATGTTCAGTATCCGATAGCCGACGGATGCATCACCGGGTGCCGCAATTGGTGCGCTCTGTTGGAATCCCGGACACCAAGAAGTAACGATTTCACACTGCAAACAAGGCTGTCTAGCTGACGACTTTTGAGCGTGATACGGAGTACGAAAAAAAGTCTTGAAGTCATATGGTCTGAACTGTACTCTAAGGTAAGAAAGAATGGTGGGCGTTGGCGCCAAGGCCGCTAACAAGCAGCAGCTCCCAGGGTAAGTAGCCGAAGTCTCCAGGCAGTCTCCAGCGCACACGACAATGTCGGAGCCACCACGAAAACGCGCGAAGCTCGCTTGCGTCACTTGTAATGCGCGGCGCGTCAAATGCGATGTTACAGACCGCCAGCCATGTGGAAACTGCTTCACAGCGAACATCCACTGCGAGACTCGCGAAAGTAAGCGTGGAAAACACCCGCGGAAGCCGAGGACGGATTCCGATGCACGCGAGGAGATGTATGTCAACCCTCAACTTTCAACATAAGTTTTCTCAAGAAGAGCCACACCTCTAACACGGCTTAGCTCCCCAAATACACAGTTGAGCCCTGGGCGAAACGAGGATGAAGTCGCTGCCTCGCACGTGCTTGCATCACTTTCATCAAACTTCCATAGCCCTGCCAACACTCGCCTGGATCATTTTCACTTTGCATCGCCATCAGCAAGATCTGAATCCCAGAGTATCTTGACAAAGACCGAGACACCTCGTCAGGAAGACGATACAGCCGTCTTCCTGGGTGAGTCGAGCTCACTCAGATATGTCACTGAGGAGCCTTCCCCTGCTGGCCCAGCTACGCAACGGAGGCAATCACTCTTCCGATTCCACCATGCTGTGCCCAGTACCGCTAAAGAGGATGCAATGGTGCCGGAGTGGGAGGCTGAACGACGTCGTGTGCGCATGAAAGCTCTCCAAGCTGAAGGGACATTCTCCTTCCCTCCAATAGCGATTCGTCTAGAGCTCCTGAAGGCATACTTCCAGTGGTTTCACTCTCATTTTGCAGTGCTAGACGAGTCGGACTTCTGGGAAGCACACGAAAATGATACAGTATCGCCTCTTCTTCTACAGGCCATGCTGTTCATTGGAGTCATTCATTGCGAGCAATCGACATTGGTCAGTCTAGGTTGGGGTAATCGCCATCGCGCAAAGTGGCTATTCTACATCCGAGCCAAGGACATATATGACGCCACGTACGAGAGCAACAAAGTGACGGTCATCCAAGCGTTGTTCTTGATGAGCTTTTGGCGCGCCGGTGCGCTGCTGGAGAAGGACGCCCGCCACTGGCTCGGCACCGCTATCAGCTTAGCGCAAACGAAAGCTCTTCACCGCGCAGGCGAGGACGGAGAGGAGAAAATATCGAAGTTAAAACGGCGTTTGTGGTGGGCCATCTACGTACGTGAGCGACAGTGTGGGTCTGCGCTCGGGCTGCCAAATCGAATCCGCGACGAAGACTGCGACATCGCGCCCTTGTCCACGTCGGATTTCACTTCGGCTTTCGGTGCATCTACTACCGTTGCTGATAGTGAGTGCTACACAGCGCATTCCATCGGTATGATGCAGTTAGCCGTTTACTTGGGCCAGATCGTCGACGCTGGATATCTACCAAACCGGACTCTGAACGCTGGCGATCGGATTAGGATACGCGGCGACTTATACAAATGGAAAGACAGTCTACCAGCCATTGTTCAACTGAACGACTACGCTGGTGATCAACCAAGTTTCCAAGCTAGCACGCTGCAGCTTGCCTACAACAATTTGCTCATATTGCTCCACAGAACAAGCTTCATCATTGGTGAGAATGGGAGTGCGGAGAAGGACGGGAATATTGCTCTGCAGGCCGCCGCTCGAAATTCCCGGATCGTGGAAGACTTACTGCCGAGCGGAAACATTGGCCATGCTCAGATTCATGTCATCACTAATCTCTTCAACACGCTCTGCATACATGTAGCGCATCTTCGACGCTCAAATGGTGTTAATAGGACGCTCGCAGAACACCGAGCCAAGTTGTGTTTGATGGGACTTCAAGAGCTCCAGAAGACGTGGGAGGTCACGAACTGGGTATTGCAACTCTTTTTTCGCTACCTCGATCGTTCGACAGCCGCGCGACTGGCAATGGAGGCGGATGACGTTGGATTCTCTAGTGCCGCGAGCAAAACGCCGAGCGCCCGGGGTTCATCAGGGCCGACGGCACAGGAGACCCCCAAAGTCATGTCGATCGACAACGTTGCTCCACAACCAACACCACACCCGGTCCCGGGTCAGTCGGAATTTAGCCCGGCCCCTTATACATGGTCCATGGACGAAGCGCATCAGTATCTCTTTACGCAGATCGAAAATGACTTTGCTTTCGGCGAGGGTGGCATGCAACAGTGGAACCCAGAGGAAATAATCAATAATGAAGGCCTCGCAGAGTTTGTTTATGCAAGCCTCAACGGTTAGTGACTACTCGGATCGAAATCATAATGATTCAAGTCGCAGAACAATCATCACCAGAGAAAAACCAAGACATGTTAAACAACAAAGCGAATATCATTATCCAAAATCATTGTATATATACGTAACTAACTCCAAGAACTATGCTATGTACAAACGAGACACCTGACCAAACCCGTTAAGCAAAACTTGACCACTTAAGCGAGAACATCGTTAGCGACACCACCGACGTTGCTGATGACGTCCTTGACAGCGACATCAGCCTTGAGGTTGTTGGCGATCTCGTTCTCAGAGAGAACGGGGATGTTGATGTCGCGGGACAAGATACCACCGAGCTTGCTGATAACGTCCTGGACCTGGGCGTTGATGTCGGCATCGTTGGCAATGTTGTTCTCGCTGAGGACTGGGATGTTGATAAGGTCGTCACCGCGGGCAAGAACACCGTTGGCAACACCACCAATGTTGGAGACGACGTCGTTGATCTTGGCATCGACCTTCAGGTCGTTGGCGATGTTGTTCTCGCTGAGAACTGGGATGTTGACAAGGTCCTCACCGCGAGCGTGGAGGCCATTGGCAACGCCGCCAATGTTGCTAACAACATCGTTGATCTTAGCGTCAACCTTGAGGTCGTTGGCAATGTTGTTCTCTCCAATGACGGGGGCGTTGACGAGGTCCTCACCGCGAGCGTGGACACCGTTAGCAACACCACCGACCTTGCTGATCACATCGTTAACCTTGACATCAGCCTTGAGGTCGTTGGCAACGTTGTTCTCGCCGATGACAGGGGCGTTGACGAGCTGGTCGCGCTTGTTGTTAAGGATACCACCAACGTTGGAGACAACATCAGAGACATCAGCAACAGCGTCAGCGCAGTCGAGGATGTCGTTGTCAGAGGCAATGGGGATGTTGATGTCACCACGGGGCTGGTTGACCTTGACGTCGGGCTTCTCGAGGATGTCGTTCTCGCCGATGACGGGGAGGTTGAGGATGCTGCGCTTGAGGACACCGCCAATGTTGGAGATGATGTTGTCAGCCTTTGCGTCAACCTTTGCGTCGTTGGCGATGTTGTTCTCGCCGATGACGGGGACGTTCACGAGGTCATCACCACGCTTGTCGTTGGCGATGCCGCCGATGTTAGAGATGATGTCGTTGAGCTTAGCGTCGACCTTTGCGTCGTTGGCAATGTTGTTCTCGCTGAGAACTGGGATGTTGACAAGGTCGTCACCGCGCTTGTGGTTAGCAACACCACCAATGTTGGAGATGACGTTCTTAACATCAGCCTTGATGTCGGCGTTGTTAAGGATCTCGTTCTCAGAGAGGACGGGGATGTTGACGAGGTCGTCACCGCGCTTGTGGTTGGCAACACCGCCAACGTCGGAGACGACGTTCTTGACATCAGCCTTGACGTCGGCGTTATTGAGGATCTCGTTCTCGCCAACAACTGGGACGTTGACAAGACCACGCTTGGCCTTGTTCAGGAGGGAGGTGAGGGAAGCGATGGCCTCCTCGATGGTAGCCTGAGCGCTCTCGGTGGCGCCACGCCTGACAGGGAGAGCACCCTTGAGTCCACCAACAACGGGAAGACCAGAGGTGACACCCTCAGCGGTACCGGCGAGGCCGCCGGCGACTGGGAGACCGGCGACAAGTCCCTCAGCGGTGTCAGCAACAGCGCGCACGGGAAGAGCGCCCTTGAGTCCACCAACAACGGGAAGACCAGAGGTTACACCCTCAGCGGTACCGGCAAGGCCACCAACGACTGGGAGGCCGCCAGCAAGGTCACCAATAGCGCGCTTGACTGGGAGATCGGCGGGAACAACTCCTTGGAGTTGGGGAACTACGTTGCCGACGGCTGGAACGTTGGGAAGAGCGGCGGTGTCGAGAGGCAGTCCTCGGGGGAATGCTGGAGCAGCAGCTCCGAGAGCAGCGAAGCTGGCAATGATGGCGGATGAGGTACGCATGTTGATTATTATTATGTCTCGAAAGAGTGACTGAAAGAGTGACGTGGGTAGGAACTGAGAGAGGGACTGTAAAAGACGAAGCTGGAGATGCAGATGATACTTCTTATTGGGGGCATCACGATTCCCTTATATAACAGTAAGCACTCTACCTCATCTAACATAACGTTCACCTAGGTATGCAAAACTGCAGGGATGCGGAAAATACCGTTGTGAGCTTTGAACTTCAGAGCCGCACTGCTTTTGTGTAACGTTTACACTAAGTCGGCGAAATTAGCGGCGGGAACCCTTCTTCCCATGTGCAGTACGCGTGGTGTGGAGGCACGGGCCGCCCATGACTCGAGAAGGTTGTTCTGTCTCCCAGAAAATGGAAGTTGAAACAGGGCGACAGACAAATTCCAAACTTTGTCGCAATCTCCTCGCCCAAAACACCAACACTTGCTCACCGCACAAACAGTCGGTGACGAAAGACTACACCGATGTTTCCACGATGCAAGCTGCTCGGATATCCAGATCACCAAATTCATCAAACCACTGAGTCAACAAAGTGTGGAGTAGGTGTGGTGGTGCCATATGGCGCAGTCGTTACTAGTTACGATCGGCAGGGTTAAGCGTCAGATCTACATGCCGATCTCAAAATCTCATTCCCAGTGCCATGTGTCTTGGCTTTCCACATTCGTCTGTGATGTTCAGGAACGTTAGCTTCCCATGACAAGGTTGTGGCTTCCGGCACCATCCATGGCACTAGACCGACATTCGAGAAGTCGAAGAAAGGTTTAGTACGGCACTTGTCAGCGGCGCAACCCAGCATGGTGCAAACTACAGTCAGCCCGACAGTGCGCCAAATCAAAGCTTCGTCCAAATCGGGATCTTCAGTGCTGCGCTCACGATATTTCGCCGAAGGGGTTTCCTGTTCTACGCCCCTTGGTAGTGCGCATTGACACCCCTGCGCGTCAGCAACCCTTGTACCGTTGGGTCGTGCCTAATGACGTGTTGATCAACAACAAGAGTGCTTCGTGGGCTTGGACAGACTGTAATCATGAGTCTGCAGCCGTCTAGACAACCCAATGCAGGGGCACAGCAGTCCATTGTGTCAACTACTTTGGCCCGGTCAAAGACCTCTGAACTTTCAATAGCTCGCATTACTAGGATTCGAGGCAATAGAACGTTGTGACGTGAGACCCGTGTTGGGTCAGATCAGCGGTGGACTCGACTTTGACAGGGTGGACACACGGGATCGTTTGAGGAAATTAATGGTCACTGTTCACCGCAATTCAAGTCACTGACGGGTCGGGGCAGACGGGGAACTGTACCCGCTTGACATTGGGCGCGTGCGCTGTGCCTTCTGTCGATTCACTGATGATGATCTTGCACCTCTGTACTTCATGCCTGGCCTATTGAGGCTTGTCTAGAGCAGAATGCCGCAGTATCGTTTCAGGGTGAAGTGATCTTGACCCTCGAGGGTTTCGTGAAACCTTTTCTGTAGATCTGACTGCTTGGCCCAGCAGGAACACCAATCAGTCAAAAAGTGACTCTCGTATTGAAGGCCGACTCGGCTCTTCTACCCCACGAATGGTATAAGAGATGCATCAATGTAGCGTAGAAACTTCACTGGTCAGTTAGGTCGGGCTGAATCGCTCTCAATATTAAGACAGTAGGCCAGTCGACCATTGCAGAACCTGAAGATTTAACATTGAGGCCTGAAATCAACATGGCGCTGCTTTTCGAAACACAATAGTGAAGATTGCACGATCACACCGATGGTTGTTTTTATGCATACACACGTGATTGATGAAGCTTGCAAGTGACAGTCACATGTAGCGGCTAAAGGTATCTGCTACTCCTACAGGGTTCCATACTTGAGCTGCTCTACTTCCAGCGTGAACAAGGACCTAATGGCCAAGCTCTGAATCTTACACATTTACCATCTTCCCTTTTGCCACAATCTACCCTGTTGCTGAACAGACCCTCGATTTGCTTTCTCATACAGTCAAGCCCTGATAACGAATTGTTCAAACTCATGTAATATGGCCGTGCTCGACTGGATATACCCACAGTAATTCTTCAACTCATCCAAAGATACACAGCGTCGCAGTATCTCTTTGATGAGCTCATCTCTGAATCGGCCTTTGGATATCAAATTTTGCTGCTTGTCTTTGGGCGTGGTAGACTGTGTATCGATGAGTAGTGAAAGCGGCTCGTACAAAGTTGCCGTTCATGGCTCTGCACTTGACTGGTAGGCGTGCAATGGGTGCTATCTTGGGACGTCGGGCAACAACGAGTTGAGGCGGCTAGTACTTTCTGCGCAGCCGATTAGGATGTATGGCCGGTATGTTTCAGGTGTTGGAACGTGATCACGAACGTATAGGCCATTGGAGAGGTGTATCGAGGCAAGCCACTGCTCCGAGAGGTAGAAATCCCGTATGTTGCCGCGACAGACGGGAAAAGACTTGTCTAACCGCAGAATCAGTAGTGGAGAAATGAGCGGCAAGGCCACGAGTGCATCCCCCATCGCCGTGGTCAAAATTGTAAACAAGTCATTAGGAACAAGGTACTACACGTGATGCGCATTGCGGAAGAGCTTGACAGGCATAGCTCGAAGATCAATGCCGCCGAGAGTTCGTGATAAGAAGTTGTTGAAGACTTTTGGCCACTCGTGCTCAAAGTCGTTCTTGCTCTTCTTGCAAGAGAGGATGATACCGCTGTAGGGCTATAGCAGCTGAGGTATTGGCTTATCGCTGACTTCGCCGAGTAAGTAGGCGTAGATCTTTACTTGTAGCTCGGCAGGGCAAGCAAAGAAGGACCGAGGTGGATTACTAGCCATCATTGGAATTCTTGAGATAGCGAGATTTCGATTAGATCGAAGTGGTATTTGGGAGGTGATTAATTGAACTAGGTAGGAGCTGCACGTGGAGGATGGAATATTGCAGTTGATTGGTTGTCTTTAATGCGGGAGAAGGCGCTAAGCTCAGGCAGCCATTGGATTGAGACATACTTGGTGTAACCTCGGGAGAGTGAAGTGGCCGAATCTACCACGACATGACTGTTCACCTAGTACGGCCCGTAGTTTAGCGAACGCACATTGAAGAGGGCAGGAGGTATCTAGCGAAAACACCCAAGCATGAGTAGTGAATAATACGATTCAGTGTACTTGTGACGCTGAGCCGGGTATGTGTCAAATCATATCAGTATGAATTATTTGTAAGTTGTGCAACGTATACTTATGGTACTTCGTGGTTTTCAAAGTCATATGTCATAGGTATCGGGGCTCTCAGAATGGCACTCGATAGCACAAGAATCTACCATCCCAGCGGTCTGCGATCAAATCCACCATATACGTTCAAAACAACATGGCTACAAGAACTTGAACCAGTTTTCAAGATGTGAGGAAACATTACTATTTATGTGTACCGTGCTTGAGTGTACATATGTGCGTTAACAGAGCTCTGTAATACCCCTCGCAATAAAAGATATGCGACCCAAAAAGTAGGAACAATAGGCATATTCGCCATCGTTGAGACATTACGCGATTTCAGTGAATTCGCGACTTCATTCAGCTTTTTGTCCACCAAAAGTCTGGCACTTCCGCGGAAGCCTGCCACTAGACCCCGACGGCGTCAAGCGATAACAAATCCTGACGTTCCCGATATTTGTCACAACGCTGAACGCAACCAACGTCAAAGAACTTTAAATCTTGGCAAGCCCGCTGCGTCGACATCAACCATATTCACTCACCTCGTTCAGTCGCGCATAGTCGTTTTTGGCTATGGCACCACAGGATTCTATACCTGTAGCCGCTAATGTGTTGGGTACTCTCGGAACTGTCTGCTGGTGTGTCCAGTTAGCGCCACAGATATGGCGAAACTATCGAACGAAAAGTACTGAAGGACTTCCGGCTGCGATGATGTTGATATGGTCGATATCTGGTGTGCCGTTCGGTGTGTATGCAACGGCGCAACGGTTTAACATACCCCTGATCATTCAGCCACAATGCTTCTGCGCGTTGTGTGGCGTCAGTTGGGCGCAATGCTTGATTTATGGACGGTAAATCTTACACACGATGCGACGACCCTTTACTCTGGGCTGCTCACTGACGGTCACATAGAAAATGGCGGACATGGACGGCAACTTCGCTGCTTCTTTTCTTGTTTGCGATTTTCGCAGCTGTGGAAGCCGGCCTCATCCTCGCCATCAGGCCTGCATACGCAAAAGGTATCGAATGGCCTGTTCTGCTTATCGGAATCGTCGCTTTTGTCAGCCTTATCTCCGGCTATCTTCCCGTTCCTCTTGAACTGATAAAGCGGCGTGGACGGGTTGTTGGAATCGACTTCATTTTTCTCACGATAGACTGGCTCGGGGCTTTCTTCTCGCTTCTAGCGCTTGTCGCGCAGAATGAGTTCGACGTCCTATTTGGTACCCTGTATGCACTGTGGTAAGTCTACAAATTCAACTGCGAAGTAGACACTATCTAACAACCTATAGCTGCACTATCGAAATGACCATGGTCGCATCCCATTGGATTTGGCTGTTCCGGACAAGAGCCATGCGCAAGCGCGCGAAAGAACACGACCAAAGCTTTGACGAATCTGAAGAATGCATCGAATGGCAATCTAAAGGCGTCGACCTCGAAGCCATATTATGGAGTTTGTTCTCCAAGAAGGATCAAGTGGATAGAGATGCAGGTCTTGGATGCGACTCACCGGTTGAGCCACATAGCGTAGTCCCAAAGACGGTGCCGAATGCAGTAGTATGAGGCCACCGAATCGAGCTATCAATTATTCCCAACGATGTCTAACTAGAAAGCACTTCTTCAGTAAAGATCTTCACATGTTAATATACACCATGACATCCTACAGCTGGCCGGATCCGCGATTATGGTTTGCGCTTTACGCTCGTGGTCTGCCGGCGTGGCACTGAAGGACGAGGCAGGCAGCCTTATCGGAATCAGCAAAATTGCACAAGACAGCAAGCTGTCCGTTCATCAAAGTTTGAGGCCAGCGGACAGATGGACCCTGAGCAGCATGATCGACAGTCACAAGTACACCAGGCACATGGTGATGGAGATCCCATGTCGATCCGCTAATGACGCGAGGAACTAATCGATCGCTGAACCTTCCCGATTGTCTACCGATTAATCCTTAGATTTAGAGTCAATAAATCTATGAATCGCAATGTTCTTACTACGCTGTAGCGTCTTGCACGAGAAGACCATCGGCTTCTACGATATCCGACGACCACGCTATCGAACTGGAGACTTGAGGGGGGAAATCCAGGCGCGATTTGGGGTTGAAACCGGAGGCCTACGTTCCGATGAGTTTCGGAGAGAAAGTCACTTTCTTTCTTGCTGCGTTGCTGGCCCTCAAGAGAAAACCATTTACTATGTTCAATTGGAGTAGGAAAGAAGTTCAAATACCTTACTAAGGACATATCCCAACCACCACCTGGCGAACGGTGCGCGGCGATTGTCCCTCGGAGGTAACAATACCGCCTATATGCATCGTTTTTACATCCATATTATCGTTCAATACTCTCAAGAGGCAGCTATCACGTTGCAATGGAAAAATTCTGATATGTTTCCAGGGTACGGAACACTTGACGTTCTAGAACATGGAGATACCCACGAACGATAACATCCCGTCTTTCTGTGACTGAAATCACGTTAATCTCATCTCGTAGCTTTCGGACATCGTATTTGCGCGATCGGCACCGGAAACGCTGTTAATACGCGATCTGCTTGATGTCACACGTTTACTGCACGACCGTGACAACCAGTGACCTGTCACTACCCGATGGGTAACGGCAATTGTCATACACAAACATGACACAATGTAAGAGCTGTCTTTCGGGTGCATACAGTATGCAGGGATGATTCGCAGCGAATGTCCGAGATCTGAGGAGGGACATGAGAGGGGACTTTGCGTTCGTACCACAACGCGGATTATTGCTCTGGGATAGATAATGACTCGCTGACGTGTTGCAGTCTCATAGGAGAACATGAGATGACCGAGCAGTACGACCACGTTTGTTTAAAGGTGATGTATTTCTCTACAATGTCAAAATGCACAGGTTCCGATCATCCAAAGGCCCTGCAAGTGTTGAAGCTACCTCGAATGCCAAAGTCCGACAATCGTTCAAAATGAGAACCACTATCATCCTCGCCGTGCTCTCCGCCCTGGTCGGCGCTCAGTCTCCCGCTGATTTCCCTCCCTGCTCAGCCGAGTGTCTCGACTATGCCATGTTAGACGTAGGCTGCGCCAGCGACGCGATCGAATGTGGATGCGAATGCTACCAAGACATCAATGGCTATATTACGGCTTGCCTTGAGCACCAATGTACGCCCGCCGAAGATGAACAATTCCGCAATCTGGCAGTGGCCATTTGCGCACACGCCGGCATACCAATTGAACGCCCGGAATCGCACGAGCTATATACTATGGGGCTGCACGATGTCAGCGATGACGGCGACAACAGTAATTTAGTCTAGTTGCTTCTTTTCTCAGATACTGATGAGATAAAGTCATCACCGCATATACTCTAGTCACAGAGGTCGCGAGCCCCATCGAAGAACCCACTGAGACGCCTTACATCGACATGATGTTGGTGCCCCAGTCAGAGGTTACCGGCGTCCCCAACGGCGTCCCAGATTCTTCTTTGCCCTCCACTAGCTATTCCACCATAGTTTTCAGTGGCTCTTCGACAGAACTATCGTGGGGTACTAGCACAGGGACGCTGGAAATGTCAATCGAGGTGACAAGTGAGGTGGTACCTTATCCCACTCCCATCCCCGTTTATGCGACAACGAGTGGGAACACGACAACGATTGGGAATAGCAACATTTTATCCTCATCGCCAATTCTTCCCACCCTCACTGGTGCTGCAGCCATGGGAATGAGAGCAGATGGCGCCATCGCCGCCTGTATTGTTGGGCTTCTGGGCTTTGTCGTGTAAAAGTTCAAGCTTGTCGTTTTCACCATCCCGTAAACAATGTGTAGTTCTAATTATGCTTTTGTGAATGGGTGGCAAATTTTGCTTGACTCGTTATGTGCTTTGAGCTTTTGGGATGATTATTGATGGAATCTGCTAGTACATGACAGTCCATCCGACAGCTAAAATGCTTCGCCATGCTCGCTATGCTACGCTCAACGCCGAACCCAATGCGTGTTAACAGATGGCATCTACAAGGCTGCCGCGACAGCACCAACAATGGCAAGCAGAGCGGGTGCCTGGAATATGAACTTGCTGGCAGCACCAGTGTGCTCAGCAGGAGCAGCAGATCCAGTGGCAGAGTGCGTCGTGTTGCCCATTGAGCTGCGAACAGCCGAGCCGGTAGCGACAGCGCTGGAGGCAGCAGTCATTAGACTGGACCCAGCACTCGCAGTAGGAGTAGCCTGGGCAGAAGCAGATCCAGAAGCACCAGCAGCGGGAGTTGCCTGAGCAGGAGAATTGCTCAACAAGCTAGCTCCACCAACGATCGTTGCTTGGTTGAAGCTGATTTCATCGCCCTTGAGCACCGCAGTCTGAGGGCCTCCGAGGTCCATATCTCCTCCAGTCATAGCGACCGTGCAGGTCATCTCGCTAGCCTGTGTGTTGTGGTCGCAAGCGAAGCTCATCGAAACGGATGCGGCGGACATGTACGCTTGGTAGTGCGTGTTGGAGATGATGGTGTAGTCGAGACCGGGTCCCCAGCCGCACTCGTCGGAGTCGACACCCGTGGGGCATGCAATGCTGAATTCGGTGGTGGATGGCTCGACTTTTTTGATAACCGCGACAGGGTCAGCACCCTCGGATCCTAGCAGTGTTAGTCAAGCATGGACAATACGAGGTGTGGAGCATTTGACTTACCACCAGGAAAGTAGAATGGAATGGTGTCAGCAGCCATGACGGCGCCGGACAGCAGAGAAATAATGGCAATTGATTGACGCATGTTGGCTTTGATAGATAGTCCTCGTGAAAGTTCGTGGATTGGTATAATTAGAGAAATTAATGGCACAAAGTTAGTTGCCGGTGAGTAGTCTAAACGAGTGACTTTAAGTAAGGCTGACAGAAGATGCTGTTTCTAAAAACGAGAGACTGTGAAACGAGGCTTGAGGGCGTTGCACTGGCGGTTTTCGAGGTGAAGCATCTTTTTAAGCCCCCTAAGAGCCGCCATTAAGCCCTCCGTGGAGGGCCTGGATCTAGACACATTCAGCCTGGTGTTGATGCTTGTTTTCGTTCAAGCATTGGTGCCTGGCCGCTAACGGCTGATCGACCAATAGCATCCTGTCCCATTTGGTGCCCGAGTCGGGTGGCGTTCCTGTGTGGCATTTCGTTTGCGATATAACCTGTCAGTTTATCCGGACTTCCGCGCGACCATCTTAGGATCTTTCAGTGCATGGATCTCTGCTTCCAAGCGCAGAATTCCATACGATGAAGCCCCGGAGAATTACTTTTGACAGTCGTCTTTGTGTTGTTCGGTTGGAGAGTGGCAGAGGGCGAGTGACGTGGGGGGCGAGACCGGGCGTGGATCGACGCGGAAATTCGACAGCGCCCAGACGCCCCAAGATTGGCACCCAGACCTCATCCACCATCAACTAACCCGGAATCGTACTTGTCAGTGGAGAAAATTTCAGCCAAGAGCATGTCAGGCAACGAATGCAAGAGACAGCGAAACATTGTTTCGAGACCTATACTTAGTCTATAAACAGCCGTCAGGTGGAGGGGTTCCTTGTCGACGGTTCACCTGATCCTTGAACGCGCTTCGAGTACTATACTTGGGGGCAAGGACCAACTGAAGCTCGGATGCGATGAGTTCAGCAAGCACGCAACACGGTGGACAGGTTAAGAGCTCGGAAGGGATGATATTACGCGGCGTTGAGCCATTCGAGATGGATACCAACGTGCGTGGTCAGCATCAAAACCTTGCCCGTGACGCATGTACGTGAAACCTCGCACTTCTACTTATTCCTGAATGCTTCTACAGAGCCTCCGAATCACGTGTTTAATGTCCAAGAGCGAACCTTCATGCAGCAATCGACATGATCGTTCGGCGCGTCATCGCGATAATGAAGACCATACCGGAAAAATGGTGGCTTGAAGGAGACTTCCAGGGCTTTGTCGGAAAACTTGCCAAACGACAATATCATGAGTAAGACATGGCTAGTCAAAACAACATGCGAAATCGGACTCATGCCTTCCTATCAGCTCATGCAAACAACGAGGTTGAGATAATGGGCTGACGCCAGCCTGGGCCTTGCTGTAAGGCCTACCACGACCGCCTGGCCCCGAAACCCGTCTGGGTATCGCGCACCACGACATTAGGCACCACAACCAATCATCACAATCCCAACAAGGATCATTACGAATTTCGTATTGACGGGTGCTCGAGTGTGCCAAAAGTAGCAATATGCGCATAGCCACCATGATCCTTCGAGTCTGAGGCGTACGACCGGTGAACAGCCAGCCCCCACAATAAACACGCTCCATACCCAGAGCTGCTGCAATTCTCCTGAATCCATCACTCTTTGATCGCGTGCATCACCAGAAAACTGTTGTACGAACATGGACTTCCTCTACCTTCGTCAAGATGCGCCTCGCGGCCTCAAGATCGTGCAGACTGCACAAGCCAGCATCGTCGTCCTCACGGTGATTGCGACTTTCCTAACTGCCGTCATCCCTCAGAAGCACAAGACCTTTACCTTCGGTCTTCTCTACTCGCTCATCTTCACGTCCATCACAACTACCATTCTCGTGCGCAAGGAACGCCTCGCTGCCGCCAAGAACCTGCTCACCAAGGACAAATATGTCAAGTATCAGATGTTCAAGATCGTCGCAGCATTCGGCATGTACTTCATCGGCTTCATTCTCTGGATTGCATCAATGCCCAAGAAGCAGGAGTCACTTAGGAAAGGCGAGAGCGGTATGATACTCGGTGGTGTCAAGATCAACAGGTACCAGGGATGGATCATGTGGATGCACTTCTTCAACTGGTAAGTCTGCGCAGAAGACTTTGCATAACGATGTACTAATGATCATCAGGGTCTTCCTCTGGTCTAGCTTGTTCTACTCTTGCTGCATGGCCCCGAAGGAGCAGGGCGCCATCGCCCTTCCTGGCGACGAGGCAGCCCTCAATGCCGGCGATCTCGATGACGAGGAGTATGCGCGCCGCCAGCAGGCCGAAGGCCCCAACTGGCAAGGATAGAGAATGCGATCTGAATACCTGCAGAAGATCAGTGTAATCAAGTGGTGTATATCAACACGCGATAAGAATTCAGAGTTGTCATAGGTCGCACTGCACGATGTCAGTTTCAGGTCGAAGTATATTTCGTTGAATTCGCACGTAGCAAGGCAGCGAATGAGGTTTGAAAGATATGGGACAACTGTTTGGTAACGCCGCGTCTATTCAATAATTGCTCGAAACGCAGCTTGACTTGTTTCGCATGCAGAAATACGTGCAACCTGGATGCTTTAGTCCTTTCAGCTCATCTACCTTCCACGCTCAGCCTAGATGCGACTTTTTGATCTTCATCCTGATCGCCTGGACGGCCGCCGGCCCAGCACTTGATAGCGATATGGCCGCGGCGATAGCTGCACAGGACACTGGAATCAAGTGACCGGTTTTACATCCATACAGATAGCTGTCAAGAATTTTGTCTAGCTTGGCGCCATCGAACAGCTTGCGGATCTGTGTTACCCCGGCATCCAAGACCTCTCTCGCATCCACTTCTGAAAGACTGGCTCGCAGATTTGTTAAAAGTCCATTCGTGAAAGCCGCTTCTCCCGCGGCAACGAAGATCGCGGTGCCGGTGTTCTCCAGGAAGAGTGTCAAAGAAGTCGCTGCCGGCATGTCATCTGCAGAGACAAGAGCCTGGTTGTAAATCAAGGGGATCTGGAGGGCCAGGCCGACACCGAAAGCAGTAATGAGTTCGTAGCCGATCCACTGCCCACTTGGGGTGCTGGCGCCAAGTGTATAGATCCGAGAATTGCCTGCTGTTGCAAGGAGCGCGCCAAGTAGAAGCCAGGGTTTGTAGTACCGCCACCAAGTTATGAGCCCATTGGAAATCATGGTGCACAGCGAGACGCCCAGGACCAAGGGCATAAGGCGGACGCCACTTTGCGAGGCTGAAGTATCGCTGACAGACTGAAACTGGATCGGGAGTGTGTACATCAGCGGAAAGAAGGCGCCGGCGAGAAAGAAGATAAAGAACAAGTTCGAGAGGACAAGACGGTTCTTCAGGAGGTACAGTTGGACCATAGCTTTGTCGCCCATGGCCCATTCGTTGGCGACGAAGCAGAGAAGCAGAAGGCCGAACCCGACAAAACTGCCAACGACGCTTGCACTTGTCCAAGCCTTGACTCCGATCCAGTGCATGGCGAGGACAAAGCATGTCAGGCAGCCAGTCATTAGAAACGCGCCGTTCAGATCTAGGCTGGCGATCTTCTCTCGAAGAGTTGCGACGCGTGGTTGAATGGGGTCCTTGAACGACAGAAATGTCGTCAAGGCTCCAGCGAAACCAATAGGAAGACTGATCCTATGCAGTGTTAGTTGCAGCCGAGTACGTCTGCGCCGATATGAACGCACCAGAAACACCACCTCCAGCCCGGTCCGTCCGTAAGCACCCCTCCCAGTAAGGGCCCGATGACACTTGCGGATCCGAATGTCAAACCGACAAAGCCCATATAGGCTGCGCGACGATCAGGCCCAGCTGTTAAAGCGATCGAGACGAATGAGCCAGAGAAGATACCGCCACTGCCCGCGCCGGCCACGACTCGGCCGAAGATGAGCACCTCGCTACTCGGTGCTGTCGCGCAGATGACATTGCCAATCTCGAAGACTAAAATTGCTAACATCAACGTTGTCTTCAGTGGGAAATAACGAAGTGCTTTGCCCCAGACTGGCTGCCATGCGGCCTGGAAAACGATATAGGCAGCGCCGTACCATGTGATGTCTGCAATACTGCCGAACTCTGTGGTGATGCTGGGTATGGCGGTGGAGATGATTGTCCCATCTAGAGCGGCAACGAAAATGCTGAGGATCAGACCAGTAGTTATCAAGACCAAGCGAATGCCACGGGGGTATTCTGTTGGAGTTGTGTCATCTCGGGCAGAAGACTCAGACTGGGCTTCTGGACTTCGTGTAGGCTTTAGGTTGCTGAGCTCGACGACCGAATCTCCCACGCCTTGCGATGTGGATTGGACGGTCGACATTGCGGAAGTAAGGGACGAATTGTGGTTCACTGCTTGAGGGTTTTAAGCTTCTAGGCGGCGACAAAGGACGCGCTAGAAGTTTGCGTCCTTCAACGTTATACCGCTTTGGGTAAGGCGTCGGAATACCATTCGGTGAAACTGGTTTCCCTACAAACTCTTGCCGAGGTCCTGCATATCTCATTCCGATACAGCTTGATCCTCAGCGACGACTTTGGAGGATCATCTTGGCCAAGGGCGACGAGCTTGAGGAACGCTAGAAGGGCGTAGTACCCCCACTATTGCCAAACCCCATTCCGGTATAAACGTCATCGCCCCAAATACCCATATCGAAAAATTGCTCCATATCGAAGTCCGTGTCTTTTAAGAAAGCGAAGGGATCGTCCTCATTGTTTGCACCTATATGCGTGCCCGCACCGCTCATTTCCATACCAAAGTTTGGCAAGCCTTGTTCGCTGGAAGGCGTGGCTAAAGCCCCAGTGCTCGGTCCTGATCTTTCGCTGAATGCGCAACCCACCATGACGCCGGGCGTCGGCTGCGACGACGCGGGTTGCTTCGTTTTCTTCATGTACCAGTTCCTTGTCAAATCGTTGATCAATCGCATCGCATACCAGAAATCAGGGTGCGTCTGCTTGACCTTGTCGTAGGTTGAGAGCTGTTGCATTCGGTAGCACAGCGCCTCAAGACAAAGATCGAGCCGTACCCGGTCTTGTGCCGTCTTGTAGTCCCAACCAGATGCAATGCTTGCATTGTTAGGCATGCATATCTTTGCAACTGTCATGATGACTGTCGGTAGCCGCATCCACTCCGAGAAGGAGATCTGGTAGTATTCGTCCACTGGGAACGAGAGCATAGCATCAAGGAAACGTTTTCCTGCCTCAAGCGCGGATAGCAAAGAATTGATTTGCACTGATTCGGTGCCTGTTGATTGCTCCTCGCTGGCAGCGGGTCGCAGAGCTACGCTATGCAGCGACATCTCCGTGAAAGAAGACGAAAGAGTAAGTACTAATTGTCGTTAACGGATAAGCGAAGCAACCAAACTGCGCAAACTTACAGCGTTCCGTCCCAGCATTCTGACTGTCTTTTTTCCACATATCTAATTGGCTCTCTAGAAACCGGACGTGCATGAGTATGCGTGCATCAGAGAGCGGCAGATCCCTCGTGCCAGCTGAGAATAGGTTTTCCTGAACCTGATCATCGATTTGACGGAGTGTTATGAGATGGCTGATAGTCTCATCTGTTTCATACTCCCGGACAGTCTTTAGCTTTTGTGCCCATTCAGTCATGTACGGAGCGTGCTTGAGCAGGTTTGGTTTCTGAAGCCCGGCACCAATACTAGGTAGTGTTAGCACGGCAATAATGAACTGATGCGAACACATGCGTTGAAGATAGGTAATAGCATCCAAGAAATGTACGTTCGCGTTCGCGCTGATCCTGCGGACTTGGAGCTTTGGGTCTTGGCCGGTGAGGAAAGGCCATGGGCTGGTAGTCTCGATGGAGGCCAATGTCAAGCGCTAGGCCTACGACGAGATGGTGCAGAAAGAAGATTTGTTGAGTCTTGTGACTGAATGTGTAATGATACCTGTTCACGTCAGCATCGCGAGTATGCAATAGATTCACAACGTACCAGGATAGGTACACCAGTACACTCTGTACAAGGCCGAGCGTCCTCTTCGGAGTGATGATGGTACGCTCAGCAAGTTCCCTGCGAAATATGACATCGAGCGACATTTGCCGCATATGGTCTTTCCAGGAGGCTGCTGTAATCATTGCAAGGAATAGCATGGGTCTCTCCCGATGCAGCTCGTGCGCGGTCATGCCAGCCGGCACAATGACGAATGGGAAAGAGACCGACATGCTGCGATATTCATTCAATAAAGCATCCGCCTCCTGGGTGTTGCGCAGATGTTGTACCAGCGCATGCTCTATAGGTGCTTCTTGAGATCTGGATGGTTGGAACAAGCTTTGCGGTGCACTGTGTAGATCCCCACCGTTCCCAAAATTGTGCACCGAACGGATCTTCTCAAAGTACTGGCGATCCGCCTCCGTTTCGTAGTTTGGCTGTTCGTGAGTTTCTTCTGCTGGGCGTGTTGCGTGCGCCGGTGATTCTTTGTCTCGTGAGCTCTGCTCGAAAGAATTCGGCAAGGGCATCCAGCTGCCTGGGGCTACTGTTCCTTGCTTCTTCCACGTTTCTGACCATGATGACAATCCTCCCGCAACAGGTGGTTGTACTCCCGATTTCCTTGGTAATGAAGGTTCCGCTGAATCCTGCACAGGCAGTGGCACCTGTGGACTGACAAGCTTCGCAAAAAGGCCATCAATCTTTTCCTCGACCTGGGAAATACGGCTCGATGAAGATCAGTAAAATTGGCGAGAGAGCGTTGTCTCGTGACTACTCACGAAGGTGCCCGAAGCTTTCTTGCTCGGCGCGGGATGTCTGCCCAAATGCATTCCTTACCAGATCCAGTACATCTGCCAACTCGTCAGTATGGATGCAGCGCGTCAGAACGGTCTTTCAGTTTTAGTACCTTTGGCAAACGCCCGACTGAGGGCCTGGTAGACAACGTGTCTTCAGACTTCTGCAGCGCTGACAAGCCTGCGAAGTCCGCGCGATAGTCGCTTTCGGCGCGGATGGCTGTTCTTCGTCTTCCATCCGTGCGGAAGCTATGAGATGGAGGAGCAAAGACGCGTGCCGGAACGGAAGGAACGTTGGCAGCCGTGGCCGCGCTAGCTGAATTTGAGTGTGCTTCGCCTCTCGGATCCCCAACACGGAAGCATCATATTCATCAGCATTACATCATGACCTTGGAGCTTTGTTGCATAGTTATTCGCAACACCTCTGCTCCTTCAGTTGACGGGAGAACAACTATAGCACGCATATGCTAGCGCTGTGTAGGTACATTGCCAATTTCACGGCGCCCCCTCAAAGTTCAGCTTCCCCGCCAACCGCCAGCCATATACCAACGTCGCACCAATCGTGATAAGATTGAAATGGATGCTCATCGCGTGAGCTCTTGAGAAAGCCCGATTGAGCTTCTTCATGCCATCGCTCACTGTCCCTGCTTCGAGCTTCGAGCTCGCATCACGAGTCGCTGTTGCGAGTTAGCATCAGCTCAGGATCTCCCAACAAAGGCACTTCTACCTTGATGGATCCTTTCCACCATCACATCTTTGGTCTTCGGACCATATACTAGCAGGTTCAATCCGGCCGTTGCACCAGCGCACGCAAAGCTGATCCACTCCCACTTCGACTGCAAGAGCGCGCTGGGGCCTCGTGGTGGGACTGTGCAGGCGACCATGAAGAGAAGCAACGATTGGCTCTGAAAGTAGATAGGAAACGCGCGCTTTTGCAAAGTCGTGAAAGCCGATCGAGGCAGAGCTTGGTAAGAAACTTTGGTCATAACAAAGGTTTGGTATAGTTGGGTGCCAAGGAGAGCCGAGTACACCAGGAGATGAGTGGGTGCAAGGAACGAGGCCATTGAGAGAGTCCTCGCGACAACGGAAATTATCACGAAAATTATCATGAAATCGAGGAAACATTTGTGGGCGCTTGGGGAGATGAGGACTTTTCATGTTGGACTTTGATGCGGATCGGTTGGGAACGAAATTTGCTTCATCCGTGCCGGCCGGGTTCGCGCCTCCTCCGTTCCTCGACCACACCACTCTCACGCGTACTCACGTGCTCATATACTCTGACTGAGAGTTTTACGACTTTACGGAGTTCGATAGCATCTAGCATCATTCGGGCCTAACTATGCCGAGCTCTGTTTCGACCCCTGCCTTCCCCGCATAGTTTTCCCCACCGAGGTACCGTACTCCATATTAAGGGTCACTTCTGTCGGGATCAGATGCATCCTGATAGGTGGGTCTTCCCGCGTGTGCGATGCTGTCGATGCATCGGACTTCGGGGCATCTCAAATAAACGACTTTCCTTGCGCAGTCTAGTACAATGTCACCATGGTACTACGACTTTTGGAGTACAATAGGGTGCCACCTGCCACCGTGGACGTACGCATCCCATCCTATACCTGAGCCAACAGAAGATGCGTTTCCCGATCCTCGCCCTTCTCCCTGTAGCTCTCGCCGTTCCGACTGCTTTGGTCGAACGTGCTGAAAAGCCAGTATACTGGTTGCTTGCAGGTGATTCAACCACTGCTGCAGGTGGTGGCTGGGGCGATGCTTTCCTTTCTACTACCGTTGCGCCCGGTTCATCCGGTCGCAATTGGGCCAAAGGCGGCGCCACCACAAAATCCTTCCGCGATGGCGGGTACTGGGCAAGCGTCTTGAAAGGCATTGCGCAATTCAAAGCCGACAACCGTGTTTATGTGACGATTCAGGTCCGCAATGTGTCACGGCAATCCAGTTTTTGTACTGACAAGCAACAGTTTGGCCACAACGACCAGAAAGAAAACTCGGGTGTGAGCATCACGCAATACGCAACCAATCTGGGTGTCATGGCCGATGAAGTCGTAAAAGCCGGAGCGATCCCAATTCTCGTCACCCCTTTGACACGCAGGACTTTCAGCGGCGGCAAGGTCACAGAGAACCTCTCAAATGAGACGAAGAAGACTCAGGAAGTGGCGAAGGGCCGTTCGCTACACACCATCGACCTCAACAAAGCCAGCACCGCGTACGTAAACGCAATCGGATCAGCTGCAGCTGACAAGTACAATCTCGCATCTGGCGATCGTACGCATGTCAACGAGCATGGAGGTGTTGTTTTTGCAAGGATTGTGAGCGATCTGTTGGTAGCTGCGTACCCAACGGAGTTCAAGGACGTCACGGTTGCGAATGCGACGTTGAGCGCAGCTATCAAGGCCGGAAAGCCAGCATGAAAGTGGGGATTATATCGAGAATAACGCATTCCTCAAGTTCGGAGTCTTCACCACCATTTCACGATTTCCTGTCTCAAACTTAGTGACATGCCTCATTACCGCATCTATATGCGAATGCACTTTCGTAATTAAATTGCTTATGAGCTAGGTGCAGATGGGAAGGTCGGGTGGTGCTTTGTGAGCCAGCTCATCCGTAATCAGGAAAGACCCAACGGTTTCATTTCTTGTCTTGCCCTATTCGGAAGAGATTGACAGTGATGGTACTCTGTCGCGCAAGTCCAATAACACGAAAATCGCGGCCACGATCACAATGAAGATCATTGGGTCATTCCTCGGCAATCAAGCAAGAAAATTTGCTAATCATTTCCAACGCTTTACTTCACCATATGGAACCCTCGCATTTACCAGCGATACAAGGAGCTTGACATGTGCCCTGGTATGTATACCAACCCTTGCCGTCAATGCGCTGAAAGAGAGATTGGATGCAGTTAGAGTCGCACGTACACCCTGTCGTTGAACAAGTTTGACAGCCCGGCGAATTGAAAACATTGCGGCAAAAATTGAAGATAAGCCGATCGATCGGAAAGCCTGGTCAGTAGGTGAGTCGAAGCTGTATCGATTCAGGAGGAATGAAATATACCCAGGTCATTGATAATCTGCTTGGCGCAGTATCTCTGCCCAATGTTGCAAATTCCGACGACTCCGGCAGCGGTATTGTTGAATTCCATGTTTAATATATTCACTGGTGGAGTGGCATAGCTGTTGAGCTCGAACGTCTTGTCGTCCGTAGGAACTGGGCCCGCTGCGCAATAACTCCAGAGGGCGAGAAGTGTGAGAGCCACGAATACATGCATCTTAAGAAAGTGGAAGAAAAGTCCCAGGATCAAGATGTAGTCATAGAAGTCACGTAACCAGAGAGAACATGATTTAGTACGTTTTTTCGAATCTATAGTCACACCTCGACGTGTTTCCTGTATACGAGTAACGTGGTAGTCAAGCATTGCAGAGTCGGAACGCGTCGGAGTGATAGTGATGGTACATTTCGACGATGTGGTTGACACGTTGCACAGGCATGAAGATACTTTAGATCTACCGTTGGAAAATTTTATTTCGCTCATTGAGCGTCTCACCACAGATCGCTACAAGCATTCTCCTACTGCACAACGATTATGAAGGCACGAGCCGGTGTACGAATACCAGCCCTTGTCGTCCGCACACTGGAACACTGCACGAAGGCAGTCAGCAGCACACACGCACCCCGTCGTTGCGCAGGTCCTACAATCTGGATCCTTATCCCCGACATCGCGGCAGTATTGATAAATGAGCTGGTCAATTGGGTAGCCTAAATGTGCATCGTGAGTTGGTGGAAGCTGACTGCGGAAATGATACATACCGAAATCCTTGACAATCTGCTTGAAGCAATATAAGCTGTTGAGGCTACAGCGACCGATATCGCCTGCAGTGGTGATGTTTTGAATGCTGGTTATATTCATGGGTGGGGTGACATGGCCGTTCAGATCCATCAAGGATGTCTCCTCTACAGGACCTGCAGTGCAGCGATAGGATATAGCACCAATTATCAGGAGTGGCCGAAAGTGCATATTGTAGATGAGAGTGATGGAAGAATTACCTCGGATGAGTTCACGAATGCGGCATGTCTTATGCTAATTCTCGCACATTTCTGGTGAGCCGATATGGTCATGATGAGCAAGATACATGCTGGTGGTCATTGGCTACCCTGTCAAATACCTCCCATCGCAAGTAATCCATCTTGTGCTGAATCGAACTCTGTGACACGGTCGTACGTGGCTTAGGGAGGTTCGGACTGATGTGAAGGCACACAGGGGTTGCATCTCCTCATTGAGATCTGCGAACTCTAAACATCACTCGCTGATGTACCACCACTGTCACCAAGTTCTTGATGCCTCAAGTGAACACGCATAACGAGTCAAAGGTTTCCCCGTGGGGAGTAAAATTGTTCATCAGGCTTCGTTCAACACGAGTTGTGTTTTTACTTCCTCATTTGTTCGGCATGATCGATCATGATTACATAGAAGTGCGAACGAGATCTTGAAGACATAAATCCTACCAAACCCAACGTCATCACCATATCCCCCTTTCATCCCAGGTCAGGACACGGCAAATGACCCCAATCGATCCCTCAAAAGCACGACCCAGCAATACATAGACTCCCTGCCGAGTTCATAGTATGCACCTCTCCCATGCAGGACTTCTGATGCTCATACTTATCGATCCTGTCCTTGCACGTAAAGACTGCATTGAGGCATTTATCAAGACACTTGTACCCGCCAAGGTCACAGTCGCTGCAGCCCACCATCCCGGGGTTGTCGCGGCAGAACTGGTGGGTGAGATCGTCAATGCTGTAGTCTAGATCATGCGTTAGGTAAAGGCACGATAAGGAGAGGAGATGAGGTGTTTACTGAGGTCGTAGACGATCTGGTTGAAGCAGTAGAGTTGGCCGAGGTTGCAACGGCCGACGACTTTGCCTCTGTAGGGGTCGCGCAATGGACCCGGTTGCTTTCATGAGAGGGTTCATGTTGTTTTTGAAAGTCTATCGCATCCATTGTAGAAACTGCGATAGTGCAAGAAGACAGCGCGAGGAGTGCTAGGGCGGACAGAGAATTCATTGCGATTGTGACAAGTTTCGGCGAGACTGGGTAGGAGATACTCGTCACTAGACTGGGTAGCATGATTCCATCTATATCTATCTCGATAGTCACCGGTGAGGCCTAAGAACAAACACTGGGTACAAACAATGCGGGTGTCATGTCGAAAATGACACAAACTGCTCTTTCCGTCGACGTGATGGGCCACTTCATTATCACAACCGCTCAAAATAGCGAGACGCACGACCCCGCAGACATGCCATTCAACCGTAAAGAGGACATGGTTGTCATGCCCTAGAGCATCGTTTCGTGCTTCTAATCGGTAGCCGAGCCCGGTCGAATCACCGGCTATAGCCCTGCCCGTCATACCCTCCTGTTCCCCACGTCCTTCCCTGTGGCTCATAAGGTCTCGGAGGCTGAGGTTGATTTGTTGCCGGTAATTCCGCGACAAATCCTTGACCGAAATACGAACCATTATCATTGGCCTGCTGGCTGGATCCCTGGAAAGATGATGGCGAACGCGTCTGTGACGGATGATTGCGAGGGGGATATCCTTGTCCTTGCATCGTTGGTGGGCTATATGGAGGATGTTGCGGTGGCGCCGGACGTGGCTGATATTGAGGTTGCTGATGCTGTCCGTACGCATGTGGCGGTGGTGGCTGAGCAAGATATTGAGATTGCCTGGGCAGAAATTGGGGTGGCGGCGGATGGTACTGCTGGCTGGGATGAGAGTTATACGGCACAAGAGGCGGGGCCGTAACAGATGGTACATCCTGGCTTGGGACAGCAAAGTCGTGGCGCTCGGTCAACTGGTCCATCGAACCTTGTGGTGATAGCTTACTTTGACGCTGCTGATAATTAACGAGTGACCTTCGATTCATGACCTTGCTTTGCCTTCTTATTCCTTGGTTCTCGCTCCCTTGCCTTGATGGAGGAGTCACTGAGCCAGTCGAGGGTTGTCGCTCAGCTTCAGGGGTAAGAGCAGGCTCGACATTATGTGCTGATGAGACACGTCGCGAAGAGTCTGTGTTCAGAGGCTTTCTAGTAACTAGAGATGCGGGATAGGACATGTTCACTGGCTGTCGATTTGGAGGACCTGCAGGTGGAGAGATCGCTGCTGGTATCTCGTGACCCGAGGTTGTTCTAAACGGCAGAGTTGATGTCTCTTGCAATTGTTGTACATATGGCGATGCGAAGGATGTGTTTCTTGCTGCAGCGCTGTAGGGCTTAAAGTCGGATACTGGTGGCAATTGAGGAATGGGAGGTGGTGGAGGGGCACCGGCAAATCTCGCTGGCGGTGCTCGATGTCTGACCGACTTAAAGCGCTCGACTGTCGGGTTGCGTTTGCGACGAGCTACGGCCTCATCGAGCAGCTTCTGGATCTTGGCTTTCTCCGTCAAATCTTCCTCAAGCTTCAAGTCAGTGACGCTTCGATCCTCTGTGTCGTCCGAGACTGATTTGCCATCGTCGCCCTCCCACTGTACACCTTCTTCACTGTCTTCATCTTCGTCACTCTCCTCATCATCTTCCTCTGGATCATCCTCTTCATCGTCCGAGTTCTCCTCTACAACCTGTGGCGCTTCTAGGGCATCGTTTGCAGAGCCCAGCGTAGGGTGCCGGGTGAATACGTTTGCGCGGGATTGCAGCAACAGGTCCACGCTGACGGCTTGGCGATGGGCGCAAGCTTCCACTAGGGCTTCATCCACGAGAGCTTCGTCAGGTCGTAGTTCGAGCAGTTTCTCCAGCACGGCTTTATTGCCTTTGATGGCTGCTGCAGTGATGGCGCTGCGATACTGGCCACCATGAACACGAATATCTGCGCCCTTTTCGAGGAGTATGTCTACAACCTCGAGACGATCGTAGTAAGCGGCTGCAATTAAAGGCGTATAGTACTTCCCATCACAGTAGTTGACCAGTTCAACCGCATGATCGAGTATCGTATCGATGATAGCAAGGTTCGCTTTGACTGCAGCAGCTTGTAGTGCACTGCCGTAGTGTCCGCCCTTTGCATGTAAATCACCACCACGCTCGAGCAACAATTCAAAACACTCCATTTCGTCGCCGTAAGCAGCAGCGGTGATGGTAGATCCCCATTGGCCACCTGTTGCAGCTGCGTCGGCTCCATGGTCGAGGAGTAGCTTCAAAATGGCAAAGTTGCCAGTCTGGGCCGCAGCCATAATGGGAAGGTGATCGTAGCCTCCAGCGAGGTTGACATCTGCTCCGTGCTCGATCAGCAGCTTCGCGATGTCAGGCTCATCTGCACTAGATGCTGCCGATAGAGCAGATCCAAACGTTCCATGAGACCCGACATTAACAGCCGCACCAGCGTTCAAGAGAAGACGAACAGTCTCAATGTCTTCCGCGCAGCAGGCCGCTTGCAGCGCAGTTCCGTATTCACCACCCAAAGCATTTATGTCAGCACCAGCCTTCAACAGCACACCGCAACAGGCCTCATTGCCTATCAAGCTGCATTCGTGTTAGCACCCTGGCAGCTTTGAGTAATAACACTACTTACGCTGCCGCGTAGAGAGCTGATCCTGAAGACTCCGATATAATGTGAACGTCTGCGCCATGTTCGAGAAGAAATTCGAGACCCTCATCGTCACCAGCCGCTGCGCAGTTGATCAGTGCTGTAGTGCCTCTGTCGCATGTCGCATTGATGTCCGCGACTTTATTCAAGATAAGCGCTAGGTCTTCCTTGCGCAGTCTGGAAGCAGCAAGCGAGATCACTGGCCCATTTATCTTCACCGCCACGGACGTTGACATCCGCGCCATGTTCAAGGAGTACCTTGGTGGCATTGCTGAACCCTTGACTGACCGCAGAAATGATGGCGTATGAGTAGTGACCACCAAACGCGTTGACGTCGGCGCCGCGCTCCAATAGCAGACGTATGGTTTCCTCATTCCCTGTGTAAACGGCCGCTTTTCATTCGAAATTAGCAACAAGCAACGATCAACGGACGCGCTGACTTTACCCTGCAATTCATTTCCATAATGTCCGATGGGTGCAGTGTTGAGTAGTGCGCCGTGTTCGAGAAGCAATTGTACGTTTTCTGCATTACCACAATATGCTGCCGCCTGTAATTGTGTTAGAATAAGCAGACTACGGTCCAGGATTTCGACTTCCCTGTAAAGCCGTTCCGTACTCCCCTCCGCGTTTGTTGACATCAGCATTATTGGCGATCAGTACTTTCAGGATCTTGGTCGTGCCATCGTATCTGCCACTGATTAGTGACGCCTCGAGCGATCTGTAGGACAACTCACGCGCTAGCCGCCAACGCAAACCCATAGCTTCAAGTCAAATTAGCGCAATCCATCATGGTCGTTCTGTGCACTTACGTAGGCCCTTCTGCATTTGGATTCGCGCCATGGGCAAGAAGCAGCTCAACAGTCTCTCCTTGTTCGTTGTCTGTGGCTTGGTAAAGTGCATCGTCGTGATGCTGTAGTCGTCATGAATCTCACGATGACGTCTTGCTCGAACAGCAGCTTCAGTACTTCGGTTCTGCCGTGATACGCGGCTTGAGCAAATGATTTGCGAAGTCGGAGATTGGGATTCTTGGTCAAGATCGCCTTGACAACAGGCGCATAACCTCTTTGGGAGGCGGCTTGAAGGGCCATCTCAAGGACAGGCACCCTCTCCTCTTTTTTGAGAAGTATGTCTACAACTCCGAGATGATTGTACATAGCAGCTGCTGTCAAAAAGTTGCCGTAAGTCTTCATGGAACGGTGAGCGCTCCATCCCTTGGACAGAAGATATTCGACCATTTCGGAATGGCCGTTGCGGGCCGCAGCGCCCAATGCACTACCGTACCAGTAATCTTCGTCGGGATCAATATCAGCTTCGTTTGCGACTAGAAGTCGAACGCCGTCAAGATTGCCGACAAATGCACCAATATTTAGCGCTCTTCGGCCATTTTCGCTAGTGACATTCACATCCGCACCGTGACTCAAGAGGAGCTGTGCGATTGTGTTGTCGTTGTTCTCTATTGCGGCGTACAAGGCTGTACCATGGTCCGGTGATATGGCATCAAGGTCGGCATCGCGATCGAGCAGCGTTTTAAGGATAGTCGGACGTCCAAATTTAGCCGCGGCGAATAACGCAGCAGGGTGTTCGCTGCTACTCGTGTAGTTGATGTCTGCGCTTGCGCCAAGCAATGTATCGACTATGCCTCCGTCATCATTTCTGCACGCATAGTAAAGTGGTTGGAACCCGATCGAGTCTTCCTTGTGGACATCACCGTCTCTGCCGTTCTCTAGGAGGTACTCAACGAGAGCAGAAAACTTTAGGATCACAGCGACATGTAAAGCAGATACGCCTTCTTGATCACTGTGTGTATGTAGATCTGGAACGAGCTTCCACCATTGTTGTCGTGCTTCTGAATCGTCTTGCCAGAACGAATGTGTGAGATTGAACTCATCGAGCACATCACGAGGAGCCCGTTTCGCATGCTCGACCCAGTACCTTACGGGATATTTAGCGCATTCTTCGATATTCATTTTTTTGTCCGTATTGTCTGCATCGCTGACATCGTTGCCAGTACTGGAGTTGCTGTCGCTTTGTTTGTCTGCATCTTCGCCGTCGGTGTCGTGTGCTTTAGAAGTTTGAGATCCGGACTCCCCATCATCATCGTGTTCGTCGTCGTCTTCGCTGGCATCATGCTCCTCTGCGTCCTCGTCTTCTTTATGCTCGTCGCTAGATGTTTGGTCGTGGAATACTTCGTATATGTACTCCAGACAACGTAGAGCAATGATCCCGTGCTGCATATCTAGCAACTCCAGGCCAAGATCCTCCTTTGCGTATTGCTGTAGATGTTCTTGCGCAGATATGTTAATCCACTCGACTGTTTGGTTTGCAATATCCCAATCGTCGCCCCTTAGTGTGAGAAAAGCGCCACAGCGGACAACGTAGGTCTTGAGCTTCTCCAGGTCTTCGCGATCGTGATTTGGCAAGCCCGCCATGATGGCCATGTCACGTAACGTTGGCGAGACGTAGGCGCATATCTGGCAACGCAATATCTCTTTTGTGTATTCCAATCCTTCTGCGCGGGGGTCAAGGACACGTTTCCTGATATGTTCGAACATATTCGTCAGCCCGTACGGAAACGATTCAAGCAATTTGCGAATTTCAGCATGCTGCGTTACTCCAGGATTCCAAGCGTTCCTAAGCTCTTGTATCACAAGTTTGATGTAGATCTCGTTGTCCTCAGCTCTTGAGTGTACGTGGCGTTTGACGAAATACGCCAAAGAGGACGGCAGTTGTAGGGAGTCTACGCTCACGGAGATCTGAAGTCTTAGATCGTTGCTGACCAACGCTACGTTCTGTTCGTCTTCCAGATCGATCTCAAAGGCTCTGGGCTCAAGAAACTTGACAATATTTGGACGCCCGGTACGGCTGAGAAGCATCCACTTGATCGGGACAGTCTCGTAAGACTCTTGCATGAGCGGAGCTTCCGCAAGCTCTTCCATGTATGTGAAAAAGTCGTCTAGGGCATCTTCCGACAATTGGTCCAAGCCGAAAATGATAATGAAGATGCTTCCTCCAGGGATCTGCTTTGCCATCGCCTGTAGCGCATCCCAAAGGACCTGCACTTTGAGTGTAGCTTCCGGATCGAACTGCAGCTTCCCAGCCTCTTTAGCCTTTCTTGAATCTGACAGTAGGTGAACAGCAAGATCGCTGTTTGCTTCAAGAATTTGGAAAATGATGACCTCGAGCAGCCCGAGAAGTGATCGTCTTTGCTTCTCACTTTGGTCGCAGAAGAATGAAGCGACGATTGAGCCCTCCTCCCGGGACATCTTCAAGTGATCAATAGCCGAAGACGCAACGGCGCTTTGACCGTTTCCCGCTTTGCCGTGAACCCACAGCGGCTTGTTCGTGTCCTCTTCGTGCTGCCATTCGACGAAAGTCGCTTGGTCTAAAACTCCACTCTTCTGCGCGCCTCTAAACTGGCCTCCGATGGCCAAGTCGAGATCAGGAAATCCTTTCGTCAAATGGTTGGCCATGCTGCGATACGTGCGCTCATCTACTAAAGATTGAATCTGCGCGTTCTGCCTGGACTTCAGAATGCTGTTCGCTTTTAGAAAGTCATGACGCGGAATCTCTTCGGATACATATGTAAAGTTGGGGTCTTTTGAGTTTTCGTACTTGTTGAGTCGGAAGTGGTCTGCGGCCAGACCCAATCTGTCTGCTGATGTGATCCTTGCGGACAACTCGTCCACGATCCGATCTGATCGCTTGGAAGTCGTTTTGGAAACGCCTTTTATGGCATACTTGACGCGCTCGCTCTCTTGTTGCTCGTAAAAGACAGTAGAGGCGCATTTGCGCGTTCCGAGCCAACAGGGCGAACTCGTCGAGTAAAGCGCGAAGCACGGCAGCGTCTCTTGCAAGATATTCGACCACTTCACCGGAAGTTCCGACACCACTGTTCTGAGCCATGTCGGCAAGAATCTGTGCTCTTGCCTCAGTCAACCCTTGAAATGGTGTCCCGAGGAAGATACACCCGGCTACGTAAGGATACACAGAAGGATGTTCGTCTTGATGCTGGCGCGCCAACAAAAGGGTCTTCTCCAGGATGATGCCACCCATGCTGTGACATACAAAAATGATGGGTGTCTTCGTGTCCATCTGCAGACGGTCAGTAGGCGAGGTGTGTGAGCTTCTTGTTATGACGCACACTTGTGCGCATACGATCCAGACCAAGCAACAATTTCTTGGCCATGTGATCGAGACGTTGGTTGACAGGACCTTTGTCGAATCCATCAGGTGTATAGTTGAAGATGCTGATCCGGGCTTCAGGTATTTTTTGAGCCAGCATGTTGGTGTCGCGCAGCCAGTTTACTCGATTGAGCTTCCACGACCATTCTTCGTCGGTACCAATACCTGGAATTGCAACAATTCTGTCATCGTCAATCAAAGTGTTGCTCAAGCTTTGGCATGAAGCACATACTCGTATTTACTAGGTCCTTTTGATAATGCTGGCTTATCTGCCACGGGATACACAATGTCGAAGCCAAGCCCCACGGCCTGTTATGATTAGCAAGTGAGCTTCGGATGAGATGCAGTGATCTCACCATAGCCTGGAATTTGCCATGCTGGATTTTAGCGGGAGCCGCCATGGTACAATCTAGAGCCTCTCGAGGCTATGGTCTCTCCGCCAAAGGGAGTGATTAGGCGGCATAAAGTCACCCAAGGAAAGAGTGTAAGACGGAGAAAATTTCGCAATATCTGTCCATAGTTAGACCATGGGCTTCACTAGTACCTCCAGGCAGCGAAACCCGCAGCGGCATGTTTGGGGGCCAAAACGCTCGGAATGGCTAGAGGACAGGGGTAAGTTAGCATTAAGCCGCTCAGCCGCAAGCACTTGTCACAAGAAGTCTAGATAGGTAATCGCATCCAGGCTCGGACCAGCGTGATCTACCGCGAGGTCGCTGCGTCCGTTGCTTGTGCAGAAGCAAGGCCGACTTCAATGAGCTGCAACTCAGCAACATCAGTAATTGCCTGCCGGCACAGCTGGGAGCGCTCATGGGCGAGTCAGGCGTCTCTCCATTCACGCGACTGTCGGACATGCCATGATGTATGTCGCATATGGAGAAGGGAATTTGCGATGCTACTAGATATCGTAGAGGAGCAAAGAAATGATGGTTGGCGAGGGCGCGACGCGACAGGTGATGACGCGGGGCGCTAACTAACCTCAAATGCGCACTCGGGGAAAGACACCAATCCACTAACTTCATCAACTACAGCACAATTCATCTCCACGATAGAGAAGTCCTTCCAATTCGATGGATACACAGAGGCACGGAAATAGCGACTCGCGAGAAGGATAAGATAGACTTAGATGGCAAGACCTCGCCGTCACTCCACGCTTTCAGGTATCCATGGATGAGCTTCGAGCAACACCTTCATGATGCGCTCATTTCTATAGCGGGGCGGTTCTCGTTCTATGGTGTGTCAGCACTATGCTTGTATGAGAACTAGACGCACTTCCTATGGTGAATATACGTCCACGCGGCATTCATTCTCTCAGTAGATAATGTCACATGACCGGCTTGGCATGGCCCTGCGGATGTACCAGTTGACAGCACCTAGCTCCACACCAATACAGTGCACGTAACACTCAAGTCTCCATCAAAGACAAGGTGTCACCCGCCGCATTTACCCACAGTGCTATTACCACCACAGCGAACAACCCAATCGTCAACATGCCATTCCTGAGCCTTCCGGCCGAGGTGCGCGTACAAGTTTACCGCCATAACTTTGCAACGGCCGATTTCTGACACCTCCCACCAACACCGAGCCATCATCCTCGCAAGCAAGCAGGTATGTTCCGAATTCGAGTTTGAAGCCTTCAAACACACCAAAGAACTTCAATCAAAACTCAAGAAACAATGGCACTTAGGCAGGCTGCTTGTAGCACCTCCATGTTGCTTGCGCCACTGCTTCGAGGTAACAGCCAGCATCTCCCTAGCTGCGCTCTGGCCGGACGCACACAAGCAAACCTCTCATTCCATAGCGCTGTTCAACCTCATCAACGCACACTTTCTCACCTACACCGTCTATCATTGTATGGATTCTACCAATACGGCCAAGCAAGCGGACAATGTTCTGTTACCTCCAAACAGCCGCGACGTTTGTACTACGACGTATGCGCGAGGTGTGTCCACAACGACGCCCAGTCACACATTGGTATAGGAACATATACCGACACGTCCTTCAGCTGCGTGTTTCGACGCTGGGTATTGCAACAACACCAAAGAAATATGGAGTTTTAAGAAGGAGCAGGTGCTTGTCATATGTAAAAGCTCGCGTGTTTTGGAGGTCATCTACAACCGCGAGAGCATTGGTAGTACGGCACGCATCGGTTGCACGTTTATTCAACATGTCCAATGTCATCAAAAGACCCCGGAACGACCTGTTAGACTCCTGAGCGACTCATCATCTCGATCCGACGATTTCAGGTCACACTTGGGTGACTTGCACGGCGATGTCATGGTTCGAAGGGCCGAGAATGGCCTGCTGCAGGAGCAGCAAAGTACGCAGTGACAAGTCCGTACCACAATGCAACCCTCATGCATCGAGGCTAAAGCGATCGTGATCAGTTGTGACTGATTTTCCTGAGCTCGCACTCACCACTGATCTATCCATCGCGGACCATGGGCCCAAAGCAGTCCAACGTCGAAGTGACCCCGCGATAACGATTATGAGCGCGCGTGCGAGGGCCGCTCCACAGTACCACCTCCAGTAACCAATCGATCTATATGAGGAAATGGGACATGCTCATAGCTCTGGAGGCGATCTGGTTGGTCGACCAAGCACGGTGTGGTTACTGAGGGAGTGCAAAGAATCACTCATGAAGGCTACGTTCAGGCATAAATTATGACTAGCGATGCTTCTCTGACTGGCAGCATGGATAAAAGAAGGGTAGAACCATTGATAGTGAACGCATAACTTTGCCATACTACCGTTTCGTTACCTGCTATCAAAGGCAACATTACCATCATAACACAGTTACAATATCTCACATCGAGCGAATATTTTCACTATGCCCAAAGATTTATCTAAAGCAGCCTACGATGCGACCATGCAGTTCGATGAAGGGCTTATAGACTTCTTCAGAGGCGCCCCGGAAGTCAAACTTCCCAACGGGTTGCAGCGCAAGTTCATCAGGGAATATTTGCGTGCCCGTGGTAGAACTACTACTACTGCGCCTATCCATGTGGACGAACGACAGGCACTGAAGGTATACCTGTAAATGAAACCACTGCTTTCAACATAGTAGACATCTGCTAACACTCTCAAGGGGCCGAGTGACGAGGTGGTACAACACCTTCTATGCAATCTGTGCATTCTGTGGCGTTGAATCCCTAATCGAAACTGAAGGTTCTAATTATTCCTCGACCTTTCAATGCAAGCACGATACTTGCGATGACAAGGACAAAATACAATATACCAAGTACCATGAGGAGATGCAGCCATCCACCTAGAGTAGACAGATAGGATGCCAATGAAGAGAATTTACTAGATGGACATATGCAATCGTGATATATACCTAATGTAGAGTATGTACATCTAGTTTCCGTCAATACCAAAATGTTTGCAAAGAAGTCAGACCGTCATGACAAGTAACGACAGGGGTATACCAGAACTACCTTTCCATCTCTATATACATAAACAAACCCACCACCTCTTCGTCCTGCTGCAACTTCGGCAAAGCTCTACTGCCCCCCAACAGCAATCGTGAACAACGTCGGATTGCCATCGAACACCGTACCCGCAACATCTTGCCCACCATCCGGCACGACGTCATCGTATGGGAACGCATAGCCTCTTCCGTCCTTCTGCACTGAATGTACAAGCCTCGAGTAATGGTTCGTCGTCTCGAGATCCTTGTAGTACTGACTAGGATTACTTCCATTCGGGAACTGGTTGCCAGGCGTGTTGAGCAAGATGCTGCGGTTGAAAGCCGCAGCAAGACGTGGAATAACCGCGTTGCGCGCCTGGTTCGATCCCGTGGCAAATGGACCGGTGGAGCAAGTGAAAATGTCACGGGCAGAAGGTGCGTTGAAAGAACCTGCTTCGCCGAGCTGGAGTTCAGTGCCCTGCACGCGACCGGTAAGGTTGCCAGCAGCTGCTTGAGTGTTGATGGTGATGTCTTCGTTGCGGTATTTGTCCCAGACGGCGTTGATGTACGCGTCCCAATAGCCGTCCCACGCTGCGCCATTGCCTACGAGAAGATTGTTGGGGCTCAGTATACGAAGTGGGCGTCCGTTCGCTTCGTAGATGAGCTGGTTCCATGGACGACCATCGCGTTGAGATTGAGCGCGGAGCTCGTTGACGAGCGTGTTGAAGCCGTCGGGACCCATTCCTGGGACGGTTTGCGTGTTGCCCTGGGCATTGGTGAGTGACAATGCAACCGGGATGCTGACGAAGTCGACGTAGGAGATGTTTGCGAAAAGCTGTGCATCGTTGTAGGTGAATTCGCAGAATGTCCAACTGAGGTTGTAGTTTGGGTCAGACGGGTTGGTCACACTGGGCTCAACGACAGCAGGTCCTGGGTTGAGAAGGAAAGTCAACTTCGCGTCGATACTGAACCAGATACGTCCTCCAGCAATCTTGGGGATGGTGACGTTGACAGTGTTACCCGGTGCGCCGAGTGGGATTGCAACATCGGCCTGGAGAGGTTGCTGAATGTCGCTGGGTGCGGTAGGGTAGTAGATACTCTGACCATCAGCTTGTACGAAGAGTGGAGTGTTGTTCCTCTCGAGAGCTAGGCCGGTGATGTATGCGTAGACGTTGCCAGAGTTGGACTTGTTCTGAAGTGCGAGTCTCAACGTGCCCGGCGCAGCTTCGGCAAGAACTTGCTGCTGCTGCTCGCCCTGTGCTAGAGCTTCCGCACGCTTCTCAGTGTTGGTGTCGCCATTTGCTGGTGTGGGTGCTGGTGCCGGAGCTGGTGCCGGAGAGCCTTCCGCCTTGGACTTTTTCTGGTAACTCTGGCGACGCTTCTTGATGAAATTCTTGATTGAATTCATGGCGAAACAGCGTTGCGGGAGGCTGCGGAAGTGCGGTTACGGCCCGAAGATTGGTGTATTTACAAGGAAGAAGGTTTCTGGAAAATATGTACAAATGAAAATTCAATGGCTAGGAATTATTGATGAGAAGCAATCGCAGCTGCAGAGCGACGATCAACAAGTGTGTCACCGAGGACATATCCACAGCATTTATATGCCTTCCCAACACGCGGCCGGGCTTGGAAGCCCATGGGTGAACGCAGGGCATATTCTGATGTCACACACGCACTGTGCTCGAGCCAGGGTAAACCTGTTGCGGGATCGCGCGGCGCCAATTTTAAGTCCACGATGGCGGCTCATGGTCATTTCATGGCCTCGGCCAATCACACTATGGCTCATGCCCACTACGCACCGATCATCTCGGATCCACCCCGGGCTTCGATGCCACGCATTCTGCGCTCGTGGTTGATGCTCTGAGACTTTTAGTAAAGAAAACCTGGAGAAGCCAGCCTCGCATATGGTATTGGCCGAGGCAACGACGGGCGCGATGCACAAGATAAAAGAAAAGGTGTGGAATGACCGCATCATGGAATCATCATTTGCGCGTCCACGGCCAGGGTTGGACGGCCTCAAACCAGGATTCGTAGAAGATGAGACCGATGTTGGTGGTTATGTTTGAGCTCGACCCCAAGCCGGGTTGATGAACCAGGAAAAGTTGACCGTCATGCATCTAGCAAGACACAACACCTGATATAGCGCTTCCCCACATTTTCGAATGCATGGAGTGTATACCGATGTAACATTCCAGGTTCGGCAGACACTACCGAGAGATATTAAAGTCGAATGTGAGCTGTCGGGGTGCCACGAGATTCCTGGGCGCGGTCACATGGCTTCCATTCATCGACGCAGTCGGGCCTGCAAATATCCGGGTCGCTCAAACATGAGTGTTGTACAGTGCGTTTGTTTTCGAGTGGAAATGGACTTACATGGTTATTGTTGGAAGGGAGAGGTCCACATCAGATGGGCGAGTGTTGTGGTTTGAGATCTGTGTACGTCATGCCTCAGCAAATCAGGTTAGCTTCATTTTAACGCCTCGTACCTCCTGACAACAATTCTCAAAATCACAAAATCATCACATTGAACTGGTAGCTCGATCAACAATAGCAGGCAGTTTCAAAACAAAAAATAAATTATCTAATCCGAGGAACATGGTTTACACTTCGTCCCGATGTCGCGTACGAGTACAGGAAGAGGCAAGACTCAGTTAAAACGGCCAAGTCTCAAACGATTAGACGCGAGACCATCGTCTACCTTATCAGCTGTCCGCCTTATTCGATCAAGTCTGCCATTATGCTGCTGTAGCTCTTTGCCTTGATCCAGCGCGAGACCTTTCAGCTGCTGAGCAACTCAAGCGATCTCGTCAAGAGTACCTTCGATGACATCTTCAAGCTCTTCGTCATCAGAGTCGGGCTCAAACTGGTACTTGGCACGAGATAGAATGTCCTTGGAAGTAGCGCCACGGTGACGACGTATGTCTGTGAACTTGTGGATGTTCTTTTCTTTGGAGGCTTGCCATCCGGCAGCGCGTATCTGGTCCTACTCATTGGGATAGCTTCGCCTTGCATCAAGCATCCCGTTATCAGATTGCTTCTCGCGCTTGGCTTCTGCAAAATGGTTCTGAATGCTGATCATACAGTTTGCTTGTTTCCAGAGCTTTCAACTTGCGCGCTCCGTCCTTGTTGGCAAATGCAGCCTGGTCGAGATTGTTCTCTGCGTTCTTAAGACGGTCACCCTGCAGTTGCAACTGGCTAAGCGTTCCGGTTCCAGCTTCGAAAGCTTGCTGAGCCATGCGAAGTGCGTTACGAGCGGCGCCGATGTCTTGGATCTTGATACAGCGAATTTCTTGCTTGGTTTGATCGATGTATTCGTCCTCTTCGTCAAGTCGCTCTAGCTTTGCAGCGGGTCTCGAATTTCTGGCCCGCAATTTGGCGATAAGATCTATGCGAGGACCTGCTTCTGTGGCACCTTCGGAGCGGAACTAGATTGACTGAGGTCGACACTTACGAAGTGAGCCTGCAAAGTTGTTCCCGCGGTCCTGATCGTTGCCCGGAGGTGCAGGAAGCGCCTTCCTATGAGCATTTGTGTTCGGAGAAGCTGTAGTTGTGATTGTTTGTTGCATCTGGTTTGTCCCTGTACGTGTTGTTTGTTCAGCTACTTCAGTCGTGTATCCATACGGATTATTGACGATGCCATCAAGCCGCGGGATGCTTCTCGCTGGCTGTAATTTATGCTTAACCTCTGGATCCGAGGCGCCATACGCTGACGAGGTCTGATGTGAGTAGGCTGAGCTCGCGCTGTCCAGTAATGGTCGACCGTTACCAATGTCAGTGCTACTCCGCGACATGAAAGAGCTCCCAATGTCAGGAATGGCCGATCACGATCGTCGCTGTCACCTCTCACCTTCTGGCTCTTGCCAATCAGTTTCTTGAAACCTCTAGGAAGATGCGGCATACTAGATGATGCTTTGAGGGTGGAAAATGCTTAAGGTGACGATGTTGACATGACCAGTATGATCGCGTCAGGGGGTCTGAAATTACAACGAAGGAAATGTGATGAACACATTCGGGTGGCATTATAATAAGAGCGCTGTTTAGGAGGGCGGTAGAGCATTGCGCGACAAGAGTGATGATTATCGGCCATTGATCATTTACTGCGCTTACACAAGCTAGTCTTTTGGTAAGTCAATATACCGAGGTGGATGTACAGCCTTACTAACTCTAACGCCGAAGGACTTGTTGTCTTGACGCCGTCACACTAGCGTGACTCCGTTTACATTCACTCTGACTTGTCTGGAAGCGACTCGTAGGTGATTTGCGCGCCTAGTTATCTGCCGGAACCTCGAATTTAATAATTCTGCTCCCAAAAGCACTCCTCGAGCGCACATTGCCACTGGCACCCTCAACTCAACCGGCGATCTCTAAACAAACCAAACACGAACTGCGCACATGATGCCCCGACTCTTGACAAGCGCAGTCTCACGGACAAGCCAAGGCGGAGTACCGCTTGTACCGGATGCAGACTTCGAAAACCATTGTTCGCCGCTGCGAATGATGAGCATTATTAGATGGCAAAAGAATGTGCCTCCACCAGATGAGTTGATGGATGCATTTGTGGCGCCCACCATGGATACGAAGCTGTATAAAGACTGGCTGCACTGGGCAGAGCACACTGCGATGAATTGGCTGCATAGACTGGATAAGCTGGAGCGACTGTTCCGTCAAGCAGCACTCATATACCACAAGATACCGTACGATCTCCGCCATTCGTCGACCATTCAAAACGGCCACAAGATCAACTCTGCACTACTCAAGCGACTATCGGAAATCTTTGAGACGGACAGACTGCGCTCAAAGCAGACGTACTTCACTCCGTGGATTGCAATCTTCGACACCGCTACCGAAGTCCTGGATGACCTGAACAATCACCAGCCTCTACCCGATGAAATCGACTCCCTCCGCACTCTTCACCACAAGTTCGAACTCGCCTTCGACAACCTGAACAAGCCGTGTCAGGTGGCGTGGGTCGCTTTAAGGTGGTTGCAAGGGACTGTTGCAGACGTCAACAAGCGCGCGGAACTCGACGGTACAGAAACATTGGCTGCGTCTTTCAGCCGTGAAGGAGGACTGTTTCGGCGATGGATTTCGACACTTCCAGAGGCCGACGGCAAACATGTGCAGTCCAGATTGACGTACATCGAGTGGTATGCGCAAACGCTGCTGAAGGAGGGCGTCGTGAAAGACGACTACTGGAGTATGTTGCTCGAGGATGTTGGACTATAGGAGGAATCCACTCAGCAATGTAGCATTGGGTGTGGAAATGCGACGGAGCTGGCTTTGGCTTTCACATTGTGAGACAGCGCTGCGGAATCTTCACAAAGACTTGGGAACAAGATAGAGACAATGTTTCATCACAATGTAAAACACGTATTGATATTGATTCTGGAATAATGTTCCCGAATTCACCCAACCCATTCTCGCTGCCTCCAGTATTTCACCGACTGAAACAGTACTTATCTCCTGCCCAACTCCCACACCATACATCATCATGTGTATCAAATGCCCGACCATCGCTCCTCGCCACGAAGAGTTGATCACCGCGAGGTGCAGCTTGTACATGGGAAGGTCCAAGGCCCGTCTCCAACGTATTCTAGAAAATGCTATACTCCTGGAAGACATGTACCGTATCGCGGGGATCCACTACCACTCCTCCCAGCTTTCGAGCCGGCAGCCTCCCGAGATTGCCCAAAAGCACCTGGACCACCTGCAGCGGCTCTTCGAGACGTCCCGTGTCGAAGAGTACAACGCCATCTTCAAGGAGCTTGACGAGATCGTTCACGCGGCCGCTGAGCTGAGCTCCCGACACTGTCCTGACAGGGTAACTTCCAAGCAATTGGTTCACCATGTCTTTTGCGTCCTCAAGCCAACTATGATCCCGCTTCAAGCACGGTTCGAAGCTTTCTTCGATGAGCTTGACGACTACCTCGCGCGTGCCTACATCCTCTTTGACGTGAGTCGCATGAACTATGAGTCAGACGCACAGGGCGGTCGCATCGCCTGGCAAGATATCTCCGGCCCGGACTCCAACCCTGTTCCTGCTCGCAAGGGCGAGGAATGGGCAAAGTACCGTGCTTGGATCTGGAGTTTGCCAGAGACGCAGCGTGCTGTGCAGATCGGTCGAACAGTGGACGCTGTCGCGCTGGAGATGCTGTACCATGAGCCTGATGGTTTCCATGGGGAGTCAGAGTCGCAGCAGTTCTCGCAGCCGCCGTCATCGACATACTCGTGGTCAGATCTTGCATCAGATCTTGACGCAATACTTATCGATCAATGATGAGTATACGTCTCGAGACATTCCTACATTAGATTTCGCTTTTATCACTTCTCCAGTGACCTTTGCAGTCGCGATCCCACGTCCCGTATGTGCAGCAATATCTATAGCAATGTGCGTCTTCAATTACTCCTTCGACAGAAGAGCATACAACACTTTTTGTACATCCACACCTGCACTGAACTGTCCACATATGTGTAATTGCGAATTTGTTCCATACTAATCCATGACGAATCATGTTGAAAGGACTATGATATATTGACCATAATAAGAACCAGAACCATGATTTGAACATAGATCCATGGCGAGAACCATGATGAGTACCATGATGTGGGAAGCACAGCAAACGAGGTCAAGACCACGATGTAAAAAGTAACGCAACCTTGATGATGACCACGATATATAATTTACAAGGCAAGCTCCGAGTGGCCATGAATCGAATCCGCCAATTTTTGTGAGACGCACTCACGTGTCCCCGCCGTTGAACATGCCTCACATTTTGTGCGTTTCTGTTTTTTGCTTTGTTCGTGCCCAATTGCTTCATTTACAGACGATTTCGCTGCTGCGATTGGGCGCTGCGACGCGTTCTTAGTACTTGCATTCGGTGTCGAGCGAAGGAAGGGAGAGGATTCCTAAGCCGTCCACAGTGCCTCGCATGCTGTTTGATTCCGCCGTTTAACTTAATGGCTAGATTGATGCTCATTGATACTCAACAAATGCTCATCGATACTCAATAAATGCTCAATGGTGCTCGCTTGGTGCTCGATTGATTTTTGATTGACTGAAATTCCTTGTAGACCATCATGTCTTTTACAATTAATCACTGAAGCGCGATTTTGGGACTTGCGTTTTGTTGTTGGGAGGAGCAAGCGCTCGCCATTGAAAATGCGTCACATGCCGTACGATGTAGTCTTTCTGCTTTATTGCTCGTTTTGCACTGATGAGCTGATGGTTAGACTATGTCAATTTGTCGATGAGCCACTGAGGCGCGCTGATGGTGCGTCAGATGCGTCATGACTCCTTCAAGGAACTTTTCTCCCCCCCCCCCCCCCCCAAAATCAAAAAATAAATAATCATGGTAGATAGCTATTCGCAGCCTGGCGGGAGATACATCTTGACTGAGCGGGAAAGAGTCATAAGCAGTATCTTTGTCTCGCGCACTCCACCCTGTCTACCATGAGGGGACAAGCCACTTTAGGTGCGCCATGTAAGTCCCCACATAAGGCATACCATGCAGTACACATCATTGCCGGACGTCGCAGCCGCCATATAATACGCTGCGACTGCAGATCTGCGCCTTGCCTGCGACTTGTGCCCAAATGGTGGCCGTCAAGTGGGACACGGAGGGGTGTTGTCAACGCGCATGCCTCGCGATACGATGGATATGGAACACTTATCTATGCTTAGTGATCTTCAGCAGAACAGGAATTCTGAGTCACCTTTTGGTTAGTATGAGGCTCTGATCTACCAATCGAATTGAAGAATTTTAGTATCGATATCTATCGCCCTGCTCGTCAGAAGGCGTTTAGCCAAGCGGCAGATGAGACGGTGGTGCATGGGAACCTAACAGCGAAGATTGGTCGGTACAAGGGTCCGCAAGGCAACTAAACGATCACCTGTGATATCCCACACCGATGAACCCAGCGTCTGAGAAGGCTGCATACTGTCCACCGCGTTCTTTCCCGATAAGGCCTAGTTCATACAGCAATATGTACGTCGGGAATTGTGTAAGATGCACAAGCAGCCCACCAGCCTTTATCCGGATCAAAACCTAGCCCTACGAACCCGAGAATTTCGGCCCGGTATCAGCCTTAATAGACATGGTTGTGATGGAGTGGTTGTTCTCAGGGTGCTGTCGTACGCGAACACTCGATTGGGATCCAATGAATTATGACGTGATGATTGGCACAACCATGACCGTAATGATTCGCGACTTCTCGAGTTGAGATTGCGCTTGAAAACCTGCTACAACTGGTTCTATCTAATACCGCACAGCTTCCGATTTGATTAGGAAGGCACACACATGCTGCACATGCCCATTTCCGAGCCCATAATTAACTGGCCGTCGTTCATGATTTGCAGCCTCGTGCGACCGTTGTACACTGGGTAATATCTTTTGGTCTTTCCACGGTTTGATGTAGAGGCAAATACTCCCACTTTGCGATAGTTCTGCATGGAATCGGGGTTTGCGCACAGCACTGTCGCCTGGTAACACTGGCGCTGAGCTCCAGACTCCCGAGTCTCGAGACAGTCTGGTAACAAATTTGTGAGCAGCGTCTTAGAAACTCATTAAGAAGCTCAAAATACGTACACAGAAATGTAAAGAACGCAGTCAGTGCTGCTCATCAGCGATAGATCACCACTTGTCAGGAATGCATCGTACAGTGCTCTCGCAATACTTGAGAATTGCGGTCTTTGAAGACCCAAAGGAGGTAGATGCAGGCACAGTACGTAGTTACCTATCAGAGCCTGAGACATAGTCAGTACAGCCTTCAGGAGGCTTCAACAGATTCTTCACTAGGCATGCAGCATATCAAGGCTTACTTGCAAAAAGGCCTTCAACGGGTAACGCCCGTCTGTATCAGTAGCTTGCGGACACGATGTACCTTTGCCGAGGCCTAAGGTGTTTGTCACCCCGATGGAATCAACCCAAAGCAGAAAATCCACCGTCTTGAGGCCGAACGTCATGACTGCCATCTTTTCATTCAACGGCCAAGGGCCAATCCGCACAGCAAGCTTCGAATTCTCACCCTGAGCTATTGTTGGACTGATAGAATCTGGTGTTATTTTCTGCAGTGTCTCATCATTCACAACATGCCTTATCAGTGAGGAGCTCTCTTGCTTTAGAGATATCGAGTCGATGGAAATAATATTCTCAAAGCTGCTACCAGTGTAGGCGTTTCTTGACACAAGGTTTTGAGGCTTTTGCCCAACGGAGGCCTTTGAACCAGACCGACAGACTTTTACAATGGCGGACATCGTTGTCCCAGGTGCATGTGTGCTAACAGAGGGAAAATTTGGCAAATCTGAAAGTTGTCCATGTTGGATATTGTTGTCACCGTGGGTAACCGTGTCTTCGGATTGTGGAAGCGAGTAATGAGTCGGGGTGCCCGGCTCAAAAGAAGGCTTCGCCTCTTCTGTGTCCGCATCGCTGCTCCCTTTGATACGGGGCGTGTTAACCAATACGTCTGACAAGTGCCTTGCCGACTGATCGACGTCTTCCGTCCTCCATAAATTTGTGATCAATGGTTCCAAGAGATCGAAGTCGAGCACTGTCGGCCTTTGAACTTCCAACTTGGATTGCAGTATATTCAGATATCGAAGTTTGTCCAGTGCACTCATTTTCAGTGATTGCAAAGACCAGTCTGCCATACGCTCATCCACAGAAACGTCATTCACCGTTGACGGTAATGCTCCTTCTGATCTCGAAGTGTAGGCTGTCTTCACGTCGTCATCATGATGGCTCCGATCCCCGTTTGGCTCAGATACCAAGTGTAGTTTTTTGAAAGGAGCATTTGGTCCAAGTCGCAAGCCTGGGCGCAGTTGCTGCAATTGTATATCGTGATCCGCAATCATCCCTAATAGACCATTGGACAGCGCCTCAGCTTCGAGCTTCATTTGATTATTCTCCGCGAGAACCAAGGACATATCACCCGACTGAGTAAAAGTATCCAAACGAAGCGCTTGTTGCTTCCGTAAAGCTTCAAACCGCTTAGAAAGCTGATTGTGCTTAAATTCGATGGTTTGATATTGAGCTTGGATCGATGGCTGAAAGTCAAGGTCTTGATCGGGTTTCAAACTTCCTCCCCCTTTGATTAAATTCTTTATATCCTCTGTGTTAATATCGTCAGAGAATAATTGGGTGATCTTGTACTGATAAAATTCTGTCTCCAGATCCGCGAACGTCCACTCCGACGCACCCAAGTCTTCTTCCGCTTCTAACAACGACTCTTCCCATGATCTCAGTTCTTGTTGTTGTTTCTCTGCTGCCTCGTATGCATCCATGAGATTTTTAGGCAATGGTCGGTCCAGCTGTTTATAGTGTTTGCGGAATGCATTCATCAGTGCAACTTCTGCGTTGACTGTTCGTATCCTCTGCTCCCGCACTGCCTTCTTGTCCGCAAGCGCATCCTCTCGCTGGACCAAGAGACTCTCCCTCATATTCATCAACTGGTCTTGTTGAGATGCTAAGTCTCGGAGCTTCGGCTCGAAGTGTGCAAGAATCGAGTTGAGGAGTGTGTCTTTCGAAGCCATTGCAGGCAAGCGTTCGGCCCGGAACGGTGTAGACTCGCTATGCTGTATTCAGTCCAGAGGCTCGATTCGTCCATGGGTTTAGTGTGATGCTGGTGACAAATAGTGTGTGCTCATTTGAGAGAATGCTTGGGTCGAAGGTCAGGTTTGGAGTGAGAGACAACGTGAACATCGAAAAGTGCGTAAGTGATGAGTAAACGAGGCGAAACTCTATCTGGAGGAATGACGTGTTGAGATCCGAGAGGCTCAGAGTTCAACAAAACTTTGCCATCTACGCTGTCGAAATGACTGTATCAGCGCCTGTTTTCAACTGTAAATTCTCGAATGTGAAATGATCCAACGAATTATCGGGCGAAGCAGTTGCTGTGCTAAAGATAAGCGTATTCATGGGCGACACAGGGGTAAGTATGACGGTATGCGCACATTCGTGACCCTCCCTTGGTCTACGATTCTGTCTCCCGGGACGACCCAGCAGGCAGGCGCCTAGGGTGGGGGCGTGCGCCTTCCTGCATGTCAGCTCTCCAGTGGTGATTTTAAGTCACCCAATCAGTGACGAAAGCCCCACGTCCCGATCAACACCTTTGCAGATGCATATGCGTAGCGAATCGAATTGTATGCAAGATGCGTTGCATGCTGCAAGACCGCAGCAACGACGCTCTGCGCTTCTACAACCCCCGTTCTGGACATTCCTCGCGAAATGATCTCATCGCAGAGCCGCATCGAGCCCAAACATAAATGGCAGCACTCGGACTGCATAAATATGGACCTCGGGAGCTTCTGCGACTATGTATGCCACCAACACTACGCTCAATCACTGGATCTGGAGCCGGGAGCATGGGAAATACTATCTCATGACCATTGGAGCAGATGGTGAGCTCATCTCCTCGAGTTTAGTTGTACAGTACATGTCAGATATCTGACATAAATTATACCTTTGTAGGCCAGTATGTCACTCGATGGGCAGAATCAGCGCAAAGCTCAGGCACTCAGCCAGTGGCTAGCCACAATGGAAACCACGCGCTTCCGGGAACTCAAAACGAGTACGCAATCACATCAACAATATTCATTCAGTCAATGCTGACACTGGTTTAGAACAATGTCGCGCCAACGAAATGACTCAGCTTCCAATGAACCCAGAATGGCCCCTCCAGGTCCGTGAGTTGACTTCGGGCATACATACCTGTGTTGAAACCCATAGTGCCTCCAAGCTTCGAACATGAGGTAAGATTTAGAGGTACGCCTCATCGTGGATGGTATGACCTTGATCCGAGTAAGAATTCTTCAAATCTTTACATCCGTCATCAGGCATTCTAAGTAAGCATTCAGGGTACAGGGTAAGAACCGCGGCAGAAGCGCATAGTTTCTTCGTCAAAGGACGAGTGTTTGCAATGCTTTGGTCTGAGACAGCAGGAGCCACCGCCAACCTAGCGCGCAATGGAACTGAAAACACGGCGATCACAGTTGGTCTGTTCAACCAGCAAGTCTTTTCACAGATTCGCCGATTTGTAATCATGGAAGTCAATCGCGAGAAGCACTTCGTCTATGCGTGGTCAGTCCATAATTCACCTCGTCAAGGCACAAATGGGCTCACTCAAGCAGTGCCATCTTCACTTACAACGGACAAGGCACTTTGAAACGTGGCTGCACGGCATCCGAGCATGCCCCTGTGTATATGACTGGGTCCCAGGCCACTACATACCAGGGTGAGTTGGAGCGAGGGATGACAAAGGAGCCAATCGAAGTCACACCGGATGACGAAACCGAGACAATGCTCCCTGCGTCACGCTTACGCTTTGGTAAGCACTACTCAATTGAATGGAACGTCAAAGTCCGCGAAATTGGGATAGTTGCGCCAAGGTACAGGTCTCGCTTGATGAAGCACTACAGAGATGAGCAACGCAATGGCTTTGACGATGACGATGACGAAGACTTCTCAGAAGAGGAGGACGATGAGTCTGGCACAGTGTTTTCGACCTACACTCCAGCAGCGGCCACAGGTGTGAGCTATACCCAGACTGGATACGCAAATGTTCCGCAATATCGCTACTAGGCCTTTCCTATCTGAATACGTTTTTTCTTCTTTCTTTGTGCCGCTATTGTCCCTCAAATACTACGTTCCGATATGAATATAACGATTATAATGCTGTCTACATTTCATCATACACGATCAACAGGATTGGCTGCGCTTAATAGATTGAAGCCAGCTTCGGCTCGACGTGGGGTTCAGTTCCGGACCGGGCACCACACCGGGCCACGGAGTCGGCTCGACTAAGTGCAAACTACGGATCCCGAAGGAAGGGCACGATTGCGCTAATTAGCCACGCCTTATCAGCCTAGTTTCAGGCTGTAGCGTACTGATTTCGATTCACAGGTTTGTTGAACAGCATCTTACAGGTGTCATTCAAGGTTCCATACGGGCGATCACCCTGTCTGGGCCGACACCTCTTTAGTACGGTTCAATAGACAAACGTGCAAAGTTTGGAATAAAGTTCCATGGAATGCATAGCTGAATAGCCTTGCCTTTGATCGCCAGTTGAGCAGACCCTGTACATACCTTGTGGCATGGCGCTCACTCCACGTAGTTTGCTAGTCTATCTAGTCTAGATATGCGTTTGCCGGGTACCGATTTCAAAACCTCGGGAATGCCTTGAAGCATGGCTGATCATTTTCCTGTATTGACGCACCGTGCTGTCAGCAGATACCACAGTCTCAGGCAACCTTGCCTTCTTCCGGACCACTTCAAACTTCAGCCTGAACCCCCACACTATGTGGGTCCACAACGGCGTCAGGGATGATGCGCCGGAAGCCAGTGTGCGGCACGCATGGGAGGGAAGTGGGGCAGACTTCTTCCCGGTGTCTGCCCTACGAAGACGCGGGCGCCTAAGGCCAAAAAGTGGGTTCATCAATCCAAAATGCGTATAGTATAAGCATCTATCCACCGGTCTACAGCTCCCACATACCAGACTGGTACAATGTCGCGGCAACGACCCTTTTGTGTGCAACGTGTAACGCATGGGCACGGTCCCATTTGGTGCGCGGCCGAGAAGGCGCAGCAAAAGGGAACAGAAGACATGGTTGCCGATTAATGACATCCCGTGCCGGACGTGTGCCTTTGTTTGAATCAAATCAAAACCTGGCGCCTTTCTCCGCCTCTTACGAGCCAGAAGCTGACCTTAACCCGACCAGGATGCTCAAGAACCAGGTTTCTTGATCCCACGCTCGCATTTGACTGGTCACCCTGTGCAGGAATCGATTTTCTGATGTTCAGCTGGCAGACGCGGTCAGTACAAAACAGCCATGTCGCTGTCCGTTCGCGAACGTGATACAGATCGCACGGCATTTGCCATTCGTGGGACAATTTTAGGTCTGCCTATCATCGTTCAGCAGCTTATCTTGCTAGCGTAGAGGGTGCGAGCAATGCAACCAACATTGCGCCTGCGTGTAATTGCGCATGTGGGCAGAGCTGCATCAAGCTATTGCGTATGATTTAGCACTGTATGCTGTCAACTTTGACGCAAAGCGCCCGGGGTGCACGTGGTGGCAACCCAAGCAATAGCCTGAAGCTACACAGAGCAATACCGTCGCATATGGAGTCTAGAAACACTGTGCATACCTTCAGGGCGTTATTTCATCAGCGAGACCTCGATCACTTTGCTTCGTCAAACAGAAGCCTGCAATAAGCAAGGATCACAAGCTAATTATCCCGAGGCACCCGTTGCTCTCTGCCATCAACGCCCTTGCAAGTACAATGAGGCTCTTCTAGCTGTAACGAAGCTCGGCCCCATGACACCATTTGCCTACACCTGTCGCCTCGTTTCTACCTGAAATCGCATGTGTTGCGTAGAGGCAAAACGTGGGTGGTCTGATTGGCATATAGTACGCGTTCTTGCGGTGTGTCGCTTCAGATGAATGTGATACCGCATTTGGCGTGTTCCGAACCAATCACAATGCTGACATAGTTTTGGTGTCCCGAGAATCTTTCCCGCTCGGGGTTCGGTCCGCCGTAAGGTTCTCCTTGCAGATTACCCGGCCGAGGCTGTGCGATCATTGTTGTATAGACTTGTATTGTGAAGAGAGCTCGTAACGTCCATGTTCAAATCAACAGAAGGCTGCAAGCACAGCAAGCTTAGAGAACAAGTGTAATCTTGCCCACAAAAAATGTAGACCCTGGGCCAGGGTCCAATTTGTGCCGCGCAAACTGCTTGCTTCTTCCGCAGAAATGGTGAAAATGGAAACAACCTATACACTGGAAATGAACTAACCCTATTTTACAAGATATAGAAGTGAGAACCAAAAGAAATGCCCATGACTTGGGGAGAAGTACAAAGATAAAATGAAGTTAAACCATTTGCGGTGACCTCACACGAAATTCGAAGCTCTGTAAGCTAGACTCCTCACTAAGAAGGTACATTACTGCATGAAGCTGGCCTCAATACAAGCTGACTACAAGTCACGTATATCAGCCCTGGACTGCGACATGCGTTCACGCAACCCAAGACGAATAAGGCCCCGGCAGTCGCCAGGGAGTATCGGAAATAGAAACAAATGGAACGTTCTCCAAGCGACTACTGTGGTTTGCGACTGTGAGGTCGTCGAATGATAGCGTTGGAATAGGGGTCAATCGTAGCAAGGGAAGAGTCCAGGGCTCTGAGCTTTTCACGCGAATAAATGGCGCAAAAGGGTATCGTGTATGTGACCATGGCCGCCGAGTCAAAAGAGTGTCCGCTTCTTCCATGCTGGCCCCATGTTCTGATGCTGTTTGCTCTTGAGCGTTGCTTTGCATCAAAGCTTGTCCATTGGACTCCGAGTCGGTGTGTAGTGATCGATTTGATTTAGATGTCTTCATATGTTGCAGCTCATCTTTCGAGCTCTGTTCGCCGTGGGAGGCCGCCTTTGTTTTAATCTCGATGTACGAAGGAATCGTTACTCTCTCATTTGGAATGTCACCCCCGGGGTGCAACACATGTCTTTCAGCCGAGAATCGAAACGAGGGTTCTGCTTCGATCGTAGAAACGGATGAGTTTCCTCTAGAAGTGGAGGACATATATGAACCGGCGGCTGACGTTTCTTTCGATAGAGAGCGTGCATACGCACCTTCGGTCTGTGTCGTGGTTGACGCCGCGCTTAACAGCTGTTCTGAGTTCGAAGTGATGGGATCTGCGGAGATAACTCTCACTGGATCTGAATATGATCTTGATGGGACTATGCTAAACGTAACATGCCGCGGATCATCAATAAGGTCGCGCGCCCTGATCTTGACTGGGTTGTTGAACGAAGCTTGGTGATCTGCCACACGGCCATCTGGAAATACAGGACTGCCAGACGGTTGCCATGTATCTGAGCTACAGTATGTAGAAGATTCAAAGGGACGTTGGACGTCGCCTGAAGACATCTCTTTCTTGACACTTTCATCAGACACAGTGGTGTCACCAGTGTGAAAGACCGAGGTATTAGAACTGGTTGACTCCCAGTGTTTGGTTACGAGCGTCAGCCATTCTCCATCACTAAGATTTCCTTTGGGCACAAAACATTCTAGCCATTGCTTTTGCAAGGATGAAGTGGTTAAGACGTCTAACATCCACCGATCAATATACTGGCGAGAATTTGACCAACGATCAAGGTATGCATCGCTGTGATCATAAATGCGGAGCAGGTCGGCATCAGCAACGCGGCAATGTCCATCTTCTCTGTCTTGGCTATCCGTCTCAGAGAAATCGTCCGCAAGATTAGCGCCCAGATAGCTAAAGATGGAAGTAGTGTCTGTTATTGGGGCGGAATGAGATTCCACGCTAGTCTGTATTTCTTGCTCACCTTGGAGGCTCATGACAGTCATCGGGACGCCAGGAAAAGGATGTGCTCGGTCTAGCTCAATAGCGAGGCTGTCCTTGATAATAGAGTCTGGGGGTTGGAAGAACGGGATTTGCGTGGGTCTTTCGGACAGACTAGCTGGTATAGAAGGCGGATCGTGAGAATTGACGTGCGTCGTTCTACATCTCTGGACGCTTTGGACGAACCGGCCCTCCATCTCTGTATACTGCCATTCCTCCATGTTGTAATCATTCTCTGCCTGCTCATATTCAACGTCTTGCTCTCCAAGGGCGTTCCTTATCTTGTCAACTTGCAACCACGCGGATATTATGTCTTCAGGCACGTTGAGCTGTTCAATCAAAAAACGTCGTCGCATCAGATCAAAAGCTCGACCCATTGCTACAAATGCTTTCTCTCCTGTTGCGCGTAGCTCTTGACGTTTAGTCCGGAGCCTAAAACGGGAACCAACAAGATCTTCTCGTGCATCTCGTAAGTCTTCCTGCATGTCTTCCACCCACTCAAGCGAGCCTTCGAATGGGTGAACTGGGAACGGCTCGTTGCTTGACAACAGTCGCCCATCATCTGATGGTGGAGGCGGTGAATTCATTGTGGAGGAGTCGCGATGATCCATGCTTGGCTCAGGATTGTCTTCTCGTGGAAAGCGACTCGCAAGCTTGACCATCTGTCCTCATCCCCAATAACAACGAGCGGCTCAGTAAGGACGTTCACATATCTTTCATTCTTTAAGCGCTTGTCAAGAAAAAGTCGAGTAAATTGATGCTGCTGTGGCACTGCTCCCGAATCAGCGAAATCAGGCTCAAAGTTATACAGAAAAGTGTTCATAAATACAGGATGATGTGAAGTCGTTGAAAGTCGAATTTGGATGAACGTCGGACATGAGACGTCGATGGTCATCACCGAGTGTTGGGCATATCTGCAAGTGATCATGAGGACGCGGAGGAACATGGAGAAGAGAGCAACGCGAACAAAAACAAGGAGACCTCCCGCAGGGAGAACATGCACAAGCCACCAATCCCGAACCTTGGACAAATGCATGGCTGAATGCTAGGGTCACTAACAGTGTGACGCTAGGGCGTCGCCAGAGATCAGCTAGCTAGCCGACCCCTCATCCGCCCGGCTGGGCCAACGATTCCTCGTCCCCACCACCCTTTCCCGTGGCACGTATGGTGCGTCAAGCACATGCCAATTGCTCTTAGACGAAGCTGCATCTTTTGCATAGTATGCGCTGGCTACCATAGGTACAATGGCCGCAGAGCCGCACGCCCGGCTATTTGAGCGTGCGCTTAAATAGCTGTGTACGTGGCAGCATCTGGGGCTGCAACATTGCTTGACATGTAGCGCATGCCTGATCATGTCCCAAGCGAATAGGGCTTTGGACTACGTTTGGGATGCCCGGTACGGCCGCTATAAACGTCAGGTCTACACTTCGGCGACTGGTCAGTATATTCCGAATGACTGTTGCTTTCTCTGCTGACTAAATGAAGGGCAGTGGCTCTTCGCAGAATGGATGCCCGTCGGTTGGCAGCCGCAGCTTGGAGCTCAACAAACACCGTCAGAACACAAAGGATATTCCGTCGCACCACCGTATGTATGTTCAGTCAAGTCTCATGTTCTCACATCTAAAACCGCATCATCAGCCATAGTCGTGTAGATCCAGGCAATCAGAATGTGAGCTGGTCTCCAATCGGAAGCTTCGCGTCGGCGACCAGCAGCCATGTGTCTGCGGCGACAGCAGGAGCTTCAATTGCAACGAGTCCCTACCAACCACAGTACTCGCGGAACAGTCGTGAATTTCCAAGAGGTGAAGGTCCGCGAATCGATGGTACATACATTGGCCCTCCAAGCCTGCACTACGAAAAGATTGATGGGTCCTTCTATGTCCGGGATAAGGATTTCTTCTTTGAGGGAAAAGTTTTTGCTGTCATCATGAATGAGACGGCAGGCGAAACCACGAAAATACTACCAAACCCTTTGGACTACAATACGTCTTCGTCTCTGAATAGAGTCAAGTACCAAGACAACATTGTCTACACTAACGTACGACGCTTTGTGGTTGTGCGTCAGAGGCGAGAATTTTGTTTCGCATGCCCCATTTTTACATATTCAGGGCGTGCAACGACAAAGCATGGTGTGAGAGCTGCCGAACACGGAGTTGCTTACTCCTGGGGGTCGGACCCTCAATTGGTGAAGGGTGAATCAGGCATCACAAAAGCATCAATCGCTGTCGTGATGGCCGATGGTGTAGGTGCTCTGACTATATCTTCAAGAATCTACTATGGTATACATCACCCCATACAGTATAACGTCAAAGTGAAGGACATAGGATATGTTCCACAAAGTCACATTCCGACGTTAATCGGAAATTGGAAGGAGGAAGACGATAGAGAGTCAAGGCAAGCGGCAGCAGTCACGGCCGCCGCCGGAGAGCCCGAACTCGAAGTCTTGACCGAAGAGGACGAAGAAGAAGAAGAGCTAGCTGTTCAGCATACCGGGAAAGGCAAAATGAAGGCTTTAAGAAAGACTGCTCAGAGTGCTGCGAAGTATGTCGATCCTCACATATATCATGTGGAGGCGAATCCATATGGTTACGACGTCGATTGCAATCCGCATATGTTCCACCCGAAAAACAATCGGAATGGTTACCATCCTGAAAACAACCCCCACGGTTATCATCCTGAGAGCAATCCATACATGTTCCATCCAATATACAATGTTCAAGGCTACCACCCAAAGCACAACGTTTACGGTTATCATCCCGGATGGAACAAGTTTGGCTTCCATCATCAAAACTCGCCGTTTTGCTTTCATCCAAAACTGAATCCTCATGGATACCATTCCACGGACAATACGCGCGGGTATCATCCACAAGCGATGCCGTACAACTACCATCCGCGAGGCAATCCTTACGGATATCATCTAGTGAAGAATGAACATGGTTTCCACCCAAAATGGAACAAGCGCGGCTATCACCCAGAGCATAATACACAGGCCTATCATCCCAAGTGGAACAAGGATAGTGTTTACAAGACCCAAGAAGATGAAAGTGATGAGGATGAAGCTGAAGACGATGAAAGCAGTGACGAGGATGAAGCTGAAAGTGATGAGGATGAAGCTGAAAGTGATGAGGATGAAGCTGAAAGCTTGGAGAAGGGCGTCGATCCAAGTACTGCCGACCTGATTAAAGTTTACCCGGGAAACAATAGCCAGGAAGCTACTGATGTAGACGATAGCATACCTATGGCCTCTCTCCACGCTCAGATCATGCGGAAGTTTTCCTTTGCCCTAGACAAGAAAGGAGGTTGGGCTCGAGACCGCCAGGATTTGATTACACAGCTACATGATGCGTCAACAAGATTGCAACATTGGAATCACAGCATTCTGGGTCTCGTGGATAGAACTTTAGAGATTTTCGACTCTGGTGAGAAGAAAATCATAGACACTATTCTTTCCACTGTGGAGAGTGACCGCCCATACCTCGCAGGGCTTATCGCGTCTTATCTCGAAGATATCCTGTCCAATTTGGACGGCCTCGAGGACATTGTCACCACAGACTATTGGACACAGTAGGTCACTCTTCAGCTTAGAAATCCGACTAGCTGGCGCTGACTGGATACAGAATGGATGCAGCATCAATTATCCAGGAAGAATTAATCGAATCAGTACAATGCTTGTGTTTGCAACTCGCACCACTAGCAGCGTTTATCCGCAGTAAGCAGGCGAACATCCATGCCATCGTAGCGAAAACTTAGATGATGTCGACCACATAAAGGAGACACTGAAGAACGGGGAAGGTTTTTTGGCGTCATGATCGCGCTCTTGGTCAAAGCAGAAGGACTTTCTCGATACAATGCTCTTTTCTAGTGGGGGATCGGCTCTGACACCACGTCATATATGGCTGCTAAATAACAGGTCGTACGGCCTCAACAATGCGGATCACTATTGATACATCCCATTGAAACCTTCTCCACCACCACGGATTGCGGCATAACCATAACCTTCATCCCTACCTACCTACAAATGAGAGATAGTTCCAATGCAAAAATGTCAGTTTCCTGCGCTGTAGACTGTATATATTGCCTCTTGCGGCCATCTGCTCTTTGAGGATGAACCGTGAGGGTGCTCGTTTCTTTCCCTTGATTCAATCCGATACCACATTTGAATGCTACAGAAAAGGTCAGAATATGAACAGGGCAAAACAGAATCGACTAACGGTTTGAATATTTGCTCCATGTATCGGTAGAGATGGCCGTGCTTGAACTGCTCACTCCAAGAGAGAGAGTCTGGTCGGAGGCAGAAGTCGATTGCTTCTTGGAAGGCAAGCGATCCGGTCTTCAGAACGTTGTTGTTGATCTCAGACCGATACATTGTGACCCAAGTCCCGTCGACGAACTTCTCAAATTTCGATAGATTTGGTCCACCAGCGAAGCGAACAGGGTAGCCCAGTACCAGTTGAGCCCAAACAAGACCCAGGTTCCTGAGTCTTGAACGATGATCTCTAACATAGCAATTTTTGTGCCGTTTAACTCGAAATGTTTGGTTCGAACAATCAACAGAGCCCAGACCTATTTCCATCACGATTCCAGAACAACAGAGCTGCTCGAACCATGGTGTATTCCACAATCGCAAAGCCCATTCGCAGATTCCATAGATCAATTCAGCGCGGTCTACAAGCCATGCTGGATCATAGAAAAGGTGCGGCTTTTGCCTGAGTAAGATTCCAATAGGTACAGTCGTTTTGACTCCTGTATCCTGCGCATGACATTCAATCTTTTTCATGGACACGATATCTTCATCCGGTCCTGAAATCTGGCAGCGTATCAATTCTGCAACTGCGGAACTTGTATCGTGGGTGTCTGGATCGTCTTGTTGAAAGCAAACATGAAGACAGAAGTGACCCGTATCTTCTTGTTGCAAAGTCGAGAAGCGCATTTGTATGATGATAGGCGTGATGACTTCCCAGTCCAAAATGGTTTTCCCCTCTGCAGGCGTCGGCATCGCTAAAGCCCATGCACACGTATTGGGCTCATTTGTACATTCTTTGTAGATCTCCGTCGCTACCGACATCAACGCACCTGAGAACTCCTCGAGTTGTTCCAGCACTGCAACCTGTTTTGGGGTTGGGCCGCCGTCGAAGTGTTGTGCAGTGCGATCATGGAAATCTCTCTCGAAGAGTTGCGCGATAACGTCTATTGCTTTTTCGAGTCTGGTCATCCATCCTTCCAGAATTTCCTTCTTCCACAAGGCGTATCTGACTGTCTGACAAAACTCAGAAGAAGTGAGACTGTGAAGTCGTGGTTTGCGAAATGAAGCATCCCGTATTCTTTCTTTCATTTTGCGCCAAGCAGTAGTCTCTGCCGTACTGCGGGTATATTTGATGATTTGATTGTTGATTTCTTCATAGAGGCCTACAATATCTCTTATACTTGATTGGATGAGTGCTTGATTCTCTTGAAGGCCCGAAGACTGCCAGTACGTCTCCCAAGTACTAAATTTGGACTGGCACAGGCCGAGGCGATTGTCCATGCCGACAATCTGCTTCTTTTGCTCTCTGTAAGAATGGGTAACCTTCGCCGCGGCAGGTACGGTGCCTAGGATGAAACCAAGACCCGCTAGACACATGCCTAATGGACCTAGTACTTCCGCCATGATTTGCGCAGCCGTTAGTGTATCAGAAGCCTTCCGCCACTGGAGCTAAGCTCCGCCTAAATCGTGGTACAAGGTGATTTGAGATCTATTATTCCTCAACAGATAGTATAAGTGTAGGGGGAAGAAAGGCACAAGGCAAAACTCGGGAAACGGACGGGACAGATTGCATGGCAACTTATGATAAGCTGAAATCATGTAGGATTATATTTAGGGCTGCGATCAGCGAGCGTTAAGCGAGCCTCGTTCACCGGTTATTACCTCCAATCTTGTTGGTTGAATGGCTACCCAGAGTAGATTTGAACCAATGAACCGCAGCGTGACGTGTCAAAGTCGAGCAGGCTGCATATGTGCCAACTTGTTCCCCGCAAAGGCATAACATTGCTTGAGATTTGAGGGGAGACCATTCTACGGTGCAAAGATTTAACCGCAGTCAAGGCTCATTGAGTAGGAGTGGTGCTTTGAACATGATCGCCAAAAAAGGTATAATCATTGGCAAACAATACTATGAAAATACCAATTGGACCGCTTTGATCATAATAGAAGAAACATCGAGGTATATTTACATAGCCTTTGGTTTGTTGCAAATGTATCATCAGCTTCAGTGGTGAAGACAAACCGCCTGATGCAAAAACGGTCCTTACTTCAGACAGGTTTGGAGACGATAGTAGGTAAGGATAGTCGCGCATGTTCAGCGCGGATTGAACAATCCTACGATTCATCGTACCACCCACTAGACTGTGGGGAAATCAAGATGCCTTTTACACAGCGTATAAATATAGCGTGAATATACCATGACACCTAGGAGAGGGAAATTGTAGTGCAGACATTGAGAAGCAAGAAAATTTCACCTTTGTCTTGGGTCAGTACAGGTAAATTGCCCTTAGCTAGAGGGGCTCTAAGTTACTAGCTTCATTGGGAGAAAGCCGAAGGACATGGGCGGAACCCACAATTATACCCGCTCTTCTCGGTACATGCCAGACTGATAGACCGATCATTAGCAATTAGCTGTGGTTACTCAAATTTTATACTATACGCTCTGAGAAAGGTCCAAAAACGCCCAAGTGGCTCTTCGTGTTACTGTTAGAGTGTGCCCGAGGCCCCGCCGGTCTGTCAAATGTCTGAGACTTTACGTAACTCATGCGCCCATACGTGTAGTAACTATGGCCATTTGTAGTACAAGAAACTTTGACCCCGCGTCTACAAAGTAGCGTGACATTAAATTTGGATGACGTATCCTGGCTTTCATCATTGCAGATGATATAGAACAGACTCAGTCACGTCACATATTTGTCAACATACAGCAAATAAGACAGATGTACCTCAATGAGGATATAAAACCAATTAATCAAGCAAAGACTTCCGCGAAGGAGGTGTGTTCAATAGAGCGGGTCCAGAGCACCGGCTGTAACAGGAGCTGATTTACGGCTCTGGTCGCACTCCGTACAAGAACAAATTGGCACTCGTGGAAGATGAAAGATCCGAATCCAGTATGGTGTAATAGCATCGCACAAAAAAGGTGAGAATGGACATTTGATCCATATTTCTGGCGATGGAGACCGAGTATTAGGAGGACTGAGGGGTTTGCTCGTAGCGACAACAAGTCTTGTACGCCCTGAATCATCGAATGAATCACTTCGCTCTGGGTTACTCATTGGCGAATGTGGACGTTTCCTTGTACCATTTGAACCAGGCGACACAAAACTTGGCGGAACAGACAAGCTCTGTAGTTCCTGGTTGACTTTCGTAAACTCTTTGGAGGACGATACTGGATGTGGGACCGTGGGTGTCTCGTTGTTGGGACTGAGTACGATGGCCTCACGCAGATGCTGCGGTGTAGGTCTCTCGCCAAATTTATCATTTCCGGGAGTTTCCAAAGGCTTTTTGAAAGCGGGACCATCTTCAGATTCCATCACTGGACAGTTCTGACCCTGTTCAACATCTTGTACGGTAATTTGTGGAGTATCAACCTCAATGGCACAGCCTCCGATATCAATCGGCTCAATAGTGATAGGAGCATTGTCTTCTGTCTCATCATTGGAGTGAAGCCCAGGAAACATGTTCATGTCGTGCGATCTCACCACACTTTTACGATATATAGAAGCGCCAGGATTCATGGTTGATTCCGTTGCTAGTCGAGACTCCGTCAGCATTGCGTCTTCGTTTGATACAGTCGATTCTCCCGGATGTAAGACAAATGTAGAGGGCCTTTCCGTAGTCCAGTGCCGCATAGAAAGCTTCCACCATGTCACATCGTCCATGTCGTTGTCATCGAGCTCCGCTCGCAGCCGTGATTGATGATAAAAAGACCCCAATAGGGTCTCCATCATCCAGGACTCAACACGGTGATATATCTGGCCAGCTGAGTCGTCACCTCCGGCTTTAGAAATTGTGCTGATATCCTCCGCCGTTGTTACATACCCAAAAGGATCATGTGCCTTTCGCAATCCTGCAACCCGTCTTTCCATAATCATGGGTTCTCTCGTATTGCGACTGCGCGAAAGTCCGTGTAACGTTATTCCCTCATCAGAATTCTCAGATCCATCCATCTCTACTGCATCGTCAATAAGATCTGGAAGCGCATGTGTAAAAGAATGCCGAGTCAAGTCCTGAAGCTCACGATCGCGTTCCTGGCGAATTTCATAGACGCCTGCAGTCTCTGTTTGGTCCCAGGTATGAAGCGTGTTTGCAAAGTCCTCTACAAAGGCTCTTTCTGTCTTCGTATAGTTCCACTCTAAGAAATTGTAATCCTGCTCTTTCTCATCATATTCTGCGTCCATTTGTCCAAGCTTATCTCGAAGAGCACCGGCATCTGAGAACTCCTGTGCTATGTGATCAGGTAGATGGATATCCTTCTGGCGTAGGAAATTTTGCACGCTGCTGAAGGCGGCACCTGCTCGAATGCCAGCATCTTCACGGGCCACCCTCAGCTCGTCTCGTTTGGCTCCTAGTCTGAAACGATGTCCGACCAAGTCATCCCGAGCGTCTCGTAAACTCTCATGTTTGTGTTCCACGTGTAATTTATTCCTGTGAGATCTGTCGATGCTGACTTGTCCAGATGCTTCGCTACCTGTGGTATCGATGTTTGAGGAGCTTGAATCCGAGGGAGGAGGCGGTGGGACTGGTGGACCTGGGCGGTTAATGTCCGATTGTACGTCCTGACCGTCCATATCGCTAGTCCCATGCTGAAGACCCAGACGCTTTGCTTCAACTACAGACTCTGCAGTGTGGTTCCCGATTAACACTGGCGTTGTAATGTCAAAGTTAGAATGTAATTGCGGTTTTGCGTAAATGGCGATGTCCAAGAGCTCATCGTGCAAGTGATCCTGTGGGAGCCATGGTGCCGAGGCTGGGGTGGAGTCAGTAGGTCAAACACATTTTAATGCACACAGCAACATCAAACTTACCAGGAAAGCCCTCATCAATCGTTTCATGGTGATCATTCCAAACGCAAGCCGATGGTGGCGCCTGCGACATCTGGAACCAATGAGCATGTTCGAAGGTCATGGAGGTCATGGGATGCAACGCGTCCATCGCGCGTTGGCGGGTTAATAAGTTTGAGGAACGTGGCTGCGTCTGTGCAGGTGCCACCAATCTTCATGCCGCACGCGTTTAGAGCAGCGCTGAGTTGATCCATAATGAGCCTGAATCTGGTCTAGTCCAAGGCCTTATCAGCGCCTCTCCGCAAAGGGCATGCAACTTCCAGCAGCCTTACAGCCAGTCGCAGACCCTGACATGTCCGCGCCCTGCACTGCAGTTCAAGGATACTTCGAATGCGCTGTACGAATTCTGCACGTAATAGAAGATACGGTGGGCCATCTCCGCAACCTCGAACTGTTGCTTTCACAGAGCCGCATGGCGCTAATAAGCTTGTAAGAGGTGCATATCCAGCTATAAATTCGGGGTTGTCGCATGAAATTATCTGGCCTCGGCTGGGGTGCTATGATCTTTCGGATGACCATGCAGCCAACCTGTGAACATGCCGTCTTATCCTTGGGCCGCAGAATGGAGCGAACATTGTCAGGCGTATATGCGGATCAATTGGAGCTACCAATATGGGAGGGAAGTTCGCGAGCGTCTCGACCAGACTAATGGTAGGTCGCAATGGAAACACTCCACTGAATTGTCACAGACGCTGACCATGCAAAGGCTTGCCGGGCAATTGGGTTTTCTTCGATTGGCCTCGACGAGACTCTGGTGTGGTATGTGTCTCAATTTCTCCATGTCATCTTGGAACTGACGATCGTGCTAGGCAGCATCGAACAATTTGAATGCAGGCTACCATACAACGGCTGGCGCGTCTACCTCAGCTTCATCCCAGCAGGCTGGAAGTCATCAGATAAGAAGAGGGGCTTCCATCAACGGGACTTACACGACGGCGAATCCTAATCCTCATGAGCCCCTGGATCCGAGTCAGTGAAGACACTTTTGGCACAAAGACTATAGTGTACTCAATTAGCCCAGGTTTTAAAGTGCGCCATGACACATTCTTTGCGGAAGGAACGGTGAGTACCATGGCTCTCTCTACTAAGTTAAAGCTAATGTGGAGAGGTATTTGCTGTATTATTTACGGAAGCAGCAGGAGACACCACACAGATTTACAACAGCTCTATCTCAACCGTCTTGTACAACGGTAAAGTTCATACACAAATCCGACGTTTTATTGTGGTTGCCTCAAGGAAAGGAATGTCTTACGCTTGGTACGTAACGTTCTATATCGCTCACCCGCACAGTTCTCATACTGATCACAGACTGCAGTCCAATTTTCACTTATGGCAATCAAGGAACCAAGAAACGTGGAGTCAACCCCCAAGAGCATGCTGTAGCCTACTCCGAAGGGCAAAGCCCAGCTTTGTTGGATGGAGAACAACCGCTGCAGAAGAACCCTATCTGTGTAATCATGGCAAATGTACCAAAGAACCCACCCTTGAGTGCACCATCACGGATTTGCTTCGGCATTCACCACCCAATTAAACACAACGTCAAGGTAAAGCATGTTGGACAAGTCAAGGATACCGACATACCCTACTTGCTTGGTTACTGGAAGATGGAGAATGCGAACATGCTGAACAACCCCGCTGAAGCATCAGCAGAAGGATGGGCGTCGAGCCCTGTTGCATTGCATGAGGATCCACATCTCTATCATGCACAGAGAAACCCGTATGGATACGATGCACAGATCAACCAGCATATGTTTCATCCTGAGCACAATCCATCCGGGTATCACCCCACAAGGAATGTACGTGGCTTTCATCCGCACAGTAATCCACATATGTACCACCCCACCCATAATCCTAATGGTTTCCACAAAGACCACAACCCATTCGGTTATCACCCTAAAAAAAACTTACATGGCTATCATCCAACACACAACGTGTACGGTTATCATCCCAGTCATGCCCAATTCGGTTATAACCCAGAGTCAAACCCCCGGGGCTACCATGCTCACTTCAATCGGGAAGGGTATCATCCAGTGAGCAACAAGTACTGCTACCATCCAGAGCAGAATCCATATGGTTACAACTCGCAGGAGAATGCCATGGGTCACCACATTCAGCTGAATCCATATGCCTTTCATCCGCATTATCATAGAGCTGGGTATCATCCTACGCACAATCCGAACGCTTACCATCCATACTACAACTCTGCGGTTGCGCAACAAGACGAGAGTTCTGAAGAGGAGGAGGAGGAGGATGAAGACGATGAAGACGATGAGATCGACCAGCCTATCGTCTATTGATGCACACAGCATGTCTCCTCTACGAGTTCTGTGCATCTTTCTCCTATTTCTTCAAGTCTCTTGCAACAGATCTCAATTTCTTTCTTGCTTGTTATTCAAATACGTTACACGTTTTGATTATGATCCTGCGCGGACACGGAATCGACCACCTCATGCTCGCATGTTTCAACACATCGCAGCCAACTTACGTTTTTACTTTTCTTTTGTACCCATTGCGTGGTATTGATAGTTTTCCTTTCGGTTGATCGCGATTGCGACAAATATCGCACTTTTTGATTTTGTTCTACGACACAAATTGATCCAGACTGAGTCATTACTTTTTCTTTCGTTCTCGTATCTACAATGGCAGATATACAGATGTTTAGCGAATGAGGATCTTGGGATTTTTACTCTTGACTATTCGTTATTGTTGCCAGCTAGCCATAGGTCAGGTGCAGACGTTGGTGTAATGGGGATGGTTCCAAATTGAGGAAGCATGTGTAAGTTGGGTTCGATCAGGATATATGGACATATGGAGGCTTTCATCCGAGAAACAATCTTTGGCAATCTTAATAGATTGGCCAATCAAGCTGGAGATGTGATGCAATCTAGTCGACTACTTTGACGATTTTTCAGGATAACATCCCTGCGATCTGCCTTACGTAGCGTACCTATTGCTTCACGGCATAAGTGGTGCTGAATTTTGATGCAATGGCAGTCTTACGTGTAAGACAGTGTCCGCCTCCATACCTAGCTAGGACAGCGAATCGGTACGACGTAAGACCCGGGCATCGGTGATTTTCCTGCGCGAGAGCGGGTTTCAGATGGGTAAGGCGCGGGGCCGCCCGTCCAGCCGGGGACTTCAGGGGTGTCTGGGGAGCACGGATGATGACCCAGACAAGGCCAGACGAGCTGAGAGGCATTCAAAGAGGCGCAGGATTAAATTATCACAGTGCATTCTTGTTCACTGAACTCATCTGATTGCTCATAAGGTGAGGTTGATACAGCCGTCCTTCTTTTTCCCGCCGCGGTGGCTGCTATAGGTATCGTGGTAGTCATAAGCGCTGGATGCAACGGAAGGCCGCTTTTGTCCAGCCAATCCCACGAAGGGCCTGCCACACACCCCCTCTGTATTATCCTTTGGTGGCGAGACCCTACAGAAGGACACTCGCTTACCCATGTACTTCGTCTGGCGGCCCGAGCATGCATTGATAGCGAGGAAACCGGCTTCCTACCCGAACAGTCCACGGTCCCGACCGTGGGTTACGGCGTTCTCTGCTGGCGGTGGTGTCTTACAGTGGCCCACAATTTCCCCCAGCATTGTGGACCATGCAGCTGATGCAGCTACTAAGATAAAGAGCGTGTAAGTCCAAATCAATGCTGGCTCGTTCACCTAAGATTGACCCATCGCTGTGGTACTCCATTTCTTGTTACTTACAACGCACAAGGCAGAAGAGTGATCGGTCACCATCATGCAGCACATAATGCAAACTGTCATGAACCACGACAGTAACACGCAGATTGTAAGGTTGAACTGCTCTAGCCCAAGTGTGTCATTGGGCGACTTGTGTTGCCGGCAAGTGGGTATTACATCTGCCACGTTTTTGGACGCGTGTGAGAGGTGCAATTGCCTTGCTGCACTTTCTGTACGCCAGGAAAACGCCTTTACATCCCTCTAGTCATGTAGCCCCATTTGATGTGGCATGTTAGTCTTACGGCCTTCTGTGCAATTTGCTCAAGTATGATATACCTCTGGTGGTCTTTTTGTTACGTCAGTAGGGCCAGACTCAGGATAGATAGTGTTATAGGAGATGAAGTAGCAGGTGTATTGTAAGGTAGACGAATCGCTACCCCTTGAAGGGTCGCGAGGGTGAAATACATATCCCAAGAAGTCCCTTATGTGAGCAGATGCCAATCCTACACCCATCCCCCTGCAGTCTGACACTTTTGAAGCAACATGACTGCACCAGTGCGCCTTAGCCATACGAGCGCTTGTCGTGGGATGCAATGGAAGTGTGTAAAATATTGCTTAAAGGGCGTTGAATACAAGGTCTGCAGAAAGGTTTCGGTATCAGGCTGTGATTGCTTATGCTGTGCCTGCCAGCTTTTTCGGGGGCCTTTGTGAAGATACACCAGGATTTGCATAGTACATGAAGTCCAGGCAACCAGATTCTCACTGCATTCGTCATGGCCCCCGTCGTTGATATCATTCGAATGCCATCATGACGACGCACGGACGGTAAGAATACGCCTCTCGCATGACGTCCCGCAAATGGTTACCGAGAGTGCCTCATTGGTATCTTCCTGCGGGGGAAGGCGTCGGATTATCCATTACGGCACGGGATCATGGCGTGGCCGGCTCCCAGCCTGCTGGATGTCATTTTGCGCTACTGGAACAGATTGGACCACAATTCGGTCATCCCCGAGCGGCCCGTGGCACGGGATGGCAATCGGTACTCTAGGTCATTTGTGGCGCTCAAGGCGATTCGGTGATCGGGGTTAGCTAATTGAAATCATCTTTTCACGATGCTGCGTCAAAATTCGGGACACTGTGCCTCTCGGGTCTTGACGATAAGAGATGATATAACGCAGTGCGCTACAATGTCTTTTGATGCAACTTACAATGCTTATTCAAAAAACAAGTTCGCTTTATACCTTGTTTAGAGAAGGAAAACACGGGAGAAACATTTCAGTGTAATTACTGTTCTACCTAGGTAGACAGCCTGGACGAGCCATGAAATCACCTATTGCACTTTCCCCCACTGCTAGAATTATAACTAATAGCGCGAGAACGAGCGTTATCTGCCTCCATGGTAACTTCTTGTGCCTGATGGGTCTCGACATTGTGATCCATGGCCCAGTAATCTAAAAACCTGGGGAGCTCGTTGGGATGCACATATCCGAGATCCTTGACCTTGGCATTGTACTGGATGGGGTGATGGATACCAAAGAAGATCCTGGAAGCCTGGGAGAGTGATCTTTCGCCCTTATTTGTTACGATGCAGATCGGACCTTTGGAAAGCGGCTCCTCAGCGGGGAGTAATTGCGGAGTCGTGCCATAGGAATATGCAATCGCGTGTTCTTGTGGTGCCACTCCCGACTTCAGAGTGCCTTGCCCGTGATAGGTGAATATGGGTCTATTTCAAATCAGTTTGAGCAACAGTGAGCACTTGCATACCACCCACATTGCATAGCAAAACGCTTTTCTGTTCCTAACAACAATGAACCGGCGCCGTTGTATATAGGACCGTCCCCCAAGCAAGACATGTGAGAGCGCACTATTGTAGTCTGTTACAGCATTATTTCGTATGGCATTTGCGCCCGCTGGTTCGGTAAACAGGACTGAAAAAAGCTGTGTCACTTGTCAATATCTACTCCTTACCAACAGTTAGACACACAAACCCGTCCTTCCTGAAAGAAATCCCTGTGATGCGCGTGGTAAGCTTGACTTTGTCAGTGCCCAGGTGGCTTCGAGTATGAAGAGGAAGAAAGCTCACAACTATCGAGAATTTCATAGTGCAGAGCCATTGCGGGGTTTTGGGGATTATAAGTTCCTTCAAGAAGATGGCCTCCACTCCTGGAATTTGGTGGTGGCCCATCATAGTAGTCGCTGAATTCCCATTGCGACATCGCTAGCGATGTCAGCGCAAACACAAGCGCGGGCATCATGGAGGCTGACTGTTGTTGTAACGCAAGCGCTTCCACTTTTTCAAGACCCATTCGTAGGACGAATGATAATTCACGTCTGCCAAATTAGTGCCGGACCTACCAGTATATATGGTCGCGGTCGTTTTCATCTTGCCACCTTGACAAAGGAAGCAGTTATCACGCTTCACTCGCTCGTTTTCTTCCTGCAACGGACTACCAACACAATCTGAGCAGCAGGTTTCAATCTGTTGCAACAGCGGTATTGCAGCATGCATTGAGCATAGTCTGGATGAGCCTTCTTGCGCAGTCATGCATGAAATGATGTCTGTCAATACGTCCAAATCTTTCGGTGCTTCTATGTCTTGTAATTGACTGTGGAGCTGCTGCATCGTATTCGAAAAGCATTCATCTTTATCGACGATCAAGCTTGGACACAGTGTCGAGAGCATATCAAGGAAGACACATCCCAGGGAGTAAACATCCGACTTGGAGTTCCTCTGGTCGTGCTTAAGGACTTCGGGTGCTGAATAGCGACGAGTGAAATAATCCGGCCTGCCTTCAGTCGTGCTCCGGCTAAAACCATTAGAGTCGAAAGAATAACCAAAATCGGTATAAATGAGCTTTCCCATGTGGACGATGATGTTGCGTGGCTTGATATCTTTGTGTCGTATTCTTCTCTGGTGCATGAAGGCGAGCCCAGCTGCGAGACAACCAAAGCCCTGCTTGATGACGGGCTTCATGGCAGCAGTTCGTACATTCGGTATCGTCGCCTCCTCCTCCATTTCGCGAGAATAGTCGGAAAGGAAGTCTCCCAGATCTCCTTGGCTGGCTACCGGCTCCAGCAGTATTCCGAAGACACGCGTGGTGGCATATGTTGCATGCACGCTTATAATGTGGCGATGGCTTTCCAGGCCGCGTATGATGGCGACTTCGTTGCGAAACACCCGAGTCCGCTCTGCTTTATCGCGCTTTGTGCCAGTGATTCGAATGGTCTTCCGTGCATAGACCTGGCCGGTCATCTGGTCCTCGACTTCTTCAACATTTCCGCTGTGGCCGAAGCCCAAGTTTCGTACATGCTTGTATGGTAGTTCGCCTTCGACACCGTCGTAGTCGACACCCTTCTCAATCGAGAGCATGGTGGTGTGCGCGCGTGAAATCGAGAGTCAGCGAATGGAAGGAACGATATAAGGCCTAGAAAACTGAAATCAACCGCGACTGTGTTTGGATTTTCGTTGGGCTGCGCATATCAGTATGAATTCTTCCAAGCATTAAGAAAGCGTGGTATGACCTACATGAGCACGCCCAAAAGAACAATAGAGAAAGGCACTGGCAGTCTTCGAGACGGCCACGCTGAAAGAGAGAGAATCATGGCCAGAGTTGAGGATGCATCATCGAGGCTGAGCTTCTCGAGTATCTTGGCGGGGCCGTGCATGGTGGCTGTCTTTCAATGCTGCATGATTGGCAGCCCTGTCGCGATGCACACTTCGAGAAACGAGAATGAAAGGCTCTACGCAAAGCCGTGTCGGTTACACACGTATCCTACATTGCACATCAGAAGATCTATCGTCAAGATATGTTGGAGAGTAAGTGTGGATTCATTCCGCCATCCTCACTGCTGATGCGCCTATTTCTTCCCCTTCCCTCTCGCGTTGAACGTCTTCAGCGGATCAACCTTGCCATTTCGCCTCACGACCTTCCTCCCCTTGCCCTTTACATATTGCCGCTTGTTCACGCGAGGTACGTTCAGGCCTACAAAGCCAACATCTGCCGGCTTCCTGCTGCCTCCTGGTAGCAGATAGTCTGGGACGTGCTTCAAATGTGGTTGTATGCGCGCGGGATGGTTGAGCGTCTGGTCGTGTCGGAGGTGCGCGAGCGCTTCGGGGTTCTCTTCAAACTGTGATGACGTTAGTAAGTGTTCAGAAAGTTGCATAGTAGGGTACATACGTAGCGCGAAAGCTTTTGCGACTTTGAGAGCTCCAAGCGAATCTCCTTGATGCGCGCTTCTCGAATCGCAATACGCGTGACAGACCGAAGGGCGTCTCCAAAGCGGTACCTAAATGGTTCCAGTCGCTTCATGTCGAAGTTGTAGTTCTCCAGCTTCTGCCCAGCTTCCTGATGCTTCTCAACCTTCTTTAGTACCTCCTCGTCATTCTCGCAGCCAGCAAAGGTTGTCGACTTGTGCTTCCTGTACTTGTCCTTGGGGATGATGAATGAGATGGCAGTACCGGACTTGCCAGCACGCGCAGTTCTGCCGATGCGGTGGAAATAGGACTTGTACGTCGCGGGGAAGTCGAAGTTGAGGACGCAGGATACGTTCAGGAAGTCGATGCCGCGGGACACGCCAGAGTCGTTCTTTGCCTCCTTGTCCGTCTTGGGTTTCTTCTTCGGCCGCGACTCGTCTGCCTTCTTCTGCGATCCCAAAATCTCAGTCTCGTCCGATGCGATCAGAATGTTGTAGATGTTCTTGTTGAACTCCTCAACGATGTGCAGGCGCGAAGCCAGTGGAAGCTCCGAGTTCAACACGCACGACTTGATGCCAAACTGCTCGAGGAAGAGCTTGACACGATACGAGCGGTCGGTGTCTCCTACAAAGACGATCGTCTTGCCCTTGATCAGCCCCAGCTTGAACATGGCATAGATCAGCAAGAACTTCTCCTCCTCAGCGCACTTTATGACGTATTGCTTGACGCGCTTGGAGTCCTTATCGAGATCGTCCAACTTGAGCACCACGGGGTCGTTGCAGAGAAGGCTGCCGAGCGATTCAACTTCGGTGTTGAGGGTAGCCGACATGAGGAACATTTGCACGCCCTTGGGGATGTTTTGCGCAATCTGATCGAGGTCCTCCTTAAAGCCATAGCCCATGACCAGGTCGCCCTCGTCTACCACCAGATGCGCAAGCTCTGTAACCGCCAGCGCACCAGTGTTGATGTTCGCACTCGCCCGCGCTGGTGTCGCTATGACAATGTCCGGGTTGTCTGCAAGTTTTGCCTTGGTCACGACTTCAGACTCCTTCCCAGCAATATTTTGTATCCTCACTGCCTGGCCGCAGTGTGCTGATAGGGCTTTGGCTACTTTCGTGATTTGCAGCGCTAGTTCCTTGGTGGGTACGAGAATGAGAGAAGTCTTTCCTTTCCTCAGTAAGGTATTGTGTAGGATGGGAAGAAGGTATGCGCCTGTTTTGCCTGTACCAGTACCGCTGCGCGCAAGGATGTCTCGTCCTTGTAGTGCCAGCGGAATGGCTTTTGACTGTACAGCAGTAGGAGAACCCCATTTTTGGTCCCTGATTCCTCTCAACAGACGCGGCTCGAGCTGAAGTTCAGCGAAAGATGCGACAACTTCCTTCGCGGGTGTCGGTGCTGGCGGGCTGGCGGGTTCGGATTGGGATGCGTCGCTCGCTCTGCGCTTTGGTGATTGAGGTGACTCCGGCTCCGGAACATCGTGCTCGTTCAGCTTGCGTTTCATTGCCATATTTATACAGTTTAAGTCGTGGTTTCCGTGTATATACGTTGGTGTTTCGTTTGCCTTGCTGTTCTGCCGCTTAAACTGCAGCTGCTACTGAACTTTTTTGGCGCTACTGCCCGCTAGCGCCCCACCTCGGAAAAACCTGCGGCCGCTTAGCATGCCCACCTTCAGTCAATGCTAGAGACAGCAGAAACAATCGTATACAATCATATTAAGCTCTTTGCGATGGTGAAGTTCAGAGCACTCAGTTTCCTTGAGATCAGCTCTCGGTAATTATCCTACGTGGCGCACAATCCGCTGACAATCTGTGCCTCGAGCTCCACTTGTGCACACCGTCCTTTCACATTCTCCTTCACAGCATGTGCTTTTATGTCTAAATCGTTCAGTCATTTTCTGCTTTCCGTTCTATTTCGCAATTGTCATGCCAATTTCACCAAGCTTTTCCCGCTTAGTCTGAATTTCAGGACTGGCATCTACAACGATCTCCTTTTGAGCAGCAAGTCTTCTGCTTCTTCTTCCACTTCTATCACCATCCTTTTCTAGCTCAATAGTGCATTGAATGGCGACAGGAAGTTCCGTCGTTGATGCGCGCCAGCGCGCCAGGCTACGCGTACGATCGATATCGTCCATGGATAAATCCATCATCAACCTCGCAGGCAGTTTCGCCTCTCACGTAGAGAGCACCATCATGTGTTCAGCGGAAGAACGACACTTGTGTCGGGCATACCATCACATGTGTGGTAGGGTGACCATGTCGAAGATGACGTACCCACAGAACTGTCTGAATCAGGCTAGCGTACATGTCACGCGCCCTCGCGACCGTGCGCAGGCGACAACTCAGCCATCAACACTTCAACACTCCCTCATCCTCCTCTCTCCCGCTAGTTCGCTCGAACAACATGGATCATCGTAAATCTCGAATCATTCTTCTTTTCTACCTCGCGCAGGTCGCGTCTATAGTTGCTGCTTCGTCTTGCTTTGCTGGCTTCGGCGCCTTTGGTAGACCATGCGACGTTGATAGTGAACCGGCGGCAAATGGGGTTACTCTCCGACACATCTTCCATCATGGCGCTGGTCAACCAGGCCCTAGGGCCCGCAGGCTAGATATCACTGCGGACCAAGCATTTGTGGCAGCCGCCGCAGGGCAATATGGGCCGTTCCCCATCAAGACGAAAGCCGTCAAGATTGAGAGACCTGCTGCTCGACTCTACGACAATCAAATACCCATGTCTCCAATTTGGGTCGCCGAAGACATTCCAGGCCCGGATGTAGAAGACAAGGAGACAATCATTAACTTTGCATACATGTCCGAGGACGCGTACAAGGCCGGTCGGGACGATCCAGAGTGGCTCGATGTCGACGACCAATACAACTCATCCGTCCCTTTCGGTTGGGATGACAGTGGTATCCGAGGTCACGTGTTCAGCGACGACACCAACTCCACCATCATCTTGTCAGTCAAAGGCACGACTGTCGCCATGTTCGAAGGCAATGGTACGTCCGGACACGACAAGGAAAACGACAACTTGATGGGCTCCTGCTGCTGCGGCCAAGGTGGCTCGTATCTCTGGCGCAAGGTGTGCGACTGCCAAACTGGGACGTATATGTGCGATCAGACCTGTGTGAAGGATGAGTTGCAGAAACCCAACCGATACTATGCAGCAACACTTGAGTTGTACGAAGAAGTCACGAAGCTGTACCCGAACGCGAACATCATCACGACCGGCCACAGTCTTGGCGGCGTCCTAGCCTCCCTCATTGGTCTCCAGCATGGCGTACCGTCAGTGACATTCGAGACCTACCCTCAAGCACTAGCAGCGCGCCGCTTGGGTCTTCCCACTGCTGGTGATATCACACCTCTACGGAAGAACACTGGTGGCTTTCACTTCGGACATACAGCTGACCCTGTATACATGGGCACGTGTAGCGGAGGATCAAGCTTCTGCTCAATCGGTGGCTACGCTTTTGAGACGGTTTGCCATACTGGTAAACGTTGCGCTTATGATGTCGTCAAAGATCTTGGGTGGAGGCAAAGCACATCAACCCATCGCCTCAGATACGCGATTGACAACGTCTACAAAGTCTATGAAAAGGCAGCGCCGTGTATTGACGAGGATGTCAACTGTGTTGATTGTTATCTTTGGAAGTTCGAGAACGGTACCCACTCCAAGCCGTCTACCACGACAACTGCAGCACCCACATCTTCGCACACGCGGACTCGAACACAAACCTGCAAAACGCCCGGGTGGTGGGGTTGCCGCGACGAGAGTACGACAGCGACACACTCAACCAGTGCTGAAACGAGTACATCTTCGTCCAGCACAAGCACGTGCAAGACTCCTGGCTGGTTCGGCTGTAAAGACAAGACTTCGGTCACGACAACAACCACAACTACCCCTTCGAGCGAGCCCACCACCACCACTACATGTACAAGTAAAGGTTGGTTTGGAAAGTGTCTGGACGAAGTGCCCGCGACGACTACCGCAGCGATGGCAGGACATGGAATGTGGCAACCTGCCGCGACACCAACACAGACTCACAGCAGAAATGGGATATAGTGCACTTATGCAAGCATTGCACTACCACATCAACCTTGCTCCGTCGAGTGCTTATCTATGCGCGGTGCCCCACTCTTCTTTAGGCTAGATGACTCAGCTACATCAGGCAACCTGTGATGCCTAACTTACATACGTCCAAGACATGACATAGTCACGCCCGAGTTCATGCTCTGATGTACACAGCCCTCAACAGTTCCAACATGCTCGACTACAACTTCCGCATCTCAACTCCACGTCTCACTTTGTCGCACCTCGACGCCAACAACGAGAGACATGTCGATTTCATCTACGAGCTCAACAACAGCCCTGAGATCCTCCACATACATCGAAGAATGCCAGGAGTCAGAGACACCCGAGACTCTGCACGAAGGTTCATCGAGCAAGGCACAGATGCATTCGAAAAGATTGGATATGGTCGCTTCTTGATATCGCTTACTCCCGATGCTGCAGCCGGTGGGTGTGGAGACGATCAGCGGGCTCAATCGTTTTCCGACTCTGTGAACAAACACCACTTGATCGGGATCTTATCGATGCGTAAGGACCGCTTTCCGTCCGCGCCGAGTGTTCCGGACATTGGCTTTGCAATCATGGCCAAGTACTACGGTCGTGGTTACGCGACTGAGGCGTCAAAAGCATTAATTAAGTATTACCGAGAACAGAAGGGGCAGACGGCATTCGCGGGGTACTGTGATCCTGACAACGAGAATTCGATCAAGATGTTTCGTAGACTAGGCTTTGAGGAGAGGGGTGTAAAGGAGGTGAACGGTGTTATCGGTGACGATGTGTACTTGAAGTGTTTGGTCTTTACGACCGGATGTGAGGGTGACTTGGATGGGATGCGTGATGTGAGCGAATAGACAACTGTGGACATGCTATGTGGTTTCAGAGGGCAAGGACAACTGTGTGCTGGGACGATGCCACTCATTCGTTGCGCAGGGACGATGCCACTTATTCGTTGCGTAGGGACGATGCCACTTATTCGTTGCGCACTTCTTAATCTGCAGCTCTTACCATAACTCATCAAACACCAATACAAGCATATTGCAAATATGGCTATGTGCGATTCGTCACTCGCACAACATCCTCCAGCTCTTCCCTCACCCAAGTGCACGCCCAGCCCGGAGCACAAGGGCGGCAAGATGTCTTCTTCAAGTGCTGTAGATGAGAGGTATTCTGGGAAGCGCATATCGAGAAAGGGTGTCAAGTCAGTCCCAGCCGAGCATGATGACATGCATCTCAAGATCGGTAAAGGATATCTCAGGCTGCCAGAGGAAGGCAAGCTCAACTGGGTCGCCGGTCTTCGAAACCTTACCTCAATCACCTCCCCAGCACTGCTCCCCTGGCACATCATGTGCATGTCGAGCCTGAAGACCTGCCACATCAATGTCGAAGTTGTAACCTGCGCAAGCCTCAACTTTGCGATTCCCTCGTCCGCCGTCATACCCAACCAAAATGGGTGTCGCATCGAAAAGCTCAGCGCCCAAGTCCCGATCGAATTCCTCTACGATGCGTACCTCAGAGACGGCGTGTTCCAATACCTGCCCGCTGTAATTCATCTCGCGCCACGCCTGCTCTACCTAGCCCTCCATCTCACACGCAAAGAAGGAAGCGGCACACACCCTGGCGACGAACACGACGAGAGTGGTTACGACACCCTGCTCCAAGACATGCAAAGCGACTCGCTCGAAACCCTCATCATCGACACCTGTGACGTCGAGCCCGCTTCCGTCCGCCAACCTCGCACAGACTTCTTCGAATCAATCTCGCACCTCACATCGCTGCACAGCTTCCCTAATCTGCGCCGCGTCGTCGCGCCTCAGGAAGCTTTCATATCCGTCCCGAACCTTCTCTCTAGCGATGCAAACCCCGTGTTCGTGCCGCCGACCGTCCTCTTCCCGCGCAATATCGAGACGGTGGAAATCATCGACTCGACGTCCGCGCTTGATACGTGGGCGAAGCGCTTACTCGACGCGCACGATGCTCCGACGGGGCTTAGGGTCAGTATGTTGGACCAGCTATCGTCGATCAAGCTTTGGTGCGATCGCTGGTATCCGACACTCGTGCCGGATTATCGCGTCGACGCGTAGAATGCTGTTGATGGCAAGCACTATTCCGTTGCAGGGCGGGGCGGGAGAGAGAGGGAACTGTTCTCGTCGGGCGCTTATGGCGAATACGCAACGGTGGAGGAGCGTCAGTCGGAAACGACGAACCAAAGAGCTGTTGAGATTATGAAGACTGGTGTCACGGTGTTCTTGAATATGGGTTGCGATCAGGATGATGAAAGCGATGATGCTGAGTCAGTAGGGGAAGTCCGGGAATCAAAGACGCTGCAAATTATACGGCAGGATATTTGGGATTTGATGGACAATGCGGGTATTGTTGTGGAGAAGAAGGAAGACGAACCACGTGGTTGGAGGATGTGAAGGGTTGCTGAGGGTCTATCATCAGTACGACGTGGATATTGATTTCAGAGGCGCAAATTCATATGCAGAATTCACGTTCTCAGCAAAGCGCTTTGTGAAGTGCAGCATCCCTTAATATCACACGCCATGGAAGTCCATAGTCAAGGCTATCACTGCCACAAATCCACTGACATAGCACCGCAATACCCATCTTCCAACACCATGCCCGTAAACAGTATCCGAAACATAATCTTACCGCCGCAGCCAGTGTCCTCAGCGTACGTCTATCTGCGAGGATGTTGCAACTTCCGCTAATCAGAGTAGCCACATTCCCCCAGCCTATGACCCTAACGCTTCAACACAAATAGTCGATTTTCGCATCGTTGCGGCTGAAATCATACTCATATTCTGTGTTGTGAGCGCTTTGGGATTCTTGCTTTACGGAATGGTATGGTTGAGGCGGTGGAAGAGGGCGCGGGTTGTTGGGCAGAGTTTGGGATAAGTTTTATGTTCATGATTGCGCTCCGTACTACATTCTGAAGCTATGAAAGTATAATTGAATTTAAATTTATAGCTCAGCATTGGTAATGTGGCAGTGTAGATGGACATTTGACGGTGAGGCGTGGAGCTGGGATGCGGAGCTGAGAGTGCTATTGCCTTCTGACACTGTCCCCATGCGAAGGATACCCGCGCGGTTTTCCCAATAATTCACCAAGTGAAAGAGTCTGTCGTAATTCGCTATTATCTTGAGAGCATTACTGCCCAAGTCGGAACGAGGATGGGTCAAGGCGGAAGCCGGATCCATCGCCTGTCCATTTCTCAGCCCAGTCGCTCTCGAGCGGCTCTTTCACTTTGCTATAAATAGCTGGGTCCAGAGGGCTCTCATGTTCTGGTATTCGCACAGGACCACCAATACTAATAACCCACGTCTTCATTCCAGGCTTCAATTCGGCCAGTTCAAATAGTTTGTCCCACTGAGATTGGGGCCCAGCGAGTTCGGCTGCGTCGATCTCCAAGTCTGGCTCCATGCTGACGCAGAAAACAGCGAAGTGGATGAACCAAGTTCCTGCGTGGTTTTTTCTCACACGGTCTATGTGACGGTGCAAATTGATCGGTATGTCACGGTTGGCTAGCAAAACTTCCGGCGCGCTTGACTGGTCCGTAACTGCAATGATGAACCGAGCGAGGAGCTCCACGGGGTCTTCTCCTGTTTTAGTTGTGCGCGTACCGATTATAATCCTTGTGATTCCGTCGAAATGATACTCCTTTGCCGTGGCGTGTAGAATCTTTTTCGCCTCCGTGTGAACACCTTTGCAGGTTTCCAGGATAGCGTTGTTGGGCCTTTGGACGACAAGTAGAGCTCCGGAATTGTTTCCCTGATTTCCTAGTCCTTCATACCCGACATAAGGCTGGAAATTTTCGTACACCTGTGGTTGTGGGTGAGCTGGTTAGCACATTGCCAACACTCAGGGCTTGTACATGTTTGGCTTACCATGAGTCTTAACTCAGCAGGAAGATCTAAGAAGCGAAACGGCTCGCAGCTGTCAGTGCTCACCATTTTTTTAGACTGGTTGTGTGTAGTTAAGGAGATCTATCCGAGGGCCGTCGAGGGACGAGAGGTGAACGCAATATATAGTCTGTTGGCCTTAATGAGATGGTCAGTGCACTTTGTAAACAGGCTACCAAGAACACACCACGTGGTGACTCGTTTACAAACGGTACTTTGGAGTTCAATGACATCATAGAAAATGACTCTGCTCGGACCACTGCGCTGTGTTGCAAACAGGAGTCATGTGCAGTCACACTAAGGCTAGTGCTTTACAATTCACAGTCACAAGTAACATGTATATAATGACCAAGTTAACGCAATCTACAGTGTATGGAAAGATACATGCACTAAATCATCCATCAACGTGCATTCAAAATCTTTCGAGAAAACGTTCGACCTTTGAACAACGGTCGTCTTTTCACTGTCTAAGCCACCACCCAACACGCGATCACCTCGACTTCCCAGAAGTCAACATCATCAACATGGACCCACGGATATTCGAGAGTCACCTTTCAAGAGCTGTGATAGGCCATTATCCCAATCATAAGCATTTAAGCACCGGTTCCATTATTGGTTTGGTATTTGGCATGGTTTTCATCCCTCTACTTCTGTTTGGCCTGTGTGTAACCGGCAAAGCGTGGTGGGATACCAGGCGAGATAGGTCCTAGATCTTTGGCACGTGTACATGTATTTAGTGATGTGTGTTATGGCAGTCATATCAACATTCGTGGGGTTTTTTGTCAAGAACGAGCATGTGGAAATGTCTGTGAGTCATGAGAAGAAGACCCCGTACGATTACTCAGTCACTAATGCGGAAAGATAATAATTGGGAACTGCTTTTTACTTCTTGAACTATCGGAACACATATGCTGTGTTGTTCGCACAGGTCGTTTTGCCTTGGTCGACTGTGGCATGATTTTCATGCGATGTCATCTGTCAGGCTGACTGACGATATAGCCTATTCCACACACACGATCGATGTTCATAGATCATTGTTACCTTTTTGGCATGATGGTGCAGTGGTGTGCAGACTTGCGTTCTGACATCATCTATCCAAGGCGTCTACATGGCGTCTACCTAGATACGTTTCCCAACCACTTCTCTTCTACACAACCCTGCACCCCACCCACGCAAGTCGTGCGCTTGACATATATTTCAAGCTTAACGTTACTACAACGCGCCACACGATAGCCTTCTAGAACCCGTGCGCGCGCAGCAAGCAGCTCTCCAGGCCCCATCCCAATATCTTACGGAACATTTTCAACATCCACAAACACTACCCTCAGCCTGAAAGAACCCGAATGGTCAAAGATATTGCCCATCTGCATTTTATCTTCAAAATGACTCAACGGGGTCATGGAAGCCCCAGCCCAAAAGTCCCGTGCAATTCCCAAGGACCAGAGATACTTGTACAACGCATACAACCGCGGGTCCTCAATTTGTACCGTGAGCTCTTTGAGTCCCGTACATCGTCTGTGAATGTCAACAGGCGCCTTTCGCCAGAAATCCCCATCAGGGTCCTTTTCAAATCCCCAGAGCAACGATTCGTACTCCAGGAAACGTACACTGCGAAAGCCCTCGTCATCGCCATCGCTCAGATACTCGAGGAACATGTAGAGACACGAGTAATTGCCGCATGAGGATCCGGCGATCTTGAGCTTGGTGCGGCGGAACCATGCGAGGCTGACTTCCCGGTGTATTTGGCGATTGGTTGATGCTAACGGCGGAAGAGCGTTTGCTGGTAGGTATGTAAGCGGTGCGAAGATGTATCCACTTGTATGTCGGGTTTGGATCTCGGCGGGCATGTTGCTCATGAGATGAGTGTAGATCTCGTCTCGTAGCTCGCGCGGCAAGTACATTAGGCCATCAGCTGTCGTTGTTACTGAAGGTGTGGCATTTTGTTCCCCGTCATCCTTGGCTCCCGTGGACTTTGCGACATCCAGCCGGGTTCTGGTGACCACAAGCTCCGGAGGGATGACAATTGTCCCGCTGTCCTTGTGATCTGCCACTATTTCGAGCTCCTTGGAAGATATTTCCGAGACCGTACGAGTACTCACTGCAAATCCCGTGGGCAACCGATGATCAAACCAGGCAACCTTAGTTGCAGTGCTCTCGCGAAAATCTGTGACTAATGGGGACAGGTTTTCAGATTCGAGAGACGCGGGTGCATAAAATTTTAGTGAGATGGAGCGCATAATGGAAGATTGTGATTGACATCTGGAGCGAAGTTGCGATTATGGTGCGAAAGCGAACTTAATGACTCGGTTGTGGTGAGAAGCAGTAGGATTAGATACTCAGTTATGTATGTTGGATGATCAGAGGCCTCTGATCAGCTCAAGTGAAAGACTGGAAATCACTCCTTGAGGCTCCCACACGACACGACCTCTGCGCGTTCAAGGTCTAAAAAGCGCCTTCGAGTTTGGCCCCACTTCACCTTAACAATCACCCTCCATTTCTTCCTCCGTCCAACTTTCCCCACAATCATCTCTCACGACTGTTCTGGATTCACATCAATCAAGAAAATCCACCTGAACCCCCAGAATATCTGCTCCACCCCCACAATCCTTCTGTCCAGGGAGGGAGAGGGAAGTGAAGCTTATTTCCCCCAGACATAACGCGGTGAGAAAAGGCGGGTATCAGCGAGCCCTTGCGTCAACAAGGAATCAACGACAACATCAAAGGCAAATATCACATCACCAAACTCGCCTCTAGTAATATGACATCTCTTTATTATCAACTATCAACACAAGCCGTTCTCTTTCCCCTGCCAATTTCAACTACAAAGCCGTCAAATTACGGCCAGTCAAAATTCAAAACTCCACCCAAATGTGAAACGCCATGCTCGTATGTCTTCAGAAAGGTGTCGGGCTCCGATAAACTCCCCGTTTCGCGAGAGATGGCTCTGAAATCATCTAATAACAATGTGTGTGCCCGCGCATGATGCTTTGTCTATGTTGACGCCTTTTTCTTTGCCAGATGTGATGATGCACTTATAGGAAAAACGGTCCAGGTGCGAGATCGTGATATGGTATATACAAGTTTGAGACGATCGTTTGAAATTACCAAGTTTCCTAAGTCAACGTCAGTAAGGCAGTTTTTAATCATTCATACGGGTAACTCACGGCAATGTACTGGCCATCCAGCTTCTTCTGTGCCCAGAACTCCTTCGCCTGGGCTCTGCTGATGCCGCCCTTCTGCATGGCAACTTCCATAAGCGACTCTTCCACACCCTCGCCCATGCCCTTGCTACTGCCGCAGACGAAAATGCGGCCGTCAAGCGCGTTGATGACGAACCACACAATATCGGCCTGCACGCGCACCTCGTCCTGGACGTACTTGACTTCGCTCGATTCGCCAGTCTTGACCTTGCGGCTCTGCACGACTTTCTTGATCTCCTTCTCGTGATCGCCAAGCTCGCCAGAGTACAGCTCATCCAGCATGGAATCGCGCACACCCTGGATCAGCCAGATCTTGTTGGCGCAGTTGGCGTTCTTCAGCCTGTTCAAGATGAAGCCTCGGAAGGGAGCCATGCCGACACCAGCGCCAATGAGCACCATTGGGCCCTCACCCCCGAATTGCTTGGAGAGTGGGTTGGCCATGAGTCCTCGGAACATGGGGATGCGCAGATCGAGGATGCTCCTGGGGTCGATGCCCTCGTTCTCCGCCGATATGAAGGTGTGAGCCATGCGTTCCATAAAGCCGCTTCCTACGCCTGTGCGCGTTGGGCGTTCGGGCTGCCAATTAGGCGTCTCGTGGATGGTGACGGCCATTTCGATGAGGCGGCGCTTGCCGGGGAGGCCAGGGCGTGCAGATGAGACGTGAGGGTCGTTCGACAGGGAGTAGAAGCGTGGCATGAGCTGAGTGAGGACAGAGAGGAGGTCTGGTAGCGGCGGCTTCGAGGATGGGAAGGCGTTGAGCAGCTGTGCGAGTGTGAGGTGCGAGGAGGTTCGTAGATCGCAGAAAGCTGCTTGACCCTGCGCGGAGCAGAGGTATGTGAGAATCTTCTTCTCGTTTGGCGCATCTGCGTGCTCAGCCATGACGCGTAGGAGATTCTTCGTAGGCGGGTGGGACTGCACGTCTACACACCAGGTTAGTAGTTCGCGGCGCGTGGTGCTCAGCTCGCGGGGCTGGTCCTCGCCCCAGATGGTCGGCCATCGTCCGGTCGACGTCTTGAGTGTGACTGGCTTGTCGCGGACAAACTTGGGGATGCAGAGAATGTCGAAGAGCTCGTCGACGATCTCCTGTGAGTTTGGTGGACAGATGCCAATCGCACCGCCGACCTTGAAGTCAACGCCGCCCTCGTCGGGGTAGTCGGTGACGTCGATGTCGAAGTGGTATGTCCTCTTCTCGGCGCCCGGCTTGGTCAACTCGCGGGCGTGGTACAGCGGCGCAGAGTAGACCTGGTATGGCGGGTGCGGCTGGACGTACTTGGGCGGCGTCTTGTGGACCTCGGACACGTGCTTGGTTTCCTTCGGGAGACCCTCAAAGGACATGTTCACCGGCGGCAATGGCGTCGTGTCTGTGAGCTCGCTGTCGAGGGACAGCGGGCCCAAACGCAGGTTGAGGCTCCTGAAGGCGGCATTATCGGGTACGACGACAGGCACGAAGGTGTCAGAGGAGGCATCTGGGGCCAATGTCTTGAGCAGACAGCATCCGCCGCCGCAGCACTGGCTTATGAGCTTTGTGGCCGTCTCGCCATCGCCCAGGATCCGTCTGATGTCGGTCGGGCTGTCTGAGATGAGCGTGGTGGAGGCGCGTCGGGGCCGCGCCTGCCCATTGAAGTTTACGGCCGCGGCAGGAAGGTCCTCGAGCTTGTCGACCACCTCGTCGACGGCGCGGTCGGGCTCGGTCGCGGGAGTCACGGCTGCTTCCGACTCATCGCTGCTGTTGGTGCTCCATAGGATCGACTCGCCCGACGACTTGGGCGACTTAGGTGACGTCTGCTCGGGCTGTGGCTGTGACTCGGCCGGGCGCAGGGAGAGCTGGGGAATGGTGCGAGGCTCAATGGGAATTGGGTCGTGTGGGTGCGAAGTCGACGTCTCCGGTATGGGACTGTGACTGGGCATGGTCTGCGTGGGGGCCATGGGGCGGGATGGGTGGTGGTGGTAGAGGCGGAGGGAGGGCCTTTTTGAAGGCGCGACAAAGCCTGATGGCGCGAACCATGGTTAGCAAGACGGTTTACAGCAACCAGACGCGACGTAATCCAACGACTGTGACGGTGCGGCGTGAATCCGCTGCCCGTCTGCGTGCTTGGATAAGCCCTCAGCCGGGACGCAGAGGAAGAACGTGTCGTTGGTCGTCGATCAGATAATTCTTTATCTGATCGTGGGGTGACATTTACTCACGTTGTGGCACAAATGGCAAACGGACACTAAAGAGTGACAGCCGCCTGCTCAGCTTGAGGACTTGCAGAGAATACACGGTGAAAAAAGTAGCAATAGTATACGATTCCAGAACAATTCGTGTGCACTGAAAAGCGTTGTGAGGAGGAATGATGTCGATGATGGCTGCTGTCGGAATTTGGTCCTGTAAGGATCCAAGCGCCTCAGCGGGAAAACCGCCCAACGTCAGGCTAGAATCGTTCCGTGAATCTCCTGATCGGCCACTTTCCATCCTTCGATACACACCGCCCGGAGGACCATATTGTCGCCGAAAGCACGTGATTCGCCGGTTTGACGCGATATCGGATGACGCCCACTTTTACCGATCTGATTACCGACATCGCATCAGATAACAATTGTGTAGACGAACTTACGAAGCACTGCTTATTGATACACAGTCCCCGCACCAAGTGACGCCGGAAACACGCTCCCGTCCCAGCAATCCTTTCGCGTCCCCGCGCCCGCCGTGTGCAGCGCCTTGCATCTGCAGCGTTACGTCGTCGTGCGCCACTGCGGTTACGCTTCCCGCATGTGGACTTGCATTGCTTCACGTACATGTGCGCGGAGCGATAGAAACATCTTTGATTACCAAGGCAAACTTGACCTGTCAGTGCCAGTTTTGTCTTGGAGAACCCACGCAGGGACTCGGTAGTCACCTCGCAGTGCCACTCACGCTCAAGCACATCGAAGCCACCATCTCCTAGCGGCCCCACATAAGGACCCCACGGTGCAGTCTCAAAGGTCAAGACTACATGCCACTAACAAAAGTAGGATTGTGGCGAGGCATACACGATGCACGGCAATACATCAAATCCCCATCGTATCCCCAACTCTGGCTAGCTCCGCCACTTCTTCCGAACCTACAGGCACATGTCCAACACCCTCACATGTTCCTTTGTCATCGAAGTCAACACCAATGATCTCTTTTGCAACCCACATGGCCGTCTGCGCGTGCAGACTTGGCGACACGAAAGCATCTCCCTTCATGCCGCCAGACACTCGACTTTTCCCATCCGCAAGAGCCTGGAACACAACCAGTTGATCTCGCATGTACTCATCCACGCAGCCGCCATGCTCAATCTCGCTCAACAAGTCGTCGGAGACCTTCTTCACCATAGTCGGCGCAATCCTCTCCGTCTTACCAGGCCGCACGGCTTGATCGTATAACCAATCGCGCCCGAGTTTGATACCAGTACTTGTCGTCGCAACCAGAAGGATGTAGTACCGCTTCTCATGCTGCGAGTCTTCGAACATGATTTCAACGTCGACTGAAGAAGGCTTCGACCCGAAGAACCGAGTCTCGTGCTTCTCAAACATGACATTCAACTCGTCGTGGAAATGCTGCTCCGTGTCTCTCGGCGCAATAACGACAGCTTTGACATGTTTGACCTCACCCCGATTTGTGAGTTGGAACCCAGGCAATTTAGTCTTTAGAGGTGTGATGGTGTACGTGACGCTTCCCAGCCGCGTTGTCCCTTGCGACCAACCTCTCGACTGGACTCTTGCTTCAATCGGCGGGATACCAATGAGTGCGAGCATGGGCAGCAAGACTTCGGCGACATACTCGTGAGACGGCGAATTCGACACATTCGTGCCTCCGGTAATACGCAGTCTGATTGGCGACTTCGACCCCGAGAACAATAGGTAAGGCAGCACAGCCTGCAAGACGAGATTGATACTCCCAGGCGTCGATTGGGTGATGCGGACTTCACCTCCCGGTAAACACGACTCGTCTTGTGAAGGAGTGAACGTGATTTCCTTGCTCTTCAGCCCGATACCGCTTAATCGGGCGTTGCATGCTTGGCCGAGCCATTGCACGGATGTGAGATGCTGCGCCTTTAATCCGCCGCCGCCCGCTCGTCTGCCGCGGATGTTGGTGATGTTGATGGGTTCCTTGATCAGGCTGGCGAGGCCGAGGGCAACGCGTAGGAGTTGGCCTCCGCCTTCGAGTGTTGTACCTTCTAGATGAATGGGCACGAGAGCTGTGGGCTTTGGAGCCATGGTCGCATTGATTTTTGTGAAGTTAGGCTGGTCCACTGGGATGTTAGTCGCGCGGTAGGTCCAGAGATGCACATGGTATATGTCTCGTTGGTGATGAGTCGAAGTGACTTCAGCCTTGTTTGCTAACAGTCATACCTGGGGCTGTGCTACGTTACCGTCTCACTACGTTTTGGCCGGCTAGATCTATTGGAGTACTGGTAAAGTGCTCATAACGCTTCTTCGTCCTGTCTTGGGCCATAAAGAGGGTTGTTGCTAGGTATTGCCGCGGAGTGTTGCGGTGTCTGCAGCAAGCAACCAGCCACAAAGCTTGTGCAAGTGACGTCGCGCACACAATAGCTGCAAATAACTACCAGACTGCTACCACAATCAAATCAATTCACGTATTTCCCACGATCTTATCAAGTGCATCTGTCGTTGGCGTGTCTTTGATCCCATCAACCGGAGCCGCCGCGGCACGTGGTCCGGGCGAGATCGTCTGTCTTCATTTCGTCATTATCCGAGGCGTCAACTTTTGTCGGTAGTCAGTCCAAACACGGAGCAGCTGTCATCGACCCGCCACGCCGACAACACCAAACACCGCCATGTTGAGAGTTTCTATACAGCGTCAATTCACCCTCACCACCAGGTAGACGTCCGTCTACCCGCCCTTCACGATGCGCGGTCCGCTGGGGTTGTCCGCAAAGGCCTGGAATGGTCCGGGGAACGGAGCGCTTTTCTCCCACATACAACCTCGCACGCCGTCGCAGATAATATCGCGGACTTTTACAAAGAAGCCAGCGACGATAAAACACACTCCGAAGAGCATTGCAAGACCACAGAGAAGCTGCGCAGCATGTATCTTCACCACCACGGCCGGATTACGCTCTGCATTGGCGGGCACCACGCGTCGCAATGGCCTGCAGCACCCGATACGGCTATTCACGACCTCGAGAATACTGGCAGAAGCGTCCACAGAAGTGAAAGCACCGGTGAAGAAGCGCAAGTCGTACAAAGACGAGATCAAAGAGAGGGGCATGATTGACCTGGAAGAACATGACGCCGAGGGCGAAGACGGCGAGCAGGGATTTGCAAAGTCTGAAAAGGCAGCAGCAGCGCGACAGGTCAATCTGAGCGCGAAGCTGAGCAAGGACGGCTCAGGCAAAGACGGGGGCACACCCGGCGGCTTCAAGGAGATGTGGCGGCTGATCAAGATCGCGCGACCAGAGGCAGGGACGCTCTCGTGGGCGTTTTTGTTCCTCATTTGCGGCTCGGCTATCTCCATGTCTATCCCCTTTTCCATTGGCAAGATCCTCGATGCGGCGACGCAGGCGGAGAAGAACGATGGCTTGCTGTTTGGACTGGATCAGACGACCTTCTACTTTGGATTGGCTGGCTTCCTCATTGCTGGCGCTTCTTTCAACTTTGGGCGCATCATCATTCTCAGGATTGTTGGTGAGCGCATTGTGGCACGCCTCCGGTCTCAACTCTACCGCAAGACTTTCGTCCAGAATGCCGAATTCTTCGATGCCAACCGCGTCGGTGACTTGATCTCGCGTCTTGGTTCAGACACCATCATTGTCGGCAAGAGCATCACGCAAAATCTCTCTGATGGTCTGCGTTCGCTGGTCAGTGGTGCAGCTGGTTTCGTCATGATGGGCTACGTCAGCATCAAACTGACTGGAATCCTCGCATTAATCGGCCCACCTGTAGCCATTGTTGCTTTCTTCTCTGGCCGTGCGCTACGAAATCTCAGTCGCAAGATCCAGAAGAACCTCGGTACGTTGACCAAGATTGCGGAAGAGCGTCTGGGCAATGTAAGAACAAGTCAGGCATTTGCCGGAGAAGTACAGGAGGCGGCACGCTACAATCGACAGATCAAGCGCATATTTTCGCTCGGGAAAAAGGAGGCTATGGTGGCTGCCAGCTTCTACGGCAGCACTGGGTTAATGGGCAATCTGACCATCATCGCAATCCTATACGTCGGAGGTGGCATGGTCAAGAACGGCGTTATCTCCATCGGTGAGCTGTCGTCATTCTTAATGTACACGGCCTACGCTGGGTCGAGCATGGTGGGTCTCTCAGGATTCTACGGCGAGATGATGAAGGGAGTCGGAGCCGCCAGTCGATTGTTCGAGCTGCAAGATCGCGAACCTACCATTTCACCGACTAAAGGTCTGCCCGTTAAGTCTGCACGCGGGCCGATCGAGTTCAAGAACGTCACCTTCAGCTATCCTACTCGGCCGGCGGTGACAATCTTCAAAGATCTCAACTTCACGATCAAAGAGGGCACAAACGTTGCCATTGTGGCGCCCAGTGGAGCCGGCAAGTCTACTGTGGCTAGTCTGTTGCTACGTTTCTACGTGCCAACAGCAGGAACCATCACGATTAACGGACAAGATATCACAACCCTGAACGCGAAGCAACTCCGTCGGAAGATTGGATTCGTCGGCCAAGAACCTGTGCTATTCTCAGGAACTATTGCAGAGAACATCGCATACGGTGTGCCGCAAGCCACCCGCGCTGAGATTGTAGCCGCCGCACGCAAGGCCAACTGTCAATTCATCAGCGATTTCGTAAGTCTCCTCTTCACCCTTTATCTAACAACTGCTGACCCATCCCAGCCCGACGGTCTCGAAACCCACGTCGGCGCCCGCGGCACCCAACTCTCTGGCGGCCAAAAACAGCGCATCGCCATCGCGCGCGCCTTAATCAAAATGCCCGATATCCTCATCCTCGACGAAGCAACCAGCGCGCTCGATGCCGAATCGGAAACGCTTGTTAACCAAGCGCTCAGCAAGTTACTTCTGGACAACAACACGACGATCAGCATTGCGCATCGTCTTTCCACCATCAAGCGCTCCGATCGTATTATTTGCATTAATTCCCAGGGACAGGTTGCCGAGGAGGGCACGTATGAGGAGTTGACCAATAATCCCGATGGCGCGTTTAATAAACTCATGGAGTGGCAGATGAATGGGGGGGAGACGGATGTTAAGCCTCCAAGGCCGACTGAGGAGGAGGAGATTGAGCGCGAGCTTCAAGGGGAGACGAGGGAGGAGGCGCGCAGCAACAACCGGGTTTGAGTGAACAGTGCAGCATTTGGAGTGTTTGTGTTGGAAAGACGAAGCAACTCCGGGATTTGGAGAATGACATGTGCTTCGTTTGGTCGATGACAGGTTGGCCAGCCGGACTGCGACGACGAGGTACTGGCAGCATCCTCAACGATGCACACGCCAGTACAGATGGAGAGAACACTGGTTCGAGTGCAGACCTGGGCTGAGTTCTCACGAACCTAAAAGTGAGAGATGTGAGAGATGCCACAGCACTAGTCACGGCATACTCCAGAGCCTTGAAATGATGATCACTGAGGCTTATTCCATCATCTTGTGTATTCATAGACTCGCATCACGAGCATAGATCTAATTACAACATATACCACTCTCAGCATCAATCAAGTTTTTTTTGGCATTCATCCGGGTCAGTTTCTGATATGATTGCGCTTATTCATCATCACCTCACCAGCGTACGACATTACTCACCACGCAAGGTCTCCATCGTCGATTGCCCCAACGAAATATCCTACTAGCTCTCCGCATCCAGCTCTACATGTGCGAATCGCACCAAAAACGCAGACACATACTGACGTCATGCATACCGAATCCCCAAAGTCCAGACCACGACCCTGCCTATGACATATTCCTCTTCAAAGTATCAGACTATCCAACATACATGTAAACCCCCGACATCCCCCCCCTTAGAGCCTTTTTACTTCCACACTCAATGTTCAAATCCTCATCTCGCCTCTTCCGCCCTACCCTTTCCAACCTTCCCAAACCCACCCCATCCACAACCCGCTTTCTCTCCACCACCACCACCACCACCACCCCCCTCCTGTCATCGAAAATGGACGCCTTCAAAGCCGCCGGCAACCGCAAGGACGCGCCGCCTTCGCACGACATGGTGCATTTCTCAAATTTACTGAGCGAGAAGCGCAGTTTCGGCGATTTCAGGACGGTCCTGCACACGGGGTTGTTCAGCCAGCTCGTGGCGATGGAAGTGCCCGTGGGCGGGGACATTGGGGACGAGGTAAGTCAGATATCGAATTTTTCGAGTGTGGGGAAGAGTTTGCGGAAGGGGGGGGGGGGGAAATGGTGGAAGTGGGGTGTGTAGAAAATGACAGATGCATATGAGTGATGATGGAAAGGATTGAGCATGCTCGCTGACGCTGCTCCCATAGGTCCATCTCGTCGACCAAATCCTGCTCTTCACATCTGGCCGCGGTCTGGCGACGGTCAATGGTAAGGATCAGGAGGTTAAGAAGGGCGATGTTGTCGTTGTGCCCGCGGGCACGCAGCATCAGTTTGTTAACAAGGGGGATGAGCCGTTGGAGGTAAGTGAATTGATGCGTCTGGGGTGATCGAGAGGGAGATGTTGATGGGTGTCCTAGTTGATTACTGTGTATGCGCCCGCCGAGCATCTACCAGACAGTGTGCATAAGACTAAGGAAGAGGGGGATAAGGCGGAGGATGATGGGATTGACGAGGCGCCCGAGTGGAGTCAGAAGAGTAAGAAGGAGAATGAGGATAAGGGGCTGATTAACGAGAGTGGGAAGTATTGAGGGCGCGATATCTTGAATCGAAATTATTTTTAGTTGTGATGGGATATCCCAGACTTTGCGTGCGGCCTTGACCTGCTTCATCATCCTTACTTCGTGCGAACTCGGTCTGAATTCCACATGGTGATTGGCGAGATGGAACGCCCCTATAGATTATATGGAGATGAGTTGGTGGCCGTTGGGTACACGGATCCTGCTGAGGGAATCCGGTACGAGACTCCCAACCACGACGAGGAAGTTGAGCATGCTCGAAGCGCCAGTTCATGAAGTCAATCTTATCCGCGTTGTCTGGGATGAGATGGGGGATGAGATGGTTCATGGCGATATCGTGCTCTGCGGTTCATGGTTTTGCTAGGCCGTTCGGTTCGCGGCCCAGACGATTCTGCAGAGCGGATAGTTCGTCTTGGATGGCTGTGAAGCGCGGGTGGGTGGGGGTGCTCATTATGGCTTTTCTTTTCGTGAAGGAGGAAATAGTAATCTAAGGTAAAGCAACTGGGAGAGTTGAAAGTTGAGCTCGAGTTGAGGATTCGTGGAGGGTGATGCGCGGTAGAGGGTGACTCGGGTCGGTAGTTGTGACTAGAGATATAGAGAGTAGCTTGGGATGCTTGGCAAGAGTAGCAAAGTGAACGAATGACGTACTGTGTTTGAGTGGGAGACATGATCCTCGTAACAAGCTGTATATATACTGTCGTACGTCTTCAGACTACCATGTCAGTGTAAGTCATAGAATGAAACGCCCTTTGAATCTGATCCCATAAGATTTTTGAGTTTTCTGAATCAAATTTCGCATGCCATGCCAGTGTGAATATCCACATTTCTCACAAAGCATATCTGAAATGCTTCGCCTGCCCGTCCGTCTGATTCCTGAACCCATCTTCGACAGCCTGTTCGTCCTCAGCAACACCGTATAACCTATCCCTTTTCTTATTCTCCATCCACATCCAACCCGCTAGGAACCCCGCAATGACGACCATGGCGCAATAACATACGATAAGTCCAGTAAGCGCAGAGAAGTACCTCGGAGCCTCCCTTGCAAAGAACAAATTCGCTCCCGCAATATTCCCCGCCGCGTAAAACAAGAACCACAGCCCATTCGCCGTACTGCGCTTCGTGTGCCCAGCAATATTCGTCGTAAGCAAATTCCACGACAAAATAACCGGCGCGCCAACAATATACTGCAACCATGTACACCCAACCAGACTCCACCGCTGACTCAACGGCGTGAGTCGAATGCCCAGCAATCCTGCCAGCGGCGGCAGACAAATCAATGCCAGTATCAAGCAGCGCGTATTCTTGAAATACCCAGCTGCCAGCCCACACAACGGGACGACGACGAACTCAATCGCCCCGGTGGGAAGCTGCAACAACGTCGCGTAAATTCCTGAGAATCCAAAGCCGCGAATCAGACTGGATGCGAAATTCGACACGCCGCCGTTGATCACGCCACAACCCAGGCCAATGAGCATCAGGCAGTGGACTTTGACATCCAGCAGTGCTTCTATGGCCTGTGACCGGTCGAGCGTCTTCGTCTTGACACCAATCATATTCCCCGCAATGCGATCAATCGCGACAATCCGCTGCTTGTGCGTCAAGAACTTTGCAGTTGACGGCGAATCCGGCATGACCCAGAGAAACACCCACGCCCAGACGAAGTTAACAAGCCCGATGACGAGGAAAATGAGCTGCCACGTCTTGATATGCGGCGAGTGCGCGTGGCCCAGCCCGTATCCGAGTAACGCGCCGATCATCGTCGCGACGCCGTTGAATGCCAGGAAGATACACATGCGCAACGGCTGCTCGCTGCGCGTGTAAAACATACTCACGATGTTCATAATCGCGGGGCTGATGCTGGCTTCGAACATACCCAGAAAGAAACGCAGGGCGAGCATGCCGGCGTAGTTTTTGGCGGCGACGTGGCAGCAGAGAAGTAGCGACCAGATCAGGATCATGCAGCCGGTATATTTGGAGACGGGCAGGCGTTGGATCAGGTAGTTTGCGGGCAGCGCCCAGAAGAGGTAACCGAAGTTGAAGATGGCGGCGACCCAGGAGTAGCGCTGGCCTTGGAGCCCGAGGTCGGGCGTGAGGGTGTAGGCGTTGGCGTAGTTGAGGGAGAGTTTGTCGAGGAATTGGATCGTGTAGGTTATGCAGATCTGGTGGATGGGTCAGATTGTCATGTGTTTCTTGTTCAAGGAGGAAACGAGTACCATGGGCATTATTATCCAGTCGATTTTTCTTAAGACGATTTTCCGTTCGGCTTCGAGTTCTTCGCGCGAGTATTGGCGGACTTCGAGGTAGAGGTCTGCGCCTATGTCGCGCATCTGCTTTTCAGCGACAATGTGGCCTTCATCGACACTGAGGTCTCGCACTGGAGAGACCTCATCCTTCTTTTCTGACATTCTGCCGTACTATTGGTGTTGATCCGAATTCGAGGATGTGTCAATGTCACATGTATCAGAGACCCTTCACCAGCAACGTCTGGTGTGACTTTCGACCAAAGACGTCAATGTCCATTAGCAAACGTCACGACGGGCACTTGCACTCTTATACCTGCAGGTAGGTCAAGACTCCCACCCTTGGCGGAGGCTCAACAGCGATCGCATTGGACATTGCCATATCATTTGTGGTGATGCTTATCTCCACTGCCGAACATGCTTATCACTGCCCTTAATGTTCGTAGCGTTGATGCAGGTTGCTGTAGTGTACGACGATAGTGAAGATCGTTCGGTAGACTGCATTAGGGAACGCGCGGGTCGCATCGCGTTACCCCGCTCGGTTAGTGGAGCGTTTGGCGATGCAATGGACTGTGTACCAGATAAACGGATGCGTGCTTCCGGGAGATCTCGCAACGAGGCATGCGATGTCGCTGTTGGTTAAACGTTGTGGTGTTGATGTTCGAAAGGTCGAAATTGGATAATTGTTGCAATTGCTCGTCTTCCTCTACTTCCACAAGCCATACGGCCCTGATGTAAACTTCCAAAGCTTCACTGTACCGTCCTCACTACCGGTCGCGTACAGCTTGCCATCGGGTGAAAAGCTAGATGACCAAATCGGACCGTGATGTCCCTTGTTCGTCTCCAATTCCTCTTCCTTCTCGTAGTCCCACAATCTGACCCAGGTGTCGTTTTGGTTGCTTCCACCAGTGACGAACCTCCCCTCTCCGCTGTGTAATGCCACACTCGCAATCTCATACGGTGTCTTGATGCTCTTGACGAGCGATCCAGGCGAGAGGCTGTTGAAGAAGTAGACGCTGTTTCCAGCGGCCACGCTCAGCAGGCCGTCCGAGGAAGTGTTACCCAACTCGCACGAGCCAACCGCGCCTTCCACTTCATGCTCTCCGATAGTCTTTTGTTGTCGCAGATCCCACCACCGGATCTTCTTGTCCTCTGCTGCCGTGATGATTATGTTAGAATCAGACGTCCAGACGATAGACTTGATGGTTCCCTCATGCACGCCGGCGCCAATCTCGAAGCTTGTAGCCGAGTCTCTGGAGAGGTCATAAATGCGCAACTTCTTCTCCATACCACCTGTTGCGACGATTTGAGGCTTCGGTTGGCTCGGGAAGGCGACGGCGCGGACGATGTGGTTGTGAGTGAGTGTGTGCAAGGCTTCGCCTGTGTTGGTGTCCCATACTTTGCTGTAAGAGGTCAGATATAGCTCCTGCAAGGTAGGGGAGATACATACGCCGAAAAGTCAGCCGAAGCGGAGGCTGCCAAAGAAGCATCTGAAGAGAGTCGCGCCTGCCATACCGCGCCCTTGTGGCCGAGAAATGTGCCAATCCAGTCTCCAGTGATGCCATCGCGCAGCATGGGATTTCCGTCTTTACATGCTGATATAATGTAGTACTGATCGTCGTTCATCAGAGACGAGAAGTGGATGTGCGGGACAGGTCGCGAGTGTCCATGGCACGTGAGGGGCACCACTTTCGTGGTCTCAGGCATTGTGGTGGATAGTGGTCGAGCTGTAATGATACAATTGCAGAGTTGAGGTGTGAGTACAGCAAGGGCGGTCAAGTCCCGCAAAGGGGCGCGTGGTCTAGCTAGGATGTAGCAGTATCGCAGCAGTGGGGCAAGTCGTCGCCGATGTCGTGGTTGAGAATAGATCGGGCGGTTGCAACAAAGAAAGTGTATAAGGCAAAAGAGTGATATCAAAAGTCTAGGGAAGTCGTTATGGGTCGTCACGTCGTCAAAGCACTTTGGAATTGAAGTCGCAAGATTACATGGGCCCCTCGAGGCGTGAGTTGAAACCGTCGCTAACACCACTAGCGTCGGCTAAACTCCGGGGCCGAGGCTCCAGCGACATTCACGCTGCCGTGCACGTCGTGCCCTTGCTGCAACTACGTCTCAGTTCCTTGTCGTTGTGACATATGTGCAGCCACTCTCTCTGTAAACTCTGCCCGCGTCAAGGAGATATCCAATCGCGATCATCAGATCTCGCAATGCATCCGCCAATCTTTGGCATGACGTCCACAATGGGGGCAATGTCCACCTGCAGAATGAACTGTCAGGGAATTTCCTCGACGCCAGATGCCTCCACAAGCTTGACATTTCACCTGAGTAGTCACCTCAATCTCGTAGATGACACGCTTCCCACCAGACAGAGTATTTGTACCACTCTTTCTCAGAATGTACAGGCAGAGGTCTCTTCCGAATTCAGGCACTTTCTCGCAAGCTTGCTCAAGCAGAGGAGAGACTAGGCCATCGTTGCTGAAGACCTTGATCGCACCGGTTTGATTGACCTGGACAAACACTGCTGCTACAAGCCGATGCTGGACAGTAGTCTGGGGTAATTCGTAAAGTTTGCTGATAATGTTGCAGAAGGACTCAGGACTAGCCGGCTCTTTTGCTTCGGCTTGCTTCAGGATTATCTTTCCATCAAGCCAATTGTTCATCTCGTTGCAAAAGCAGAATTCGGTTTGCCTGCGTAGGGCGGGCATGTCGTACTTGTCCGCTACGCAGCACAAATCAATGCAGAAGAGAATATTCGTCACAGGGAGACACGGTCCTGGCAATTCGATGGCACCATGGTATGCGAAATTGAGCATTGCTGTTACCGCGGTCGGCTCGTCGTCATACAAGCGGACTTGCGTGGCACTCGTCTCCTGGAAACGTTAGCGAGCTGCCTCTCCTTGAGATTGTGACATTGGCGTACTTGAAAGCCACCCGTGAATGCGGCCTCAAACCAGTGGGACTTTGAACTTAAGATCAACTTGTGCGCCTCAAATTTTATCTCTCCTGCATGGCCATAGCGGATCGTGACATCAGAGAAGATCGCTGAATTGGCGTATCTGGTTACTTGATATCAGCAACTGCACTCGGGCGGATTCCTGTGATCTCACTTCTCAAGACCAAGTTTGTGTCTTTTATTCGCATCGCCAGTAGAGACATCGGCCGTTCGCTTCGGCGCCTCCATGTTCGGGTGCTGGTTACTTTGCGATCGTGGAAAACTCAATTTGTCGTGTTGAGGTTGAGGTTGTGGGCGATCCGGAGGAAATACAATCGTATTGTACTAGCGTGGTGAGACACTGCGAAGGCAAACTCTCACTTCACCGCGGATTAATCGATCGCGCCTCACTTCACTGTACGGCCTCAATTTCATAAGATAAGATAAACTCGAGTCTGACCTGAGCGGAAATAAAAGGTAACCTGGCTTGATTGATCAGTGTATTGTTCTGTGTTGATGAAATGCTTCTCATGCTCTACAAAATTTACATGGCATTGAAACTGCTCCACGGGAAATCATGCTAATATGAGAAAACAGTTGCTCAAAGTGCGAGGTACAATTATGATGACCGCCCTGTATCATCGCCTTTGTATCTCTCTATCTAAAATGTCCTCTCCAGCATCTCAGCTCTTCCTTCCTCTCATGTACAAAGTACAAACTCTCCTCTCCACAGCTTTGGTGCCCTCAACTCCCCTGTACAGAACTGCCCGGAAATATGAGTTCGAGCTCCTCACACTTCGACCAGTCATCAGCGTAGTGGCCACATCTAAAGCAATGGCCGCCATCGTAGAACCTCTCGGAGTCCAGGCGTATGAGGAATTCACACTCGGGGCATCTGACTTGAGATGATATACTCAACTCGGCCACGTACTTCGCCCCTGTCTTAAAGTTTACTCCCGATTTCGTTTCTCCGTGAGATACAAGATGTCCCTGCCGAACTCAGAAACATATTTGGCCGCTTTGATGAGCATATAAGGCGCTTCACCATCGTTTCGAAGGATCTTGAGTGCCGGCGTGTGTTTCGTCATAACCAGTAGCGATGTGATTAGGGGATGACTGAGCCCTGTGTTGGGCAATGTGTAGACCCTCTCAACAAAGTCGCAAAACATCTCGACATTCTTCTCATCTAGAGCTGGGTCCTCGGATTTCCAATCAGCTCTGCAAAGCCAGAGTCCGAGTTCAGAGCGGAAACTGCTTGTGATATTGCTGCACAGCATGGGAAGGTCGTACTTGTCGCCAACGCGAAAGAGTTCTACACAGTAGATCATATTCGCAATCGAGAACTCCTCGGTCATCGGCCACAGAATCTGCTGTTTGTACACCCACGTGAGCATAGCGTTGACGGAAGCCGGGTTATCGCCAATGAGGCGAATAGTCTGGGCTTCACTTTCCTGTATGTGTTAACGCAATGATAGCCGTGAAAGAGACTAAATAACGCACTTTGAATCGGCCGGTGAAAGCTGCCTTGAACCAGTGCGAGTGGGCACACAGGATCAGTTTTTGTGCCTCGAAGGTAAGCTCCCCAGCGTCTCCATAGCGTATCGTAACGTCAGAGAGAACCCACGAATCTGCATATCTTGGGAACAACATTCAGTAGTCAGTCACGCTTTATACAAAATCACCTTACTCTTCAAACCCTAGCTTTCTCTTTTTGATCAAGTTGCTATCTGAAGGAGTAGCGACTCTTTTAGACGTCTGTGAGAGCGGCAACCTGGTCGAATCTTGTGTGGTCATTGTTCGAGGTGGGCTGAAGGCGCTCATTGGTCTCCACAGGCTTGCGGATTATGATGGAGTGTGTGGAAGAGAAAGTGATGCTTCCAGAACTGTGGAAACCCGCCTTTAAGTAGCAGATCGAAGCTTGCACGACTGCCTAGGACTGGCAGCCTCTCACTCGGTGAGTGCGCTTGACTCTTGCGGAACTCACTGCAGCATCACTGACATTCTCTCACCTTGGAAATGCCCTTCGACAGCACTTGCGAACCTTCGAACGGCTTGGCGGCGTTGTTCGCGAAGATGCAACTTATGAGTGATCGCAAAATTGGTGACCTCTTCGATCCGCTACGCGTCTCTTCGAAGTCGTACACAGCGCTTGTGATCTTGTAAAGATCATTAATTCCGCTCATCTCTTCCTGAATGTGAAGCTGATCGAAGAATTTTGCGACGAGGCGGCCAAGGAGATCGGGGGCTTCAGTCTCGAGAGACGGACAGTCGTACTTGTCAGCGATACGGTAAAGTTCAATGGCGAAAAAGACGTCTTCGATCCCCGTGCAGTCTAGATCGATGAGCTGTTTGCCGTAAATGTGCTTGAGCATGCCTTCGACAGCGGCCGGATCGTCTTCGTGGAGAGTAACCTTGTCGGCACTGGTCTCCTGTGAAATGTAAGTGGTATGACAAGACCGAGTTATGGATAACGTACAGCGAAGCCATGCGTGAAGGCTTTCTCGAACCATTGAGCCTTGGCCGACAGTTGAAGCTTATGACCGTAAAAGACGCCCTCGCCGTTGTTGCCATAGCATATCACGACGTCCGACAATGTCGGAGAGTTGTAGTATCTGTATGTTTATCAGCCACTGAGCTAGAAAGAAGATTCAATTGTGTCTCCTGACTTAGTGTAAGGGTTTGTTGTTGACGCCTCCGCAGCGCTGGCTGACTTGTCGCTTGGACCAGACATTTCTGCGGTGGTTGAGAAGATCTTTGGTGGAGGTCGATGTTGTTTTTTTTTGGCTTGTAAGAAAGTAGTCAAAGGTCGAACATTATATCCGAAGGGGCATCGGGAGAGGCGTGACATTGGGCGAGTATAGTGCCTGCTGCCTTTCAGCATGCACTATCACCATTCACTCTGCACCTCAGTATGTTTAACGCGCTGACCTAATGGTAGCCTGTCATCTGAGATCGTTTCAAAAGACCATCAACAAAGATCTTGGAAAAACATTAGTCTAGCGCGTGTACTCGAAGCCCAAGGCATCTAAAGTGAATCTTTCTATTACTCTACAAACCAGGTATCATTACGTTTCCCGCAAAGGTTCTATACTCGCCACCTCTCCCTGTTCCTTCTCCTCGCCCGTCTCCTCATCAAGATTCTTCTCATTTCGAACCACATAACTCCCCGGCCCTTTCGCGCCATTCGGCACATGGAACCTCAGATCCACTCGCGTAATCGCATACAAATACAGCGTCACAATCTCAACACCGAAGTTGAAGATGTAGAAGCACGGCTTCGCAAAGTATGCCGGTAGTGGTTGCGATTTCGGCACAGGTGCCTGCCAGCTGGTACCGCAGCGATACCATGCTCCTAATGTTAGGAGAGTTGAGCCTGTGAGCAGTATGGCGATCTTGATGCTGTGCTTTCCTGCGCCGAATTTCTCGAGAGGCGTACGGCGGGGAAGGGCTAGGGCTAGTCCGACGATGAGTATCGGGAGGGAGCTTATGATAGCGAGGAAGGTCTGTCCATACAGCAGGAGCGCGCGGTCGATGAACTTCGTCCTTGGCCGCAAGGTGTAGAAGTTTTGGATGACGGATGTGATAGTGATGATAAGGGCGATTGCGATGAGGACGTAGGTGGCAATGAAGATGATTTTGGTGACGCGGTGCCAGCCAAGTTTTGGGTGTGTTGCGCGGAGTACACGTTGTGCCCAGATGATGTTGACGACGAAAACGATGAGGACGCCAGCCGCAACGAATATTGTAGCAGCGATGGCGAGTTGGATGTCGGATGGAAGGCATATGCTGGCGATGCGTAGTATGCAGGTCACGATTCTTGACATCGAAAAGCCTGGTCAAGGTTAGCATTATTCAAAGGATGTAGGGTAGTATTGAACATACCGAACAACGCGGCGTTGAAGATGAACTTGTGGCCCCTTCCCCTGTTCTTTTGGAAGATGGTCATATGCCATGCTGCACTGATCACAAACAAAGCCAAGAAGACTGCAGTGATAGGAACGTCCACATTCTTTTTAGGTGTGCCTCCAAGTGCCCAGACGGTCGATAAGTACGGTCCTCCTCGTTTAGCCTATACAAAGTTAGAAAATATGCAAGAACAGTAGAGAATTAGTCATACCATTTCTGCGGACATGGTGTTGACCAAGATGTGTCCAGGCAGTTATTTGTAGGTCGAGCGAGTTATGTTTTTGTGTGATTTTGAAACGCCTCAAGTGCGACAAGCATGCTTTATGAAACCCCATAACGGGCGAAAGATTCGCTTTTAGTGATATCCCGTCATGCTGTTGGCACTCTCTCGCTCGGTCGGTAACTCGCTTGCAATTCAATCATCGGTGGTTGTAAACGCCGTGCGCGAGGTCTAGAAAACGCCGAGAACAGCATTAGGCAAGCCAACACAGCCACCAAAATTTTCCGTCGCTTCGTAACCACACCTATTCGTGCGAGTGACCGAGATGCCGAGACGCCGTGATTCGGTTTCTTTGCATCTTGTTCAGCCTCAGGTGACGCAATGCAGCTCTCTTGCAGGGCCCGCGCTTTGCGACAGGTTTGACAGCATGACAGGCGGCTGGACCCCTGATTCTCCCTTTGTCACGAGCGTACGCCTGCGCTCGGCCGAGTTGTTGCTTTCACGTCCTCAGACCCATGGACGTCTTACCAGTTCAACAATAAGAGCGAAGGCCGCACCAAACACGATGCAGAGCATAAGCTGGTGGCTTGCGCCCCAGATGTCATGGCGATAAGGAAACCATTTCTCAGGTCTCCAACACGGCTCAACTCAGACAACTCGGAGTTTTCAGACAATTCAAACGAGAACTTACTATCGATAGAGTACAGCACTCCACCCCTCAAGTTGCGTAGCTTCATCGCAACGAGCCAGTCTGCACTCATCCGCAATTTCTGCGTCATCCGTGTCTTTTTATCCTCCATGGACGATGGGCACCATAGAGCTACTTGATAATGCCGATAAGTCCGGCGACTCAAAACAGACCACAAAGTCGTGTATGCGCAGCTACACGACAAGACGGAGATTGAGGGCGAATCGCGCTATCTGCAGAGAAGGCTGACCATATACGCAGTAATCCGCATGGTACACATGACACGGCCGAGCCCCTGAGTCGAGACTGTCAGTTGCTGCCTTGCGTGTTGCTGAACCCTTTGATTCGATGCCTTCGGGTTCTTTTGGCTGGTACTTTTGTCATGCTACGGCAGTCCGTTCAAATTCGTACGAGAGTCAAATTCAGTGTCGTGCCTCAACGCGAAGCTGTGAATGGACAGGACGCGTACAAAGGTCTTTCTGCTCGGGATCCTGATGGTCAATATGCAAGATGAGTATATGAGGCGTGCGCGTCCAAAGATGGAGATATGAGGAACTGTATACGCTCGACGCTTTTCTTCACATAAGAATGTATACAAGATTGACTTGCGTGGGTATCGTGAAGTTTGCCCGTACATGTTTTGGAGACGCTACCCCACTAGCGCCACACTAACAATCCTTCCCACTCCAAAGATGTCGCCGCGGTCATTTTGTCCTCCTTCATAAAGAATGTGTTTGGATTGAAGCCGATCGCATGAAGTCTCGTTCTCAGTGTTGTAAGAAGTCAAGTATTAAACTGTGATGAAGACTTCGACCGTGCTTACGCTCACGAAGCTGACCTAGGAAGTCGGGCACGGCTTACCCAATGCGGGCATCTCTTGCATCACAACTACTAACTCATTGGTAAAACACTACGAAGGCCGCTTTTTCCTACCTCAATGTAAAGATTTTCAAACATCTTTCTCTCATCCTCACATGTACTCAAATCCTGAACTTCTTCTCGTTTCATCTCTATTCAAAAGTAAGTCTGGCTGTGGACATGTGTGTAGCAGCACAAGAGCACTAACAATGGACAATGAATAGTGTCCGGAAAGCTAGTTCCCCTCACCGTCATCAAGGGCGCAGGCCACGAGTTCATTCCTCTCCCGCAAGGCGAGAATGCGACAGTAGCAGATTTTCACTCGTACATTATGCCCGCACAACTAAACGATGTCCAACATCTGACAAATCCCCAGTATCCAAACACAAACCACAGACGCAAAGACGTACTTGACATCTGGATTCTACAAGATTGAAGCTGGCCCAGCGAAGCCACTGGAGTACACTTGTGAGGAGACCAAGTACGTCATTAGCGGACAAATTGACGTCCTCGATGAGGCGACTGGTATCACGCATCACCTTGTCGCCGGAGACTTTGCATTTTTCTACGTCGGTTCAAAAGTACAATTTTCGACACAGTCAAGTGGCATGGCATTTTATGCGGTGACGAGGCCGGTCAAGGCGGCGCATCCTAATTTGAAGGGAAGAGAAGAGGATGCGAGGGCTAAGGCTCGGTTGTGAGGATGTTAGGATGTGATGATATTTCATAAGAGTTGCACATAAGAGCTATCTTTTGAGATTACAACAAATCAGTCAACTCGAAAAAGGAAGATCCGTTCTTTTTTATATCTTGTGTGCCACTTCAAAATTAGCTTTTTCCCGACCTTGAATATCTAGGCCCATACTCGAAGCGAACCTTACCAGATAACATTGTCGCCATGAAATCCGTAGCAAAGGCGGGAATGTCTCGGCAAAGTATCTTGAAGTACAAAGGGTCATCATCTTCTTCCCCACGGCCCAGGAGTTGGAGGATATACTCGACGACAACAGCACGGAGTCTATCAAGCGGGTCATGAGATTCCGGCTCGTTCGCAATCTTGTCGAGTGCCTTTCCCTCGTCAGAAGTGTAGCCAGCCTCGTCAACCTCGTCGTCATCGATCTCCCAGCCCGGATCGCTCTGGTCGTATACTTCATCGTTCTCATATTCAGACTCCGTAATTTCTTCGTAATCTTCGTGGTCTTTCTCCTCCTGCTCCTTTCGATACCGCGCGTTCTCGTCGCTGTGTTGTTGATTAAACCCAAGCAGGTTGTCATGCTCCCACAGCTGCTGCACCGCAAACTTGAAGAAAGACATGTGTCTCGATTCACACTCGTACTTGCAAAGATCTTCGAATTTTTTGAGCGCCCATACCTCCAAGTCGTCGGCCATGTACTTGTCTGCTACGATAAATACTCGCGCGTGCAGTAGGAACGACTGCACTGTAGATCTGATGCCCCGTTGGTATTTCCCCTTATATGCGAACTCAAATAGGGCGTCGAGGGCTTCAGGGTAATCTTCTTGAAGGGTAATTGTCCGATCGTGGGCCTCGTTGAATAAAGGGTTACTACTTGCATTCATGAACCACTGGCTTGCATTGCAGAGGACGAAGCGGTGAGCATCGAATCGTTTTTCGCCGTTGAAACCATAGACAATGGTTATGTCGCTGAGCTTTAAGTTCTTATACCATGCAGGGTTGATGGCCGCTGGTGTGGCCTTTGCTGCTTCGGCTGGTTTGGCAGTCCTCGTTACTTTCGTCGCTTGCCAGAGCTCCAGCATGCTTGTACGGTTGGCCATTTTGGAAGCGGATTTGTGTTAAGAGTTAATGTGTATATTTTAGAGAGTTGAGCAGAAAATCGAGGGCAGTGATGAGACTTGAACTGTACGAGTTGCTGGGTATTGTATATTGGAGAGTGAGAGCTGCTAACGGTAGGCAGATGCGGAGGGACCGAGTGTAGGTGATCCTTAGGCAAGAGTTATCATTCGTGGATATACAGAGTGATGCAGAATGAAAGGGGGTGTAGTTTTCACCCCCCATTTCATTCTGCATCTCTTGTGTTGGTGCACGGGAAGTTATAGGAAGGGGTGATGAGATAGACTCAAATATTCGAGCAATCATGGGCACTTCACGAGCTTGTCAAGCAGTTTGATCCAGTGTCTTTGTTGTGGCAAGCAATTGCCGTAAACATGTACGTCCTTCAAGTGTCACAAGCATACTATCCTATCATAGTTCTGCATAGGGATGATCTCAAGATGGAGGATCGGGTTGCATCTGGTGACTGTACCGAGGAAAGAGAGTACCATATTATCGAGCACTTTTGCTGTGAGTAAGAGATTAAGAGTTAGCAGACTTAGTGAGGATTAAATAAATGTAAAATAACCATAATCGCCTCTATATCTTCATGGCATATCTGTACCCTCCACAACACTACAATTCTATACCTCAGAATATGAAGACCCACAAAGGCCATCACGAAATATCATAAACATGCAAAACGGACGACACATTACAAGAAGATCGCTTGAAGCTTTCCAAGATCGTGCAATCCTTTTATAGACAGAACTGGTTCATGCCATTGTAGATATATGTCAATATATCACATCCATCCACCTCTCACGTCGCTTTCGCTACAGTATGTGAACTCGAATGAGACGGCACCCCGCAGCTAATGCACCTGACCAAACTCCAAGCAATCCCCGTAGGCTTCATCCAGCGATACTGGCAAGACGGACACAGCACCTCCACAACCTCGAGGTAAGCAACACTGCCCAACTTGGCCGCCTCACCCATAGTCCTAACATACATGTCCCTCCCGAAGCCCTCAATCTCGCGCGCGCATCGCATGACTTTAGCCGTCATGCAGCCTGGCTCTCCGGTCGACCTCGTCGTCCTGTGCGACATGAGGACATCGGTGACGGCTTTTCGAAGCGGCGTGTTCTCGTCCCCTGCAACAGTCGCTGCGTATATCTTTGTTAGACATTCATGGATATTGACCGCAGCGATGGTTGGCGCAGGACTCGTGCGCTTCGCGAATATAGCTTCCAAGTATCGCTTCAAGAAAATGCCCATGTGAACCGCAGCGCGCTGCCGCAGCTGCTCCATGAGATACTTGTCCGCGACGACGTAAACTTCGACGTGGAAAAGAAGACACGAGTTCGAGAAGCCGGGGCGCTTGGCGAGCTTCTCGGCGGGCGGTCCAGGGCGGCAGCATGTCGTAGGCGTTTGTGGGTGGGCAGTAGCATGACTTTAGCATGATCGTCGTGGCCAATTCGTCGTTATCGTGGAGAGTGAGTTCAGAGGCGTCGGATTCCCTGAGGTGGGATTAGTGGGTGTAGGTCGGGTGTGAAAAGAGTCCACGGGTCCGGGCGGCTTGCGTATCGGTGAACGAGGGGTTGGTGAAGGCTGCTATAGAACCAGAGGGACGAACTGGCGAGGATGATTTTGTGGGCTTTGAACTTGGAGCGTCAATTGGGGCCATAGTTGATGGCGATGTCGGAGAACTGTTCGCTGTTGATGAAACTGGGGTGAGGAGTTAGTTGTAAGAAGCTTACATGTTTACTCCGAGTTTTCGATCTGGCGCCTCGCGACGCTGAGCAGGGCTACTCTGATTACCAGCTCCATCAGCACCTACTGACAACGGGGTCTCGAATAAAAGACTTGATCGTGGTGCCTCTCCCGGCACTCGTGGGTTAGGAGGTGTGTGTGGGTTTGCTGACGCGTCCATTGCTGCGAGAGTAGACTAGTTGTCAAGCTGAGGGTACTGGTGAGTACTTCCTGAGTGGTGCTGATAGTTGATCCAACTCGGAAGTTGATTGATGAGTTGATGGAGTTGTGGTATTGACGGTAGAAGAGCCGACTGAGTGTAAGTGCGCTCTCATATGTTGAGGAGCGTTTAGTCCAGAGAAAGTACTGACGGCAAGGGCTCCGCTTTCTTCCCTATAAGCTATGGCAATAAGAACCGTTCATGATTTATCTCGAATGTGACCATGTGTTGCATAAAGCAATACAAAGTGAACGGATGTAGCGAAGAGGTCAACACAGTAAATTGTTACCATAGTGACCGTCCCGCTGTTGTCCAAATGACGTAATATCATGTTTTCTCATACCTCTGAATCACGCCCACATTCACCCTAGAGCTGTACCAGCAGCCCGTACTGAAGAGTGAGATTAGGTGCTCCTTGTTGGGTGTGGGAAATTGCTAGTTGTGCGGGAAGGTTGGAAAGAGTATAAGTTGCATCGGATGTGCTGGCCACGACTGCCGCTTTCTATGAGTGAAGGATGTTTGCGGGGGACGAGTAAAGGACTCGTTCATGGCCTCTGCAGAAGCTTGCTTTTGCTCCTTGATGTGACCAGTAGACCTAATGCTAGTAAAACAATATTCAGTATGCGCACTACCACATCGCTACCAACGCACGACCCCTGCGCACACAAACTTCTGTCTGTTATGAACCGGGAGGTGGGAATGTTTGAACTTCATGATCGTAGCAATTCCGGTCCTGCTGATGTCTCGACTTTTGGCAGCATTATGTAAGAAGAGAATATGTTTGCAGCAAAGGAGGACAGGAAGACTGATGCTGAACCGCTCATCACTGAATCATATTAACACAGTTGCTTGAAGTAAATTGCAACCTAGCCTGTAACTCCAGATCATGACCATGCATTCAGTCCGGGACGAGACCATACGCTGATCTAGTCACCCAAAATCAAGCTTCTGCCCAACGCAGTCCTGCTTAGTAGCCTGTAGCACCGGGTGCCTTCTCGTCCTTCTTCAAGCTGAGCAACAGCTCTCGGAAGCGTGCCTTCTCGCTCCCTGAAGCGCCGCCCTTGGTGCCCTTTCCGCTCAAGTCTACCAGCTTGGCAATGCGCTCCCAGCTTGTTCCGCCCGCAGTAGTATCATCACGGTTGGCGAGGAACTCCTCCGCCTCTTTCCGTGTCTTGGCAATCTCCTTCTCTTTCTTGTTGTTGTAGTTCTCGTAGAAGTCGTCAATGTTCTGCTGCGCCTCCTGGATAGTCCGCTGCTTGCGCTCGTGGGAGACTTCGTCGCGATGCTGAATCTGGAGGTCGCGGCGTTCGCGCCATTCCCGAATGACATCAGGCTCGGGGGAGTCTGATCGCTGAGGAGTGAATGAGGGTGCGGGCTGGCCGGGAAGGAAGGGCAGGGACGATCCTGTGATGGTGCCGCCAGGTGCCATGTGCTGCATCAGTTAGTAATTGCGTGACCAACAATCATCCCTTCGTGACAAAATCTCGTGCGCCGGCCAAGACGCTGCCTGCCACTCCGCTCTGTGCTGGACAAAGCAACTCGTTTTGAAGATATACGGGGTGCTTACGTCGTTTGTAGTATCGATCGCGGGGAAGGAGCTCTCGAAGCCGTCCATCTCTTGGCCGCCAACGTTGGCTTGGCTGAAGTCTCCGCCTAGCAGGTCGTCGTCTCCATCTTCGACTGTTGCCAGCTTGTCGTTTTCCGAAGCGAACTGGTCGGCATCGTCGCCGAGAAGAGCGCGCTCACGTGAGAGGAAGTCGTCCGTGTCATTCGAGTCGCCAACAAGCTCGAAGTCGGTAGCTGGGCCACGCGCCTCGGTGTGACCTGGAGCCGTTCAGTATGCGATGCGGAGCTGGTTCGGGGGTCCAATAGCTGAACTTACCAGCGTCAATCTCATCTAATGAAGGGAAACGGTCCGCCATGTTGTGTGTGAGATTTGTGAGAGGATGGGGGAGGCGAGAGGGTAGGAAATCCAGCAATTGATTGTTGACAAGTTGCGTAGTGATGCGCCCAATGCTTGCGGACTTGCGGTCACTGTCAAGGAGACGCGCTAGCCAAGCCCTCGGAGCCACGTTTCGCCGGCGCAGCTCTAACGGTAGTTTCGTAAGCTCACTCAGAGCTCTTCCATCGTCAACTCTCAACCAACCTTACATCATCACAGTAGTCAGCCAGCAAGTGCAGGCACCTTTGAGCGAAAACACTGTACTTAGATACTTGATTGCTTGGTCACTAGCCAAGGGGATTTGCATTGGTCGCGTGACAGTGACAGTCTACCTTCAGTAGCTCCGTCTCTTCGTCGTCTCGTGAAATCTGTATCAAACATGGCCTTCACTGAGGACAGCCTCAAGGCAAAGCTCTCGTCGCTAAACGAGACGCAAGAGGCCATCTCCACTGTCGGACAATGGATCCTCTTCCACAGGTAAAACACCCCCAAACTATCTATGGTCCGCCTAGCGCAAACGCCAAACTATGGATATGCCTGTGGCAGACCTACGCTTTGTCGCGCGCGACTTAAGACACCCTACTAACATGAATCTTGTATAGGCGGCACGCCGAACGCATCGCGCAGGTATGGATCCAGCGGATGAGGGAGTCGACTCCCAGCAAGAAGCTGGTCTTGATTTACCTCGCAAATGGTACGTTTGATTGTATTCACAAGCCACGGAATGGAGCTAATGACAGAAACAGAGATCACACAAACCTCGAAGATGCGCAAGAAGGAGGAATTCCTCAGGGCTTTCGAACCGATCCTGGCCGATGCAACTCAGATTGCCTACAAGGGCTCACCCGCCGACACACAGAACAAGATCCGTAGAGTGGTCGAAGTTTGGAGACAGCGCAACATCTTCAATCCGGCGGTCCAGCAGGAAGTACGAGAAGAAGCTTAGTGGTATGTATGCGATCATGTCCAGGATGGAATACATACTAATCAGAGCAGAGGTCGACAACTCGCGTGCGCCGCGCAAACAAGCCCTCGGTGGTTCGCTCTTCTCATCGTCTACGGTCCCCCCTGAGCTCACGCCTGTTGCTCCACTCGCGACAAATCTGCAAAAGGCGGAGCTGAACACCAAGCCGGCTGTCGCAGCCGCAAACCAGGACTATGAGAAGCACACAGCGCCCGGCAGCACTATGCCATCGCCCCCGATGCACGCAGCTGGACTTGCGGCACTCGTAAAGAAGCTCGCAGTGGCCGAAGGCGCCGTCGCAGAGAGTATCAAAGCACGACAAGCTCTCGTTGCTGGACTCGAGAAACTACTCGAATCGAACAAGGGCAAGCTCGAGCATGAAGAGGCGCAAATGGTGGACCTGAGGACTCGCAAAGACGCCATTGAGGGCCGCAAGCGCAAAGTCGAGGAGGCCATCCTCAAGGGTCTCTCAGCCGCTGAGACGAACAGAATCTCCACAGCGGCACCCCTTCCAGCTGCGACCACGTCTCCCGTGACCCGGGAACGCCCCCAGGTTGAGGAACTCACTCCGCCACCTATGGAGTCTTTCACTCCCGTTGGCTCACCGCAGCTAGCACCTGTACAAGCTGTTGAGCAGGTGCCAGACATTGGCGACGATGTCATGCCAGAGCCTGGTCGCAAACCCCATCGAGCCACAAAGTGCACCCGCACCTGGTGGTCAGTCCACTGAGCCTGCTTATGCGACAGCGATTGGTGATGAGCCGAACCACGCGGCTGCCGACTTGCTCAAGAGCCTGCAACACCCGCGCATTGAGTCAGGTGGCGCTTATGGCCAGGAAGCATACCAGCAAGCATACAAGAAGAGGAAGATGAGCAAGAACAATGCGGAAGATGACTTTGCGGCCTTCGCTGGCGATGGAGACATGGAGGGCATCGATGACAATCTCAGTGCGCTCATTTAGGGTGCAGTGAAGCCGGCTGGAGTTTCTGTTTACTTTATGAGAAGTTTTGATTACCGAGCAAGGGATTATGGGTTTGCGAGGCAGGCTTAATGTGTTTTTCATTCCGTTCACGTTCGATGATGCCATTCATCATAAGTAGTATACAGTCATATCAACCTCTGATATTTTCACACCGTTCCATCTCTTTACTCTTCTTCTACTTCCTGTATACGTTCCTGTCCCGGAAACCTACGCGTCTTCTCAATCTCCTCCATAGCCTTCTTGCCCTCATCCGTTGTCGCATCAATCACGCCCTGCTCCAGACTCAACATGCCTCCCTGACCCAACTTCTCCACAATCTCCTCCGCCTCCTCGACACTCATCTTCGCCAGCACCTTGTTGACTTCATCCAGCTTCCCACTCTCCAGCGCCCGCTGCAGTCCCGGCGGGAAGTTCTCGAATATCTGCCGCGCCTGCACTTCTGCCTCGCGCTCCTCGGGCTCTTGCGACGTCGGTTCCTTGGGCGGGACTTGGATGTTGATCGTCGTGCCCGGATCCACGGCATGCAGTTGGATCTGCTCGACGCCCTCTGCTCCACTCGGATTCTCGGCGCGTTCCTTCAGTATCTCTGCCGCGCGCGTCTTGATGCGGCGATACGTGCCGTCGACATCATCATTGAACATTTTCGCCGCTTGGTGGTCTTTGCTCTGTATGCGCTTGAAGAACAGCTCGACGCCCTGGCGGCCGCCGAGTTGTCTGCAGTATTGCAGCAGGAGCCCCGCGTGCACGCATTGGCGCGCGTGCTTGGGCTTGCCGTCGAGTTCGGCGTTGAAGGCTTCGACGAGGAGGCCGTCGGTTTCGGACTCCTTCATGACTTCGGGATGTTGCATGAGGAATTGCAGCGAGGCGTACCAGTCGCCGACTTTTATCTTCGCGAAGGACTGTGCGAGGGGGGAGGCGGATATGTCGTCGTCGTCGTCATTGGGGGAGGAGGTAGAGCCGGATATGGCGGTGCCTTCTTCGACGTCGGCGAGGTCGCCGGAGTCTACGCGCGAGGCTGTTGGGCGGGATGGAGGGTTGAGGAGTTCGACGGATGTGTCTTTTTTGGGTGCTGATGACGAGGATGTTGAGGCGGGTTGTTCTTCGCCTTTGCGGACGTTCGAGAAGCTGAAGCCTTCCTTTAGGTCGTCGCTTGTGATGTGCTTCTTCTCTTCCTTTTCCAACTCTGCGAGCTTAGCGTATAGTTGCTTCTGCAGGTCTTCTATGCGCTCCTTTTCCTTCTCCAGCCCTTGGATGAAGAGATTGAACCGTGGCTCCTCGCTCTTGCTTGCGTCGATGTCCTTCTTCACGGAGTCCACCAGGCTGGCCATCATCTGTGGATACGTCGGCTTCTCCTTCACATGCTCGTGTACACCCTCTGGCGGTGGCGGCGGTCGGTCGCTTCCTCCGTCCTTGTCAATCTTCATGTCCATCATGCTCTCCATCATGGCCTGAAATACCAGCTGGTCGTCATTTGCGCCATTGCCTTCAGCCTGCTTGTCCTTGTGAGATTTCAGCGCGGTGAGCAGGCGGTCGACGCGCTCTGTAAGGCCGTCATTGATAATGCGCTCGTACTTGAGCGTTCTGATCTGGTGGCGGCGGTGGTCGCGTTCTTGGTGTATCTGAGCTTGTTTCGCGCGGATAAAGGACTTCTTGTCGACGTTTGGGTGTACTTCGATATCGCTGTCGTCAGAAAGCTCGAGGTTGTCCTATGCTTGTTAGGTTGCGACAAACAGAAGTCACATGACTTTGATATACTCACCCACTTGCTGTAGTTGATCACCATCTTGGCTGAAACTATGTGTTACTTACGGTGCTGCTCGAAGCTGTGCTCTATTGTTGTGTTGCGGGGCAGTAGTGGGATGTTTAGCTGCGGGTCAGAGCTTCCTACCCGGTCCTCGAGAACATTCGAGTACCATCTCATCCCTTCACACTCACTCCATAACTGCTTGTCTAAACGTCGCACCAGAGTAAATCTCCCTCTGATGCTAGTCCGGACCAGAACCAAATAATCTGGAGTAAAACAAAAGCACGACGATGAGAGGTTCGTTGCCTTCACTTGTTCACGGCACCTCGAATCCTACGTCATTACTGGCATGAGCACGAACGTTGTCTCTTGATTCACAAGTGGAAGACTTGAGGAACTACAAGTTTGAGGCAGAAGGTCATCCGCTCCAGACCTACGTCAACACATCACCATGAACGGCTCATGCGCTTGTGGCGCCGTCGCGTACACTACGCCTACTACGAAGCCCCTCATGCTCTTCCACTGCCACTGTATCGACTGCCGCAAGCAATCTTCCAGCGCTTTTGGCACATCGGCAATCTTTCCTTATTTCAGTGTTGCCGATAACCCCTCAGTATCAAACTTCATCAGACAATGTGATTCAGGGAGGACACAGCGCTGTTACTTTTGCAAAACTTGTGGCAGCCGAATCCTCCATGCTCACATCGTCCAAGACGGCACTCCCAAAGTCGTTGCCGTCAAAGGTGGACTACTGGAGGGGCTTGATTGGAGTGGAGCCATGCACATATATTGCAGGAGCGCTGTCGCGCCGATTCCTGAGGGCGCAATGAGATGGGAGGCCGAGCCTGATTTTGGCGACAGGAAGTAAAATTCCATTGAAGGGTGGAACTGGAGTGTCGTGCTCATCACAACAACGGTCTTGGGGCTTGGCTCTTGTGTCCCATCCTCACCACGCTCTGTATTAGCTTCCGTTTCCGGCGCAAGTCAGTCGGTACTGTCCTTCAGGAAGAATTTGTGACAATGCAACTCTTGGACAAGCCACTTTTCCCATGGATCGCAGAACTGACTATGATTCAATTACGAACGCCTACGACCCGCCACCCAGGTTTTCTCAACGCGACACATGGAGATGCCATGCATGCCAACTACTCCACAGAAGACTAACGTGGCAGGACGACCAATTGATTCGAAGGCCATGCCCATAGCCAAACCGACTATTCATTGCTACCACCCACACCCATGCCTGCGCAATCATTAACGATCTATATGATGCCAATCTATTTACTCCGAAACAAGGATACCGTTCCCGGTACAAGAACTGTAATATCGAGGCACGTGGCATCTGAGACCTAGGCTTTCGCCAAGACCGAAGCATTCCACCAACCAGATGAAGCCAAGGAGCACTTTCTATCACTGTTTTGAAGGTCGTGTCTGCCTAATTCCGAGGCGTGCACACAAAGTAACACAATCATTTGCAACGCTACAGATCTAGACAGTAATCTCTACAATTTCGGTATTCTTGAGCCGTCGTCGAAGTTCATACGGCTCACCATCTCATGATGCCGGCGGTTTCACGGTTCTATTTGTCCTTTAGTCTCCAAATAACACCGCCTAATAGGATGAGACGCTTACAGTCTGTAACAGCACACATTGCTCAATCTATGTCTTTAGATGAAGTTCAGCTTGGCCGCGCTAGCAACACTGTCCTCGAACCACCGTTCTCTCGGCAGAGCAATGGTATCCGCCCATTAGTTTTACCTGGGTGTGCTGGTGTGTTGTTGGAAAGTTATTACATTGGATTTACTTGACCCATCTATATATACCCCTTCCCAACTTCCAATTCATCGTTCGCAGCTGAACATTTTTTATCATAATGAAGTACATTGCTCCAACCCTGGCCTTTGCCAGCGCTGTCGCGGCTCACGGTTATGTCGACACTGCCCTGATCGGCAGTCAGAACTACAAATTCTACCAACCGTACGCCGATCCATACGCAAACCCTAAACCCCAGCGTATCTCTCGCCCCATCCAGGGCAACGGTCCCGTCGAGAACGTCTCCCTCTCCGACTTGCAATGCGGTGGCTACACAGCTGGTGGTGCTCCTGGCTCCTCGCCCGCCGCGCTCCACGCCGAAGTCGCAGCTGGTACCGAAGTCAAGCTCTACTGGACGCTATGGCCTGACACACATGTCGGTCCTACCGTCACCTACATGGCCAAGTGTCCCGACACCGGCTGCAACGACTGGATGCCTGGGACTGAGTAGGTTGCCCAAATCTTCTCTTATATCAATAAGTACTTACATTCATGATCAGAGCTGTGTGGTTCAAAATCCAACAAGAGGGCCGCAACGGCAACACTTGGGGTGCAACTGCAACCATGAAGGCTGGCGGCTTCGTATCTTACACGATCCCCAAGTGCATACCGTCCGGAAACTACCTCGTTCGCCACGAGATCATCGCTCTGCACGCTGCATCGTCATACCCGGGAGCACAATTCTACCCAGTAAGATCGCATTGAGTCACTTCTGTACCCTTTCTTGCACTGACGTATCGAAGGGCTGTCATCAACTCAAGGTTACTGGCGGTGGCAGCACTACGCCCTCTGGCCTCGTTGCCTTCCCAGGCGCATACAAGAGCACTGATCCTGGTATCACTCATGACGTTACTAAAGGTGAGTCTATGTATCGCGTTACGCTTTGTCGATCCACCTTGCTGACTGTGTTTAGGTGAAACGTATATTGTTCCTGGACCGGCAGTTTTTACTTGTTAAGAGTGGCTGCTGTAGCGCGGGACGCACTAGGATTCAAGATTTTTCGTTGTATATATTTGATCTACGAACCTGTTTCGTACCAGCAAGATGTATCTCACCAAAGACTGACACGTGCTATTGATAAAGTCTGGTTGATATAAGCTGCAAACACGACATAAAAGCGCTAATTGCCGCCGTATGACCTACGAACTTCTAACATCCATCCACACGAAGTATCCAAGTACCTGCATCTACTAGCTGTTTATCTGCGAATGGGGATTAAGCATCAGTTCAGCGCATGCATCATGGCCCTCCCCATCCACCAGCATGACGTGAGAGTACAAACAAATTTGAATTCCGAACAACAATGGTTCTGAGCAGATGAAGAGGCTTAAAAGGAATAGGCTTCATGGCAATCGCCAGTATGAACCTTGATAGTGCGCATTTGGCCCAAGATCAGACCCTAGGGATGCTAGAGTTGATTGAGGTGTTTCGGGCCTAAGATGGTGCTCGGACAGCAAAATCAAAATCTGTCAAGTTGGTTGCACATTTCACAGCCTCGCTAAAGCGCATTATTGCGAAGGAAACTCGCTCAGGTCCACCGAGCTTTTGACGAGGAGATCCTATAGATCTCCGTCGCGCATCTGTATAGGAGCGTGCAATGTTGTCCCATTAGGGAAAAGGGTTTGCGTGCCAACTGTCGCCGTTCACTTATCTATTAAAATTGCACGTTGCTCACTGTTTCATAAAATGGCCACGATCTGATCAAAATGATTTAGTCGAACGCGTGAACTACAGTTGGGGTAGATAAATCGTGGACTTATGATTGGAGTTTTGAGCAGACAAACCTGAGCGTGATTTGAACAGAAGCTGCCGGCTGGTTTTGGATACTGGTGCTTGTTTATGAGTTCTTCCTCTCCGCGGAGAATACAGGCGTCACGAGCTTTTCGGAAAGATCAGACGGAATTCTAGCTAATTTCCCACGTGTAACCTGAACACAATATTTCTCACTTCCAGCACACGAATTCTTGATAGTGTCCAACTGAGCGACGAGTTCGTCGCAACTAGCCCGCTCATAAGTACGTGAACGTAATAAACGACTTTCGATAAGATCTAGAAGATCAATCATCAAGTCGCTAGAAGCATCGCTTTCTCTTAAAATTGCAAGGGTCTGTCATGTGTGAGCAATGCGTTTGAGATTTGCCTCGATCTGACATACCCTATAAACAGATGACTTCAACTTGGCCTCGTTCAGATCATGCTTATACTCGAAGAAATTGAAAAACTGGTCCGATGGGATCTTGGTGTTCGAGTCTACATTCCGTTGTTCTGCAAAATCTCGGACTCCATGCCAGCCCAGGATGTACCAGACGACGAATTCCAGGAGGACACAACCGAATGACCAGATGTCAGACTCTGGCGTGATTTGTTTATCGAAATCAGACTCGGGCGATGTGTAAGTACTTGTGTATCCTCCTGCTGCATGTACCTCCACATCTTTTGAGAATGTACCATGAAAGTCTCTCGACCCCAGGTCGGATATCATGAGCTTGCCAATCTGATCCATGGCAGATTCTTTTCCGGGACTTTTGAACCACAGAATGTTTTCTGGTTTTATGTGGCCGTATCTGCCGTGCGTTCTTCTATGATCTTCCGGTTGAAGCTCGTCCAAAGATGGGTCGACCTCCAATTTGTGAATGCGTCTGAGGCCATCGGCAAGGCCATAGAATTGATTAGCCATCCACTTTGCCAGCGAATGACTTCGCGGTAAGCTACACGCGTCGGGGAAGTGCTTTTCCCAGAATTGATACAAGTTGCCATCTGCCCAAGGAAAGATCATGTGAAGCCTGTCCAGGTACGCATATATTGCGAGGAGCCGAACAATATGTGCGTGATGTATAGAGGTCACGCGCTTGTATGCTCTTATTTCACGATTGGCTTGGGCGGATTCCAAAGTTTCGGTCTTCTGTAATTGCTTTACAGCAAAATACATCTTGTCTGAGCTGCCCTGTGCTAGATTAGCTTATGTGAGAGCACAGCTAGATATGATCCACACTTACATGTGGTGACTGGTAGTCATGATGTGCTGGGTGTATCTCCACGCGAGACACAACGGAAAACAGTGTCTCGATCTCAACGCTGTAGGCTCCATTTTTGTCTTCAATTCTCAGAAATGGTAGAACAACGCAGCGGTGAAGAATATACGGCCTAATTTTCCGTGTCATCAACCTGAAATATGGGGCCATGAACCGATTTTGGTAATCTTCGAACAAGTCCAGGCTCAGATAATCCCAAACATTGGAATGCATGAACAGTCTGATGGGCACTCCTGGCTTTCCTTTCTTGGGACTTCGTAGTACACGGCGTCCAGATATAAACTCGAATGGTAAATCGGCGTCGAATATCTCCTCCTCAATGAAGGCTCGTATGTCTTTCGACCTGTTCATGAGGCATAGAATTGCGAAAATCTTTCAGCGTGTTGTAGTGATGTCAGTATCAGTCTGTGGTTTCTGCGGACGTAGAACATCCAACAAGATCTTGTCCAATCCTTCCGTCAGCCCAGAACGCTTTAGTTCTTGTCTAACGTTACGGTCGTTCACGAGATTCTCGAGTTCGCTTAAAGGCAGGAATAGCGACCTTGTTGAGCCAGCGGCTAACATTGTACGCGTGCGGATGCCTGTTTGAAGTGGCTCTACAGGTCCTTCATCGAATTCATCCTCAGGAATGTGAACGAAATCATTTTCCAGCTGTGAAAGATATAGATCTGTCTCATTTGACTCAAGTGGTCGATCCTCCTGAATTTTAACTCTAACGTTTGTCCACAAGGTGTCCAATGGTTCTTGGTCGGCAGGTATAGCATCTAGATCTGGCGAAACCGGACGACATTCGGTGAAGGTAGACGAAAGGGACGAAAGATCAGCCATTCGATCATCACGATCTGCCTCTGCCGCCTCGATATCAGAGATGCCCGCGTGAGCGACAGTTATAGTCGGGTGACCAGGAATCTCTGCATCTTCCGAGCCTCGAGGCAGCGCTTGTATCAGAGATACGGATAACAACATGATTCCCTGCAAATGGGCAGCAATGTGATCATGCATAGACTTCGAGCTCTTGTTCTGCGGTCCTTCTTGTGCCATGTGACAGATTGGACAGACTGCTGCGTCGAGGCTCAATTCCACCACACATTCGCCAGATAAGGCCGAAAGGTCAGCATCGTTCCAGGGAGCGCGGCCCTCTTCGTAGTGCATCGTCTTTACATGACTCATGAAGTGGTTTGCCGAAGAAAAGTACGCAGCTGACTCGTGTGTATACTTGGATTGGAAGGCATCCGATTCTCCTTCGCGATGTGCTGCACTTCCGAGTAATCCTATCCTGCAGATCCACATCTTACCACGGTGTATGTACTGGGGCCAGTGAATATGGTGTTTAAACATGTGTGCATCCCAATCCTTGCGCGAGCGAAAGCTAGGAGCCTTTTCGAGACATAGTTCTGATAAGCATGAGAAAGGTTCCGGATCTTTCTGATAATGAGCTCTAGATTTTGGTTTTGTCAGCTAGAATATGATTTGAGTAAAGTAGCATCTAGGCATACATTCCTCGTGGAGTCCACTGGCCCTCCTTAACTATAGCTTGATCGATTGTCTGGAAGCACCAGTCGCACTTGGCTTGCCCGTCTGTATCAAGATCTGGTACGGGTGGGCCGTAGATTTTGCCAAGTCTGATTGTGGTGGGGGAGGGACGGACTATGTTTTGGGCTGCTCTGAGGTTACTGGAAAATGTACTCAATTTGATCGATGGAGGTATAAGATTTAGCGGGGACTTTGGAATCGGCATTTTGGTCTGTTTCGATGGCATCTCACTGCCAGAAAATACCTGTGTATCGAGAGATGGTCTCGGAATTGTTTGCTTTATTCTCACATCCTCATCTAGAGCTTCCTGCATGGGAGCCCGGTACAAATGTCGAGCATAACGATTCACCATGCTTTTGCAGAGCTGGTCGAGAAGCGCCTCAGGAGCGGAAGGATAGAGTGTCTCCAGAGCGACTCGACATAGGAGCTCATAGCGATACGGTTCAGGCTTTTCGTAGAGTAACTTTCTCGCCTGGGCAGTCTCCGTGATTCTGGACGAACTCCAAATGGCAACACCAATATGACTTAATTGTTCCAAAGCTTCACCAATAGCTTCTTCATGGTCTCTTACAGAAATCAACATATGATCTTCGCTTATCTTCTTGCGATGCAGATAAGTTGGGGTCTGTCCAGAAAGCATCGACTTGAATGTACCGGTGCTCTTTCACTAGACGCATGAGTGACACGGTACCACCAAGCACTAATTTCAACTCACAGTATGATAAGTGGCGCCTCAGGTTGATCAATACACGAATGATAATGTCCTGGATCCGGGGTTTGTTGCTTAAACGGCTGTCGAGATTTGTCTTGTGGCCAGCGAAAACTCCACCATACCTCGACCAAGCTTCGAATTGCCACTTGTGTTGACTCAAACATTCAGATGCTACAGGAGATCCTTCCTGTACCTTTATGATACATTCATTCAAAATTGCTTCGCAATGGTTGGCCAATTGTAGTATGGGCTGTGAGACCTCTCCTTGATCACTTCTTGCTTCAGTCAGCGCAATTTGATTTCGCTCGAGACCAACCATGAGTCAGAAATCGAAGCTCCACTCTTCAAAATCTCAGTTGACTAGGTGGTGATGCCTCTTTCAATTGCTCGTAGCTCTGGAATTGGTTTTCTACAGACCTGTCATGGGCTATCTTCAACGGCCCTCGTCTTTCTGACATCAATGAAATGAGCGAGCAAGCCCTGCCTGATGATACCTATGGTAGTGTACGGAGAACAGTCTTTTCTTTGACGGAGTTAGAGTGATTTTTTGAATACTGACTGAAGAGGGCAAGCTGAGGACTGGGAGTTTTGGGCTGATGAGGGGTCAATCTTTGGGTGGATACCTCATTAGCCTGTAAGTTAAGAGCTGTGTAAATCAGCCGACATAAGCCTCCTGCGCCAAGTTCGCATGGCCTGTCCAACGCAATCGGCAATACAAGTATTTCAACTACTCGGTCCCCATTCTGGGTACCTCATCTTCACTGTGAAACATAGCATTACCGAGATATACGTATCATAATGCTTTCCACGTCAGAGCAACTCCGGCCTGCAATCAGAATGTGGCATAGGGCACGATAGATTTGCAGCCTAGTAATTTGTAAGCGACAGCCTGATCTAGTTAATGGTTGAGCAACATGGTGCGCATATCGCACAACTAACATTCCATTTAGACGTGGGATCGAACCATACCTGGGTACGAGGTGGTTTCAGACCTTACATGCACTTGCTGTGGAATTCTTGGAACATCCGGAGCTATGGCCTTGCATCATTTGCCTCTGTTGAAGGCGCTTGGAGAGAATGCACATAAAATCCGTCGGCTTCCAGTTTCGGTTGAGCTTCTCGACAAAACCACACAGGCCCCATTCGATGCCAAATTAGACTACGCAGAGCGCTTTGAATCACAACTGCTAGAATTAGTGAGGAAGAAGTTGTCACTTGAACATGTGCAATCACTTCCATCGAGGGAGGCGCTGGCCCTCGAATGTGGACTGGATAGTCTCTTCGGCCATCTCACCAATATCTTCAACAGAAGGCTACAAGTCGACCGTTCACAATCTCGGTCTGGATTTAGCGATACTGTGATACGTTTGATAGATGTTCTAGATGACGCGCAATACCCGGTCGATCTCTGTGGTGAAGGTGGGTCTTGCCTTTTCAAGTTCGACACAATTCAGGATGCAAGAATCGCGCATTCTTTCGCGCGAAACGTGAACCACATTCTACAAAAGGTTCACATGACCACTTCAACGCACCGTAATTTATCGAGACCAGTCAAAAACCCACAGGCTGAGGATATTGTCGACACATGGATCCAAACCTTCGGGCGCGCGTCGAGCGAGCGTCTTGGCCAAGTGCTAGATACCATCAAAGCAGAGTTCGATGCTTGCGAACTAGCACAGGGCGATACAACACATGAACTGCAGTTACTAGTTTCAAGTTATGAGAATCAACACTGGGAAGCACAAGGAGGACCTAATATGTGTTTATTGTGTCCTGGGGCAAATGCATGGCAGCTTGTCAGATGTGACATAGGATCGTAAGTCTCAGACTACTGTTCCAAGCGTATACCAATAATGAATCCCAGGGGCCTCTCCGGGAATGACATGCACATAACATTATGTCATGAAATGTGCGAATCAATCGACTTCGATCAAGGCTTAGCCCTCATGTTATATGAGGACTCAAATTCGTTCGAACCAGGTTCTACAGTCGTCGACTTCACACATAGGCCCTTGTCAACTAGTCTGAAGGGCCTGATTGAGAACGAGTCCCTCTTCAGTCTTCCAATTGTACCATATCGTTTTGGAAGGAAACAGAGACGTTCTCTAGCAGCAAAGCTGGCACTTCACCTCTCAATCTTTTGTCCCTGGTGGAGGCACGCATCAGCTCCATGGGACGAAAACGCAGTACACTTCCTCAAGCTAGACTCTGGTAAAATTGACCGAGAGTCCCCATTTATAGTCTGGAAACTCGGGACTGAGGAATGCTACGGTGAAGAAATTGATGCTAGGGTGCTCGCGGGGTCGTTTGCATCTTTTGCGAAACTTCTCCTCGAGATAGAGTACGGGTCCATTTCCAACATGGGTATTCCAGAATACGAGCTAGACAATGGTAACCTGGCCAAAAGTCTCCGGAAGATTCATAAAGACTTGCTACAAGACGCAGACCCAATCACCCAGGGACCTTACATGGAAGCCGTGCGAGCTTGCCTCGACTTTCATCAGCGTTACAAATTCGAGCGCTCGCGACAGGATGTGAGCTTGCGATCAGTAGTGTTTGAAAATCCTCAGGATACGTACCAGCGTCTGGTTCGTAGCGAAATCACGTCCAGAGTCTTAAAAGGCCTCCCAGATTTTGACATTCTCTCAAAGAGACCTGAAAATCCTGGAGATAATGTAGCAGAGCATGGCGACTACCCTTGCGAAACTGATTGTGAGATAATCGATGACGATGTTGTTCCAGAATACCGTGATGTTCCTGGAGATCTAGTGGCCGTTGAAGTATCAACTATTCCCGATCATTCTGTTCAACCGGTTCTGAAGCGTAAGATATCGCAGAGGTGGGACAATCTGCAAAACGGCAGCCCGAGTGACGAGTTGGAAGAAAGTCTACGTTTGTCACTGTCACTGACTGAGCGCGATGTAAGATCAATGTCAAGCAAACGTATATGCCACTGCACCGCTGTCCAAAATCTTCCACTGATTCGTTTTAGTTATCATACCACGAGTCATAGAGCCCTCTTTGCACGACAGCATAGAGAGTGTTATTCGGGGTTTATCAGACGCTGAGAATGGTCATCTATTTGACCACGAGCCTGCACCCGATTCTCAACAAGCTCAGTATGTTTCATGTCCAGTTCGTTGTCTGTTCCGCGGGCTGATAGCTGCACAGAGAAAGAAGAACGGATAAATGGTTCAATAATTCCATCAAATTCCTCAAGGCCCTACGACTTGGTGAAACCTCCGCTGAACCCTTGAAAGTAGCGATACTTGACTCCGGCTTCAATCTGAAAAACCCAGAGTTCAACACAGATGAACGGAATAGGGTCAAGTGCTTTAAGTCGTTCGTCGATGATGAACCCAATGTCGACAAAGTTGATCATGGCACTTTCATCGCCACTATCATTCTGCGTCTTTCCGTCAATGTGGATCTCTACATTGCTGAGATCACCAACACCAACAATCCAGACGTAAAAACCGTTGTCGAGGTAAGGATTTCTCCAATTATGGAATGTGTTTAATACGTACCCATACTAACTTTGACTAGGCTCTCAAATACGCCAGGACAACATGGAAAGTGAATATGATATCGCTTTCTTTCGGCTTCGACCGTAGGAACCCTTCCGATGGTTTGTTTGAAGAGATCAAGGCCTGTCTACATAAGGACATTATCGTATTCGCGTCCGCAAGTAACGATGGTCCCGAGGGGTCGCGCACATATCCGGCGAAATTTCCAGATGTTATTTGCTTCCACTCTGCTGATCAACGCGGGAGGAAATCCGAGTTCAACCCTACACCTCGTGGCGACGGCGATCTGAGCTTTATCGGCGAGCATGTACGTCCGACATGGGGCCGTACCGACTTGACGAACACATCGCAGATGGTTTACAGAGATGGCACGTCATACGCAACACCTGTTGCTGTTGCTTTTGCGGCATTCATGATCGGATTCATACACACGAAAGGCTGGGCAGAGTGGCAGTGGACATATGCGCCATCGAGCCCTATTGCGGATGATGGAGCCAAGTATCTGTTGCTCGTACTTTGACGTGTCGAGCCATGCAGAGTGTTTTAAGATGACGAAAGAAGGGTCGCCGATCATGGTACAGGTTGTTTAAACTTGTTGCCTCAAGAAACAGGTCAAGATAAGGAGTTTCGCGTCGGGTGCAGTCCCATAAGTAAGAATTCTAGACATGTCTATTAACCCAACACCAAAAGGTCCCGAGCGGGATGTGTGTCAGCTTGCACAATCGTATGGGTCTCGTCGTTCACGACGCGAACGTGGGTAACGTGGCTGTGCAATGTTCAGCTCTCAGCCAGCTTCCAAGTTCTGGACAACTTCGCCTGGCTGAGCACGGAAGAGCGCATCCGTGTCAATACAGCATGTCGACGCGGGATGGAAGACCTCATGTAGCCCCATGTGTGAGCACCCCCACCACGCCCTGCTTGATTCAAGTATTTGACAGATAACAGCCCAAAGCTCGACCGAAGCTCGGATCAGCACGTCTGCATTTAAGGCTGTGTTAGCTATCGCGTGTTGTTGTCAGATACTTGCTCATTCCCTACCTATCAAGGATAGGTTTGGTGCATGTGCGAGAAGGCGTGTCCCCTTACGTGAGTATGAATACGTCGCTATGTGGATTATTGCAGTCTACGATGATAGATCATAACGAGTCTTCCATAGGCTGTAACATGTACATCTAAAGAATACTGCTGTATCATCACCATCCAATGACCCTCGGCATGTAACTACCAATTTTTTTTGTAGATGTGATGTATTGTGTCGCAATCGAGCGGTAGACAATTTATGAGTCTCGCGCTATCTATGGTGCTAAGAACGTATTTCCATCACGAACTCCCATGGCCCATGTAAATTTACTGTACGGCTGTCTAAGACGCTCCCCTATTTATTTACGACATCGAGAATATATCTCTCTCTGGTTCCGATCAAATCAGCCTCGATTTGCCTCCACTCAGTCCGCTCTGTCACAAGCTTACCATGTCCACGTTTTCACTCAAACTGATACAATAGGTATTGTGTCGCATCTATACAGAGTTAGTCATGGTTGATCGTCGATTTGAAATGTTCCTACTTCGATGTAGAAGTTCCCTACACCAGCCTGCTCGGTGACTGCTTGGAGAAGCATCCTCGGGCTTGCTACCCGTTTTGTAGGCAACTGAAAATAGTGCTCGTATTTTCTCTCGACCCTGCAGACTGATTCATGAGAGCTCACCATCGCGCGAGCTTTACAAGCTTCGAAGGATGTTGGCGCAACGCGAAGAATACACGAGGAGCGAGACGGAAGGTCGGAAGAAGTGAATATCGGAGAGCAAAGTAATCTTGAAGGAAGAAAAGGCTTACGTCACATCTCAACACGTTCAGGAGGACCTCATGTACTCTAAGTAAGTGCGACGCCCCCCTCCTGGCAGCTCAAAGTAGCTTCTAGCAGATGACACAAAGCCATCCATTGGTGGCGGTGGCTATGCTGTAATTTAGCTTGGCTATAGGATTGCCGTGCCGCTGTTACAAGATCAAACTCGCTTATTCTCACCGGTTCATTGTGCAGCGGCGCCTGCAAAAGGAAATGGTCCCTCTTCGCTTGCTGACTGCAGCTCCAACCAACTTCAGCGCCCCACACCCTCTCCAGAAGGATGCACATCCACATCATCTTCCTGATCCTTCGCATCCCGTGTTTGTAACCCAATCATCGCTTGAATGCAGACTTCGTTGTTGGTGTCGATGGCTACTAAGGTATGACTCGGCCGATCAGATTTTAGCAGGACTGTTTCTCAGATGCATCTAAGGTCTACATTTGCGATATTTTCCTGCTTTTTTCAGCATAACGTACAAGTGTAGCTCAAAGTTATTGATGGCTATCGTTAGTGAACTTACAAGGGCCCTTGCCTTGGTTCCCAACAAGCAACGATCCCGACGCTGTTTTCTGGCCCCCGACCCACAGCTACCCGAGGTTGCGTAGGTGATGGAAGATTGCTTACTGTTTGAATCCTGATGGACGGCTGGAAGCGAACCGTAGACCAAAGCTTTCGAGATGGTGGTGTCCCTGCGGGAAGAAGCAATCTGGTATGTGCGGCTCCTCGGTATCCATGCTTATGGTACCTCCGCACCACTAGTAAAGATCGTGATGCTCCAGTTTGACTCACATTTACACTTACATTAGCAACTTACTCGAGCGCTTGAGCACTTGGGCCAATAGTGTTTCGCACACTATCGTATGCAGTACGACATGCCGCATGGAACGGAGACACAGTCTAATGCGTCTCCAATTGGTGGCTATGCACCTGCATCTTCACAGGACACTGAGTCTGAGCTGGTATGAAAACGTTCTTCAAGCACAAAACCTTTGCTCACATGTACAGGCGTTAAACGAGAGCGTACAAAATGGGCCCCAAGCGTCAGCCATGCCGGACACTGTCTTTTATGGCAACAATAACTTCGACGAAGATTTCATGGCGCAGCTGCCGACCAAGCAGCTTCCTGAGAGCTCGATGGGAGACCTGATCAGCGATGCTGGGTACTCTCTAAAGTCTACAGACAAAGCCGACGAAAGGCCCGGAGATCCCAGTCTTGACTTGACAGGATTCGGCACGCAGTTTGAGGTTGAACATGGACAGCCAAAGAATTTGATTCGAGACCTTGAAGCTTGGATCAGAGAAAAACGGGTGGCTTCTTCTGAACCTAGAAGACTGTTTCTGCCAATCGATCAACTCGAAAGATGCATGACGGCAGGTAACATCAAACTACAACTTCGTCATGCTGGCGTACGCGAAGACGTTGAAACACTCTCAGCCAGTCTAATCATGCGGGGGAAAAGCTCCCGACAAAGGATATTTGCAATACTGTGTATGATCGAGTTATCTGCGCAAATTGGCGCATTCATCAAGGCAGGTATCTATGATACTGATCTTCCGTTCATCATCAAGGAGAACAAAGTATACAGCGAGGTAACAGAAGGATCTGAAAGGTATTTGAAAGCTAGGCTGGCACTCAAACCTGCAATTTGGCGAACTATCTACTGCGAAGCATTTGAAACACACCAGGGAGAAATATCGCCTCCGATCTTCAAGCTCACCTGGGCCGCCAATGAGAAAGTTCTCCATTTCTCACTTAAAGACGAATTGGTGCTACCGTTCATGGAGGTCAAGGAAGCTTCTCAGGAGGGCACGGTCAACGGAAGTACTGAGTGGGAAGGCGGAACATCTTTTGTGCGGAAGGTAAAAATACATGCTGCACATTACAATGCCCATCCAGACATGGTGAGTGCCACCTTGGCTACAAACTAGATGCTGCTAACTCTCATGAGGCGGCAAAGAATGACACTTACTTTGCGGTTAAGGAGTTGAAGGTTGTGCATGATTCTAAGAAAAACCGCAGCTACAAACAAGATCGCGAAGCCGTCGCACTCAAAAGGTTTCACGACAAGAGTCATCCGCACCTGATCAGACTTCTCGCAACTTACACATATCGAAATCATTTCAACCTTATATTTCCGTGGGCGGATGGAAACCTCAAAGAGTTTTGGGAGAAACGCTTTCCAGACCTTGGGATGGCCCGCGAAGACCCAAATATCGTAAAGTGGATATCTGCACAGATACTTGGCCTGTCCAAGGCGCTTAAACTCATCCACTACTGTGAAATAGATGAAGCAAACCCTCAAGGCTTGACTGCTGACGAGCTGAAGAGGCTACATGGGCGGCACGGTGATCTAAAGCCAGAAAACATCCTCTGGTTCAAGGACCACAAGAGCGTTTCCGATCAAGCGGTAACCGGGGTTCTTCAAATTGGCGATTTCGGATTTGCAGATTTCCACAGCAAAGATTCTAGATCGCTGGTTCGTCGGAGTGCCGTCAACGGTGTCACCGAAACGTACAGCGCTCCCGAGTTTGATGTCACACGACAGGTGTCCCCACAATTCGATATCTGGTCCTTCGGCTGTATCCTGTTACAGTTCGTAGTGTGGTATATGTATGGGTGGCGTGGTATCGAAGGCTTTTCAAGCGAACGAATCAAGGATTCGAAAATACTCATTTTTCCATCCGATAACTTCTATTCTCTCGAAGTGGGTGGTACGAATGGCTACAAAGGGCGTGCGAAACATTCTGTTGTGGAAGTAAGTATCCTTAAAACACAAAAACGATTGTAACTAAGAAACGTTCGCTAGATGTTCAGGCGACTGAAGCGCGAAGCCTCCAACGACTACATTTTGGATCTAGTCGAGTGTATAGAGACTGATCTTCTGCGAGTGGACAACACCAAACGCGCAAAGATTGAAACAATCGTTGATACGTTCACCCGGCTTGATAAATGTTGCCGAGAAGCAATAACATATTGTACTTCAAGAACCAAACCAGCCTCAAGGACCGATTCAGGTTTGTCTGAAATTGTCGAACTTCCAGAGTTTCCAGGTGGGGCCACTCAGGACCCATTGGCCGGAGTACCAACAAACGAGCTCTTCGTTGCACCGAGGTCCAAAACTTCCAGCAAATATACGAAATGGCCCGAGAAGAAAATCGCCAATACTACGAACGGTGAAGTGAAAACTTCGCAAAAGAACGCATCAACGGTACCACACGTGACAAGTGTCGATATGGTGGCGCAAGCGCCCTCGATAAAATCAGAAGGAAGCGTAGACAGTGCTCAGCATGCAAATGGTACGGATTCTGCATCAGCTGGTGGTATCGTGCGAGGGGATTCGTCATGGTCCACGCTCGAATTTCCACCTCCTCTAAATGGCCAAACACAACCAGCGCATAGCACATCTGCGCCAAGCGAATCCGCTTCTTCTCAAGACACGAACGCTAATCTGAATCCCAATTACGAGACCCGGCCTGCGCACCTGGCCCCTGTAAATTTGAACGTCCCGCCGAAGGTGGTCTTGATTAAGACCATGCCAAACCAATTGGAAAATGAATCTCAAGAGACTGGGACACCACAAATGCGTAAAGGTTTTCGCGCACGCTGCAGGAAACTGTTGTCAAAAGTCGCAGATTCTTTTCTTGGGAAATGAGAGACGTTGCTGTCAGCAAAGTGACTGACGTTTCCATGTGTGGCAGCGCCGTCATGTCCAACGCATCTCCTCTTCGTCACTCTTTACTGGTCCGCTACGGCGGAACATGACGAAGAAGTACCAAAGCCCAATAGTGATCGCTGTAAAGAACACAGTCACGACCACGTAGATCCAAAGGTACTTGGATACTAGTGCCTTACCCTTGTCATCGTTCCAATCGAAGAACGTCATGGAGAAGACAGTCTAAAAGGGTTAGCGAACAGCCTTTTACTGATGGAACTGTACTCACAGCAAAGAACGTCCCAGGAAGAAAGACCATTGTGACAAGAGAGATTGATCTCATGACTTTGGAGTCTTGGCTGGTCGCAAGCGCAATCTCAACGGCAGTCTCGCTTTGCGACTGAGATGGTCAGTAAGGAACGAGCAGTGGGAAGGAGTGGCTGTTTACCCATTGCGTAGCCATAGCCATGCCGTCAACGCGCATGTTGCAGTCTCGTATCTTTTCGTCGTAATCATCTATAATGGCAGAGAGGCGAACTTTTATTTTCTCTCCGACCGCTCTCACGTGGTCGTTCCCATCTGGTCCGTCTTCGCGCTCGTGTAATTGTAATGGGTATCCAATGTAATTCTTGTTCATGCCAAAACTTTCAGAATCTTGCGTGTGACTCCACGAGTGGCGTGGGCCATGCGCATTGTTGAAGTTCAGTTCGTTTGGTCTTCTATCGAACAGTGGTATTTCTAGTGATGTTCTGTTGAGTGTAGGGTATCCCAGCTGAATGTACTCTCGCCCATATGCTGCTTTTACGCAGTGTACATCATGGGAGACATTCGTTGGGGCATTCGCTGACGCCTCTGGACTAGTATTGAGTGAATTCGCGTGCTCAATGATCTTCAGTAACTGAATCTTCCATGTCATGATTGAATTGCGAAGATAGCTGAGGTTCAGCCATGTTTCACGTTTCGATTGGTATCGCCTTTCGACGTCAATCTGGCGATGATCACGCGGTTTGCTGGTCTGCATATCCAACTCGAGAATTTTTGCTTCCACGTCATTGATCATGGAATCAACAAGCCCGGTATGTCTTATGAGTTCTATCTCTGCGAGTATCCCTGGAATTAGTAAAGGATGCGCAGCCTCATGTCGCACATTCCGGAGTCTTTCAAGCATCGCTTTTTCTGTCTTAATAGTTGTCCCATATATTATTGCACATGTGAGACCATGCTGCACATGATGAGTTGCCGACATGGCCAAATCCGAATCCCAAGAGTTTGGAGTCCGGCAACTGTATACTCAAATGCACGAAAGTAATTAGCAAAAGCTAAGGTGGGACAGGAACTTTATCTCACCATATGCAGGACCGCCCATTTCCACATTATTGCACGAGAATGTGGGTACGTCGGTGCGAGTCAAGGTTCGAACGATTGAGTCGTGAACCTGGAAACGCTCGCAGATTCGCTCAAATGTCGACTTCGAGAACGGTAGATTCAGCAAACTCCGAGGTCTTCGACTGGTCGCTTCTTGTGTCAGGGTTGCTTCCTGGAACTCATGACCTTTGTGTGACTTTTCCTCGAAAGGTGCAAAAGTCGTCTCACGACGTATTCCCCGTTTACATGGCATACTATCTTCCGCTTCTACTAACCAATCTCCGATCGACATTGGACATGATCCAGCTGAATGTGGCGACTCGTTGTTCGTACGATCGGCTAATCTTTGGGGTTATCACCGTCAGATTACTTCTTAATGCTGGGTTCTCATAATTCCTTACATCAAGATAAGTCCTCGATCAGACTGATCGCTGTACTTTTCAGATTTTAGTATCTCGGTCATCATGTCTTCAGTTTACACTTCTTACCTTGTTCAACCATGCATCCCAGTCCTCCTCTGATTTCAAGGACCATACCTCGGCTCGATACTGGAACACTCGGTTAGCAGAAAGGTATCTGAGTAAGAGTAATTACATACCTGATTCTTCTTGACAATTCTGACCACCCTCGAAGGACGCGAACTGTACTTGAAAATGCGTCGCAGCATTACACCATTGCGGCTGAGACAAGCATTATCGCTGGGCCAATCCATCGGAGAAAAGCGAAAGCAATGTTGGTACTAATAGCTTCTCTTCGCAGCAGGCTGGGGTGCTCCTGCCTATAAGCTGCATGCGTGGCGAGGCTGAGACGAGGCCCTGCAGTACGACCTATGGTGGGACGTGATTAGTTGACCGGTCAGTCGACTGCAAACGGGAATTTTCCGCCCTTCCGTCAGAATTAAAGCGACACAAAGGCAGTTTCGCGTTGTCTGCCTACCTTCACCGCGAGACCCGCGTCACCAGCCTTAACCGGGCTCAACGAGGCTGAATCCTCTGATCTCAACAACGTGGTGCAGCGACGCACTGCCAACAAATCCGTCGAAAGTGGGGCATGTTCACATCCAATAACGAAGCGAACCCAGATTCTTACAAAAGCCGCAGGCCTCAGGGCTGTGCAAGAAATCTCTGCGTCGTAGGCCAATAAACTGCTTTTTCCTCACAGTCTTCGAACCGAGTTTACCGCCACTGCGCCTCTGGAAATCATCTCCGTCCGTCGACATGCAAGTCGTCATCGTCTCAGCCAGGTACACAGAACAAAACGCGCTTGAAGCGTTTTTCGGGCAAGTGTTTGGATATGGACAGGCTCGAGTTACTGTAGGTCCACCACTTTACATTCTTGCATTGAAGCTCCTGACTCTAATGTAGTGGACACGCGGACGTTTTCAATGCACTTTGCCACGGGCTTTAACCCCGGTATGAGTTCCTCGCCACAACTACAATTGCACTGCGCACTAACGTACATGTGAAAGACTGAAGTGACATCGATGAAGGCGTCGGTGGAAGAGATCTCATTATTGAGATTGATCGTGGGTCAGCGTGGGAGTAATGACAAAGGAGACGTGGGCACCAAACACCGACCGAAAATCCTACCCTGTCTAAATGAGATATAACACCAGTCCTGTCAAATTGTTGTGTCTCTTAGATAGCCATGATATGAAGGCACGCGGTGAAATGAGAGAGCCATTTCCAACCAACAGCATCCACTTTCAATGGGGCACACCTAGCTGAAACTGGCTAATCGCCTCTCTCTTCGGTTCCTGGATGTAGAATTCTGCCTGCAGAGGGAGAGGAAGTGTCACTTCTCTTAACGATTCGCAAGGAGCGTCAAAATACCTGGAATCGCGCTCTCCCTTCTCAGTCATTTTCTTGAGCTCTACATGCAACTCATGGGCGCTAATGCGGTTTTCCGCACGTACAACAATCATCTTCTCTTGTATCAGCCACAGTAAATCGTGAAATAGCTGTGTGCAGTGCTTCGACCGGTGCAATCTAGCAGCCTTCTGAGATCGTGTTAGCGCAGGCACAAGTAGTAGCCGTTGCGGTCTTCTCACTTTAGCGACAGCCTGATTGACAGTCACATGAACGAGTTTGTTCTGTTTGCGCTCCATCTCAAAGTACAAGTCTGTCTGGCTTCCGGAGGGAAAGGTTTGAAACAGGTCGTTGAGAAACTGCAGGCGCGCATCATTGCCCTCTAATGCCCAACAGACCCATTCAATCAAGACACAACCAAGCGCCCAGACATCACATGACCGTCGGATCTTGAAACCCTTGATGTTGAACTCTGGCGCTTTGTACCGTGGAGCACAGCGCGCTTTGGTGTTTGATTGAGTTCGACTCACGACAGAGTTCAAAGTTGCCAGACCCAGGTCCGCGACGACAACTATGCCGCGACGATCTGTAGGCGAGTCGCACCAGAGTAGATTGTCGGGTTTTATATCGCCATGTCTGCCGTACTCTCTGCCATCAGGTACACCGAGGATATCCGCAGGTTGGGAACCTGATGGGTCGTGGATGTACTCTACCGCTGCAGTGATACCAACGATTTGCTTCAGCATCCAACGAGCCATACCTGGGCTGACTTGAGGAGATCTATAATGACTCCAATATTCTTCAAGGTCATAGCGGGCCAGTGGAAAGAGCAGATAGTACTGGCCATTGAGTGTCCATGTCATCAGTAACGTGACGAGGTGATCACAAACAAATCCGTTGAATCGCCCCCCCGCTTTCGCTTCTCTGCGGAACTCTACAGCGTCATTCTTCAATAGGCGCTTCAAGGCAAACTCGTCATCGGTTTTGATCTGCACTATTGATTAACAACAAAACATGCCAAAATTTGGTGAGCCTTACCAACCGTAGACGATTGTGAAAGCCGTGAGATGCCCGTGCAAGCTTGATCTTTTGGATCACCCCATAACCTCCCTGCTGTCGCTCTTGCTCTTCAATTATCGGTAAAATCTCCCTGGCGCTGAACTCTTCATGCTTCGGTGTGCACCCGTCAGGATCGAATCCAAGAAATTGGGGACTCATGGCATACTGAGATGTAAGAAATGTTTCCCTGTGTAGGGTCTTCCAACCAATACGAGAGAAACAATTCACTTTGCGAGCCGTGGAATTTGCGCCGTATCGAAAGAGTGGACATAGAGAAGAAGATTCGTCGGTGTGCAGTGGTAGATCTTTGTCTACCAATCCTTCCGCGATGACCTCTTCTATGCACGCCCCTTTATCTATGAGTGCAAGAACGGCAAATATCTTTCTTCGATATTTGAGGATATCTTCCGCAACTGTGTCGATCGACTTCGTAGCAAAAAGTGCAGGGTTCTCTCTTTGGTAGCTCTGCAATTCTCCGACGATGCAGGGTTTTGTCATAGTCCTTGCTAAGATATCATCCGTCCAGAAGTGCTTCACTCTTGTATCGGCGTGTCGGTGTCCAGACGTGCGCAACATGTGACCAAGACCCTCCTCCTGTTCCTCCTGTTCCTCCTCATCCTTATCATCTTCTTTGACATGGTTTTCCAGCCTCTGCGATGTGGATACGATTTTTCTTACCAACTGGTCCGCAGGGTCCCGTACTGAGCAATCAATCGATTTTTTGTTGAGCCTTTGGGCGCTCGATCGCACTGCTGGTGTCGCCGTTGTGCGTCTCCTAGCATCGGAAGAGCGGTGCAAGCTTCCTTGACCATGGGGCGTAGCAATCTCCCTCTCCGCTTCATATGCCGAGTAATCGTCAAAAGTGAGCTTTGGGACTTCGCCGTTGGTGAGAGGTATTCCCTGCTGTGTACTCATGTTGCAAGCTCAGGGTGAAGAGGATAATGTGAACCAAATCGAAGATAGCGAAACACAAAGACCACAAAAATGTAGCAAAGGCAAGTAGACGCTCGACGGAGGGACTCAAGCGTTCATATCCCAGAATGCAAGCACATAAGGAGGACCTCCAGCTGCGCCCACGACCACCCCAGCGGTTTTCAGAACATCCCGCAGTTCTCAGAGCACCTGACGAATTATGCGCAGGCTGCACGAAAGGTCGAGTATGAATCGTGCGCCATCTCGGCATATGATTGCTTACATGTAACCGTAAATGCGTGGAGGACCTCTTGGTACAGCTCGTGATGGCTGACCTGCGCCTGTGCCGTCGCAAGGCTGAACACGGAAGAATCGATCCGTGCCAGAACGGCATGCGAAAACTGATCGGCGTGGGTTGGAGGACGTCGTATCGGCCAACGTAGAGGCGCCCAAAAGACACCCCGCTTCTGTGAGCAATATGGCAGCCGAAGTATACCCCAGTCCAAGCCTGGCCGAACCGAGGTTGGGCACATCTGCTCTTAAGGGTGTGTTAGCTATCACGTATTGTCGCCAGATGTGTGCTTATTCCCTACCTATCAGGATAGCTTGGATAATCAACGATAGTTAAGCTGCTGTTTCGTGGAGACCGATACTCCTCCTCAGCCTCATGATGTCCTCACTGCAATAATAAGGAACAAGACTGGGCGCGACGGCAAGCCTTATATGGTCATTAACCAGCTTCCGTACCCGGTAAACTCTCCAAATATTATTAGCAAGACGATGCCATCATCCAGGACTTTGTGTACTAGACAAAATAAGACAATACCATGATGCTTCCCAATCATCACCAAATTAGGAAAGACCTTCAATTACACCGCAGCAACGTCACCCAGCAAGCATTCAAACCCATCAGATGTTCTCCTGGACACCCTTGCTACAGTGAGATTCAGGGAAGGATACCCAGAGATGTCAACAGCTACTTCAGCCTCACGTGTCATGACCAACGCCTGTCTTACTTATTCCGCCGAGGAATCTCAGGATAAGCAGCCTGATACTTTCGACGAAGGCATGCAGCTCATCGTATTTATCACTGAACGTGTCTAATGGACACCAAAGCGTAATGGCCCTACATGCCGAGCTCTTTCAGGGAATCAACAACGACCAGGCTGAAGCACAACTAACCTCAAGTCAGCCCAACCCTTACAAGACGTGCAGCATAGTCTGTGGCTATGCTAAGACATCATCCTAGAGAAATATCCACCTACACAAAATAAATACCTTGATACAGCCCATGTTGTCTGACCTGCAGTGCAGCTATCGTAAGGCTGAAAAGTGACAGATGATCTCGCCACCTATCAGCCTTGCGACAACATTGCCCACCGGTCAACCGATATGAAGGACGTTCAACCACCCCAGCACTGACATGCATGTCTGACAGGACTAAAACGTCTGACACATGCATCGATGACGTGCGATGAAGACGTAGATCGTCGCACGGGCTGTGTTCAAAGCTCACCAAATTCATCTGGCATGAAAAGAGACTAGAATGGAGTAAGGCAAACTTCAACGTATTGCTACGAAGCCGCGGTAGATGATCCTATTAGGCAATCCTACCTATCATGAAATGATTCGAAGCGACGCTATTCAAGGCGGTGCTTCCTGGGCGATGACACTCCTCAGCCGACCAACCTCCTCATGCTCCACCTTCAACGTCTTCCAGTTCAGCTTTTCAAACGCAGCACTCCAAATCTTTTCAGCACTGCCCCTGTCCTTCGAACTCTTGACGTCCTCTCTGCCAACGTGTTGGACCAGGCTGGGCGTGATGGCAAACCTCAACTCGTCTCGCTCGTTCGCAAAGTCCTCGATCAAGACGTCTGTAAAGCCCACCCGCTTCTCCTTGAAGTATGCGACCAGTTGCTGTGCTTTGAGGTTCGGGAAAACGAAGGCTTGGCTGCAACATCCGAAGTGCGGCATTTCATGAACGCCATATGGCATTGGGTGGACGGTCATACGACCGAGAGAGAAGTAGAATAGTATAAGAGCAGCCAGGCAAGCGTAGAGCGCAATGAAGGCACGGGGAGTCGTGAGAGTCATAGAGAGCTTGGTCCGGGGTTTGAAGACGCGCACAAAGACCAAGAGCGCACTCGGCAGCGCAGCGACGAAGATCGAGCGCCATAGGTATGACTTCCAAAACTGCTTGTTCCATCCCAGAAACTGCTCGGTGTAGAATAGGCGGAGATAGAAGAAATCGGGCTTCGACCTGCGCAGGGCGGCCTGTTGCTCAGCTTCGTGGATCGCAGTCATGGTGCGATGGTACCATCCATCCATGGCAACAGTATCATCCTCGAAGATGGCGACATACGGTGTGAACTGTTCTGCGCACTTGTTCAACAGGTAAGCGTAGTCAAATGCGGCCTTCTCGACAACCCGCCCCCCAACTTGCTCCATGTTGCGGATGTACTGCATGCGATCGAAACCGAAGTCATATGTCGCAACCTCATCTACAAGACCGGAGAGCCATGACTCAACGTACGACGGGTGCTGTGTGGGGTCCGAATGCGCAATGAAGACGATGAGGTAGATCTCCTCTCGCTCCTCACGTGTCAAGCCTTCGAGAAGCGAGCCCAGAGTGGCAGGCAAATATGAGTCGACGTCGCGCTTGATCGACGGTATGCCGACACACAATTTCCTCCTCTTCTCATCCTTGCTGGCGTGGTAGAAGTCGTTGGGCGCATGGTCGAAAGCTGCTACATAGGCTTCGGCCTGCTGGCGGCGGAATGCAGAGTATCGCGGAGCATAGCCCGTGCTTGCGCGGAAGTAGATGGAGGTGGGGTCGACAGCCGATATCGAAGTGATGGTGTAGAGAAGTAGGAGCACGAGGCCAACTGCGATTCCGATTGTTAGCCTTGACATATGCATGATTGCAAGTTTAATTGATGCTGTTCAAGGCGGCCGGCGTGGTGCTGCTGGCCGACTGCTGCGGCGACGGTTGAGAGTGCTCAATAACGGAGGAAGGTGGTGGCATGTTTACAAGACCATGAGGAAGCCGCTGGTCAACGGCGCGGCTGAGCCGAGCCTCAACACACGGCACGGTGGAAACCCGCACGCAGCAAGCAATGGAATGTAAATGCAGACATGCTTTCAAGCGCACATCACGTCCCAATGAAAACGATAACAATCACGAGGGATCGGTTAACGGTAAGATGGATGATCGATGTCGATATCGAATTTCGGCTGACAATGCATGTCGCGTCGGAGTTAACGCGTCGGGAGGTGGCGCAATGACGATCTATGTCATGTCCAAAGCACCCTCCACCAGTTCACGCTGCTGCATGCTCACGATTGACTCACGCACCCAATCTCACTGCCTCATAATCAGTAGTGACTCAAGTCGGACCAAATCTGCATCCGACAATCACCTGTCATCACACTCCGTCTCAGCGTCTTGACTCACAGCGACGACGGCTCACCCCACTCCCCCGCGGCGGCCATCCCATATAGTCCACCACCGAACGCCGCAACTCCCGGTCAGCCGCAGCAGAACGGCTTTCAGTAGCCTGCCATGCCCAAGAAGCACGCACCCGCCTACACAACCACCAAACCAAACTATGTGCACCCCTCACTCCAAAGCTCGCGCGCCTCGCCGTCCACGCCCTCAGAGCCCCAAAGCGTAAACCAGCGCATAGCCCAACTGCGCCGCGAACAAGCTCCCCGAGCAACGATAGAACAGAGGAATGAAATGCACTCAGGAGTAAGCAGTCGCACTGTCCCGCCTGATCTGCGGCGGATACTGGCTATACCAGAAGTTAATGCTCCGAAACCAAAGGCTGGCACGAGGCTGCGCATGCGAGGGCCTGGAGGCGCGAGACCACCGCCTGGTCCAGCTGCACCAACCAGTTGGCTCAAAACGAGTCGGTATGCGCCCAAGCAGACGAGGGACTATGGTTGGAAGAAGCCTGGCGAGCGGGCGGCGTCACGGCTCAGCCATCTAGCAAGAGTAACAGAGACAGACTTCAAGGTATGTGCGATCCTGGCAGGCAGGTCACTGTCGCTGTGTTCCAGGGCTTAACCATCGAAAGCAGACTTCTTACGATTGAGTAGCGAATGCCACCGCCGAGAAGCTTGCGACATCATTGTCTGCGGACCTTTGCCGAACACTGGGTCGAACTATCCGAGTACGAACAATACTATATCCCAACGCTCCCGATGGTGTTGAGAGAGGCTTTGCTGAGCTATCTCACGCTCTATGGCGAGGAGGGGTGTCTCGACTTCAAGTCGTTCAAGATACTGTTCCAGCCCGAGGAAGACGGCGCACTGGAGTGGGAGGATGTGCGCTTCCTAGACCTCACTGGCGTGTTGGGTGCGGACTTCTCGCTCAACGACCTCGGGAAGTGCTTGAAGCGCGTACTTTCGCAGGTACCAGAAGACCTCAAAGCATTGAGCTTAAGCGACACCACGTCGAAAGGCAAAGCGAAAGCTCCAGTTGATGTGGCAGACTCGTGGGAGGAAGAAATCGACGACGATGACGATGCGCAACCCGCTCCTTCCAGCACAGCTCACTGTACCGCACTTCACCAACCTCAGTCGCCTCTCCCTTGCACATGCAGGAGAGTGCGCATCTTGGCCAGATCTACTAAAGATCTCACCAAACCTCAACAAGATCACCCACCTATCGCTCGCATACTGGCCACGTCCTACCTTGACTCCAAACTCCTCAACGACATCCATGGTGTCAGACTACGCCCGCGTCTCACTCGGTGGCACACCATTCTACTCCGACCTCGACGATGACTGGCATGAAGCCTCTAACATCCTACGCCGCTTCTCCGTGAACACATACTCATTAGAATGGCTCGACCTCGAGGGCTGTCAATGGATCAGAGCGCTGACATGGCATCCCTTTACGCCAGACACCACACAACATGCAGTCGACACGTGGAGTATAGCAGCGGCATCACCCGGTCCCGATTGGAACGATGCATGGCGGCGCATCGTGTACTTGAACTTCTTTCAAGGCTGGATCCCAGCCGACAGAAAGAGTCTGCAGAACATGCCTGCAGGCGTCATACCTGTGCAACTGATGCGCTGGCTGAGAGAGAATAAAGATGAGGATATGAGCTGGAAACTGAATGCGAAGGAAAGAGGTTACGCGGTGCAGGAGTGGATCGAGAAGGAGAAGACGAGCAGGAGTGTGGCATCTGAAATCCTGGCGATGAGGCGCAGGAAAGAGGGGAGTTGGTGCAAGATTGATCCCGGATGGGGGGAGGAGGTTTGAAATGCCGACGGGGGTAATGCGGTACTCTGGCTGGTTCTGGTCAAATATTTGCAGAACAAATCGTGCAACCAGTTCGCGATCCAGGTCTTCGCATTATCCATGCAGAATGAATCGTGCAACCAGTTCGCAGCGATTTAGGTTTTCGCGTTCATCTGTGCAAGTCCAGACATGTGCGATGTTGCAAATGTGCGTTTTCCCAGCTCGAAGGTGTCTTTGATGCAGCACACAACACACGTGTGTCAGACAGTGTGTTCTTGATTTCGATGGATGAGCCGAATCTGTGTCACACACTTGTTGTGCAATGCGCGCCTTGATAGACGAAACATTACACATGTGAATGGGTTGCGGCTCGAATCGTCCGGTGTTCGCGCTCCCGTCGCTTCACACCTCCAGGCGCATAGACTCATAGATGAAGCCAACGTCTATCGCACACGGTGCGCAATGCAAGTCGACGTGGTAAGGCAAGTGTCCCGCCTCCCTTACCAAAGAGGACTCGAGCTCTCCACAATGACCATCCCCTTATGTCGAGGAATCGGTGGGTAATCGGCATCCTCGAAAATTGCATGAAGCTCGAGCTCGCGCTTCCAATCTTGTTCCATAGGAGATTTTCCTGCTAGCGCTTGTTGAGACACGAGCAAATAGGGACGGGCACTGAAATAGCGCGCGACCTATCTCGGCGTCTTTCGTATTAAGAGGGGCACGCTTTCGCGCGCCGGAACCAAAGCGGAGATTGAATGCGATGGTGATGTTGTAAAAATAAGCAATACGAAAGATAACTGTTAGAGTTGTGCGCAGCGCTCTGTGGAAATTTGTTGTTGTTTTTTGTTTGAGTCATGGCGCAGGGATGAGGCTTGCAGCTTCTGCAACGTTGAGAGTTCGCCATGGAGTAAGGGAAACATACACAAGCTTTCCCAAGATCGACGTAGGTTTGCGACAGGGATCCTGCCGACGGCATGACCTCAGCTGACGACGGTTACCAAGCGCTGTGAAACTTCGAAACCGGGCTGACACAAGAGTTGATGACAAGGTGTTTGGACAAGAGCGCAACTGCAGAAGGACGCGTGTAGTCGCAGATGTGAGAAAGCGATGGATGGAAGTTGAGATGCCGCATGAAGATAGAAAGCTCAAAGAAATGTTGGAATATTGGAATAAGCGTAGCTACACTTGCCTGTTCGGTAGATCTCGCAGGGCTGTTCCACGTAGAGTGTCCGGGGTAGGAAGTAGATCGCGCAGCTATACTGAGCCAACTGTAAGACGGCACTTCTGTCAGAGAGACTAGATTCGCGAGACTCGCACAACATGTTTCGAGCCTATGAAGTGAGGCTGCATAGTTCAACCGGCGGTCCGATGCACAGGGCTGGTGCAGAGACTACTGCTTGATGTTCAAGATGCTGTCTGACAAAGTGTAACCAGCGCAGAACAAGTATTCAAGATTGATGGTGCTCGGAAAGACTACCGGATATTTGCATTGCCTTATCTGTAATCGGTGATTACCGTATTACCACAGTCCCCAGTCCCGCAAGAGTGGCATAGTGGGCGATCTGGTAAGCGATGGACAGGGTCTACAGATGGAGCGGTGTTCTTGTCATGTTCGATGTGCATGAAGTATGGTGCAGGACCAAGGCCGGTGCGAGGGAATATCCAGCGTCCATGACGTAACGAGTTGTCCGCCGGAGAAACTTCCTTCAACGAAGCTGCTGTACTTTAGCAAAGATGTCGGCATCAGCAACGTCTTCCACCAGTTGGAAAGCTTTCGAGCACAGTATCCATGCGTGAGCGGCAAGTGAAAACCCGCCGAGGCTGTGGCCACATGGCAGCAATGTCTGTGCACGGTCTTCGTATAGCAGCAGAGGGTTCGTATATTTATCTGCGACTGCATTGCACCTGCCGACAAGAGCGGCCAAGACGTCACAAGTAGTGAACGAATCGTGCTAAGCTTAGCTAATTGCGACTTGTCCGGGTAGGCTAGACCGCAAATAGCAGAAAGAGCTGTTTCAGCCTGCCGTGCCGCGCGGCGTACTCGAACCGATCTCGCCCATGGACAGCTGCGAGGAAGGTTTGCTGGTGTACCAACGGCAGGCAAAAGATGGCGCCGGTCCCCCTCGACGAAGACATGTCAAGACGAAAAGAGAGACTTAGTTCCAAGTGAAAAAGGGGGTTTGTGCACCCGTGGCAGGGACAGGTGCCTCTGAATCTTTGGCGTTGTGTTCGTCACTGCATCCGTTCGGTAGACCCCTGGAGCGCTGGTGGCGCTAGGGGACACGCGTTGGCTGCGGTCTATGATTAGCTGAGCGGCCGTGGCCTCTTGTCGGCCACTCCTTCAGCTGCCGGGGAGTCGCCGTCATGAGTAGAGTGGCGATCAGCAGTGGGCGTGAGGAAGAGGCAGGTTGCGGCCTTCGTTGGTCGGGACCGAGTCTCCCTTTGGCGGTGGACTGTGTGCGTGACAGGGCCCTGTCAGAAACGGTGGAACGTTAATGGAAGAAGACAGACGCGGCTACCAATGCTTAGCGTGCATTCGCTGAAACTGTCGCCGGGGCCTGCGAGCGAGATGCGCCTTCTATAAGCTGCGTCGTAGCTTCCCTCCCAGGTCCGGCCAACATAGAGAGCGTTTTCCTCGTCTCTGTACCTTTGGTGTCCAAAACCTTCTGAAATCTCTCGTTTTCTTTCCCTAGCGCAACAATTCCCTAATTGCGCGCTCAGCGTCTCATCTCCACCACTCCGCTGCACTCTCCTCGACTCGGACTAGGCCGACACTGGGCTAGAGATAAGAGGTCAACACTTCCTAGAGACTCACGCTTTCAGACCCGACCTCGTACATACCTCTCCACGGCAAGGGCGTCTGCCGTGCTATATTGTCTTTTTCTCCGCCTCCTCCCGCGCCGCGCCTACTGTTCGGTTGTCATTCTCGACATCGCCCTCCTCAAATTATTCTCCGACCGCCACCGAGCACTCGCCAGCCGCGATGCTCACCTTTAAGAAGGCCCTCGTGCTTTCGCTAGCATGTCTTACCCTATTTTTTCTGTTCAAATCGCACCACCAGAGCTCAGCGCCCAACTTCCGCAACGCGAACGAAATGCCACGGCCGACCGCGTGGAAGCCTGAGTTCGAAAAGCAAGAAGAGGCACAGAAGGCGGCCAAGGAGACTGCAAAGGCAGAGAAGGCCTTCAACACGCCCGAGCCGCCGCCGAAGAAGCCAAAGACGCAGATCAGCATGGATGTGCTGACACAGAAGCCGCTCCGCGAGCAGCTCGAATACCAATTCCCCTACGATGTCGACTCGAAGACACCCGCATACATTTGGCAGACTTGGAAATACACTCCCGCGCAGGGCGAGTTCAGCGATGCCTTCCGCGAGGCTGAGGCAACCTGGACCGTTCACCACCCGTCCTTTGTCCACGAGGTCATCACCGACAACGTTGCCGTACACTTGATCAGGCATCTCTACGCGTCGGTGCCGCAGGTCCTCGAAGCCTACAATGCGCTCCCGCTCCCAGTCTTGAAGGCCGACTTCTTCCGCTACCTGATCCTGCTCGCGAGGGGCGGTATCTACTCGGACATTGACACATCTGCATTGAAGAGCGCAGCCGACTGGGTACCCAAGGACGTCCCTGCCAATTCCTACGGCATGGTCATTGGCATCGAAGCCGACCCTGACCGCCCAGACTGGGCTGAGTGGTACTCCCGCCGCATTCAGTTCTGCCAATGGACAATTCAGTCGAAGCCGGGCCACCCTGTCCTTGTCGACGTGGTTGCAAACATTACAGAGGAGACATTGAGCCGCAAGAAGGCAGGCAAGCTCAGCAAAGATCACAAGGGCATAATCGAGTTCACCGGCCCCGCTGTCTGGACTGACAGCATTTTCAACTACTTCAACAATCCCGACTATTTCGACATGAGCACCAGCAAGGGCAACATCACTTGGGAGAATTTCACCGGTATGAAGGCGCCTAAGAAGGTCGGCGACGTTATTGTTCTCCCCATCACAAGCTTCAGCCCTGGTATCAAGACCATGGGCGCTGGCGAGGAAGATGACCCAATGGCTTTCGTCAAGCACCAGTTTGAAGGTATGTACATTCCCCGCTCCCTTTCCACCCTACCTGCACGTTTCAACATGTCCCTGCACTCGGTGGGTCGCGCGCGTGCGACCTCGAGGTGCCAACGGCCTGGAACCGATACGCCTAGCACCGGTCTAGATTACACAAGCTTTGCATTATTTGATCAGGCCATACTAACGTGTCACAGGTACCTGGAAGCCCGAAAGCGAGCGACACATTGGAGAAATTTTCAATTCAGCCTAGACTAAACTGGCAAATTCTTCTTGCTTTTTATTGAAAACCCCTACTTCGCCATATTCAGTGGGCAAATCCCGCCCGTACAACCGACCGAATGGAAATACATAAGGTGCGGAAAGAGACGCCCGGCGGGGAGTCGCACCAGTTGGAGGTGCGACGCAGGACGTTACTCATTCGGCTAGTCGCATACCACGCTCGTGGTATCGTGGAGTCTGAGCCGCCCATCAAGGCGAGACCTTGTACGGATACCAAAAGTCTGGATTTACTGGCATGGCGCAATTATCAGGCGGCGAACAACATCGATGTAGGCTTCAAGCGCTGAAGTCTGAGACGACGCCGCTACACAACCTGGCATATACAAGTTCAGGTAGCATTTGGGACGGCGGCGTATTTGTAGCTCTTATCATTGGACGGTCACACGAACGAGTGCAGCATAGACAGCGTTGTTTTAACAAGATTATACGAATGGACAGAGACCTGAATCAGCAAGCACTCTTTAATCACGTTTCTAGGCCAGTACAAAATCGTGTGTGTCTATTGAGAAATAACACCAACGTGATTAAATCAAGGGTATAAGACGCCTAAGAAATCCATCCTATGACGCGCGCGCCTCAAATACGCATCCAACATACTTATATCCCCATAGTTCTACTCCCTCTTGGACCCCAAAGCCTTAACCATGCTCATCAAACTCCCCCCCAACGTCGGCCTCTTCTCCAACTCCCTATCCTTCGCATACCGCTTCTCATACTGCCTGAGCGTCTCCTCATCCAACACGCCATACACCTGCCCATTATCATGGATATCCTCGCCATCCCCAAACGCATGGTGGTCGTGCGGATGGTGACTATGATGCGACCCATGCGAACTGTGCGAGCCGTGGCTGCGCGCGTAGATCGCCGGGCGCTGCTGCTGCGGTATCGATATCGGCGCTGAGCTGCTGAAGTGCGGGCGCGCGGATTGCGAGAGCGAGGAGGAGCGGCGGTGGGATGGCGGGCCGTTGGGGAGGTGCATCATCGCGGCGTCGTGGGCGGTGGGCGAGGAGGAGTAGATGGGGTTTTGCGGTGGGTATTGGTGCTGTGGCGAGGAGGCGTAGGCGGGTTGCTGCCAGGGTGAAGCGGGAGAGGTGGAGTAGGCGGGTTGTTGTTGGGGTTGTGGGGGGAAGTAAGCGGTGGGTTGCGAGGTTGGTGGGCCCGGGGTTGTGGGATATGGTGGGTTTGGTGCTTGTTGGTATTGCGGTTGGGGATGTGGTGGGTATTGGGATGGGTGTATGTACCCTGGCGTGTTTGAGCCGTAGGACGACATGTTGAAGGTTGGTGTTAACTCGAATGTGATGGTCTACCCGCGTATGGCTATCCGCAGACTTTGACTTCGTCTTTATGCTTGTCCGTGTATTTGCCCTGTTTTGCTGATCGGCGAACTATATGTCGTATGCGGCTGGAATCGAAATGTTATCGTTCCTTGTAAATTAACTTTGATGGATATTTCCTCTGATCGTGAGATTCGTGTGTAATCGTGGATATGCGTAGATTTGCGTGTAATCGTGATTATATGCAGCTTTCAATCAAACCCCGTAAGATCCTACCGGTGACTGTATATATACGCCATATTCTCACCGGCGCCGTATCCTCACCGAGCTTCTTTCAGACCACATGCTCCACTAAGCCTTGCGCGTACATCATCGCTCGGCACGCTCCATCCGCATACCCGTTTTACCAACCAGTAATCGACGCAGCAGCTGCCAGAGCGCCAAGGCAGACTTGGTATTCCACTACGCGATGATGGCGAAAACGCGAGGGGCAACTGGAGGGAGTCGCGCTATGATGTAATGTGTCTTGGCGCAACGGCTGAACGCTGCGCTGCGTTGAGAGAGGCTGGGTACCTGGCTTTAGCGAGATCTGGTGGTGTGGGGAAATGGGAAGAGGTTGGTGGAGATGGGATGGTGGGTTGTAGATCGCTTCCTTGCATATATGGGTGTGATGTAAGCTTGATGTTTGGGGTGTGAATGCCCAGGTGTCCTTGAATGACAGGGTAACACAACATGCTTCGAGTTCTTGTGATTCCGACGTTCTGGCACTTCCAGTTCTCCCTTGCAGATAATGCTTGGTTGAGGAAATGCGCACGATAACTGTGCCGCTGAGAGTATGAAGACGCGTTTTGTCGCTGACTGGAAGCTGAGTGACAACAACGCTACATAGGTAGCGTTTGTGTTGACTTCAAAAGTCATCCCAGTGCACTATCGATCTGAGTGCATTGTGAGGCAGACACTGTATCACCTCGCAACATAGCGATCATAGACCTGTTGCTCGCACGACTATCCTGCATCCGAACTGCCACTACTACGCGTCTCAACATATGCCTGACGATATGTTTACAAGCACTGCAGTGCCGCAGGCACTATCGAGATTCAGCGTCTTTGGAATACAGTCACTTGAAGTGAACAAGTAACGATGCCAGTGTGGGCGAGCAGCTCTTCCCTAGCACGAAATCAATCTCCGGTCCACATACTTCTTAGCAAGAACCATATTCAACTCAAAAGTAGGTCCGATCATTGGGTTGATGACAAAATAGAAGGCTTCACTCGTTCAAATCGCGCCCAAACGACCATCAACAGGAGGAAACTAGATCGGATGGAGCAGGCGACAGGCAGATGGATGATTGTTCGAAGGAAATGAATTGGCTGGGTTGAGAAAGCTGAAATAAGAGTAGTGCAGTCTTAGAAACAAAGCGTGAGCTTGCGCAAAGAGGAACGACGCAAATTGGGAGTGAATGTTGATGTGATGGACATGGTGTTCTTGGGGGTGTTGTTCGCTGCAGCGCTTAGCACGTTGTACTTCATCAACTGATATACTTGTTCCTCTTACGCTATTGCCGACTGTCCTATTACATTTACCTTCTGGAGAATACAAAGGGGACAAGTTGAAGAAAGGTAAAAGTGGGTTGCATGCTTCGCACATATCTCGGCGATTACGCCACACCGCGACGCCACCATCTCAGCCTTGCCGTGTTTAGGATCGGCGGTGCCTATTTCATAACTGTACGGGAGGCCTGAAGGGCTGCACCTGACACGAATCAAACGCTTGCAGTGAAGCAGCGCCACATACTAGAAGTACCAAGCATTGGCTTCCTTGCGTCATGGTTGTTCCTCCCCACCATAAAACATTCGGTTGCGGGGCTGTGTTGCCCATTCATCATTTCTGCGCCTCAACCCCACCAGCATAGCCTTCCTGCGAACCACGCTTTGTCGATCCTGTCCAACTACAAGGGGCTCATCACCTGGGCAACTTGCCATTTCACTTTTTCTACACTTCACGATCCTCTTCAAGCCCAGCGAACTCACAGCAGTGCGCCTTGCTACTCCCACCTGGACGTGCTTAACTAAATACCGGAACTATCGATCCTACATAAAACTTTGAGGTCAAGCGAGAATGTCATACTACAATCAAGGTGGATATGGCCAACAGCCGCCAGGCCGTAAGTGCTCACTTCCTGCGCCCGGCGATCAGGCGTGCATTGGGAGCCTGCTTGACTTGGCAGCTTATGGTGACCGCATACTAATATCTTTCAGCTCCCCCTCCCCAAGGCTACGGTCAACCTCCTCAACAAGGCTATCAACAACAACCTCCAATGCAGAATCAACAATATCCCCCCCAAGGCGGCTACCCGCCTCAGCAAGGCTATGGCCAGAACGCCTCAAGGACAATACGGCGCACCGCCACCCGGCCAGTATGGTGC